AGCATGGACTGGCGAGAAACCTAATGTTCAGCATCTCAAGGTTTTGGGTGTGAAGCATATGCCCACGTGCCAAAGGATGAGAGGAGTAAGCTTGATTCGAAATCAAGAAAATATATATTCCTTGGATATGGCACAGAAACAAAGGGTTATCGCTTATATGATGAGAAGAAATCAAAAGTATTTAATAGCAGAGATGTGTTATTCAAAAAATCAAAGTCAACAAAAGAGAAGGAGAGCATCGAAACAACAGCAAGCAAAGAAGGTCAACCAACTGTCGAGTTAGAATGCATCAAAGAAGAAGATAGAAATATGGACGAGACAACTGAAGTAGAAGTGCGAAGATCAGCCAGAACAAGAAAGCCACCGGATTACTATGGTGTAAGAGCCTACATTGCTGATAGCGAGTTGGGTGAGCCTATGTCGGCAGCCGAAGCTCGGTCAAGTCCTGAGAAAAAGGCATGGGAAAAGGCAATGGAAAGTGAAATGGAATCATTAAAACAGAACGAAATCTGGGATCTTGTCGAATGAACTCATGGAAAAAATTTTTAAAGGAAAAGAACATCTAGTCTGCAAGCTGAAACGAAGTCTATAGGGACTGAAGCAGTCACCTAGATGTTGGAATGAAGAACTCGACAGGCACCTGAAGACAATGGAATTCAAGCAAGCTACCAGTGATCCGTGTATCTATACAGCTTCAGGAGGAGAAGTCTTTTTAATAGCTGTTTACGTCGATGACATCATTTTGGCTGGAAAGACTGACAAACGCATGAAAGAAGTCAAAAAACTAATTGCAGAGAAGTTTAATGTTAAAGACATGGGTGAACTACATCATTTTCTTGGCGTAAAGATTGCTCAGGAGAAAGAAAGTGGTGAGATATCGATTAGTCAATAATCGTACTCAAAGGATCTACTGAAGAAATTCCAGATGGAACAATCGAAGCCTATTGCTACACTAGTTGAAACTGGGTTGAATTTGGCAAAAGCTACTGAAGGAAGTGACCTATTCAACCAAGAGATGTATCAATCTGCAATTGGAAGCTTATTATATCTTTCAACAAGAACACGACCTGATATTGCGTATGCTGTAAGTAACGTTGCAAGATTCTGTGCTAAACCAACGAAGCAGCATTGGACAGCGGTTAAACGAATCCTAAGGTATTTGAATGGTACGCTTAATTTTGGATTACTCTACTGTCAAGAAAATGAAGGCAAGTGCACAGGTTATTCAGATGCAGATTGAGCCGGAGATTTAGATGACCGCAAATCAACCTCAGGATATATCTTCAAAATTAGTGGAGCAGCAGTCAGCTGGAGAAGCAAAAAGCAGACCTGCGTTGCACTTTCAACTGCTGAAGCTGAGTACATAGCTCTAGCAAGTGCAGTTCAAGAAGCTATATGGCTGCAACAACTTCTTTCCAACTTGAAGGAAACTGGAGTCAAACCAACTGTGATATATGAAGACGTGCAAAAGACATCGACATCAAACATCACTTTATTCGACATCAAGTGGCATCTGGTAACATAGAATTACAATACTATAAATCCGAAGACATGATAGCTGATGTACTGACAAAAGGTTTGAGCAGTCACCAATTTATGAAACTACGACGGATGATTGGAGTCAAAGAAATGATTGAACAGTTCGGAAGCGAGTGAGGAGGAGTGTTGGAAATATACACTCTTACCAGACTGTCAAGATACTGTAGATCATTCAAGTTTAATCTCTCATATCATTCTAGTATATTCGTAGTATTAGTTCATTTCTATTTTCTGCAATAATAATTACTTCCGCTTTCTCGAAAATTCCGGAACAATACTTTTCTAGAAATTTCTAGAACATTACAATAAACATATAAAAGAGCATTGCTGTATTAGGTTAGTTAGTTGTTCATAATATTGCCTCTGTGTTAATCAAAGTGCGATTAACGCCTATAAAAGGAGGAACAATCAATTAACCTATAAAAAATGGTTGAAAGGATGTCTTTACAATGGCGTGTTTGCAAATGAGGCCGGTTGTCGGGACGAGAATTACCCTAAACTCCACACAAGAAAGTTGATGTAAGCATAGAAGGCATACTAAAGATTGCATCAAAAAAGTCATTGGTACTATTTGTACTGCTAAACAACACACTCAAGTGCAACAAATGCTTTTTCATATGATTGACTAGTCAAATGCTGTTCTAGATAGCTATAAGGAAGGAATTTCGATGCTATACATAAGAATTAAATTCACATTTGGTCCTGAGAAACACTGTAAAGCGCTTAAACCACGATACGTCATCAAATATGGCATCGAAGAATTGATTAATTCTAGACCATTGATACAAATGAGTGGAAGAAACACAGCTTGAAAACACAAACCAAAGCAACAAATTATCGAGCACTACATAACCAATAGAACTATCTGATTATCTCATAATAAGGAAAATATAGTGCTGGATCATAAACATTTCAAGAAGGTGAGCCTCGTTTTGAGGCTTTATATCCAGACTACCATCTTGTTGTTTATGACGTCAATTGATTGTTATGAAGAGCCTTAGTTTCATCTCGCCGTAGAGTATCAAGTTGATTGTGACGTCACATTGATTAACGCCAATAAAAGGAGCAACAATTAACTGAGCATTCGTCAGTTCAGTGGCTATGGTAACTGCATTGACTCTTTTTAAAGTTGAGTTGAAAATCTCAAACTTTTAGTCGTCGTTCAGAGTGAGATATATTTTTCGAGAGAAGAAACAAACACAGCATGGGTTGCTGTCTTTCGAAGTTCCAGAGGCCTAATGAAGGTTTGTATCGTTTATTGTGATTTAAGTTTATTCCTGGCTCAAAGCAAGATATCTTTTATTAATGATTCTTGTCTCAGACAAACATAAACTACATTACAAGCGTGAAACATCAAGTGGTTCCTGTTTAATATTACACTAATCAAAGGATAGAGCTGCTAAAAACATGCATCTTATTTACACAATTATTTTCGTATTACATGCAATGTACATAGAAATTTTTAAATTAGAACTTTCAGTCACATTTGATCAAAAATTTACCTCTTTATGCTGGTGTTAGTAGAGTTATGTCCTCATTTTTAGCCTCACCAACCAAACAAATGTCGTCCACGCTTAACAGAATATCCAAAATATTTCGAAGAAGCAAAGGCATTCAAAAAGGTGAGATGGATGATTATATCATTTGTCACATATTTGGTTTCTTTCTCCGTAAAGCGGGTGATTCTCGGTAAAGTTCCATTCTTATTGTACGAACATGACTAGAATGGAATTATCTTTTATAATGTACATCTTTGATATAAAGTCAGTTCTTCGATAGACCAATTGAACACTGCTAAATTTACCCTTTTCATTTTAGAACGGTCTCCATTGATCGACGAGCAAATAACTCTTGCAAAAGAAAACACATCTCGGGTGAGTCATTCTGTTCTGCATAAAGTAATCTGCGTTTGTTTGCTGTTCTCAACTTGGTGTCAACCAATTTTACAAAATCGATCATATTGATTGAACATGAGATATTTTTGTAAAATGGCCGAAACAAGCTAAGTCAGTTCTCCGCTTAGTCAAAGAACGAGACTTTTAATAAACTGTGGGGTTCACAAAAACGTAGAATTCAATGGCAAATGCAAGGAATGGGCAATTATCTGCCTGAAGGTCTCGTTGGTTCCGTGGTAACAATAAATTGGTCACTTGCTGAAAATTGAAGATGAAATAGTATCAAACTTACTTTTCACACATTTAGCTAAACATCACACATCAAATAGTAAAAGATATATCTTAATTCTGCAGGTCATTTTCAGAGCTAAAGACAACAATAAAAGAGAAAAATTGCCACAATCCACAAACTCAAGTGGAAATTTCCATTTCAAAGCCAATAAGCAAATGCATCATGCACAAAGCCGGATCAATTCATTGGCAGCAAAAGATCAAACCAGTCACGCATATGGTGCAAAGAGCCACCCTTTACCCTATCTTGTCCCTTGCAGTGGCAACGTCGTAGATCCACAGTCGTATCCAAAGAGCACACCTGACAGCGTGCTAAATGTCATCGAACATTTTCGCCAGAAGATTGAAAAATTTGCAGCCATGGATGACGATCCGCTCGACTCCTACTACCAACAAGATTCAGGATATGAAGATTCAGTGTATAGCGCAGAGTCGTCATGTTTAGCTCAAGACGATACGTGTCACGGAGAGGTGTCCACGTGTTCCGAAGAAGATGAAAGCAAAAGCATGTACGAAGACGAAGAAGATCAACAAGAACTGCCAAGCAAGGACATTTATGCTAGGAACACATTAAATGATCTTCCATTACATCTCAAAGTGTCAATGGAATTTCCTAGATTTCCACAAAACAACGGCCCAGATTATGCCAAATCTAGCTTATTTGATGATGGAGATCTTACACCAGTAGACGTTGGGCCACTTGATCCCAATCCTACAGGTCAAAATTCCAATGGTCGTTAACGGGCAAATCTTCCCTCTTGAAGTTGAACGCAACTCTGAATTGGCAGTGGCATACCACTTGATTGAGTATTATGCAGACAAGAAGGCACATATTGCCAAAAGAATTTGTACTATCAGAGCTAGGTTGGGTGCCAAGTTTCTGTTTCCTGTTTTTGTGCATGGAAATGTTGTCAATATTCCTTTGAATGAGAAGGATGACAGTGTGAGTGCATATAGGGAAATATCGGCACTTAAATGCTTCAAAACTGTTTAACTAAGTTAGATTTTAGCATCCAAGTTAACTACAGGTTTGGTTGGCTACGTCTTCCAACCTTCTATCAATACAGGACATCTATCACTGTGATACAAAACAACATAATGTTTACTTGGTTATAGAATATTTATCTGCGATGTTCATTAAGGTTGATGGTAATAAAAAGTGTGAAAAACTTTAAATCATTGTCGTTTTTTGTATTTTCCTCTCATTTCTTTTTTCTAAGAGAAGTTTTGAACAGAAATTGAATGGATAAAAAACCAAACCTATTGTCGTCTGCGAGTATCGAAGTAATCTTTTTGCACGCAAAAAAGGTTTTAACTTGCACGAGCTTCGTTGCAATTCTATCAGCAATGTGTTTCAGGAATAAAAATAATGATATCTCAAATGGCTTTTTAATTTGATCTGCAAAGGTAATATTTCACCGGGTAGGAATATCATAAACAGATCGAAGATGATACAAAGGTGTCTTTACAATGGCGTCTTTGCAAATGAGGCCGGTTGTCGGGACGAGAATTACCCTAAACTCCACACAAAAAAATTGATGTAAGTATAGAAGGCATACTAAAGATTGCATCAAAAAAGTCATTGGTACTTTTTGTACTGCTAAACAACACACTCGTCTGGAACGAATGCTTTTTCATATGATTGACTAGTCAAATGCTGTTCTAGATAGCTATAAGGAAGGAATTTCGATGCTATACATAAGAATTAAATTCACATTTTGTCCTGAGAAACACTGTAAAGCGCTTAAACCACGATACGTCATCAAATATGGCATCGAAGAAGTGATTTTTCTAGACCATTGATACAAATGAGTGAAAGAAGCACAGCTTGAAAACACAAACCAAAGCAACAAATTATCGAGCACTACATAACCAATAGAACTATCTGATTATCTCATAATAAGGAAAATATAGTGCTGGATCATAAACATTTCAAGAAGGTGAGCCTCGTTTTGAGGCTTTATATCCAGACTACCATCTTGTTGTTTATGACGTCAATTGATTGTTATGAAGAGCCTCAGTTTCATCTCGCCGTAGAGTATCAAGTTGATTGTGACGTCACATTGATTAACGCCAATAAAAGGAGCAACAATCAACTGAGCATTCGTCAGTTCAGTGGCTACGGTAACTGCATTGACTCTTTTTAAAGTTGAGTTGAAAATCTCAAACTTTTAGTCGTCGTTCAGAGTGAGATATATTTTTCGAGAGAAGAAACAAACACAGCATGGGTTGCTGTCTTTCAAAGTTCCAGAGGCCTAATGAAGGTTTGTATCGTTTATTGTGATTTAAGTTTATGCTGGCTCAAAGCAAGATATCTTTTATTAATAATTCTTGTCTCAGACAAACATAAACTACATTACAAGCGTGAAACATCAAGTTGTTCCTGTTTAATATTACACTAATCAAGGGATAGAGCTGCTAAAACATGCATTTTATTTACAAAATTATTTTCGTATTATATGCAATGTAAATATAAATTTTTAAATTAGAACTTTCAGTCACATTTAATCAAAAATTTACGTCTTTTTGTTGGTGTTAGTACAGTTATGTCCTCATTTTTAGCCTCACCAACCAAACGAATGTCATCGACGCTTAACAGAATATCCAAAATATTTCGAAGAAGCAAAGGCATTCAAAAAGGTGAGATGGATGAGTATATCATTTGTCACTTATTTTGTTTTTTTCTCGGCTAAAGCGGGTGATTTTATCAAAGTTCCATTCTTATTGTACGAATATGACTAGAATGGAATTATCTTTTTTTAATGTACATCTTTGATACATAGTAAGTTCTTCGATAGACCAATTGAACACTGCTAAATTTACCCTTTTCATTTTAGAACGGTCTTTATCAGTCGACGAGCAGAGAACTCTTGCAAAAGAAAACACATCTCGGGTGAGTCATTCTGTTCTGCATAAAGTAATCTGTGTTTATTTGCTGTTCTCAACTCGGTTTCAACCAATTTTACAAAATCGACCATATTGATTGAACATGAGATATTTTTGTAAAATGGCCGAAACAAGCTAAGTCAGTTCTCCGCTTAGTCAAAGAACAAGACTTTTAATAAACTGTGGAGTTCACAAAAACGTAGAATTCAATGGCAAATGCAAGGAATGGGCAATTATCTGCCTGCAGTTCTCGATGGTTCCGTCGTTACAATAAATTGGTCACTTGCTGAAAAGTAAAGATGAAATAGTATCAAACTTTCTTTTCACACATTTAGCATGCATCTTACGTAAATATCGAATAATAAAAGATATATCTTGTTTCTGCAGGTCATTTTCAGAGCTAGAGACAACAATAAAGGAGAAAAATTGCCACAATCCACAAACTCAAGTGGAAATTTCCATTTCAAAGCCAATCAGCAAATGCATCATGCACATAGCCGGATCAATTCATTGGCAGCAAAAGATCAAACCAGTCACGCATATGGTGCAAAGAGGCACCCTTTACCCTATCTTGTCCCTTGCAGTGGCAACGTCGTAGATCCACAGTCGTATCCAAAGAGCACACCTGACAGCGTGCTCAATGTCATCGAACATTTTCGCCAGAAGATTGAAAAATTTGCAGCCATGGATGACGATCCGCTCGACTCCAACTACCAACAAGATTCAGGATATGAAGATTCAGTGTATAGCGCAGAGTCGTCATGTTTAGCTCAAGACGATACGTGTCACGGAGAGGTGTCCATGTGTTCCGAAGAAGATGAAAGCACAAGCATGTACGAAGACGAAGAAGATCAACAAGAACTGCCAAGCAAGGACAGTTATGCTAAGAACGCAACATTAAATGATCTTCCATTACATCTCAAAGTGTCAATGGAATTTCCTAGATTTCCACAAAACAACGGCCCAGATTATGCCAAATCTAGCTTATTTGATGATAGAGATCTTACACCAGTAGTAGACGTTGGGCCACTTGATCCCAATCCTACAGTCAAAATTCCAATGGTCGTTAACGGGCAAATCTTCCCTCTTGAAGTTGAACGCAACTCTGAATTGGCAGTGGCATACCACTTGATTGAGTATTATGCAGACAAGAAGGCACATATTGCCAAAAGAATTTGTACTATCAGAGCTAGGTTGGGTGCCAAGTTTCTGTTTCCTGTTTTTGTGCATGGAAATGTTGTCAATATTCCTTTGAATGAGAAGGATGACAGTGTGAGTGCATATAAGGAAATATCGGCACTTAAATGCTTCAAAACTGTTTAACTAAGTTAGATTTTAGCATCCAAGTTAACTACAGGTTTGGTTGGCTACGTCTTCCAACCTTCTATCAATACAGGACATCTGTCACTGTGATACAAAACAACATAATGTTTACTTGGTTATAGAATATTTATCTGCGATGTACATTAAGGTTGATGTGAATAAAGAGTGAGAAAAACTTTGAATCATTGTCGTTTTTCGTATTTTTCCTCTCATTCCTTTTTTCAAAACAGAAGTTTTTTAAAACAAGTTGAATGAATGCAAAACCAGACCTATTGTCGTCTGCGAGTAGCGAAGTAATCTTTTGGCACGCAAAAAAGGTTTTAACTTGCACGAGCTTTGTTGCAATTCTATCAGCAATGTGTTTCAGGAATAAAAGTTATGATATCTCAAATGGGTTTTTAATTTGATCTGCAAAGGTAATTTTTCACCGATTAGGAATATCATAAACAGATCGAAGATCATACAAAGGCATCTTTACAATGGCGTCTTTGCAAATGAGGCCAGTTATCGGGACGAGAATTACCCTAAACTCCTCACAAAAAAATTGATGTAAGTATAGAAGGCATACTAAAGATTGCATGAAAAAGTCATTGGTACTTTTTGTACTGCTAAACAACACACTCGTGTGCAATGAATGCTCTTTCATATGATTGACTAGTCAAATGCTGTTCTAGATAGCTATAAGGAAGGAATTTCGATGCTATACATGAGAATTTTTTCCTGTGGGGAACTTGTAATTCCTTAGAATTATTCCTGTGCCCATTCGATTTCCAATTCCCAGTGACACCAAAAAACTCACATTTGATACGACTGTCGTTTATTTTCTTTGTCACAATTATTAACTTCTATTTACTCTCTCCCATTCTGATCTCTAAGCATTCCGTATTTATACATATTTCTTATTTATCGAGAATATTCGAAAACTTAGTCATGCTTACATAAGTTTGTTTTATTCTTATCATGTTGGATCACAATACGTCATAATCAAATGTTCCACAATTTTCTACCGAATTCTTAATTCTCAAAACGAGGCTAAATCACAGTTCCGGATTATATGGGCCTAATCGATACACTCGGATAATAAACTTTATAAAAATCAACGATTAGTACGAATTACATAAAGTCAGTGATTAAAATTTATTAAGGTCAAGGTGAGTTATTCAGCGTTCTAAACAGTCCTGAGAAACACTGTAAAGCGCTTAAACCACGATACGTCATCAAATATGGCATCGAAGAAGTGATTAATTCTAGACCATTGATACAAATGAGTGAAAGAAGCACAGCTTGAAAACCCAAACCAAAGCCACAAAATATCGAGCACTACATAACCAACAGAACTATCTGATTATCTCATAATAAGGAAAATATAGTGCCGGATCATAAACATTTCAAGCAGGCGAGCCTCGTTTTGAGGCTTTATATCCAGACTATCATCTTGTTGTTTATGACGTCAATTGATTGTTATGAAGGGCCTCAGTTTCATCTCGCCGTAGATTAGCAAGTTGATTGTGACGTCACATTGATTAACGCCTATAAAAGGAGCAACAATTAACTGAGCATTCGTCAGTTCAGTGGCTACGGTAACTGCATTGACTCTTTTTAAAGTTGAGTTGATAATCTCAAACTTTTAGTCGTCGTTCAAAGTGAGATATATTCTCCGAGGGAAGAAAGAAACACAGCATGGTTTCCTGTCCTGGAATGTTTCAATGGCCTGAAGGTATGACCATTTGCTTTGTTTAAGTTTTGATTGAATTTTATGTTATAATTTGTTATAGGTATGTCGTCCTCAACAAATTAAACCATATGTAAATACACTGTATTATATAAAGGGAAAACACAGCACTTTTTACTTTATAGTGTGATACGAGGGGCAAGTCGCTGCTTAAAATCACGTACGCTCTCGAGAATAATCACACTTTAATCACAAATTAATCATATTATTAAAAAAATCAAATTAATCGCAAAATATAGCATTAATTACAGAAGTTGATTAAAAAATAAATATATATTAGAGTCTTTGACCACGTCTATCCGCATATGTTATTGAAAAATGCAATATTCAGAATGTCTCTTTCACACTTTTTCAAACATTTCATGAACACATCCGAAAATCTGCAAATCACACGCTTGAGAACATTAACAAAACAACACCAAGATTTTCTAGGTACCCTGCGATGTAGCAAAAATAAAGGCCTTGTTTTGATACCGGGGTCACTGAAACAACCATTGCTGTTTTTGTTGCCAAAGGCCACTGAAGTTGAAAACCACGCCTGATAGCAGTCATTTCTAACTGCATGGGCGGACCCAAACAGCTTCGGCTGTTGTAGCTGCAACTGTTACATTTATGGAAAATGATTTATGTCATATTTTTACATTTTCCTAAAAAAGGCTTGATAATCAAGTTCCATATTTCTGGAACTTGTAATTTTTTCTATCGGTTAAAGATTCATGAATGACAGTTTTATTTTCCAATAGAGATATCACTTGCTATGGGCAGGGAACAGAGCACATGTATTTGCTTTGATGTTTTTCACAAGGTGTTCAACAACTGTTCACTGTTTTTTCATTCCAGGCTATTTGTATCCATGTTGCTAATGTTAATGGTCAGGAAAGATAGCTTTTTTTATGCATAATCAAATTCTTATGACGAAAGTAGCAGCCCAAAAAACAGAAAGTACGTATTTGCCTTTATGTCTTTCACAAGGTGCTCAACAACTGCTCACTGTTGTTCATCCCAGCCTATTTGCTGCCATGTTGCTAATGCTAATGTTCAGGAAAGATAGCTTTTTTGATGCATATTCAAATTCTTATGACGAAAGTAGACGGCCCACACAGCAGAGCACATGCATTTGCCTTGATGTCTTTTACAAGGTGTTCAACAACTTTTCACTGTTTTTCACTTCAGGCTATTGTCCCCCCTGTATCCATGAAGAAGAAAACTTTGGTTTAATATCACATTGATTCAATATTTTGCTTGTGCTGCTCTTCAGAAAAGATAACTCTTGTTTTAGTTGTCAATGTTATCAAACTTGTGCACCTTTTCTTTTCTTTTGCAAATCTTTTCTGGATCCGCCCCTGTGCTGAACTTCTATTTTTTCTTTTTCAATTTCATCAAGTATGTTTCAAAATCTTGCTAAACTGGCATGATAGGTTGGCATTTAATTTATGAAATATTGTTGTTTGATTTAGCTTATGAATTAGTTTACTGTCGTGCGTTCAAACAACGTTTATTGCGCATGAAATTATTTGAGAGCATTTTGGAATCTATGATTAATCACAAATTGATCGAAAATTAATCACTTTAATCAATAAAAATCAAATTAATCACACACAAAATTGATTTAATCACAAATCAATCACTAGTGATTATTAATCTCGTACGCCATTTTTAAGAGTGATTTGCCCCTCGGTGTGATATATGCTTCTGCCTTTTTTGTACTGATTATGAACCAAACACGAAATGTAGATTGCTCGAATAGCTTATAAACTATATTGAATTTTGTTTGTAATTACCATCCTGTAAACATCCTTCTTCAGACTTTTGCTTCTTTCAAATTTGTCTCATGTTTCTTGCTTATTCGATGCTTCTGTTTATCTGGCTTATATCTACTAACTTGTGCCGTACAGTGGCCTTCGTCAACGCTGGCAACTTTGAAATCAATGCTTTGTCGTCATCTCCATTGAATTATGTTCCTAAGTTGTTTAGAAGAATGGAAAAAAGTGCGTAATTTTTCACGGGCATTTGAATATGTTTGGTGTCTTTACCCTTACTCTTTTAACCAATGGGAGCATGTCAACCCAAGATTCTTTTATTATTGTTGGTCCCCTGGTAGCAACATTGTGCCCTAGATAATTATTACTATGATCGAGCCTGCGACATGTCGATTGTTTCATAGCAAACTGTGGATAAATGTCCTTACGCCTGTTTTTCGTCACCCCTTTGCAAAAATGTTTACTAGCAATTTTAAAATATAAATAAAAGTAATTGATCATAGGCCTAGATATAGAGGCAAGCATATTGGTCTTCATGTGTTCTGATTTGAACTCTCGACCAACCAAAGTAAAAAAAGCTCAACTCAAGCATCTTTTTAAGCAAGATGCACCGAAGCAAGTTTTAGAAACACTGTTCGACCTACCCAAAAATTGAGTAATATGTTTGAGGAAGAGCTTAAAACATAAATCAAACCACGAATCTGAAGTAAATATGATGTGGGAACCAAAACTGTTGAATCAAAGGCCGCATAGCTGAGGGTCTCCCAGGGCTTTTCGGGAACAAGGGAACATGGCAACAAATGGTACAGGAACATGGGAACATTATTTCAACCGGAACACGGGAACATTTGTTGTTTCTCTCAAAGAGAATACAGAAACAAGTACCCCCCCCCCCCCTTGGAGACCCTCGTAGCTGAAAACGGTTTTTTCGTGGAAATTGCTGCCATGTTCAACATCGATTCACCCGCCAAACTTTCTAACGCCAATATTCGAATCAAGCTAACGCCAATATTCTCCATTTGGTCTGCTAGTGGTCAGGGTCACAGACTACAGATCCAAGGGTCGTGAAATAGTCACTAGCTCTCTGTAATTCAAGGCGAAGAAATCATGAGATTGGTCAAATCGAGTGTAAGGACCAGGACACGGCTCAATAAACATAGTTTTTTTCACAGTGTAACAGGTCTTAAGTAGTAACAAATACAAATACAATCAATTTGCTGTAAAAGTTTCAGAACTGGTTAGAAAAAAATACCCTATAATACTTCAAAAATTCAAATCTAAGAAAATGAAATTTTGAGCGAGGCGTCAAGAAAAATTAAGAAATTAAGTTTCAGATAGCAATAGGAAAAATTACGAGTGAGGCACAGAACCTTAAATTAGAAACAGCCGAACAGAAACAGCAAAATAAGGCAACTGATCATCCAATGTACCAAATGATCCAAACTTTACAGACACAAAGATGCGAGGGCAAAGTTCAAATCATATAGGACAGGACAATATATATGAGAGAAATCTAAAGAAATGTATCTCAAAAAACACGATAGGTTCGATAACAATGTTTCAAAACAAAAAGTCATTTTTAACTAAAAGAAGCTTGTTAGTTATTTGACGGGATAAGACTTCTTTACTTCATTTACCCAGGACAGAGTTGACAATTTACAATTGCACCACGTCTCTTAAATTTTGTAGCTAGTAAATATTGGGGTTCGCATCTGACTCAGGGAGCACAATGTTTTGAGCATACCTTGACGGCTCGCATATTAATGAACTATTTACAGCAGCACCATAAGCGTCCCAGCGTTATTCGTACAAAGCGACAGGTCACAGTCACATTATGTGAGCTAGAGTAGTGCCAACACTAAACCCAACATAGGCGTAGACTTGAATTTTTTTCAGGGGGGGCTCAACAAATTTATGACAATTCCTAATGGCAGCTGCTGATGTCACAGGATAGAAAGTGGATTAGCTAAGGGCTTAAAGGTGATTTTTCCTTGCATTTTTCATTAACGCAATTATCTAATGCAACAAATCTTATGCGTCAAACCAATAATATAACAAAATAAGCTAAAAATTGGTAAAGCACTTCCATATTTTCCAGGGGGGGCTCAGCCCCCCTTGGTTTTCGTCAGGAGAGGCTGAAGCCCCAGAGCCCCCCTGAGTTTACGCCTATGAAACCCAACATGTCCAGATCCAGGATATCAGTCAAGGGCTGATTCAGTTATCTATGCAAACATATTAGAGCGACTCTGTAGAAATGTTTCTCCAATATAAAATTATGTATGTGTCAATAGGGAATTCTCAAGGCAACTTTATGTCGCTTTCTAGCATACGAGAGAGGCATTCTTTGAACAGGAGTACATCTGGTACATTATAACAATTACATCTCTGTTGTCCTAGCTGACGCCCACGCTGTATACAACGTTATCATGCAGCACATAGTAAACAAATCAGAAAGATTCAGGAGAAAACAGCACACATGTCTAAACCCTTAATTGCAAATATTTACCAAAACAGAGGTTTACACAATTGCACAAATGATACTTCAACAAAGATCTGTTGCATCAAATTTGTTCTAAATCTCTAATACCCTGTCGTACAGAAAACACAAGTCTCAGCAAAATGGGTGCGCCGCTACCGAATACCTTAGACTAAAGAAAACTGGTTGCCTATAACAAAATCATCAGTACAAATTTCGAGAAAGAATCAGGAGGCAGACATGTGCAATGGAACAAATCAACAGTGATAGTGAAACCAGGAAAATTGGCCTACCAAAAGTATACATGAAAGAACGAGACTGCACTGCAACAGACCCTTGTTTGTGGTCTTGTTTATTTTATAACAACAGCAATTTTTGCCTAGATTTCTGATAACCTTACAAGATAAACTTAAATTAAGACATACCTGTTGGGTATTATTTACAAATTTACTTTCTCTAAAACAATCTGATTACACTGTCAACAACTAGGCACAAAAATAAGTGTCATCGATTTGACATAAATAGAAACTACATGATAACTTTTATTACGTAAACAACAGACTTCAGCATGGCACACTTTCATATCAAAGTTTACCTTGCATCTGAATTTGACAGCTCCAAATTTCAAAATTTTGCTCAAATTTTCAAAATTCCTACAAACGTTTTAACAAGGCAACACTGCAAAAGGGCTATTGGCATGTAATCCCAACCCTGAGGACTGGTATCTTCTATCCACGAGTTTATAAACATGGGGAGGTACCAAATTCCAGATTAACGGTGAATATGCATCCTAACGTTCAATTATCGGCCCCATGAAGCAGTTCAACTCTTAAACTTATCTCATAACTATCTCCATCTTCATAGCTTAACTATTGCGCACCATGGTTAAGAATAAACACAGAAAAAACTACCCTACGTTGATAGCCTTAACTTCATCCAAAACAAAGTATTTAGCAAAAATTAGAACTAGCTGCCCTAAACATGTAAGACTATTCAGTAGTAGTTACTAACGGTTTCAACTGCATGCATACAAAAATACCAAGTGACAGACAATTTCAAAGCTTTATCCCATGCTAAATTATCTATTTGTCCCATTAAGCCTCCCAAAGCAACGGTTTGAAGATAGTAACTCTTTCTTCGGTAAAGAATAAATTACCCTCTAAAAATATATACAATGTTATCGCAAAATTATTTATTACAACAGGGGTAAATAAACGTTTGACATAGCGGATGTCGTAACAATTACGCATTGGCCACTAGGGCCGGGGGATTAATACGCTTGTGTTCGTCGGGTTTTTTGGGGACGTGTGTCTTCATGTGTGCCGAACGACTTTTGACTTTACTGAACACCCTGCAAAATAACGAATGAGGTTACAGATACAGAAGTCCTAAAGCAAGTATACATAATAAACGATCCATTTTGGTGCCACTGGGTATTAAAATGTCTATTAAGCTTGCAAATTCTTAATAGCCCAGGACACTAGGCTCAAAAGGGAATTGAGCAACAGAAATGTTTATACAATTTCCAAAGAACCTAAAAAAATTGCCGAAGAGACTCAACGAATATGTAACCGCAATGATTTGCCAGCAGTAACGGTCCTTTGAAATAAACTGAAACTGCGTGACCGTTCATGCTATTTCTAATTTCGATAAAAATCACAATTGAGGGAAGGTTAGCTTTCCAGATTTTTCTATTTGTTAATCCAAAATTTGAATAACAAGTATCAGGACAAATTTAACTTGGAAATGTCGGAGGGATAGTTACTTCAAACACTTCAAATTATACATGATCATTGCATGTTGGCAAACCAAAAAAAATTGAACAAAACTTCCAAGTCACCTTCCACAAACTTTACACGCAAACTGCAGAGGCACTCCATCTGACGGCGCGCCAGTACTTTGCTGCGACGCGGGTGATGGAGACGGTTTTCGTTTCTGCGGAGTAACTGATGAATTTCGGTGCAATGAAGGAGTGATAATAACCGGGGGTTTTGTTTTTGTGCGTCTTACTTCGAGAGGTTTTCCAAAGCTAAGGAGAGAAAAAGGCAGAAAATGATGAAGAGTCGGACTAAAATAGCTTTTAATAGAGTCGGCGAACAAATTGTTTACATCAAAACACAAGACCACTTATTTTTACTTCTGCACAATGGACAAATCTTTCCAACATATTGATAAAACTTTTCTTGAGAAGAATCCTTGGATTCTGGTCTAAACATTCATATTCAGCTGAATAAAAATGAAGTCAAGTAACAACTCATCGTCCCCCCCTTCAAAGAAAATTTTAAAAATCTTTTCTTTTCGATATGAACATGCATTGAGTTTAAATGTTCTCAAAATATAAAATCCAGCTTAACTTTCCAAACTAATCGATCAGAGTAGGCTTTCAAGGGAATCTTTGATAAAACAGAATATAACGATAGTAGCAAAATTGAAATCTTAATCACATGACGCACCTTCCTCCGTGGACTCGAATGTGGCCGTTTAACGCCTGCCTTGAAGGAAATCGAGCGTTGCATTGTGGGTAATCACACTGAAAACTAGCTTCGGTTAGGCCTGTCAGTTGCGAGGTTTCGAAAACGGATGGTGTTGAGGTTTCTTCCTCATCCTAAAACGAACAACACGACGAATTAAACGACTTTCAGTTACGCTTCTTCTGTTTACAATACTTGCTTTAAACAAAAAAAACCTATATAGCATAAGGCAATGCTAGTTGTTAGTCACTTGACATGGCAAACCGAATTAAGCCTTACTAATATTCCAGTACAGCTGATACATATCTATGTTGCAGACTCGATACGGCTAGAATATTTTAACGATTCTGCTAGCAATGAAACAAGAAAAAGAAAGCATTTAGGCTGAAAGCAATCAAAGTAGGAAAAGCAAGTGAGAAAACGGCAATCTTATCATCAATGTCTGATTATCAGAACTCTGATGACCTTACAGAGCATAACGTAGAGCACTACTTGGAACGAAAACAACATTGATTTAATTTATCGAGACACGAAAAAGTAGTCATCGTTGTTAATGGTCAATTACTACGCAGACCAAAATTGCAGTTTCTCTACGATAAAACTCAAAGCAATCACCTGTTCAGATTCAACTTCAACATATCTTGTTCTCGCCCTGAAGCCTTCACGATTAGTTGCCTTCCATAGATAATAGAATTCGACACATTGTTTGACGCTTTTTGTGCCAATCTGATAAAAATAAGGGGGGAGCATTTCGCAAGAATCTTTCAACAGATGAATGGTAAGTAACTACGATGAGACGAGGATAAGCAAAGCTGGTCGGTAAATCAAACAAACGTTTTCAATTTGCGAGTCCGACTTCGGTTGATAAATCCAACAAAATTTGTTCGGCTGCAGCAGTACATTCAACACAGAAGTTAATGTAGAGATGCACAGAAAAATTAAATTGACTTGTCATGCTTGAAAATTAGATGTCTCTGAATTTTCCTAACTAATAAATGATGCAAATGAAAGTAAGGGCAAATATCGAAATAAACATGGACAACTTGCATAATATTCTAATTTGCAACATTTTTCATAGAGGTTACCCATAAAAAAATAGGTGGTCGACACATCCTTCATTGTTATTCTAGAAACCATCTTAGTTAACAAAACAGTACGAGCAAATCAAAAAACATACGACTAATATACCTCTTTTTGTATCAGGTTGAAGTTTTTTCCTTTGGTTCTGTATGCTTCGCGGAATTTTAATCTCTCTTTGGCGAACCATCTAGTTGAGCCTGCAGAGAAAAAAATATTTCAGTTTTAATGAGATTGACGGGTATTTGATGACTTATTTGTCGGATGGATACCCCATTTACTGAAGGGTATTGGTTCGAAATGCGAAAAAGTGGCCAATGGGGAAGGAAGGTAAGAAAGATTTTGCCAGACAATATAAATAACGATGAGAGCATGGAGAAAAAAGACAGAAACGAAAAGTTATTGAGAGGTTCAATAAAAAGGGAACAATGAAACTCGGCTCTGCAGCATGAATATCAAAGGAAACCCTTTTGATGCATTTCTTTTTAGTAAATCTTTTAAAGAACTTTCAATCACACAAGAGCTGCAGAAAACTTTCAAATAAATTACTTTCTTGCAGATATTGTGTGACTAAATATAAGAATTTATCAGATTAAAGATAAAAGAGCTTGCTAGCATAGCCTTCTTTTGGCGAGACAGAGGGTGAAAATTTTGAAAAAGCCATCCAGGTTTTTACAGAATCCAAAATTGTATCTTGAAAAAACATTACTCTGGCAAATTAATTAAACCAACCGGTGTAATGATAGTCCGCATTCGGATCATCTGCTCGTAATATGTGTCGTCGAGATAATAACAGCCGCACAGCCTCCTAAAAGGTAGAAAATTCATGTTTTTAGATGTCCTGCGGTTTGAGTTGGAAATGGTTTTTTAAAATCAACGGTTTTAGTTTTTGCGAGAAAACAACACATAATAATTTAAGTTCTTAACAGCCATTCGGTAAACATGTGATCAGAAGGAGACGTGAATAGCCAGCCTTACCTTAATGCTCCCTCGCGTCCGATGAAGAATATGCGCAGCGTATTCTTTGTTTGAAGAACCACCAAATAACGCCGTTGAACAGGCCATATCGAGATAGTTTTCAACTGCAAGAAAAATTATACTTGTCAAAGCTTGCCAAAGTTTCAGACCATTATATAATTAGGCCAAGGATATTTAGCTTCACTGACAAACAACTTAAAAACATGGCGATGGTTTTGCTCAGTGATGGTGATTAAGGACCTAAACGATTTAATGACATTTCTTCGTTTCAATCTATTGTTCCGCAACTTCAATTTTTGAATTTTGTTGCAAAACAGATGTATTACGAATAAAAAAGGCATTAAAATATACATTAAAGTTTCATGCTGAATGTCCCTTTGTCTTTTCATTATTTGTAAATTTGGATTAAAATGTATTGCCAGTCATAGCTAAAGGATTCATAACTGCATTAGTATTGTGGCAGCAGTAGCAGCAACACAAAAACATTTTGAAGACTTAAATAAATTTATACCTTCTTTCTTTTTATTTTTGTCCTCCTTCAACGGAGCCCACATCAGCGTGGCTCTATGCTCGTCTTTTTGAGCGTTTTCTCTTGGCTCTAAAAATCATAACAGAAAGTGCATTGACTAGAGATATCTAACGAAGTAGCTGATAAATGAAATGGTAGGGCACAATAAATGGAAACAATGGGAATACTGATAAGAATACAAGCAGCTACATTTAAAGGCAAGCAATTTAGTCGATGAGGCAAGAGTCTAGATTTAATCAAATCGGTGAACAAAGTTTCTCGTTAATAATGTCAAATAACAAATAGGCTATAATTGTTAATTTTCAATTTCTTCAACAGATACGCTTCAAAAGGATAAAACAAAACATATGAGGAAAGTGGTGAAGGGGAAGCTGTTTAAAAAAAAGTTCATTCGTTTTCCAATCTGCTTTTCTACAAAATGAATGTTAAAGTCTTTATGCAAGTTTTATGTAAATGGCATTATTATGGAGGCCTAAATTTAACATTCTGGGAGGAGGGACCCTGGAAAGTCATTCTGTTCATACGAAGAAGAAAACTTGAAATTAACAAGATTAAGTAAAATCCACAGTAGCCGATATTTCAGAAAGAAACACCTGTCTTTCAGACATTTTACATCAATCGTATTAAACATTGGGAATAATGGATTTGGCATCAAAAGCAATGCTTTGTTGCTTCCAAGAATTAGACTACAAACATAATTGCCTTGAGTTATTACACAGTCTTCACAGGCCTTAAGTTATCGAGACAAAACACAACAAATGTCGGTTTAGATGATGTAGTCTTGATCTACTTTTTTTGACAATTGGAAATACTATCATGACATCAGATGTCACTAGATGTCATGAGATAATTGAAGGTATGATATCAAATCAATTCAATTGAACTGCATGAGATGATTAAAACTTCATAGCAAGCGACGTACTCTCGTTGTAGCTATCAAGAAAGCCAATATGGGATGCATGCACACCTTTATGGTGATTGAAAGTGAAAATTTGGTTTTCTATTAATTCATGTAAGTTACATTCAGGCGGTCACAAATATGAAATAAATTTCCTTATTATGATAAGCTTGACAGAAGACACTCGAGCACATCACAGCATACCAGTGAATAGTAATTCTGCATTAGTCAATGAACTTATGAAATCAAGCCATAGGTGACTTCAATAACGCATTTACCCTTTATTACAACAATTATACCCAACTTCTCCAATCAATGAAACAAACGCACAATATGAACATAGGAATTTTAAAATATGTAAACTAACTCACCAATTGTTTTTGGAACATCTGCTTGAAATTGTGGTCCAACATTAATTTTTCTAGAACAATAAAAAATTATTATGGCAAAAAGTATTGATCCTTTTTTAAAAAATAACAAGCATTTTATTCTTACAATCAAAAGAGAACAATCTTCAATAATGAAAATTCTAACAGTAAATGAAACTGACAATCCCCTCTCCAAGTTTTCGCTCGATGACATATCCCTTTATGCTTCAGTAAAACTTTAACGATATAGTGCAACTTTGTCATTTGGCAAAGACTTTCAATACGGCATACCACAGTATCAACGACACCAAATAATTAGATTGTGCAGCTATGGTAGAGAATAGCAGAATGGCAATATCTCGATAGACAAATAGACTTACGGCTCCAATATAGGCATTGTTTCATCAGTGACATCTTCCTTGACTCCATCTGCGGTGCTAAGCCGCCTGCTACTCAACAGTAGCCGCCCTGGGGTGAGTGGGGCAGCTGATCTCGGGGTTGCACAGGTCGTACCAGTGAAGAAAATACTTCTGGGCGAAAGCATTGGAGGTGGGGTATATATGGGGGCATTGTGGTACTCCATTCGCACCGGAGAAACTGCTCTTGTTGTGCTGCCCGTGAATGTCACTGAGTGGGTCACTTTGTTATTAACTGATGCTGGGATTATGATTGGGCCTGGATGAGGCTTTTGCTTTCGTCTTGGTGACACAGCAGGCGAGCCTTTAGAAGTGTTTGACGTCACATTTACCGCTAGTACAGAGATTTTGTTGGGACTTGTGCCTCCCTCCTGACTCGTGCTCTCCTCGTTCACTGCAATGTGTAACTCATCAATACCGCTTGCTTTAGAATGCTCGAAAAATGGACCGGGTTTGACATCGACCTCGCTGCTCTTGTAACGATTCTTTCCATGATCGAGATTCGTCTTCGAGTTCTTCTGAGTAGCGTCGCATTCGTTTGTCACGTGCTCTTCTTTTATAACCTGTAGAAGTCGAAAACAAATTCATGTTTTGTGCAAAAGAAAAAAGCTAAAGGTTAACAATGTTTTCTATCAATAGATTAAAGACATAATTATATCACAGATCGCAATTCTTGAAAGTATAATTGAAAAAATTTGCGTTCTGCTAACGATGGACACTACTTGAATTCATTTTACTTCAAGCTAAAAAAAATGGAGCTACGAAACAGGCGACTTAACACTCCTAAAGGAATTCAAAGAAAAAAACTTACATCTTGCCACTGTGCAGCCCCCGGCTGTGCCCCGTATAGCCTTACATCCTGACCTGGAGCGCAAAACATTGACCCAGCTTTTGCAGCGGCTATTGCAATAGCAGCCGGGTTGGTTGGTTTGTTCTGTGCTGATTGGTTATCAGAAAAACATCCCATCTGGCCTTGCTGTAGCATAACGTCTGTTGGAATAGGGGTTCTCTGTGCTGCCATACTGGCAAACATCTGCAAGGCATTCTGGGCAAAAGCATTTTGTGACGTAGCTAACAACTCCTGTTTTGATTTCTTATTAACTGGCTCCATTTGCGCATTCGGATCATTCGGCCCACCTGGATAATAGCCTGTCTGGTATAACTGCTGAAAGGCCTGCCTGTACCCAACTACAAATGGCATATTTGCGCGCTGCTGGGCCATTCCCATGCTAGCGACCAACTGTGCATTGTTCCACTGCGCCTGGGCAGCGTTCCACGGCCCTTGGAAGTTTGGGCGAGCAAAACGGTTGCCTGCCCATTGTTGGAGTGCAGGATTCCGCAGATTTGTCAAATTTGGGTCGTGGGTAGCCTGCCCTTGCACGTGGTTACCAGATATATTCGACATGTCATTGGCAGGTGGTAAAGACTCTTTAGCTGAAGTATCGAATTCGTTGCTTTTTGAATATGATTCTTTAAAAACGTCATCTTCGAGCTCCTTTTTTATATCAACCCCAGAAACCTTTTCGGTCACAGCTTCCCGATCCGTCTGTGTGCTTGGAATATCTTCACAACTGTTACTTCTGATTCTAGCACGAGTCCTGACCTCCGGAGTGGCGCTTGGTGCACTTGAAGGTCTCTCGGGTGGTGCAATACCTTTCATGTTGTTGTTGCGATCTTCCACTAAGTTTGAAGATGTTGCGATGGAAACCAATTGTGATGAATTACTTGGGGTGTGATGTGAGCTAGATGACGACACAGGTACACCGTGATGATTTTCAAGATGGCGCTTCAGAGATCGCATGTCTGAGTAACTTTTGTCACAGTCAGAGAAATGGCACTCGTAAGGTTTCTTGTCTCGATGAGTTATCATATGACCATTTCTGCAAAAGATCGTCTTTGAATTATATACTTTGTTTACGCATAAATCATCATTTGGCATTAGAAAAGCAATTAATATGAAACTACTGAATGAAAAAGCCAAACAGTACCCATCGCAAATTTGCCTCGTACCTTAAGGCTAACTGCTAACTTCAACACCTACGAAAAAAACTTCTTAACGTTGTGTGTGACTTCAGACTTAAGGTTTTGGAGTTACAATTAGCCACAAAAGACTAAATCTTAGAATAAAAGAGTCTATTGGCAGAGTTACATCATATATAAAAGGTTAACAAGTTACATGGCCCCAATGTTTTAAAGCCCATCATAATATTCAGGACAATAATAGCTAGTTAGTATGTGTTTTAGTGATCAATACCATAGAGAAGCTGGTGAGTAACGTGTGTGTCGGATAGAAGGGTTCAAAAGTTTTTTCCGACTAATCACACCAGGCTTAGCTGAGAAAGGGGATCTGACGTTTTATGCTCTGAAGAGCGTCAGGCGAAATAGCTTTTAGCCAATATGTTGTAAAATGTTTGCTTTTTCAAAGCCATTTTAAATTCTGTACCGCCAAAAAACTTTTAATATTTTTCAAGCAGAGGAATTGGGTGAGAAAATTTAACGTCTTGTTAAAAATACAGTGGCTAGATAGAATGGTCTTATGGAGATCGATGACTCTCAAGATAAATTCAAAATCTGTTACAGACAGCATAGCTTAGAATGGTGAGATCTTGCGAAAAAATTATGCCAATGCACCTGTTCACATGCAAGATTAGCTACAGAAAATCGGCTTAGAGGTCTTATCATACTAGGTATGATGGTTTCAACTCAAGTTTGATGAAAGTCTGAGTCTCCTGTTTACTAGAAGAGGACAGTTGAAGAGATACGATGGCTGTGTGAGATAAAGGGTATTATTTTCAATCATATTTGTGCTTAAAGAAGGCGTGGTTGCATTTAGCACTAGCTACGACGGGTATACAGTTTCAAATTGAAGAGTCTTTTTTTGAGAATTTTCAATTTTGATCACATACCCTAAAAAGAGCATTTTAAAATATGCAAATGTGCAAGCAAAAACGTTTAAATTTGCTTCAACTTGCCTGATGTATGGCCAAATGGGCAAGGGTTCTTTCCCAACCAAATCATGCTAATTTGGTATAAAATTTATGAACCAACCGCCAAAAACAGTAACCCGTTAGCAAACTTGAAATCATTAATTTACCATATCACACCCAATTTTTGAACATATTTAACTAATTTTGCATTAACAGTGGTAATTCGTGCCGCTTTTCTATGCTATATGGTCAAAATTAAAATGCTTTTTAATAACGTCACACTTTGGCATTCTATCGACGAAATTGTAACAGATTTGTGCATAGCTGAGAGTGGTGCATGGCTGTGGGCCGTGCATCAGTAGGAACGTAACTTTTTCCCGTAACTCTAAGGGGTTATCTTTTAAGAACAGCGGTACATCGGTCGATGTGGAATAAAAAATATAAACTATTGCCCTGAAACTTGGGTTCCTGGAACTGCATAAAAAAGGCGGCAAGACATGAAACATGACGCAAGATGTTACTTGGTGGCAGTTATTGTATAGCTCAATTCACCTTTGGGTGATAGGACTTTAATGGTATTTTGGGCAAGTAGGTATAGCATGGTGGTATGGGGGCTACTTTTCACGCCATGATATTGTATATTAGGGAATCTATCTGAAGAATAATTTTTCTACAAAAACAAACAAAAAATGCAACCTCACATCTCGCCCTACGTGACTGAGGCACAATAAACAGTTATTAACTTTTGTTATTATGATCAAATTGAATACAATGTTTTAACAGTAATTTCTAGCGGATGGAGGCATTTTCGGGAGTGCCATGAGCTTGGAGTGAATGCTGATGCGCTCAGTGCTTGGCATTGCTATGTGGTTGCAAATGCCAACCCCCATTCGCAAATACCAACCCCCAGAAGTCCCACCTTACCCCCCTTTCTGTCTTAAACTACTCTAAACGTAAACGAGGACTATTAATATGTCGAATTTTGTTTCCAAATAATTAAAAAAGGATGACGAAATATAACTGAGCCTGTAAAATATTTATGATACGGAGAGTAGTGAGAAGAGTAGTAAAAAGTTGTCTCGAGAACCATGTAATTTCAAAATGAGGAAAGAGCGTGAACGCCGATTGTCAAGGAAGGAAGAGTACGGCTGCATACTTTTGATAGAGGAGTGATGACCTCAATGAACAGATGGAAGACTTTTCAAACTGCAATCTTTCAAGCAAATTTAAGATGTCGACTTACAAATGATCCTGACGCTTGAATCCTTTAGAGCATATTTGGCAGACGTAGCGTCGCTCATCACTGTGTATCAGCTTGTGTTTTGCTAAGGCACTAGAGCTGCTAAATCCTTTTCCACATTGACCACATTGATTGCTACCTTCGCCTCTTGATTTTGCTTTTTGCTTCGTCCCCATTCGCGCATTCTCATCCGCCTTCGGGCTCGGCGTTCCCAGATCTGCATATGGGCTGCTGCCCGCCGGACTTGCGCCTCCTACATCTTCGGAACTAGGTGTCCCTTGGCCAATAGTCAAAGGCATGTGACTCTGAGGTACGAAATTTGGGCCTAAGATGGAGAAAATAACAAGATTAGAAACAGAGCATTCAAGACGAGCCGGTGCAGTCACGCATTGCGAGTGACCAACAAATCTTTGTTTTCTGTGGTTTCTATGAGAATAGCGAGATTATTCCTCCGGGGATATTGCTGAATAGCAGTTCCCAAACAGGTGACGAAGAATTAGCCAAAGACAGCGAGGTATTGAAATAATCAATTAAAGCACGTGTTTTCTACCTGTGCAACACTTTGGAACGAAGCACTAACATCTGAGCGGCGGCATGCTGAACTGGCGCATGAGCGCATGACCTAATTAAGACGTCACAAAGGTTATCCCTTCCATTTTGCAAATCCATCTACATGTTTTTATTTAAAAGTCAATCATGTCAACCAAGCTGGTACAAGAGCTATTAGAGCAGATTCAGTAAAAGTTACATTTATTTTTGTACATGATTTATATTGTGCTGGAAGTTAACTTTTAGGTGATTATTTTATCTTGGCAATAGTGACTAAGTAGAGCTAGGAATGACTTGCAGAAAAAAGGTCTGAAAAAAGAATACAGACAGCTTTTTAAAAATCCCTGATACGTACACATTTGACTTGCCTATCTCCAAAAATCAAGGTATTGGAGACACTTTAAAGTAGGAGGGACACAAGTAGGCAGAGGGAAGGTTATCTCAATAAAAGGCCACCTTTCTAAATTTTTAGAGACTGTACCTCTAAGTTAAAAGGCATTTTCAAAAATTTAGGGGGGGGGTCATATTTTCGTTGGGCCATAAACGCCATTGCTCCGACGCGCTGGCCAATATCCCTTCATTTTTGTATCATGTATTCCATATTGCCTTGGCTGAATGCCCAGTCTCGTGCTTTATCCCAACAGTATCCCCACCACTCCAAACATTTTCAAGGGTATTTCATGCCCGGACCAACATGGATAGGCTTCCTGGTTCACACCTAATCAGTCAATCTGATTAAAGATCAACTGGGTGACCTGCAGGATTGTGAAGTCGTTATAGCGTCATAATGCAAATTACCATGGGTGCCAGAGTCTCATATAATACTCTATCCCCGGTTTCTCGAGACTATGGTACCCAGGGTGAATGCGAATATATCTTGGGGCCAATGGTAATATAGATATTATCTTGCTATGACACAATTTTCAAATTCAGTTTTCAAAATGTTTACCTTTTGTTCAACGCTGAAATATATCCACAGATTCTGCTATCAAAAAATAATCATGAAAATTTATCAGGAGCAGGATCAGGAAAATCTAATTACCCTTGAGAGGCTAAAGCGGGGTGAGGCAGCTATACGGTCCCCCATTCATGGATAGTTTCAAAATTTAAAGTCAAGGTTTACTTTTTAATGTTCAAATGGTTAACAATCGCACTGACGAAAAATCGATCTGGTTACCAAGCAATTATTTAACGACTATTCTAGACTTTTTTGTTAGTATATTAAATTTTTCAAAAGGATTTCATTATTTTTTTGAATATGTAATCATCATGTGAAGTCTTTTTGGTGAAGCTTCCCATACCCAGGAATAATCGTTGAACGCAATAAAACACTGCACAATGTTGCATTTGTTTGGCGAGCTGTTCGACATGGATCACGAGCAAGGCTACGGTAGTGAACAAGCGTTGCACGATTCATTGCATGTCCACATAAGCGGGCGAAATTCTAGAGCGCACCTGAGGAGCAAGGCCTATTCATCTGAGAAGCTTACGTAAATTTTGTTCTTTTGCTGAATCCACACTGTCTGGAAGCTTGGGGATCAAAGCAAATCTCTTTCTTTCTTGACCGTTGATAAAGTTCCACGTCAGTCAATGGAGCCTAACATTTAAGCTAAGGTCAGGATCAACTTGTAAACGAGAGAACTCGCTGCACACGAAAGGCAATTTAACCAAATAAAAATATAATCTATAATAAATGTTTCTGATGCGTTTTGCTTTATATGTCAGAAAAATATTCTAAAAAGAAAGCAAATAAAATGTTTTGCCTGACATCATTATACAAAAACAGATATAAAAATAAAAATAATTTTCAAATCATCTATGTATAACCACAACAGGGGAGAAGGACACCCGGAAATTCACAGGGACTGCAAGGGTAAACTACGAATTTATTACAAGCTCAATCTGTACTTACAATAAAAGACAATTACTTTCAATTGGCAACGAAAAGTTTTAAAAAGCGTACACGATGGTAAGTATATAACCCCTTTGTATCAAAGATCCCTAAAAATCTTTTGATCTCTAGCTGATCTGGGCCCTGTTCGGAGCTGAGGGCACCCTATCCTTGCCGGATGCAGAAATGTGCAAAAATTCCTTCTCTCTTAAGCAGTATTGAAAACTGATAGCCTATCACAAATTAGCTAAGGTTACGCACAAGTAAGGACTTGTATAGCCAAAGATTTTGTCGCCGAGGAATACATGGCAAATAATTTTGTTTTTCAATGGGTCATTCAACAGCACCCAGGGCAACAGGTTTCAAAGTGAGAAATACATGCTAAGTCACTAGTTCCTATTCAGCATTCATCTTTTGTTTTCTATGCACGCGAAACCTGCCCGTTTGAGCAACTTCAGAGGTCATTTGCAGCGGGCAAAGAATAGGGCGAACATCTACTTTTGTCCAACAAAAGAGGCAAATGCAGGTAGCCATATCGGCACGCGCAATGCTTTGTAATGCAAATGATGCTCTGCAAGTAATAATGCAATGATAGTTTGGGAATATGACATAATTGCTCGCTAATTACAAGCTTTAATTTCGTTGTCATGATAGAACAGATAATTTGAAAGCTTTAATAACAACAGCTCAGAGCAAAATCTTTCCAACAGCCTAGAAAAAGCAACCACCCGCATTACAAACCCAGAGGTTTAGTTGTGGTCGAGCCTGTTTCACGCATAAATACGTTTCTCAAATGGATTAACTTGCATTTATGACTCATTCATGGGTGCATTGATGGGATTCATGTAAAAAACTGAATAGGGCTAAGCATAACATGCGATAAATTTCTCAAATTTTTAATGAAAGCTGCACTTTTCCAAACTTATATAAGGGAATATACACTATTAAGGTGACTTTTAAATCAAAATATGGTGCCATACTTATTCAATAGCTTAGAATAAAAAGCTACAATCTTGGTCAGATTAGTTGAGAATATATAGTCCATTACCTACCCCCTACCCATTCAAAGTTGAAGGGTATATATCTGAGTAGCAAAAACATCAATTTTAAATAGGGGAAGGATAGTGCAACATTTCAATAATATCTGTCCACGATCCATGTTGTGCATAAGGTACTTGCCATCCCTTGGCACTGGCACCTAAACTATATACAGTATTGAATGAGTAACAAACAAACAACTAAGCATTAACTTTTTAAAAGTGGCAGCTGGTAAAAACCAAAGAAAAAATAATAAAAATGGAGGATACAAAGCATGATCAGTTACTTAGTATATATATTTATTTTGATGCATTAGCTACATCAGTGCTCAGGAAATTGCAGGTACAAAAAATTTGTCATGTGTTTTTTAAAAACCACAAGGGCCTAGTAACTGGTCTGACGGTTATAAAGAATAGCTGCCTGTATGCTAAACTCAAGCATGGGAAAACATTGAAAGAAAAGCCTGCTTCAATGAGAATGTCCTAAAATATTCATAAAATATGCTTTGCAAAGTAATGTAAGTTTACATTTGATAATAGGAAAGAAAGCCACTTTTTGAATGAAACTGCAGGCGAGAACAGTGCCTGGAAACGATAGATGTTTTGGCATCATTTGGTACCTGGTACTCTTCAAATCACTTATCTTATCTCAAAAAATACAATTTATAACCCAGGCAAAAATTGAACAAGAGCAACAAATAATCACTGGCATTGGTTTGTAACTGGCGGAACTAAGCTAGCAATTTCAATTTTTAAAATATTGTACCACCCACTCTGAGATTTATCCTGACAGGCTATTTTCTGTGCAGAAACCAATCAGAAGAACTTTTTAATTAATTTACTGCCAAAATTTTGAGCTAATTTGTCTCCTAAGCTTATGATAAATACATTAAATTTCCTTTGGTATTGCAAACTCCCAAGTTATCAACAGCAATGGAAAATCAGTTTGGTGCAAACATTTTAATTGTGAAGTCTAGAGAGCAAACTTGGGCCTACAATCATGATTGGTGTAAAATAGCTAAGACTAAATGATAATTTTACAATCTGAGAATACAGGCCAGCTTATAAACAAAAATATTTAAACAGGAGTTCTTTGTGATGTTCACAGCAAACATCAAATCATAAAAAATTTCCCATCTGTTCCTTGAGCCAACAGCTTGAATATATGAATGGAAAATTGTAATTCAGTTCTCCATAATAAAAATTATGGAGAATGAAGTTAAGTATTTTGCAAAATTTGCATATGGGCTGATTGGATATGAGGTGATGAGATATCTAGATAACGAGAACAAAATTGTGTATTTTTGCAATTCAAATTGGGTTGAAGGAAAAAAACTGGCAAGGGAATGTCAAATCGATTTTAAACCTATGAAAACAACATTTTGCAATTCTAAAGAAAGTTTCAAAACTGACATTAGACCAAGCAGGTCTCTTAAATGTTGAAAGCAGAAACATGACCAGGACTTTGTTGAAATGCAGCTTTTATTCAAATAAAGTAGAAAAGCTGAAAGGTCAAAGGGTTCTCTAGTTTGAAGGTAATGTTTATGTTATTTTAAGATGCTACGTCATGCTTATCTAATTAGGTACATTCATGAGATGCTCCATATCAATCCAAATTAGGAAATTCATGTGTACATAAAATATTAATTTCATCAACATAATCAATTTTAGGAACATTCATATCAAAACATGGTAGAAATAAAGTATATGTTTAAGGTTTAGCAAACACCACGCCACGTGCAATTCTTTGTTATTCAAATAAAGATATTTTGATTATGGTTTTAACAGTACCCAAACAATCCAAAACAATTGCTTGTGCAAAAAGAGAGTATTTTTTCTCTCCCAGACAAGAGACCTTCCACAATCTTACTGAAGACATTTTATATAAACAAACCTTCAATGTATTAAACACGAAGAAAACATTTAGCAAAAAATTTTCTCTCACTTACCTAATGCTATTGGTCTCGAGTGGCCATGCAGACCTTTCTTCAACGCCGGGTCATTGTTGACGTCTGGAACATTTTGAGAATTTGTCTCCCCTGGCGAAGGATGTTCACCCCTTGAAGCAGACAAAGGAAAAACTCTATTATGTTCAAACAAACGTGGATCCATGCCAAACGGAAATCCTGCCGCCTGACGCATAAACTCTGAATTGAATCGCAAACTGTTTTGTTGGTGTATGTTCATGTTCTGAAAATTTTGAACTTGTGACGAAGGGGGCATCCGAACCATACCGGCATAAATAGCGGCGTTTTGTGCAGCCAGGTCTGGCCTTGCAACGGGCTGCATACTATTCGATTCAGCTATTCTCAACAGTTTCTCTTCCATTCCCATAAACGGTACATTGCCACCAATTTGAAGTTCATTGTGGTGCTGCATCTCTGATTGTGGACTCAAGCCTTTATTTTGCATCCCACCCCTACTTCCAGGTGGTAACATACCAGGTCTTTCCGTGAGTTCTGGGGGTGATATGGTAACAGAAATTCCCAAATTTTGAGACTTAAAGATAGCTTCGCGCTGTTCCTGCGTAAATTTACTTAAATCTGGAGGCATGTTACGTGTAGCCCCAGGTAAATACCCTTCGTTTGCACGTGCAAAAGCTTGCTTGGCTCGTTCGGCAGCCATTAGATCAGGTGGGCTATCCCGTCTTGTATGCAGATTAAAATTAGGATATGGATATCCACTGTGCATGAAATAATCGAGATTTGGAACCATTTCTTCTCGTCGCGATGTTCTTTCCAAACTTCGATCGTTTATGTTTCTATTATCTAGCTGCTCGTGGTTTGTTTTAATGTCAACATTGGGACTATGAGTTCGCTGGTAGTTCGTCGTGTGGTCATCTTTCACTTTCGCTCCAGGGACGCGTTTGTCCGACCACATTTTCTCCATATCACTCGTCATGTTTAATTCACCCCATCTTGATTCGGTGCTGTGCAGCCCCGCCTGGAAATTGGCCATATTTTGTGCCATTTTAATATAGTTTTCGTTGACAATTAATCTATCCCCCAACTGCATAGAGTTGATCAGACAGAGCGAGGGTCTATTTCCTTCGCCTGATCGATTTAAATGTTGGTTTTCCTTTCCTAACTTCGAACACTCATCAGCATAAAACGATTGCTCTTCTTCGAAATTACATATTGCTGCCGACAATCCATTTATATGCTGCCATTGATTGCCAAAATAAATTTCCATAGAAATAACCACTCTTCCAACAGGCTGCGACAAGGCCGACAGAATCCAAGCCCAATGAATTGGTCTCAGGCGGCAAATTAATGCTACAAATATTGTTACAGATAGCAACTCCAACGGCAACTTTCCTTGTAAATAGCAAAGATGAAAATCTGCAAGTTTGATTTAGACTTAAGCCAAAAATAAGGACATCAAACGTACAGTCTTTGTAGCTAGCTGTGTTCAATGCTGCTTTAGTCCCATTACCGACAAGGCACCAGGCTATGTTTACCGAACCGTGAAGACACTAGGAATTGTTAATGAAGTCGCAGGGGGTATGTTGAGATCCAATAAAGGTGTGCGTGTTTTGAAAATCAATTTGCAATTATCGTAAATGGTGTCACATTGTCTTGAACATAGTTATGACATTATAATGTCATGTTACAATGAAATAGACTTGCCTTTTATGGCTCCAAAATGCAGCCTTTTTACAGATTTATTCAAAATATACAATCAGTGCTCATTAATTGTGTGCACAAAATCGCTTCAGTGTTTCATAAAATGCAAAGTCCAATGCAAAACATTTTGTAGCAAATTCGAGCCTAAACGCAATTGTTTTCCCCTACATGTGGATAAAACTAGAAGCTTCTTTTAGGGAGTAGCATGATGTAATCATCTCTAGGGATGTAATGCGGAAAACGCGGAAAAATACCACGTGTTGAATGTGTGAGCATTGCTACCATGACCCCCCTGGTTGTCGCTCGATCTTTCCATCGAGGTTTTGAGCAGGGTAAGCTGAGCTAGCAAATAAGCTGGAGAGTTGACACAAGAGTTGCTATAAGAAGCTAAAACGCAGCAATTTCACCCAGGAATACAGAAGTAAATAGACGTAAAGCTGGCAAAACAGCACATTAGGCTTTTGCTCAAGTCCTTGCGAGCTTACTATTTATAAACTTATCTTTATTATATGAATTTATACATATTTATCAGAGAAATGTTGTTGAGAACAACACATAAAGGTTGAAATGAAAATGTGAATCACGTCGTGTCTCGTGTGGTTTAAGAATCAGAAAATAATTTATTGTAATGTGGTTGACATTTAAAAGAACGCGGTAAAGGGCGTCTGAATCATCACGACAATGACATTTGAATTTCTTGTCTTACATTAAAAAATCATCTCTTTCTTGCTCGACGATCACGTTTCACGAAATACCCTCAAACATCCTTCCTTACACAGAAAGAGAGCGGGTCTCAGGCAACAGTTGAATTTGCGACAAATAGAGGTAAATCTGACCAAACTTTATACTATACTATACTATACTATACTATACTATACTATACTATACTATACTATACTATACTATACTATACTATACTATACTATACTATACTATACTATACTATACTATACTATACTATATCCTATACTATATCCTATACTATATCCTATACTATATCCTATACTATATCCTATACTATATCCTATACTATATCCTATACTATATCCTATACTATATCCTATACTATATCCTATACTATATCCTATACTATATATTATACTATATCCTATACTATATCCTATACTATATCCTATACTATATCCTATACTATATCCTATACTATATCCTATACTATATCCTATACTATATCCTATACTATATCCTATACTATATCCTATACTATATCCTATACTATACTATACTATACTATACTATACTATACTATACTAAACTATACTATACTATACTATACTATACTTATCTATAGCAGAATCTATCACACTCTTCTTTTTCGAATCTTCTTTGAATTTGTAACTTCAAGCTTAACCTTCTTTATCAATATCTCGTTTTTCCTGGACGTTAACAGGAAATATTGTCTAAAGTTGCGATCTTATACTTATCCGGAAATGTCGCACTTCCTACTTCCTGCATCTGCCGTACTTTATATAGATATGGTTCCTACTTGGCTTTCATATCTGAAATTAAAATACATTAAAGGTGTACTTCAATTTTGGAGTTTTCAGGTCCATTTTATTAACAGGGGCGTTTGTCGAGTAGATGATGGCAATTTGCTAAGAGTCTGAGCATTGAAGCTAAGAGTCTGAGCAAAGCAAAATTATTACCAATCAAATAAATTCTCGCGCACACATAATCCAATCTGAATCGATGGTAAGCCTTAGGTGCTACACTAGATTACAAGCTCAGTTACAATTGTTGTGTTTTCATCTTTCTGTTTAGAAAGATTAAAGTCGTTGATTGTCTTTGAGGAGCAAAATATTTCGTTTTGACGTTTAACTATGAAATCCTTCTTCTTGGTTTTGATTTGCTGGTCAGCTAAGCTAACTGATCATACAGAAGATATAGAATTACCATTTCTATACGAAATAACTTTTGAGCTTGAGATTTTGAATACCTCATAAATACAAAGAACTCTTCGTGCAGCAACCGATTCTTAGCTACAGCTTTACAGTATCGAGAGGCTATTAGTGTGGATTTGTGGATGGCTACAGTTGTTAGTGGAAAGAAATTATCATCACACTTAAGCCTTAAATTTTTTCTTAGAGCTTCTATTAAAAACATCTGCTATACAGCTTATTTTGCGTCTTTTACTTAATTGTCACTGGAGATTCCTTTTTTGATAGAAGTTCTATATGAATATATTTTGCATTTTTTAAAGACAGTTAGTTCATAGTTTAATCTCCAAAGCGAAAAAATTAATTTCCTTTCGTGAACGTCAATTCTTTGTAGCCTTAATAAATTTGATCTGCAAGATCCAGGTCTAATTTTTTGACCTGCAGGTTGCATATATTTTTTCTTCAACTTCTAAGTGACACTTTTCTATTCTATGTTCAAGAGAGATACTGAGATTAGAAACATTCATTCATTAGCTCGATAAGGATTGCCGATAGAGATAAGAAGAAAAAATTGGAGCCATATTTATGAAGGAATATTTGCTCATTGACATCAATACAAAGTAAAAGCAGGTGATCAAAAGTTGAAGTAAATAAGATCAGGATTTGATCTACCCTGGGTAGTCTTGGCACCTGCTTGGCACTCGAAATAATAGCCCTGAACTTGCAAAATATTTTAGAGGGATTCTCCAAAAGAATAAAGATTCTCGATACTCCTCTTTTTATTTGGCAGGGCTAATAGGGTGGACTGACTCTGCAGGGGCGTAGCTAGCGGGGGTGTAGTGGGCGTGTGACACACCCCAGTTCTGCATGAGATTTTCGGTTAATTTTTCTTTGGTAGAAAAATCCTCTGGTTTTTCGGTAAAATCGTCTATCGATAGCTGAAATAGCACCTAAATTTCTCTCCATTTATGCCTTCGTCGGTACATTTTACTACTCTTGACCCTCCACCCCTCAGTCTGGAAGATCACGCTACGCCACTGCAAATCAATGTCATTGTTGTCTAACCTCAGCTTGTAGGGTTATGCTCTCGAATTTCAGACAAAAACAAGATTATAACTCGAGGTGCCTGCAATGCCAAGATCTTTCTTCAAACGAATTGAATTCCAGCCTGCTACAAAATGTCTTGAGAATTCTCTTTGGCTTGCTTTGTGGTGACACTCCAAACGACCCGAGCCTGGGGCTTTGGCCAAATGGATTGTAAAATCCTTCTTTAAAAGAAAAATCTGATTAGATAACCAAAGGACTGCTCAGCGTGTTTGTCGTTCCTTGGGCTTTCTTGTCCTCAGCATTCTATTGATAGAAAGCATGGTGTAGTAGCTAAACAACGAGGAAGCCCTAGACAATTTCTAATGAAAACGGAGGCCCTAGAAGTCAAGTCAGGTTGCAGTTAGACAGTATACAAAGTATGAAAGAAGTAACCCAACAACGCGGAGGAGAGAAACGATTGTTTGTTTGCTGATATCCTCTCATGGTAAACAGGGCAGTAACCATATAAAGAGCTAAAGCATGTTTGCAAAGCCCTCTTTTTAAGAAATCAGAGGGCTATTTGATCCCTCCTTCATTCCGGTCGATAGAAAGGTCGCATGTATTGTTTAGCAAAACAGGGGACTTCTCGATGAGTACACTTACATGCAATTCACCTTTTAATTCCAATTTCTGTTCTTGGATGCTTGAAAGCTTGCCTTGTGTTGAAATGACTTCCTTCTTGAAAGAAACAAATTTTGCGCGATTCTTTAATTATCGACAATGTTTTTTGACAACATTTAGATCAATTTCTTGGGAGTTAAAACAGACAAGTGACCTACAATAACAGCATGCAAATTTTGAATCAAACAATTGTGTGAAATGGTGCATTATAAATCGATAAATCTAGAGCTAAGAATGTTATGTGCATATTCCTTCTTCGCTCAAAACTTGCCAGTGTTACGGATGACTATTCATACACTTAAACAGTGTTGTTTTTTCTGGCAAATGTTATCAGAAAACGTGGACGTGATAACAATATGCTCCATGTAGGTGTCATAATAAGCTTTGTACAAAGATTGATAAAATAAAGTAACGACTTTGTACAATGAATGAATCATTAGTACGACGTTTCGAGCAAATATGCTGCCTCGCTTGCAGCCCTTCTGTTATCAAATGGGGTGCGGTTCTCAAGAGGCATTTTCGAAAGAAGGTATTCTGTCTTCTAGAAACACCGTCTCTCTTGATAAATCAAATAAGAGCATTATGACTGGGAACCATTTACATACTGTCTGGCAGGATAAATCTGACACAGAATTTTTCATCATGAAAAGATTCCTAGCCACTGGTGATATTGCATAGGATCCTAAGAAGCATTACTTTTTCTTTTTTCTTGTTCATACATGAAATCAATGAAAATAACAAATATAAACAACCGAGCAATATTAATGTGTTTGCTGTTATTATATGAATGCAATTGCCGAATATGCAGGCCATATGTAGCACGTAGTAGGTTCTTGAACTGATTTTTGTAACTAAAATCTCAATATGTAAATATCCCTGTAAATAAATAATTCAACTACATATAGTTTTTACCAGTTGTAAATATTATTAGAAAGCTTAGTAACGAATAGTAACATTCTCAGTTTATTTTAGTAGTCGTCAATTTCCTGTAACTTATCTATGACTATTGTTAATATGCATAATCATCGCTATCATTATCAGATTTGAAACCCCAGTTTAAGTCACTTTGGTTTGTTAATCCTTTTTGCTTTTTTGGCAACTCCTGCAGCTCTTTCATCTAGATGGGTGACTCCCTTTCTATTGCTCATCAGCACATATGCTACATTATCGTTGGACTTTCAAGCATTTTCATTTGCCTAACATAATATGTATGTATGCTGCTCTGGAACAAAACCTTGACCAACCCAAAGTAACTACCTAACTTTGAATTTATTTCTTGATATTTATTTCACAACAGTGACTGAATTATTTTCATTTCGCGAAAATAGGCTAGCCAGTTTCAAAGAGAAATTTTAGCTTAAAAGTTTAAAATTTGATATAAAAATGTTCATTATGATAGGTGACAGCATTATTTGGCGGGAACGATGCAAGTTAGTACACGAAGAAAGAAACAAGTCTTACCAGACATACATTTTATGTCGAGACTCTTATTGTTGTAGCTCTCGTTAGTCAATGTTTATTAGAAAGTTAATAATATTATTATTAATATTCTTATTAACATTTTTTTGTGAAAACAGGCTAGCCAGTTACAAGATACCTACGTAATAGAGAGATTTGTAATTGTAGTTTTAACTGGAATTCAAAATGAAATGTTTCCACCAAGGGTTGGTTCCTCCTTAAGCATTTGAAGAAGTCTGACCTTGGTGCTAAAGTTCATACTCACGAAATTAAACGAAGTCTTTCAAGTTGTTGAGAAATGCACGATTTAAAAGATCTTCAAAATTTTATGATTATAGAAAAATTTTATGAACAAATTATTTTATGACCAAGAATGAAACTAGGAAAAAATGTCTAGGAATAATTCGAGGATTGTTTTGAGCTAGCGAACCAGCCGAAGAGACAATTTTTCCAACTAACTTCACAATGAAATTCGACATTGTCAGATTTAAGGTGAATATTATCAAGTAACTATTGTATCGATCTCTCTAATTGGTATTCGTGCCTCTCCCTTCAACTTTGTACTGAAATAAATCCACTGTAATTTAACAATATTCAAAGCACTTGATTCAATGCAGGCACCCCTTTGGGATCGATGGAATCAACCGTACAAATAACAACATTGCTGTTGCAGATTTTTATTGCAATTGCGAAAATGTTGGAATGTACTACATCCCAAATAGAATCTGCCATGATCTGAAATCTTGACAACCATTTTTTGATACTGTATAAGAGCATGCTCGATCAGATACAAATCAGATTCACAAAAGTGCATTTTATGACCGGAACCTCAGACATATTCACAAATGGTATTTCTTAATACTTGAGATTTCTTATACAAGCGTTAAATTCATGCTTAAAATACCGATGACAGAGTATCAGAAGTCAAGGCTGAAAATTCAAAAAGCTGTTATCCGTGATATCGACAGAAAAACTATTGCGTCCAGAAAAACGTTTCAAATTTTTTCAAAGGTTGCCTTTCGATAACAATCTTCATTGGTTCTAACGAATAAACATCCAGAAAAATGGCAAAAGGCTGCAAACAAGAAAAAATTATTACTCGAGGTCTTCAATTAATGTCATAAGCACCTATTTACAAATAGCTGTTGCTATGACAACCCTTGCCAAAGCTTGATCAGTTACGAGTTATGGCATATACCAATGAGCATGTGCTAGGGTGACGGGCGAAGAAAGCGGCCAAACTCAAGAGCATTGGCCTACTTGTGGAATCCATTTTTGATTATTTCACTGAAATTCTATTCTATTGCAGTTAATTTGATGCATTTACCGAATTACAGTCAATTGTTTAATTGCCATGCTATCTATGTAACTGCATCGTGAGGCTGCAATGACTCAATGCAAGCCTCAAAAAGAACTATTTCGATCAAAGCTGGACGTTTCCTGCTGTTAAAAATAAGATACTCCATACGTAAAACAGTTATAATTTATTTGGTAGGTCAGCCATTACGCTTCCCAACGGATGTCTTAGTTGAGATATGAATAGGATACCCTATAAAAACAAATTGTGAGGCCTAACGTGGACCCAGTCACTACCCTTTTGAGGATGTAGGTTCGATCGTTGAGTTGGCACCAGCCACCTTACTGCCAGTCGAGGGACTAGATGTATTCGAGCCTGCTTGTTTCTTTGATAATTCAAGCTTATCCAACTTCTTCCAGAGATCTTCGCGTTCACGTTCTTTCTTCTTCTCCCTGAAAACAACAAGCCTTTGCTCAAATTTTTTACGGAATATAAATCATTGCAGTCACAACACTTCTAGGACAAAAAATAGTTATATGTGACCCCGTGGTTACTTTAACAGCAAATACCTGAATCTCATATTCTTAGCAATATATTGGCACACGCAGTAATTGCACAACGACCCGAAAACAACTTAGAGGTCTTCGAGTTTTTTAAAAAGATAACAGAATCTAATGCCTGACTAACATCAGTGAGATGAGATGCAACGAAAGCCTGATGAGATTCGTTCTTTCCGAAGGAAGTATCAACGAAATAATAAAAGGAATAGGATAACTACTTACTTTTGCCTGTCCGCTTTGTATGAAGACGTGAGCTCATCGAACAATTTACTATTCATTTCCATAAACGACTTTAACACGTTATATACAAGGGCAACTATGGTTCTGAAACAAATCGAAGTTGGAAATGCAGAGCCACTAATCAAAACAGATGGGGGAAAGGACTAGAGTTAAAGATTATAAAAGAAATATCTAAACGTTTACTATATTCCTTAAGCGAGAAATGGGCAAAATCAAGGGGTTATTCAAGATTTTTTGGGATTGTTGGGGCTCAACCTAGCCCTTCACTTGATAGAAGCTTTCATTAAATCGATGGAAAACTTAGACTTGGGCTAAAGAGGGTATTCAACGTTTCCATAATAAAGAACTCAGTGGTCAGCATCTGATACACAAGGCACAGAATTATGCAGAAATTAGACTTTATCCTGAAACCACCTTTCATTTCTTATACTTTCAGATAAAACAAGGGTGTTTTAGATTTACAGGAACATAAAAAGCAGAGAACTTACTGGTTCCAATGATCTTTCGAAATTCGATACAAACAAGAAAACATGATTGGGAGAATAGTGTTTGAATTTTCTTCAATTAAACTGACGACATATTCATTATTCCAAAAGTACAATGCTCTTTCGGCAACCTACAAAACAATATGTATTCAAACTGGCTCACAAATTTGAAGGGCTGCATTAAGGTTAAATAAGAACAGGCTTTAGCAAATAATGTGTATCGGAGGAGAAATAAAGAGCAGGATGAGAAAGCGAGGGGAGAGGAAAGTGAAAAAGAGAAGGGGAAGGCAAGCAAGAATGGCGGGGGAGGAAAAAAAAGAGAGAGAGGGTTGGGGGAGTAGGAGCCAAAGAGGTTGGGGGAGGGAGAGCCAGAGAGGTTGGAGGAGGGAAAGAGAGAGACGTTGGCGGTGGGAGAGCTAAAGGGGATGGTGGAGGGGGAGAGCGACCATTCATACTTGAAAATTGCATTCTAAAATGTAGCAAATGTAAGTGAAATGGGTAGCCATGATATTTACCTGAAAATGGGGGCTAGAAACACAGCGGGCAATCTGCCTGAAAAGTGACTCCATTACTTTCTGGAACTGCGGAGGCTCTATAGCATCCAAAATTTCTTCTATTTCACCGAGAAACATTACCTGAAAAATTAAAAAATCGCTGTTTTGCAGTTTGTATTGGCTAGCAAAATGTTTCAATAAGACTCTATTAAATAGCACTTAGGATTCCTTTTTGGAGATTAGTCAAATCTCTATCATTTTCAGGGATAAACTAAAAAATCCTATAAAATCCCACAAAAAACAGGATATACGTAAAAATTACAACAGCTGAAAACTTTATTGTCATTCTTCTTTCTTCAAATAATTAAAGGCGGGTTGAAATTCAGCAAAAAACTGGTCTTTTGGGTTCCCCATTCAAATTAATTTATCACTGCATATTAAAAATATAAGAAATACCAAAACCTTATATTTCAAACTTTCTTGTTGAAAAGAATAAACCGTAGAACTTACTCAATTGCACAAAAAATTAAAGCAAACAGTACCAAAAAGTTTAGAACTTGTCACAAGAATAAATAGAAGGTGTGGAATTTTACAGATGAATAGCAAGGCATAGAAACATGCTGGTTTGCGAAAAATCGTAACTGAAATTATTAGCATTAACTGAAATTGTCCTAGCAGGGTAATAAAATGAGCCTACCTCCTTCTGACTACTTGTTTTTGGCCAAAATTTTAGCAAGCCGAGAACAACCTACAGCGGGACAAAACAATATGATCAAATCAATGGTTTCAGAATCAAGGTGGGCGAGCGTATAAATAATAAACGAGCGAATGTATTCAGCTTCAGAAGTAATGAATGAGAGGACAAAAACACTGACACAAACAAAGAACAGATAACGCATCCCAAGAATGAATCAAAAGCCATCTAAAACACATCGCTCTCTCCTGTAATATCTTGCTGTCAGTGCTGTGTGAATTCACGAGCCCTATAGAGTATAATGCTTCAAGCTTGCGAGGATCTTGTAATATTTTTTCGACTGGACATATGAGAATCAAATGTGCATCTTTTGTAGGGGATTACCTGCTCTGTAAGGCTCGCATCTTTCTCCAAAAATTGCACTACACAGTAGGCGAGCTAAAAGGAAAACGTTCGGTTAATCTTAATGGAGGAAAAGTGTCTTAATGTTAAATAGCTACTAAAATGATAGCAGAGAGAGCACAGTTCAACAAACAGCTTATTTCCAAAAGACATCTGCGTATTGATCTCATTAGAAATGTAGAGAACGTAGGATAAGATGGAAAAATGATATCCATGCACATGTTCAGGCAGCTTATGCTTTATTAATGTCGCTATTACGTGAGTAGCACACTTCATGACGACAATCTACAATTTTGACCAAAGAATCGACAATCATAGCGGTGCAATTGACATGGTGTGGCACAGATGAAAATGAGAAAAATAAATTGCTTTGTCGTCGCTTATAATGAATGAATAGTTGTTTTTCTGAAAGGTTTCTTGCTGGCATGGATCTAAAATGAACCTTGAAATGGCAAGGTATCATCATACAAAGTTGCTAAAATCGGTAATAAACAGGGTACTTATCCGGACATACCAAAAGAGTTACATTTGTATAAAATACTTTACAGTATCCATCACTCATTTGTGCATTTCTAAGTAGACTTATTTTCGCATCATACAACTCATAGCTTTAATGTAGATGCTGTTGGTTGATGCAGATGGAGATTATGGTGATGGCCTGGACGATAGATCAAGTAATTTGTGATGATGATTCATGATAATCGATCAAGTAATTTGTGATGATGATTCATGATAATCGATCAAGTAATTTGTGATGATGATTCATGATAATCGATCAAGTAATTTGTGATGATGATTCATGATAATCGATCAAGTAATTTGTGATGATGATTCATGATAATGGATCATAACTGATACTGTTGATGCTGATGATGACAATGAATACAATGACAAAAGAATATTCTACTGCAAATCAAGCTCCTACCTGAGCGTGGTAAAGAGACAAACACTTCACTTTATGCAGTGGAATCAGAACTTTGAGTAAAAACTGCTTGTGTTCCGCTTTCAGTGGGAGAGCAAAACCATTAATAATGCTGCCAGAAGAAGAAAGATATGCGTTAAAATTTCAGAAAAAAAAGCTTTAGTAAGCAGGGATTGGACCACTAGTAAAAATGAGTAGCTTATGTGCAAAAAGCTTCCAAAATTACGCATGAGTGGTACAAAGGGCGCTAGGAGAATCTAATAGAAGGCCATCCGGACTAGTCTTGCAGGGTACTCAATTATGGAAAGTTAAGCTCCAAATCGTTGCTAGGCAAATACCTATCTCGAACTAACAATAATTAAATACGTGTAGTAAATATAGGACTGAATTCATTGGCATTTAAAACGTCTACAATCTTCAGCAACTTTTCTTCTGCCTTTAAAAAAGGCCTGTTATGACACAGATCGTGCAAAGTAGCCTTAATCCCAGTTAATGCTCATTGACAATAGGACTGAGAAATGTCCTCTCTAGGAAATGCCTCTCTGGGAAATGTCCATCTACTTGAAAATGTCCCTCTACTTGGAAATGTCCCTACTGGAAAATTTCGCCGATTGGGAAATGTCCCTAACTGGGAAATGTCCCTAACTGGGAAATGTCCCTAGCTGGGAAATGTCCCTAACTGGGAAATGTCCCTAACTGGGAAATGTCCCTAACTGGGAAATGTCCCTAACTGGGAAATGTCTCTAACTGGGAAATGTCCCTAACTGGGAAATGTCCCTAACTGGGAAATGTCCCCTCTGTGACTGTAACAAGGATTAAGCTTTCAGACTTGAAATTAAAAGGGTGAACTTAATCGCCTCATAACATAGCACGAATTTATGAAAGTGAACCCTGATGCTTTAAGTATAAAATTGGTAAAACAGGCTAACATGGGGGAACCAGGACGAAGAACACGAAAAGAGGCAGCCGAACTCATTGCTTACAAATAACCTAACAGCGGATGCCTGAGAAATGTTTCCATGAAAGCAAGGAACAAAAGTTAGACTGCATTTAGACTGCACTAAACTCATCTATAAATGCAATGTACAAATGATTGAAATTGTTCTCCAAAGAATCAATGAATGCATCAATCAAAGCAGCTGCAAAAAATATGGGCTTGGCTAATGCCAATTGATTTCCGCTGGGCTGACACCTGTTTTATGGCATTACCATTGATTATGCATTTATTTTGGGCATAACATCCAAAATCGCTATTGCGAACGACTAGTGCTTTTGCAGAACCAAAACTTAAAGTTCAGTAGCGGTCAGCAGTAATGATGTTTACAGACTTGGTAATCTTAGGCAACGGGGAACATCATGATTGGAATGCAGACGTAAGGCTAGACAAGGAATTATATATCCGCAATGATAAGCCATTGAACTGAAACCGGCTATAACAAAATACAAAACTGCCAAAATAATTCAAACCGATAGTTTAGGCCCTTCTTGATAAATAGTCCTCAATGGAAAAGACGCTGTCCCACGGGCGAAAATCATGCAGAATTGCATTGATCTAAACCTGTAGCATCACATCATGACCCTCTCATCGGATTTAATTGCGTTCTAAATGTGAAAAGTTTACCTTCCAAGAATCTCGAGTAACTCTCCAACTCCATTGAAGTGTTCTGTTTCATAAATGAACCTAGATTGACGTAATTGAACATTAACGAAAAAAGAGAAAACGTCAATCAATTTACCAATACACTGCTAAAAAAGTCACCGAGTTTTCTAAAAAGTAGCCTATTTCACTTATACGTAGATAAAAATCGTCTTTCAGTTTGGTCTTTCGTTAACAGCAATTAAGGCATGAAGCATTGGTCTATCGTTAACAGCCATAAACAAAGCTGCAGGATGGTCAAATTTCTCGTACTCTAGGACCTTTTATAAGACAATTCATGATAGTAACTTTGGCAATAGCATTTTAGCCAATTTTGATTTTTAATATTGATCATTTGTGTACGTACAATCGATCATTTCTCGGTTCAGTTTTTCTTAATCAACACATTACGAGCCTCTTTGAAGTCTCGTATAAATATTGAAAAAAGTTGGGCTCTAGTTATGGAAAATAATTGAAAAATTAAACCTTGGCGTATTTTGATGTATATTATTTTTCATACCTAGAACTAAACGAGGTGGGATTCGTACGCCCCCCCCCCCATAACACTAATAATTATGTATTTTCCCCTTTTTTCTAGTATTCATTTTCAAGACGGGCAGGCCCCACTGGTACGTCTTTGAATCAGGTCGAGCGTCGCGCGAGACAAAATACAAACAAAAGACGACAAAGGATTTTCGTTTGATACTCACTTGAGAAAAATATGGTTGATTTGCTTCCTGATGTAAGCCCTTAGGCCAAGAAACTTTCCATAGATTCTATGAAGGACAGTTTTGAGAAATTCTCGTTCTCGCGGATCTTCGCTGTCGAAAAGCTCCAATAACTGTAAAAAAAATCAGATGTTAGAGAGAAATGCCATTGCCTACATGTTACTGGAATGCATATAAGCTCGATACGGATAGACACAAGGATGCCACGTGCATCATAAGTTTTATCAACATATGCATGCAGTGACCTTGGTGTCATACCGAGCCATCAAAATTTTGGGGCCCTGGTAGCTGCATCTAAGCGCTGCCAACAAAAACAATGTATTCTTAAATAATGCAACCTTCAGCTAAATTTGGGTTATAGGCGACCCAAGAAAAGTAAAGCTTATCAAGTCTTATGCAACATGACAGAGCAGAAAAAACTAAAGATCTTTTTACACGTCAGTTTTTAACCCGGGCTCAACCCATTTTCCTTATGTAACTAAGTCTAACCTGGGTTGAACCTGGGTTGAACCTGGGTTGAACCTGGGTTATGACAATCCAACTCATCTTTTTGGGGGAAAACAATTAAAAATGACTTTGAAAAAAGCAAACATTTTGAAACTCACTAAAACTTTTCGTCTGACAATTTTCAGAGTATAAATCTAAAAGACGTCAGAACATAGATCGAAAACTCTACGCTAGGAAAAATATATACCCAGTTGAGGCAAATGATTGCTGAGGTTGCCCAATCAGTGCCGCTTGCCTATTTAAAATACTATAAATGGTGTCCTACGGTGAAAACAAAGTCCTTCTGTCTACACAATCGCGATTTGTCATGTTTAGGAATAAAGATTCTAAAACTGCTAAATGGAAAGTTGATTTGGTTTTATCAATAATTCGAAATATGTCGCCATTATAGTTTTTCATAATTTGGGTTTTCCAGTAAATACTGCCCGATAGCTGAATCGCATGTTATTTTTATCTGTAAGACCGAAGGAGCTGTTTCCTTTGGGGGAAGAGTTTTGTTTCTAATGCTGGAAGGTACATGATGTTTTATTGTATTCCCCAACCCAATTCTAATTGAGCCCAGGTTGAACCTAGGTTGCGTGTTGAGTAAATCTAGTTTGGTTTAACCGAGGTTTCATCAACCTTCAGCGCATGCACCCTACTTTCATATTGGTTGTGATTCTGAACGCTGCTATAAGCCATACACACACACATTTATACTGGCAATAATTTATATGTCAATGCGAAAAAAGTAACCTTATATAACATCTGAAGATAGGGCTCAAGCTCTTTACAAATGAAGTTTAAAGTTGCTGTCTTGCTCATAAATTTATGTCTTGAATTAGCAAAACTAAGCAAAACATCACTATCCCACCAGTTTACGCTCCTTGTTTTGCACCAAATGATCCTCTCGATAGGATGGGAATGGCAAAGAGCCCTAACAACAACATTCGTCAAAGCTGCCTTCACAATTCTGCGTCGCACTGTTAAACAGTGTTGGAATCGTTCTACGTCGCACTGTTAAACAGTGTACGAATGCAAAGGCAACAGGTACTGACGAGGGGCAATTCACTCTTGCAAATAGCGTACGAGATTTTCCCAAAAACAAAAAGATTTCTGGAGATTTTCAGCTAAAACAATAGGATTTTCACAAAAGGTGTACGATATTTTTGTAGAGTGATTTGCCCCTCGGGTACTGATATTCTCAAAAGAAACACATTCTACATATAACCCCGCTATCCTGTCTTGTTGGTTCTCAATGCAAACACGTCTGCCATCTCAACCCAGGTCCGACCCAAGTTCGATTTACACGGGGCCAATTAAATTCTGAATTGAAGTTGGCTTGAAGCCGGGCTGATCTGAGGTTAAAAAGCATCGTGCAAAGATGGATAAAGTCATTGTACCCAATCATCATCTAGCACAGTTCTAAGCATATAATAAACATAAACACAGCAGGCATACCTGGAGAACAAATTTTTGATCGATGTACTTTTTAGCAATGGTCGGCTGAAATTCAGGTGATTCCAGAACTCGCAGGAAAAACTCATAAACCAACTGAAATCAAAATGGGATAATATCAAATATATGTCATATCAGATGGACCTCAATATAGAGGCAACTAGTCTTACGTTTGGCTTACTAAGACAAAGCGTTACTAAGTCAATTAGATTAGATTTGTGGCCAATCATGATTTGTGGAACATTCCCATAAAAGGACAGAAAATGTCATGGGGTATATATCCTAAATCATGCTTGCTGACGTAGTTAAAAGTCCCAAGGTAAAGTAAGTAGAAAATTGTCTTTAAACATAACTGACCAATAGATAGCCTTAAGGCCATAAGAACTGACGCGTGTCGGTCCATTAAGGCGCCTTGACACATTTTAAGGCTAACATTTCCTTCATGTATGGCTACAAACGTCCCCATGACAATTAAAGTTTTGGTTTAAGAGCAAAGCAACAACATCGAAGCAAGATAACAACATGTATTCTTCCTTGTGTGGTAGAGGAAACTTGATATCATATTGACACTGAATCTGTTAAAAACTTAGGACTTCCCCACTGAAACATCACAAAGGTGAAAGAATAAATCTTACGCAGAAGAAATTGCAGCAGAGGAAAAAACTTACTTGAAGATGTGGCCATGATGCTTCTAATGCCGGCTCATCTTCTTCTGGGTCAAAGTCTGGATTGTCAGACGGGGGTAAAGTACGGAAAATATTGTTATGTACCTGTGGAAAGAGTAAGACTTTTAGTACAGTTGCAGCACCCAGACTATGGTTTGATGAAAACAAAAAATGCATGCATGTATCCATCTATATTGATATAGAAACGACGCTAATTTCGTAATATACGGAAGTTCAATTTTAATGTTTTCGCACAGGACAGAATAAAAAAGACACTCTGTCACAACGTCAGTGACAGCTGTTAACAAGAGGGAGCTAAGGTGTAACAGCAAGGCATCAAGCGCTTCAAAAACAATTAAAACCTACTTAGATACGTATGAAAAATACTTGAATGCCCCCCCACACCCTTTATGACATATATGAAAAATACAGGGGCTCCTAGTGAAATTCTTCACTGCACCACTGACCTTACCTATAATGGCCCCATCTATAACGAGGCTCATAGAGATGATAAAAATTTTAGGTTTTTAGGATGGTCAATAGAGATGGTGGGAACACAGGAACAGTTTTGGGGTAGCAATGCTTAATTCTCTGTTAACATTTTCTTAAAGGTTTTAGACAGATTAATTTTAAGGCCTACACAGCTTCTAAAAATATTTTCAAACGGTTTGAAGCAAAAACGACAACATTGAGATGAAGAGAATGAATAACATACGAGGAGCAGCTTTGTTGCAAGTCGAGTTGAAAAGTCTTCATTTAAAGAAGGTATTTTACTCCTCTAACGTATAGTGAAAATAATTTTTTACATCAATCTGCAATAATTTTTTGTGGATGCTATTTTTGCTTTGCATCAAATTGCAACAGTTGGGGAGGCGGTATGGATGAAAGGCCCAGGAACCCCCGTCCCCCCCCCCCCCCAAGGACTCCCCATTACAGAAAATTGAAGCACCAAACTTCAAATGTCAGATATTTCTCAAATATGATGTAGGTGGAATACAATTTCTAATAGCGGTGGGCACTGACTCCTTCTATGTTCTTCACCCAACAACGCTCTAACATCACTTAACAATGTTCCTGACTCGCGAGAGCCGAATACAAACACGATATTAGCTGATAAGGTCAACCTAAGTTTTAGCGCCAAACTGTCATATATTGTCAAACATGGCCCTTTCTTAACATATATTGTCCAGTTATCTCAGATGAACCTTCAAATTTGGCTTGAAAATGAGACGAAGTCAGAAAATCCTATTGTGCCGCAAAATTTGGCGAAAAAGAAGGAAACATAGCATACTGAAAGCATAATTTGGTGGGGCTGCAAAGACTGTAGCTACTTAGAAACAGTACACCTAGAAAGATACTTTTCATCTCACATACAATTAATGTCCTCATTTAAAGTAGGTCAATTCTTTCACATTTATACGCCCCCCTCAAAGGTGCTGGACCCAAGAGCCATTAGCTCCCCTTCCCCCCTTATTCAGCCAGCCTGGCTTTCACTGGCAGAAACATGAAAGCGAAGAAGAGGCAATCAAAACTTCCATGTAATCACAAAAACCACAATTTTCAGTGGATTGACGTTAACGCAAAACTAAAAAGGTTGCTTCACTTACCATTCTTACAACCTCTGGATAGGCAGCCTCTGTTAGAACGCCTCTTTCTGATGTTATGTAGTCGACGAGCTCATTCAACGTGGCTCTCTTTACTTCCTTTCCTCTCAGGTCACTCATAGGATCCATAAAATCAAAGACTGTCGAACATTGTATGAGTTTTTTGATAAACAGTTCCTGCTGCTCTTGTGGACTTGCATCTGAGAACAGTAAGGAAAATGAAGTTAAGAAAGTTGAACGGAAAAGGCAAATAATCTACATGTCAACACCATCCCTATCCCTGGAAACTACAAAGTAGAATATAGCATTTTGCTCAAGGATTTGAAGGTTGATTTAAAGTTTCTATAGACAAAACAAAACGTGCTTACGAAACAAATGGAAGCGTCCTGGTAGTGGGAAGGCAGCTTGCCTAAATTCTGATATGTCTAAAGAAGATATTGTGACAGGCCATACCTGAACGCAAGGCAAACCAAGAGGGGTTGCTGATGAACTGACAACAACTGGATTTCAATTGATAAAGATGTTTGAATTAGACAGCTGACGGAATGTTTAAATCAAGGGATCAGATCGACAAGCTACTGCCTGTCAAGGCCAATGGTTATCAAAGAGATCAACCTGCTAACAAACACACGATTTGAGAACTGTTAATTATAGCAAAGCTAATTGTACGTGAATTCACCATTAAGCCACCGATAGGGAATTCTATGAGCATTTAAAATAGCAAATACGGCAGTTATTCAAACGATCCTTTTAAGCTATAAATGACGACTACGGCCTTCGAGGAATTGGCGAGAGGAGCAGCCCAAAACAGATGAATAAAAAAGTCAGATCAGGTTGTAGATGAAACAGACAGAACTACAAATACACGAGATATAATTTACAAAATTGCTGGTGAATAGGACAGCTATATAAAAAGATAGAGGATATCTTGAAAATAAACTTTTCGCAAAGCGCCTTATTGATCATCTCTTTAGCTAAAAAACTATTCAAATCATTAATTTAATGTGAACAGAATAAATGCATCTAAATGAGTAAATCTGCCTGAAAATTGCCTACAAAGTGCTGCATAGAGAGGTTCATGCAACAGGGCATCGGCAGGTACCTAAAACCTTTCTAAGAAAATTGAAAACATATATAATTCAAAGGCAGGCAGTAAAGCCTAATGGACGATTATCCGAGCAGGGTACTCACAGTTTTGTAGGCATTTACATGACAAAAATTTGTTCATAATACAGAATGATTAGTCCATGGCTAAGCGTCGAAGAGTAGGCGAATGGCAAAGCCTGCATTCTTGCAATGAACGAAAACTGTTGCACGAATTATTAACAACGTCTAAGACGAATCAGGCTCAAACCACTATTTCTGTATGGTAACATCTGCTAACCATCATGTGTTGCCAAATTTTGTTCCCGATAAACTCGAGAACAAAGAATTCAAAAAAAATAATTGTACCTGCCCTAAACAAGCAAGATTAAATACTCCTTAAGTTTTAAACATAACCCACTCCCTGTCGATTCAGTGAGTCTTGGCTGAAGGGACTATATATATAAGATTGAGCTAATATGTAGAATTCGCCACTTTAATTTTTTCTGGGGACAGGAGTCAAGAAAAATTTTTTCTACGAATTTCGATGAAGTTGAACAATTTTCCAAAAAATATGCCGCTTTGGGGGGGGGGGGGCTATAGTAACCTACCGCAACCTACTGCAACCCTGACTCTGAGATGACAAATTGCCACATAATTTATGCAAATGTTCAACAGCCGGTACATCTGTTACAAAAACAGAAATATTTCAAGGATGATGGTTGCTATAACAACATCGTTGAGCTTATGGGGACAATTTCCTTGTGACACGAATTTAGCGAAAACGCTTTGTATTCATTGGCCTGCTTCCCTACGTGGTTTTCGCCTCAACCACAAAGACAAATGCATCAGATCCGGGATAAAACTCCACCTCCTATTCATAATTAAAAGCCTCAAAGCCTGACTGGCAACAAGCAACTGTGGATGTCTGCTGCAACCAAGTGACTAGGAAAGAAGATTTCAGTTTCGCATATTATTAGCTTTGAGCCACACCCACAGTTATGTTACATTGGAAGATCAATCCGTATGAAAATGACTGCTGGATGTCCATCTCTGATTCCTACAAATGTAATGAAGTTGTTTCCTTGCGGCAGTGTATAATGCTGCTTTATAAACATTATTCAAGGCTAACAGAAGAACATTTTAGGGTTCATTCAAGGATACTTTTTCGGTTCATCCGTGTTTATCATTTGGGGGAAGGGAGGGGGGAGCATAAAATGCTTACGCATATGCAGGAACTCGCGGGGACACCGCTACAAAGGCAATAAACTGCCTTAACCTCTCGACTTGCTTTAAAATCCCAATATTAATGCAGTTTATCCTTTTTCATAATCACTTGTTCAAAGGATTCAAGTTGCGGAAAGTTAAACCACTTTTTGAAAAACAGGCTATAGAAGATAATTTAATATTTGCAACAGCTTTTGACAATACACTTGTATCGAGGCCTGGGATTAAGAACCCGATTATAAAAGGGTAAAAATGAGCTCGCCTATAGCTACTCGGAAAAGGAAATTGCTGCATTTGATACATCAGATTATAAAACTCTTGATTCATTCTATTTCCAGCAGGTTTTGGGAGTTTTCCCTTTGTTTGGAGCATTTCAAAGTCAGTATGTTGGTGGAATATTAAAATTCAGCAGAAACCTGATGAAGTAAAATAGTCTTCACAAAAAATCTAAAGAAACGCAAAGCCAACGAAATTAACCGTCAATCGAAAAAACGCTGCACATGGTGAATGGACACCAGCAGGGGCATTAAATCGGCAAAATTATTCCAATCATACATTAAAGACTGCACAATAAAACAAGTAAAAACAGGGACGATTGACGTTAGCGACGTGGAACAACAATACAATCCTCTGAAAGAAAAATTGCAAACAGTTTGATGATCTGTGTGTATGTTCAGTGACACAATCTAAGGGCCGGTTTTCCATCTGTATTGAATGCTGAATTATGTTTGACCTTGTGAAGGATCCTGTCCAGGGCTGCTAGTACTGTTAGATCTCATATAGGTGTCAAAAACTGTTCCCCGAAAACATATGTGAAATTTGAATAGGCCAACGCTAAATGGCTGAAAAAGACACTGAATCTGATTACTAAAAACATACGAAAATGGTATAAAAAGCTACAACAGTGTACATCAAGAAAAAAGAATATTTCTTAAGGAAGAAACTTTATATAGCAGAGAAGATATACTACCCAAAACGACCTAATGCGGTTCGTAGAGCTGTGCGGTTCGTAGAGCTGTGCGGTTCGTAAAGCTTTAGACCAAGGAGGATATGCCGATGCTCTATTGGTAGACCTATCAAAAGCTCATGAAATACTGATAAAAAATTACGTGCTGTACTTAAAATTTATATCTTTCTGGCACATCAAAGACAAAGGGTAAAAGTAATTTGAGGCCTTCAGCACATTAAACAAAAATAGAAGTATCACAAGGATCGGTCTTTGGACCTCTTTTGTTTGACACATTTATAAACGATCTACTCTTCCGGATGAATGGTACCGAGATATGTAATTATGCAGAAGATAGAGCTTTGTATTCATGTAATAACGTGATTGAAAACATCCTATAAAAATCTTATCAGCCCCAGAAACCACATAAAGATGAACGAATATAAGTGTCATCTATTTAAATTTGGAGGCTATAAAGAGCCTGTCACAAATTATTTGGGAAATGCTAAAACAGAACAAAGGAATTAAGAAAATTGCTTGCTCCGTTACCATTTATCAGAAGAACGTACAGTCGCCAATGAAAAAAAAATCTATATGACAAAAAACAGCCTGACTCCTGTTTTTATGAAAAATTGTTTTTAAGAAAAATTCAAACCAATTCACACTTAGGACAGAGGGACATAGATAAAAAAGCATGGTCCTCATTACCAGAAGGCCTGAAAAACGCTGAAACATTGATAGCTTCTAAAAGGAGAAAAACGAAATTGGATTTGCCGAGATTGCGACGTAGGGTATGCAAAATCTTTATTCAAAATGCAGGATAAATAAAGTTTCAAAACTATATGTTGTTGCAGAATAGTTTTATCAACTTTTTATATACTGACGTATCATAATATTGTATACTCAGACTATTTAATTATGTATTATTGCAGTTTGAATTTGTTAATAGTTGGACTTAATTAGCTCGCAAAGTATGCCAACGCCAATTTCAAATTAAAGAAAAAAAGATAGATAAGGGGTCCTGTATCGAGTTATGTTGCTACCAAAACTCGTTTATTCGCAAAACTGGTATTTTTTCAGTTGACAGAATGTATTTTAAATCAAGATTCTGGTTGCGTTTTGCCTACATATTACAGGCTTACACATACAGGCTTATACAGAAATTTGGATGATAATTGGTAAGCCAAATAATGAAAATTCAAATGGAATATTCCATTGAAGAGTTTTTCATTGAAAATTGCACGGAAATTAGCAGCTTTGCGGTGAGATCAGCAACAAGAGTTTCAGACCTCTTGACGGCTAAATGCAGGTGTTGCATATGTCAGTGGTTAAGCAAGGTTACAAATTATGTTTTTAACTGCAAACAGCAAAATAACCTAGGTGCAATTGTAAACAAATGCTTCGAGCTAGAACCGTGAATCCGATTAATCAAACGTAAATATTACGTAACACATGCTCTAGTTACATAAAATGACATTTTAAAATGAAATATCTTCATTATTTTTTCAATAGTAAGTCAATCACCTCAACTAAAAAAATATGCAGATGGAGCCTAAGAATTCTTTCTACTTCCTAAGACCTCACTTAAAACTCTCGGCTGTGGGCTTGTCATAGTTTGTAAATATTTCGGATAACGTGAAGCATTCTGGAAAACTGCATAGGTTTTCTCGTGTCTCGTCAGGCAACCGTTGAGAATTATTCTCACGTTACCGATTGGAAAACATAAGTTTATGGTATAATCCAATCGATGAGGATTCCAATGATCATCGAAATTTGTCGAAGATGACGTTACGTTATATGTCCCTACCGTCGATTTATATACAGTCAGCCTTTCGCGCAGTTTGGAAAAAGACGACACCTTGCTAGGTTCAAGTTCAGACGGGTTAGAAACTATCACATAGCAAAGAAAGTGAATGATAGAAACAGATGGAATATTCCCAGGGAAATATACTAAGTTCAGAAAGGATATCTGGATCGACAAACAAGTTAATCATTGCTTCATAACGACCAAACCTCATAGCTTATGTTTGCGGATTCGAAAGGACGTCATGGCCATCTTTCAAATAATCATGCTATCAAAAAGCCGTTAAAATCGGTAAGATAAAAGCGGGGTGTAAATAGATGAAGGGTTTGTGTGCGAGGCCAGTGCTCTGGGGCCAGCAACGCGATGGGTAGAGTAAAAAAATGTACTTTTTCTTGCTGAATGAAGCATCCTCAGTGTTGCTACCGGATATTCATTTTCTGCCAGGCAGACAAGAGCTGAGTCTCCAAATATTAGGTTCCAGCCCGCAACTTCGGTACCGTAAATATCTCAATCAAATGATTTTGCCGGCCAGGGTACCAATTGCTATTTCCACTAATCGAAACATTAGTGTCATAAAGGCTAGGAGCCTAGATTGCAACTTAAGATGACTTTGATCAATTAAATAAGACTTACTGTACGCTTTGAACAAAGAAGGCACAAACCTTTAAGCAGTGAGAGTGGTACGAGTTCTTGTGTGCCTTTTGTCCTGAAGCGTGATGAACCCTGTTGCTTCTTCTGTCCTTTCATTATCTTTTTAACTGATGTTTTCCTTGTAAAAGGATCCAAAGTATCCTTGGTTTGGCCTGAAGATCCCCCGTGTGCTGGCATGATTCCTCCTTTATGTTTAATCTAAAAGAAAAGATACCAATGCTACAGCACCTATGAAAAAGCTTTTATCTAACCTTGTATGTAAGTTTTCGTAGACGCACAACCTTGTATTATTAATCATGGAATAATGCGTTTCACAAGAATGGCCCTTGTAATCATGTGGTAAGATAGACGGTGCCTCCGTGTAAAAGGTGTGCGAGGTGCATGCTGTCCACGAATTCCATGACCAACTTGACTAAATCACTTTCTGAGCCACTGTCTCCATAAAATTTCATGGACGAACAAAAGAGGCAAGTATCAAAGTTTCCCACTACTATCAACCATTATCTTCAAACTCATATTGAGTAGGAAGTATGGCGGGCCTAAAATGTGGACAAATACAAGTGTAGTTAGCAAACTGAGGGACATACAAACTGATAAAGTCACCGAGTATTTCTTTCTCAAAACACTACCTAGGTTCAAAACTGCCATGGATTAACAAAGGCTATTCAAAGAAAATGATGAATTATATAAACTACGATTTAAGGGAGCAATCCTGGGGTGTTGGTAAATTGCAAGATAGCATGCGAAAGTGGAGCAAATTAAGAACAGATTGCAACACCTTTATCGCATAATATTCATCAGAATATGACACATTTGGCCATAAAGGTTATACCTATGTTATCGGTCGAATTTTGGACAAACTGCATGTTCAAAAAGAATAATTTGCAATTTTAATTCGTGTAAAACACACAAAGGAACCAGAACATTTACGTATGCTGACTGAACGAAAATCAAAATGGTTATCCGTTTCGATTTTGCCAATGTAAAGCTTCAAATTCTACTTACGCTGATTGCAATTATTATTCCTACTCCTCATTAATGATCTGAGTTAACATAGTCAAAGCCACGGGGGTCTTCCTTCGTGTTATTTGCTTCGATTGATCTAGCATGGTCCTTAAGCTACATATCATTACGACAGCAAGCCACTTCTTTCGCCTGAGCAACTATACACTACCTTAACAGGATAAAGCCTGGCAATTAGCGAGGCAGTCCATTATGGATGTTGCTGCTCTCTATCATGAGTAAAGACCCTGTTACCATTTCAAATCAAGCAGCACATCTAAACCAAGCAAGACTCAATGTACGCAGGTGCATAAATCGATCTTTGAGGTTTTCCATGCCTGAATTGAAATTCATCGTACAAATATTTGCTAGTGAACAGTAAATCGATATTGGGCAACAGTGGATTTTTGATTGCAAACCTGACTTCAATGTCTGACAGGGTCACAGAAGGTTTTACTGCATGATAAAGAAATCGATAATTCAATTTTCATGACAGTTAGTCAAACAGTAAAAGCCGCAGCTCAACATTCGTACTATAAAGATATTTGGCTAATACTCGAACAATGACGGTCTTAATTTTTCTGAATTCTATATCACCTTTGTTTCAAATTAAAACCAACAGATAGAACAAAAATTCAATTTGGCTTAGCGGATAAAATCCAAGACATAAGAATTAGTTTATAGTTGTCTGAAGATAAAGCATCGGTTTGTTAATGTATTCCCAGTCATCGGGGTTGATTTTTCCTGCAGAAGTTCTTTCAAAGAACAGTTTTTAAGGGAAAAAGTTCGAAAATGGTGGATGACCATACAACATAAACCATCTTACTGCATACAACGCGAATCGAATAGCCAAAAAACTTAATAAAACAAAGTAAGAAATATACCCCTCTAAACTAATGCCCTAGAAATCATTTCAGTGCAATCGTACTACGCCATAAGGAAAGAATGTTGAACTAATGCAAGTTTCCTCCATTTTATACATTGTTGCTGATAGAAGATCTTTCTTGTCTTCTATATGATAAAATATAACTGAATTCACCTAACTAAACACAACTCCGTATGGCATTTCGTATAAACGTACTTTAAAATCCTGAACAAGAAGGCTGCAGGTCCTAATACTCCCAACAGCTGCTCTTCTAGGGATTTTGAAGGGCCTAAACAGGTAGAAGGTAAATTAAAGACACCTGGTAGTAACGAGAATCCTGGCATAGATTCCTTGCAAAATAAATTGATCCCTTTTTTCTATCAGGAAATGTTCGATTGACTTGTTTTAATGAAAGGAGAACGTGCTCTTAATTCTTGCTGTTATTGCTGAATAGTGTCAAGAATTGAATAGAATGAAATAAATACATTTAGATTAATGACACAATCTCTTTGTGCAAATTATGGGAGACATATACAACATAAACATCATTGTCGAAAACACAGAAGACCAACAAAAACAAAGTATAGATTCATCCAAAACACTTTTTAAACCTAGTTCAACGAAAGCTTTAGGTAGCTATGCTTTTAATCAGAAAAACTTGCACAAAAATTATGCCATGTAATTTTTTAAAAGTGAATATTTTACCTGTTCACAAAGTGAAAGTTTTAAAAAATACTACAGCACAAACATTTTTAAAATAATTTTCTTTACAGAAATTCCAACAGAAGGCATGCAGATGCTGCTTTCATGAGCTCAACAAGCAGATGTTTCAAAACACACGTATCAACAATGTCAAAATGAATGTGAAAAAAGTCTTTAAAAACCAGCTCTTACACATGTCTTGAATACCTGGCACATACACCAGTTGCATTTAAAAGTCTTCAACATTGTCTTATCAGATGTACAACCAAAAAGGAATCTAATCATTTAGCTCCAATATATCTTTGTTCAATGGATAAGGAAGACTAGGCAGCAAGTACTTAAACTTACTCCTTTTACGCAAACAGAAGAAGATTAGGACCTTAAGCGAAACCATGTTCATAATCTACCAGTAAAGCCCATATCTAAGTTTACACTACCAAAGTTTGCTAACTATTTCTGGGAAACAGAACCAATTTTACAAATGGTTTTACACTTTCCCTATTGATCTTTGTTTTCACAACTGAGTGCCTAAATTCAGTTTAATTTTGTATTCTAAGCAGAGCTTTTTTTAAGATATGCTGGCAGAAACCTACACATCTATATGAAAAAAGAAGTGACTGTATTAGGAGACTTGTTAGCAGAAGCTGCCTATCTGCACATTTGAAACCCCAATTGTTTATATCTTTCTGATCTACTGGCTGATGCCCAATGAAAAACAAATAGGAAAATGCTTATGGTGCAAACCAGAAATGCTATCTTTGGTGATTCTATGTTCAAGGGCAGCATAAACTCTGCAACAATATAGCTCATCAATAACAGCCAACCACTGAATCAAGAACTTATATGAAGATTGACAGCAAGTTCAAAGGTTGCTTTGGAAAAGTTTGTTTTGACCTTAAATTAACAATGTTCCTAAGAAATTATTGACTCTGTGATAAAACAGACACTGTAAGCTGAATGGAAGGTAAAAGCTAACTCAACTCCAAATTTTTAGAAGAAAGCACTTTCTTCTTGCACTGAACACCTCTCTTTACACTCTGAGTTGAGGACTACTTAAAATATAAAATAATGAAATACAAGATTACTATTACTAAGATTACCCTGTTGAAAATATCACACCTCTTCTCCTTTCATTCTTTATTGATAGTCACACACTGACTGAATGAGGCAAGTGCTATTTGATCAATTAATGCTGGAATTTTATTTGGCTGAAGTAGTGTCTGACTTATACTCATCAGCACTGACAATATTCATTATCATACAGTTCATAGCTGGGCATTGTTGGTAATAGTTTGTTTGTTTGTAATCTTATTTTAAATCAAATATATATCATTTTAATCTACAATACCATAACTTTTTGATTATTTACAAAATATACATATTAAATCAACAATTTTTAATAAGTTTTCAACACAAATTTACAATAAAATCATTAAGTTTTGCATATGTTGCATGTACAGGTTGTCCCATTTGCTTATTTTGCTTAAAGCTTGCCTATAGTGGCCTATTTTGCCTAAAATTTAGACCCCAGGAGAGCTCATCATGGTGGTTGTATCCATTTTATTTTCCTTCAAGTCGTCACTGTTTCTATTTTTGCGCATTTTGCAATTCTCTTGTAAATAAATATACTGATTGGGTAACCATTAGCAACACTTTCCTGAGCTTCTGACTGGCCTATTTTGATCCCCATCTGGGTTTATATATACTTTAATATTTCTTAGCTTAAAGTTTTAGATCTATGTATTTTGGTGTTTTACACTTTGCAGAGTTTCAAAAGACAAGCCTTAGTATATTGTGAAGTGTTTTCTTTTACAAAGCCAAATTCAAATATATCTAGTTTGCTCAAACTTTGCTTCATTAATTTTGCCTCCACACTTTGTTTTCATAGTACAACTAGCAAGTTCCCCATATTTGCATCGGGAGAGCTACATTTCCAGTTACTAAAAAACAAGGCTTTCAAACTGGAAGTCCTTTCAATAGCTTGCTTCTAATCACTTGAAAATAAGAACTCCTTGCCAAAATGTCAATCTAGGCATTAGCAGAGGACAAGTACTTCAGACTGACCATTCAAACAAGGCAAGTACTTTTTGAAATGAGGTATAGGAAACTTTGGTGTGCCAGGACTTATCTGACTCAAATGACAAAGCCTGCTAAATACTCTCTTTGAATCTTACAAATATAAATAGAATGGATGTAAACTTTGGTATTTTGTCTGCAGACTAAATGCTAAACTTGTCCATGTTTGCACTGATGTCCAATGAAAAATTTAACCTTTCAATTGACAGCATCTACAATTTTAATGGGAGGTTTCTGCAAAAGGCTGGTTTTGACCAGATCATGATGAAAACCTACAAACTCACAAATCAGCAGCAGCTAAATAAGCTATTCACTTCCAAATTGGTAGCCTAATGTGATTGATAAGGATCATGCTGAATATTAGAATTAATTAAAGAAAACAAACACCTGGAGCTGGAAGTGTGGTTGCTCAGAATGGAGCAGGTATATATATTAATAAAATAGAAACAAACATAGTTCTCCATCTGGAAAATCATTCATATTTTATCTTTGTAAACTCTGATGAAGCCTTGTATGTCAGGGTAAGACATTAGTTTTAACATATTTTATAACTTTTTTAATTCTTTAGCTCTTCAAGTTATATTGCATTCATCATTTATTGTTCCTTATTACTTTGCATTGTTACCATCTATTTTACTGATTCTTGCAGATCTGGTGAAGAATATGATGGGAATTTTTGCAAGAAAAACATGGCAAAAAAGAAACAATGAGACATGTTTCACATTCATACACAGTTTAGTAGAGGAATTTGAGTTTTTAGTGATTGCTATTATGAAACAGAAGAACATCTTGGAGATTGTTGCTTTGAAGATAAAAACAATGCATGGTAGGAAAATTTACAACTTTGGCAACAGTGCTCACCTCCTTAGAACCATATAAAGCACAAGCTCTAATATTGTAGATGTATAAAATGAAGCCTCAGAATTGAGTATTTTAGCTTCAGGTAAAAAAGTGCATAAAGGGGATAGAATTAGTTACATGGGAAAAATTACAAATTACATTAAGGGTCAACAAAAGTCAATAATTGTCTGATGTGCACAACAGGGCAGTCTTTAGTTGCAACTTCCAGTTTCACATTTACACTCTTTTTTATAACAACACTCAATATAAGAACACTGGACCTTGACATGACAAAAATAAGAACAAAGTTAGAGCATGCTAGCCTCAGATTTTTACATAATTAGAAGAAATAACAGTGTGTGTTGAAACTTTTTTATTGTGTTAAAGTTGATCACCCATGGTGTGACATGAATGTTATTTGGTGGTCATACAAACAAATACTATAAGTAGTTGCAGAAAAGTTAAACATATAAAATCTATGAACTATCAATGTTGAAATAAGTACAATATTAAAAGCACCCAAGCCCCAAACTATCCAAAAAATAAGAACATCAAGCTTCTGTTAAAATTAAACAACTCTTATAACAAAAAGTTAATCCTCTTGTGAGCTTATACATTTGAACCATCTTAGGACCATACTGTCTTTTGCATATAAGTGTGCAGAGTTCTGCATACCAATATTTGCTATACTTTAGGAATTCTACTGTTACTCGGCCTTCTCCCAAATTATGTGAATCAGTTGTATGCCATCACTATATTATTTTCATCCAAGCTCCTAATTTATCAACAGAATACAAGTCAGACAACAATCTTGCTATAGATGAACAATAAGAGAGGAGCCTTAAAAGTATTCAGGAAAAGGATGTACACTACACATACAAAACTTGCACCTTTCCATTGGCTTTAAAATATAGTGTGCTGCATTTTACTTTTGCACTGTGGATTTACTTATGAAGAGGTTAATACGGTTCTAATCAAGAGAGGGGCCTCATGTTGCCTCGCCTCATCAATCACTGAACGATAGATAGCTATAGGAAGTGCAAGTGAATACACTCGCACTGCAAGGCGATAACTCACGGTTAAACTGCCGTTGTTTTCCTACAAGAATGGACGATGATCTAGCCGCCTGTTGTTTCCGCTAGGACATTGTGAAAATCTCATTCCATCGAAAATATAAACAAAGATTGCATTGCCTTTTACTCCTTGTAGAGGTCGCGATATGTGTATAATTCTACACGATATATTTTAATGAAATTGACAAATATTGGAAGAGAACTGCTAAACAAATCAAACGCAACTTACAGAATTACAAGTAAGGGGCGGTTTGAAAAACCTCCCAGCGGTATCTCTCATGAAAGCCCAGATCAGATTTCGTTCAAAACGTTGAAACTTGAAGTGGTAGCGGTAGCGACATACAAACAGTGACCCTTGCCATATATTTAATGACCTTTTCTATCCTGAATCCCCCGTGGCTGTCTAAACTCCATAAATTTGGTAATAAACTATTGCTAAATACCTCTTTAAGTTCCATTACCCGGTGTATTCACTATTGTGGCGACTTGTAGCCAAGCTGGTCACCGAACTGCTAGGCCAATCTCCTGCCCAACTGCTCTCAAATGACTTTGAATTTATAGCAACTCAAGCATCGTTTCCACAATATTTCTAGTCAGGTAGCTAGTTAAAAGTCATGAACACGTTACCTTGCAGCGAAATCTCTGCTTACTCAATGCAGAGGCCGGAAATTGCAAGCAAAACTACTCATATTTTAACATTATTTGTCCCGATTATACAAATAAATCAACGGGATCCTCCAGTCTCGATTGTAACAAAACTACGCATGCCCAGAACAATTGGGCTGATCACCATCAGAGGACTGGGGCGAGATTGTCTTACCCCTGAAAACGCCCTTGGTAAACTGGCCAATTTACAAAGAACGTTTGTCATTAGGTGTGAAAATATTAAATATTCATTTATAAGGCAATCTAATAATTGAGCAAGTTGTTAATTGATTAAAAAAACAAATCAGATGGTTTATTGAATAAGTGAAGCTACAATCCCTGTCAAAAGTCTTCACTGGCGTCAGTTTCCATGGTCCAGTGGGGACTGGCCTTTTTCGCCTGGAGGGGCCAGCAGCAAAATGGCGCCCTTCGTAACTAACATTATTGTCTTTTTCTGAAAAAATTGGCAGTATGGTAATGCTCTTATATTTTTTAACCTTGTATGTCAAGGATAGATTGACCACCACTTGAGCACAGGGGCCCAAATATAACAATTTTTCATGAGGGTGTCAGGACAAGTTGGACCGACTCACATACGAAATTGACTGACTCTTCAAAGCCAATCCAAGCATATAAACTGAATAAAAATGTGTCAAGAACATGTTTGGGGAAATTCCAAGAGTTACCCCTACGATGTGGTAAAATGAGGGCTTTGTTCTCTTTGTGACAGTTGTGTTCATTTGGCACCTTGGAAGGGGATCCAAAGCGCCAGATAAAATATATTCCTTTGTTTTGCTAAACTTCTACAGTACTTTGGGGCAACTAAACAAGCTCAAAACATGCATATAGTACAACTTACAGTCAGGGGGCAAATTAGGGGGGTGTCGGGGTAACAAATAATGGAAAGAGTCGGTTTTAGCCAATATGTGGAGGATTCCAGTTACTCCTAAGGCTAGAAAATGCGATTTCTAACATATCTTTGGATTCACTATGACACAAGTGAAAGATGCTACAGTAAAAAATGATTATAAGACTATGTCATCTGAATCAAAATGAAGTAAATATTTCATCGAACTTATTTCATGAGAAAATTAGGCCCGACCTAACTTTCTTGTCAAAAACACACACAGTTCGGCAATCATACGGCAAGACTAAACCTAACTATAAAACCACCCTTTGCATAAATTAAAGAATAATACAGTTTACAGAAGCTGATGCAATCGCAGCGCAATGATGCAATTGTCATGTGATGTCCTGCAATGAATGGGAACCGTGTTCTAACAGTATGGCCCTTATAAAGAAACCTGAAGTACCTACTCGCAGTGGCGGCGCCAAGGGGTGGTATGGGGGGGGGGGTAATTACCTCCCCACTTTTCTGAAAATATGGTCTATATATTTCTTCTAAAAATTGATTAAAAAGCGCTGGGTAGGGGTAGATCAAATTTCCCAAGGAATGGGACGAATCATTGGAACGAGGCAAAAGAGGCGTGGTCACACTGGCCACGCCCATTACCCTCCCACTCTGTAATAGCTGGGGCCGCCACTGCCTACTCGTTAGAAACATCAGCAACGCCGGAACGACCAAGGGGCAAGAGGGCAGGCTTGAGTAAAAGGGCATTCGAAAGATAATTCTCAACTTCTACTAATTCCTTCGTAGCTGCCATTTCATTTCGATCTTCTGTAGGTATCTTGAACATTGGCTATCTTTTGGCATAAGGAATCTTTTTACAAGTTTTGAGAAATTTCGTCATGACTGTCTTCGGAAAATGTCTGTGTGCCCCATGAGTGCTGTGCCCATGAGTGCTGTGCACACAAAAGAATTTAACAGTAAGTTTCCTGACACTTCTCTACAAAATTGATTAATTTTTGAGCCCGTGCGAACAGTAAAAATGTTTTGTCTGGATAATACAGTACTAAATGGGTACACCACCCCTAAATGGGTACACCACCCCTAAATCAGCCCCACCCCTCTTCATAACTTTAAAGGGATCTCCATAACTTAAAAAACTCTATATCTGGGGAAACTAGGGTTGACATGTTTACGCTCCCCCCGACGACGCCCATGGCTCCCGATAGGCCCAAATTGAATTCATCGGCCAAGCTAGAAGAACCATTTTTCGTGGTTTTTTTCTGCTTGTATTGCGGACAATTTTAACTGAAAATAGATAGTCCTACATATTTTGATACAAGGAATTTTATTTTCATAATGGCTATTGCTCAGCTCTGCACCAATATTAAAAGAAAATAGGTACAAGGGTAGAGAGTGCTCAGATTTCATACGGATTAGAATTCTTTTAAGTTCGTCTAACTCTCTACACCCGTGTACCTACTTTCTTAGAATATTGGTGCAGAGCTGAGAAAGAACCATAACTAAACGAAACCTTCTACTATCAAAATAAAAGGGCTATCAATTAGAATTTTCCCCAATGTTTTTCCCCTTAGTTCTTATTTCGAACGTATGTTACTGGACATCGAAGGAAACAAGATAGCGTATGTTGCTAATCGGGTTCTTATGCAAAGGATCCTATTATCAGCATACGGATAGTACTTAGAACTGTCCAAGAAACCATTCTAAAAAGAGAGGAATAACAAATATTTTAATTTAAAGCCACCCAATAATACCAATTTCCCGTGCTTAGAAAAAACAGAGAACATGGGAAAACCAAGCTCATCAACAATGGACGAAAAGAGGCGACAAAAAGAAAAATGCAAATGGGAACATTCGTTATCGAATTATTTCAAAATGGTTCACGTTTACAGTAGGCAAAAGAACTTCCGAACGAAGGCACTTAGAATCGGTTAAATATTTCAAAAAGGCTCAATTGTTCAAAGCATGAGCCTGAAAATTCACCTGCTAACATAACATGTGAAATTAGCTTTTTTCAACAACAATAACTGACGATGGGACAAGCCCTAACTCTTTCAAAGTCTTCGACATTTCGGAAGGGGCGAAAGTTTTCCTTGGGAAAGTTGTCATCAGGAGCAAGGGAGTATCACCATGGTAGCCATTGACATTCGCATATTCACAAAGTTCCGACAGCATGTCTGTTGGCTTGAAATTCGCAGTCTTTGTTGAGCCATTTGGGAAACGAAACTGATAAAGATAAAAGCGACATATGAATACAGCAATTTGTGAAAAAATATGGTGTTTTTATGAGGTACTAAGAACATAACAGAAAAATCCAACTTTCAAAATACACAGAATCTTAACATTTCCAGATATGAGTATATGGAGTAAACACAAAAAAGCTTGAAATTCCAGGAAAAATACATACTTAAGTTCTGCAAAATATTTATAATGCTCGGGAATGGTAGGTTGTTTCCTGGTCAACTTCAATTTTAACTTTCCTCGGTTTATAAAACGTTTACAATATAACAGATGGACAAAGGGATTGACATCGAAATAAAAGCGGAAAAAGAGCAATTAAACAAAAGCTTCTAAGCAACAAATATATAGCCTGAGTTCCAGAATATATCAATAATGAATAAATCTACAATAACGAAATTTACAAAATGAATATATTTACTTGTATTTTGCAGGTATCATATTCTTTGCCCTCTTTCGCAACTGTTTCATGCACAGAAGGGGTAGCAACAGCCTGTGGAGGAGCAGTTGTGCCTTGTGACGTAGACCCACCCGTCGCCTGGAAATTGATATAGTAAAATTATCAGTGTTTGGATATCAACCAGCTAAGAAGCTTTGAAAAAATGAATAAATTTTAATCCCGTTTTTATATTTAAAAAAATTGATAAGCAGTCAAAAGAAATTTGGCAGCTGTAGGCATGCTTTTAAAACAACGTTTTAATGTCCTAGGCAAGAGTTACAGTATACCGGATTGCTATAGGAGCGGAGTAACTTTTACTTCGGAGTGATATTTGAGGTAGCAGTTACACTATGACGCTCCGCTTGCTCATACGCCTGCATATCTTTGCTTTTCTAGTCCACAATGCAGTGTGCTTTTATAAACTCATACGTAAAATGCACGAGATTAAATTTGTTGATGACCTGATCGAAGCTGTGTACAGTTATAAATTTGTTCTCCATAACTACTGCATAAAATTACGAAAACAATCCTGAAAACTGAGAGACAGTTGATGGGATTCCGCTGGAAGGATAGCGAGACTGCGTTGCTATTTGATATGTTTAAGTATGTATTTCGTCCCAGTGCTGCTTCAATGGAATTTGGAAAAATAAATTCAAATACAATGAAAAATATCTTGGGGTAGGTCTAGATAATACTGACAAGCTGTCCTTCCTCTCGCAAAATGACAATATGGACAAAACATGATTTATTCATTTCGTAGCATGATTGCTAGCTTTCTTGCCGTGGTAAGAAGGAGGAAGTTCACTTCAAACAGCATTCCAAATCAGTGGCGAAATTTTTTGGGGGTGTGGGGGGCAATCGCCCCCCCAGGTAAGAATTTGTCGGCAAATCTGCGACTATGTCGGTAAATTTAATATGGTTTTGGTTGAAACGAACTTCCTATGCACGTGGCTAAAATCTTCGACGGCAAACCTTGGCAGTCCCGCGGGCAAACCCGAAGTTAGGGGTCTAGAATACAGGCTAACTCTTCTTAGCTTTTGATTTGACAATCACGTTTCCCTTAGCGACAAGGAGACAAGTGAGTATGTCAATCACAAACAATTCCTTCTATTGATTTTTTATACACCAAGAATGGCCAAAACGCTCAGCAGGGAGGAGGCTCAGCAGATAGGAGCTCATGACAACCAAAAATGTGTCAATTCAAAATCCAACCAATGGGTCATTAATTTTGAAAAAAGGTTATTCTTATCGATGCTATAAATATTCATGCATTTTCTGGCCATATTTAGAATGTCATATTTCAAATATTTTCTCGCTGCCAACCATGGTGGCGGCTTTCAATAAACCATTGAGCAATATAAACATTTCCCTTGTCACTTGCAAGGAAGTTTCCCCCAGCTCTTTCCATGGTATCAATGTTCTGATCTTAGCTGCCCGCTCAAACAATCAATGTACCAGGCTGCTCAACCCATGATCGGAAAACCATCGACCCTCGTCATGTTCAAATTGCAATTATCACATGACATGAACAACTTAGAAATTTCTTAGAGCCCCCCACCCCCCCCCCTCCGTTTAAATTTTACGACTACATCTCTGCTAGAAATGTGGGCAACGTTTTTCTCGGTTTATTAAGTGTCTTTGCCCCCCAGACAAAATGCTCAATTTCCGCCACTGTTTCAAATCCATAAACTTAGTTAGATCTTGTCTCCTTAAACAACGCTATCAAACATGATTTAATTTCTGGTACTTTTTGGCTCTCATCTCTGTTTATAAAAAGGTCATATAATTTCATAAATACGATTTTGGCACCGCAAAATATAAGATGGCACAAAATAGCGGAAACATTTTGTTGGTTCGATTCATTTCGTTGTTTCAAGTTTTGAGATTTTGTTGAAACAAATGCTACCTCGTGCCATCTTCAAATTTCATAAATGGTGGACGAAATTAGAATTTAGGTGGTATATTTCAAAAAATGTTAAAGCATAAAATTGTGGCAGCCCATTGTTATTCACAAGTCTCCTATATCAAAGTGAATGGCTCCGTTCTTTGTCGCACAAAACTAGACAATCTTTGGGAAAGGTAATTCGTGTTTTTTCGATTCTTTCTTCAATATTGGTAACAAATATTCATGTTTCCTTACCTGTGCTGCTTTTAAATTTGCTCTGTCTTGTGCAATTTTCTGCTTTAATTTTTGCCTAAAGATCAAATGAATTGATAACAATTCACAAGCTTGTTACAAGAAGTGGAAAATACTATAAGTATACCAGAACAAAGAATCATCAAATTTAGTGACTTAGATTCTTAGATCTAAAACAACATAATAATTGACACATTTCCAGCTATTTTTTCAAATTTATATAACGATGGTTACATTCAAACCTGTGCACCCAATGATTCACACAGAGAAAGTAAAAAACTTCAAAAAGCTAAAATCTGAAAACCAGTATATATGAAATTAGACAATATCATGTCTTCATATGCAAGTTTCAATTTACAGTTTTGAATGCCTTTCTATTATTAGGCAATGCTTTCAAATATAAATAATCTTTTTCAGTTAATATGAACGTGGATTTACACCTAATTTAATGCATGTGGAGATGCTGCTAACTTATCTATCATAAATTGCTTGATGCACTGTAGTCAGAGTTGTAAACACTCTGATGTATAGAACAGGGTGGTTCGAAGTTGCTACTCCAAGTTTCACGCTTAATGCAATCATCAGGCAGCTTGTCGTGCTGATATAATTGAAAATATCAAGCGTAGCTAAACGTATTTGTTAATACCAAATATTTCATGACAGTGACTTCTTAAAAATTTGCCATGAACTTAGTTTAACCTATTAAACTGATTGGTTGGATGCTACCAAAAGATTCTGAAGGCAACTGGCCTAAGTCCCTAAGACCTGCTTCAAACGTTGAGCAAACCAAATTCACGAATTACGAACATTAGACGCACGACTTTGGACCTGGCCTAAGCCTTCTTAAAAGTAGCGGAACGTGTCAACATGTTTGTGTTCCAGTTTGTCTTGTTCTCGTAAGACAAAAATACGTTTGATGGTGGTCGTGTCGAGTTTTAAATTACATAACGTCCGGCTCATTATGATAAAAAATTTCTAAAATTAAAATCGCTTTGAAAAAAGCAAACACTTGAGTAAACATTCGCAATAAGCAAGCGGCACTGATTGGTCAACCTCAACATTCATGTGCTCGCATTTCTGATTGACCTATTTCGATCCACAACTGGGAATATATATTTCCTAGCGTAGAGTTTTCGATCTATGTTCTGACGTTTTAAACTCTGAAGAGTGTCAGACGAAAAGCTTTAGTTTACTCAAATGTTTGCTTTTTCAAAGCCATTTTCAAGTTTTATACCACCAAAAGATTGTTTGAAAATTAAAATCCTCAATTAAAATTTTGCATTGCAGCCATGTGTTTAACAGCGCATAAAAATTAAACATTTCCAGGATAAAGATCACGTACAATAACAACCAAGAAAAAAGGAAAAGCAGCATGCAATTCTTAGGTCAAAAACGAAGACAACGTGGCATATTTAATCAACTGAAAACTTTTTGACAACAAAGCACCTCATTTGACCGCTTCAGAACTATACTATTGGCTGTGACATAATGGTTGGAACAAGGTTGCATATCTTTATGGACAATAAAGCGTTTTGCTCTTATCAAAAATCGAATTTCTTCCTTGAAAAACAGGCGTTAGAAAATTTTGTGAAGGAAAAACAAATCATCTACAAAGCATCGCAAAGGATCACAAATAGTAGCATCATTCGTTGATTAAAAATATAAAGGAAATAAAATTTTAGATTTCTCAAGCTATACCTTGGTGTTTATCGATGGTAAACACGCCGGAAAAAAGAAAAAAAATACAGAACAAGACTACAAGATAGATCGATTATGTTGCTTGGGCAACAATCAGTTACGAGGCTTTCATTTGGAAATTTCAACATAGATGGTGTCAACCAGAACTTATCAAGGATATCCCTTCACATCAAAGTTTAATGGGAAATGAAGTTGATATTTCTTACACTTTTGAATGACATATGACAATACTTAAAAGTTTAAATCTAACTTATTCAGCCAGAATACCTTATGACAAACGACAAATACCAAACGCCACAGGCCACATAAATAAGAACAATTTCTGCGTAACGTATAATTCCCATACCGGTACAGCCTATCTTCTTGCTTTTCACGACGGCGCTCATCTGCCAGTTTTTGAATTTCTTGATATTCATGCCTAATAACAAAATCAACTAATTAAAACTAAATACAAAGGATACTAAGAAATTCAAAATAGGCGATAAAATTTCTGATATTCTTTTTCCCAAGCAATGTGGAAATTTGGTAAAATACAGAGAAAAAATAGAATACAACATGCAATATCTTCATCTATCTGCACCATTTTTCTGGCAGAGAGACAGGGCAATAGCATAAAGGTCAATTCAAAAATATAATCAGCAGATGATTGAAGATACTTATGTGGAAGGTGCGACTCGCGGTTTTTGAGCAAAATGTTGACTCTAAAATTTTAACTAGAAAGAAATACAAAGCTGATCATAAAGAACACTCTATCAAAATTTGAAAATTTGAAAATTTCTCCTGCAATAAAACTAACTTTTGCTTTGCTTCTGTAATTTCTTTTCCCATTTTTCTTCTGATTTTTTCACGTTTTTTGGCTTCCTTAAAGATACAAAATAAATATCACATAAACAAATGAAAATAACGTCTTGATTGAAAATCATAAAATTGATGCATCTTATCATAGATGGAGCGGTTTCATAGATTTGTCTAATATCCTCGCCACAGTGACAAATACAGTTAATAGTCTTGTTTAGAATACAAATCAACATAGTAATACACACCCGTTATCTATAAGAAACTGAGCCCTGAGATGATCGAAAAACTGGAAAACCATAGAACTGATCACCCGTCGAAAATTCTTCTTTCAAAGATAGGATGAAAATGATTCTTTTCGACGACTAGGCACCTACTTCCTGTTTAACTGACAAACAACACCATGCCTGCCAAAAGTATTTAGAGCACCAAACAATTTGAGCCATGTTTTTCAATTCTTTTCCCGAATATTTCAACTTCCGCAACCCCCCACTCCTCATGAACAATATTAATAGTTCATACATCGTCACAGGAAAAAACGTGCTTCTTAATCTCCTACATCTTTTAGTAGTAAACCCACATTTTTAAAAGGGAGATGAGGATGATAGAATTTTGCCTTGAAAGCTGATTTTAGTGTAACAAGACTTGGCAGGCATTGTAAGTTATTAGATAGGAGAACACTTTGTGACTTATAAGGTGATCTATTTCATGTTATCTCCAGTTACGCTTTTGTGCTTCTAAAAGTGGCTTTTTAGCATATTGTATTTAAGAAATATTATTATGAAATATTTAGCAACACAATAAACAAAAAAATTTTAGGCTAGTTTTACAAGAAAAAGAAACGAGTATAAAAAATTGCGAACGGATTCGATAACCTCCGGGAGAGTTTTTTTAATTTTTGAGACTGCAAAGCAGGCTTATTAGAAAAAGGGGTAATTAAGGAATCAAGATTAAGGTTACAAAAATGTCCTTCTTTTCTTTATTTTGAGGTTCCAGAGGAGGGCTTATTAGAATGGGGTTTGTTAAAAAATTTTAGATAAAGATTTTTATAAATGTCTTTTTATCTAGAATAAAGGATCACTTTCAGCGCAAAATGTTCGAGAGTTAAAGGAGGAAAACTGGCTGTGAACTGCCTCTGCTTAACAGCTTCAATGCCTTGCTGTATCAAATAGCAAGTCTAACGAATGAAGCACTTAAAAGTAACATGTACATATAAGTGGAAGATGAAAAGCGATAAGAAAAATAGCAAGATGATATGAAATATCATCACTACTATTAACTTTATTCAAACTGTGAAAAACTCAAACCATACCTCCTTTTCAGCTTCCTCTCTTTCTCTTCTTCTTTCTGCCAATTTCTTTTGTAACCTAAAGAAAACGATAAAGTTATCACGAATGGTACCCATTGAATTAGTTAATAGGAGTTTTAGTGAGGATTGTAGGAACTACTGTTATATAAAAAGAAAACGTGAAGGGGGCAAACTGACAGATTTCATGAAAATCACATAACCTAGAACATTGCCTAGAACTAGCATGCTCTTGCATATAATTACAAGTTAGAAACAGTTTGTTGATATTCAAAATTCTTATAAAAGTTCATTGGTGGTGTTTCCCCTTTTTGATATCGATACCAAGTTTTTGATTTGTTGAGAAGCAAATTTGGTATTATCAGTTAGCTTGAGTTCGTTCAAATTAAAGCTGTATTTCACACATGAGACTATTACTCACTGTTCAACTTGCTGCTGCTTTTCTTCTTCTGTAAGCGGTCGTACTGCTTCAGATGACTCAGCAAATTGCTGGTGCCCAGTCCTGGCTGCGTGTGCCTACATTTACAGATAGAACAGACTTTGTTGATTAAAAAAAAATGACTAGTGTCTATGGCAAAAAGCTGATGCCTAAAACAGTAACAAATGAGAATTAAGCCAGCAAATTGGGCAGAAGCAATTTTTAGCATTCCTGCTCGCTACTAACCTGGGCATCAAGTTCAGATTTTAGTTGTTTTCCACATCTAAAACAAATTTATCGATTAAAATAAAATAAAACAGAATATCAGAAGATGACCTACTTATTGAAGCCATTTTGCATATAATATAACTGAAGAAGTGCATGTTTCTGTTAACAAATTGCTCATCAAGTCTTGGCATTAGAATAAAAACGGATTAGAAATTAAAATAAACATTACATTGGCAGTCTTGAAATGAGCATCTAATCTAAACATTTAGACACATTCAGAAAACTAGAATTTTATAACGATAAAAGCTAATGCCAGAGCCAGATAGTTACCTAAACTATATAGATATGATAACACAGTAATGAGATATAAAAAGCCATTTTTCAAGATACACAATATTGATGAGCTTCTTTTAATCCTATAAACACCTCATTTTTGTATTAGTTTTGCAGCATAGATCTCATGGTCTCTATGACATGGCTTGGCAGAATCTCGTTTAGCCTTACTCATTACAAGATTACATCTTTATGAGAACATAAGAAAAAACCACTTAAAAACCTAACTGAAATGATAATTGAAGCATCAAGCAATATTGGCTGAGGCTTGATGCAAAAGCAGGTGATGAATATACTCCAATTTATATAAACAAACCATTAGTATGGAGCTATCTAAGCTAATCTTATGTATTGACAAATTAAATGATCCTGTTCAATGCTATTCAATGCTAAAGGCCTATTGATTGATACATTGATGATACAATGAATTGAAAAGAACTATTTACTTACTCTTCACAAACTAATGATAAAGCTTGCATTGGGGCGTCAATTTGAGCACTGGCTCCTTCAGAACTGTCGCAAGGCTTACTACTCTGGTTCTCTATAAAATAATAAAAATTGATGTTGAAAATATCATTATTGCTTTCATCTAAGTTAGGGATGAATTCAGGTATGTGGATGGTTACACCTCCTTCCCAATTAAAGGTAATGTGTCCATATAAAAGGGCTGCGTATACCCAACTTGTCAAGCAACATCAAAATAATGGCTTGCGATTGGTCCGTATTCTATAAAATAGCCTTGCTTGCAGCAGTGTAGATAAACAGAACGATCGTAGTAGCTGGGGCGATGACATGAAAAATCATGTTTCTGAAAACCCTCGAAGAGTTGCTAGCTTTAGCTGGACACATGACCTTTAAGTATCACATTCAAATCTTTTCAGAACACTACTTTTCAGAAGCTACTCACCTTCAGTTTTGTCTATTTGATCAGTGTCACCACCAACAGCTTGTCCAGCTGATCCTTGTTCTGGATTAGCCAGCAACCTAAAATAAATGCAAGTTAGATTTGACAAAAAATTTCATAAAGGCCAAAAGAGATCTCTTATGCAGCCCTATACCAAAAGCGGCAAAGAATAAAATGGATAAAAAATTTAGGTTCTGACATCTTTAAATTGAAGTATTCTAACTCAGCTTTTTTGCAATTGCCTGCTAAAAATTTACAGATCAAAGATGATTTTATAAACAAGTTCCCACAAACAATGCAGTATGACAAATATGCAAAATAAGTTATTTATATGTACGCTTATTACCAATTGATTGCAGCCTGTAGTCCTTGACCTGTAGTTGCTGCTTCAGCTGCTTCTCTAAAAACATAATAGGGTTCCAAGTAAAGAATGCTAGTCTGAAAAATACTTTTATATAGATATGCTCAAAATCGTTTAACTTAATTCACATTATCTGAAAATTTTGTAGTAAAATATATTTTAAACATCCTTCCACACTGAAGTGTTTTATTATCCCTGAATATATCTTTTGTGACTACTACATTTTCCTGTGGTATATTAAAAAAACTGAGCAGTTCAAACAGATAATGTAAGAGTCTCCTTGCTAGAACTATTTGTGTGTCACTTGAGATGGTCCCATTCAGATTGTCAGGTCTAAACTCACAGATTTCAAATTCATCTCATATTCTCACAGATGCTGTTCAAAATCTCACAGGTCTACACCTTCAGTCAATGTTATAGCAAAGTATAATAATTTGCTAGATTTTCTCCTTTTAGAAACAAAAGTTTGCTTCTAGGTTAGCTTTTCCTTTAAGGTGAGGGGTACTTGTTAACAATTAGGTACTGGGGATAGTAATTTATACTTGTTCTTTAAACCCAGAATCTCTTCAATTCAAGGAAATCTGAGAAGCCTAATGAAAAAAGATTTCCTGGGTAGGATTTTGCCACAGAGTCGATACTGGATACCCCAAGTCTCACTTGAACATACTTCAAAAGTTGGCAACTATGAGCCATTGATTGAATCATTCTTTTATTACAAATGGAGGTAGATCCATCAAAAGACTGCAGAATTTATACACTTACGCTCTTTCTTTTGAAAAACCCATTTCCATTAGAAAATTTAGATTTTCACTCGCTGCCATCTAGATTAGAAAAATGAACATTAAGATGTGGTACAACCTATCATTTAGCTTCATGCCTCATCAATTTAAGCATTGAGGATCTCACTAAATCCAAAGACTGTGATGGTGATGCTGATAGAAAAATTTCCACATTCCAAAATTTAGGGTTAAGATATCAAATATTGCACTTCTCTCTTTAACAAGCAAACCATTGAGGAAAGAGCATTCTTGAGGAAAGAGCTCTCTCTTGATTAGTTAACCTGTTTAGAGAGCTCCTCCTTAATCAATCAATCTTAAATACAATCATGTAAAGTTCTTTTACTATAGTCTTTAATTTTAATTTATTTTTGTGTAGTGTGGTATTTCTGTATGCATTTAGGTGTAGTGTATTATGTAGAACTGTATTTAGGATTGATTGATGAATGATGAAAACTGAACCTTGCACATTCACTTATTGTATAAAATGTAATCATTGACATATATTTATTTGATTAGATTATATTATGAAAGCAACATGGCTTGAAGATCTTTTGCAAACAAAAAAATTCCATCAAGACCTTGCTAAGTTTTTTGTATGCAAACAAACAAGTGAAAACATCGTTTTGAAGGTACATGGCTTGCATAACCTTGTAATAAACAATGAGGTATTTTAATTCATGTTTCCAAAACAAAACTTAAACTAAAATCAGGGGCGGATCCAGAGCAAATTTGAAGGAGGGGCAGTTGGTAGTGGGGGACCTAAAAAATTTGCAAAAGTTGGTGACGAGAGTTCGCTGTATACAACAATTTCAGATCCATTTTCGGAATAAACAACATAACTTTGAGGTAATCCTTGAAGCAAATTAACTTATCGGTCTCAGAAACTTTTTCACTTGATCCTCGTTCTTCAAAAGGGGCGCATAATTTCCAAAAAAATGGGGCGCCAGACTTGCTTCAACTCGTTGAGGGAGGGGCAACTGCCCCTAGTTGTCCCCCCCCCACCTTTGAATCCGCCACTGACTAAAATAAATATATGTTTGCATTAACAAATTGATAGCAATTACACATCACAGTTTTGGAAACAATATATGATGCACAATGTTGAAATGTTATTCCCTGGTTATAATTGCATCTATTTTTTGGTCTGATCTGCCGTGCCTTGTTGTGAAATGTGACTATTTAATCTCACCTTTGGTCTTGACAAAAACTCACTTTCTACTTGTACTTTCACTCTAAAAAAGGAACATCAACAGAAAAGCATTTTAGAAGAGCCTCAATTCAGTCTCGATACCGAACCATTACGAGATCATAACATCATGGCCCTAGGCCCTACTATTTTGTATTGTGATTGTACACATGCAATGGTTGCATTGCATCCATAGACGGTTGCATCGCCGTACATTAAATCAATTTTAGGTCTTTTAGGATTGAAAACAATGCATTGGTATTACAGTAAAGAATTCACTGACTCGAAAACTCCGTCTAGGGCAGATGGAGTTGAATTCGAAACGGAATTACGCTACAGAAAGGAAGGAGCGCGCTTTATAATGGAGCTTGGCAACAAACTGGGACTGTATCCTTTTAAAATAGCATTTCCGCACTTTTTCCACATGTGAACTGACAACTTGGACCCATCCTGAGAAAAATTAAGCTGTGCGTCTTTTTGTTGTCGATAAACAAGCAACTATTCTGAGTCTGATTAAAGGAATTGGAGGCACCAAAGACTTTTTCTTAATTAGCTTAATTTCTCATTGTTCCTAACTTGCCTGGGCTTTAAAGTATAGCCTTTTGAACAGGAAATTGGGTTTGTGCACTAAACTTTGTGGTATTGGTGCGTGGTGTGATGTGTTGAAGTTAAGGTTACGGTAAAAGTTTTGACACAATATTTGGTTTTCTCTCCCTAAAAGCCAAACTATTAACGGAGTCAGGTTAAACTATACTCCATTTGATGCACAAGAATGTGGTGATTCAAACCATATCAAAATAATTGGCAAATATTGTAAAATTAAACTTTTCAGGCAAAATTTATTGCTTAAATTAGTGTACCACCTTCAAAAGCTATTTTGTACCCTTGCATTTGAGGTATCAAAATCTGACTTATATCAGCAGAAAGCGCATATCCTAAGCTACCAAATTGTATCTCAAATTTTGTAAATTCCTCCTCCCCTTGAAACTATACCCTTCCAAAAATTGGCAAACAATTTTTCTTCCCTCTCATCCAGGGTGCATTCCATGTTAGACCCACGCCAGAGAAATTTCAACCTATTCTAGTTGCTACGCCAAGTGTAAAACATACAAGCTTTCGATTAATCTATAGTTTGCATTGCTTTTACTGTCCATATCAATATTATCAGGCTGTCCACGTATTCTGTACAAGTACCGTTTTTGCTACGCCGATCGCGAAAATTTATCACGTACGCCAATGCGCCAAGGCTCGCAAATAGCAAATTTCACGCCGCTACGCCGAGGAAAAAGCTAAGTCCACGCCGGAGATCTCCGGCGTAAACTACATGAATGCACCCTGGCCTCTCATAGCCGTATTTGGCTATAAAAGACAGACCAGAGCAAATACAAAAGTTTTGAGACACTCTTTGCTTACCCAACATCTGTCCTGGCCATGTGCAAATTTTTGTGCCATTCGATTGGTCCCTTGGGTACAAAATAGCTTTTTTGTACCTGTATGTAGAGGAATTGTAAGTCCGGAGAAAACGGGATTGTACTGATTGCACTTGCAAGGTACACTTGTAAACCACAGTGTAATCCAAGTCAAGTCACTTGAAGCTTTAAGCTCAATAAGCCTGTTTAAATAAACACAACCCTACATGGGATACATTGATGTGCCATGCGATATTGTAAAGGAGACATGGGACCACAACCACAAAGCAACGATAAACAGCTTAACAGGTCAAGCAATTTTCAGACCTCAACTTAAAGTTTTGATAGAAAAATTATGGAAACCTTCGTTTACATGGGATTTTTCCATTTTCAAAATGTCTGTTTGTTTCAAATTTGATAACATTGTGTGCCTTGAAAGTTCGGCTACTTGAATGTGAAATAATCGAAGAATTTATGTTTTCATCCAGAAAATGTTTACCGTAACTTTAAAATATTTCAGTATATAAATTGTCAAATACTGGTCCCACACCCTTTTAGACAGCATTTGTAAAAACCAAGCCCTCTATTCAAATGTGCATTGTCTAACAATCCGAACAATGATGTGTATACAGTTGCAGACTGGCTTCTTTTTTTGGCAGATGACCCTTTTTTATTAGAAATTCTCACCTAAGAACTTTTAGAAAAGTGTCCCTGTTTCTATCTTTGTCTTCCCTATGTGCCCCACAATTTGGGAAAGTATGACAGTTTTTGATGAAATCTTGCATGTCTAAAGTCATTCAATTATCTATTTCATGTTCTCTTTATACCAATGATGGTATGCAAGCACAAGCATTTTCACAATAGACCCATTTTTATGTACGAAGAATGAGTACATGAAGGGGGGATTTTGCTCAGCTCGATGGGCATCCATATATATATATATATATATATATATATATGTAGAATTGTTGCCAATTGTGTAACAATGGATCGGCATTTTGATGAGTTCAACAATGGAAACATAGAAGCCGAATTCAAAGGCGGGAGACAATCGAAACAATGCAGGCATAGAATGCCAAAATCAAAGGATTTTCCCAATTTTCCCAAACGAACAATCGAGAATCGTGAGTTTCCCGATTAAGTGGGCAATTGAGGTTCGCTAATCGACACTTAGGTCTATAATCGTGCTATTAAATTGGGTTCGGCTGCTAGCCTGAGATCCCCTTTGTGGTCATCCTCTTAGATTCGACCAATCACCTTTAGATTTGCACGTGACGTTGTGCAGTTAAAATTGGTTCTGCACGTGCATGTTAAACGGTAGCCAGAATAGATCAGAAACTTCTCGTAATCGAGAATGGTGCTTTCATCCTGTCAAGCGTCAACGTAATTAGACGTATAATTTGCAATTTGCTATGTAGGATACAAAAGAAAGTGCGGCAATATGCGATTTCACGAGTTTCTGCAAGAATCAACTTTCATGCATGAGTCGTGGAAAATATATTGTAAGTGTTTCAAATCTGTTTAGTTTTTCGCAAGTTTTGCAAAGTCGGTGAAAGTTATTCGAAGATTTCCAGGCTTTGCGAAATTGTCACAAAATGCTTGCAGGGACTTTTCAATTTTCTCTGGGGTTGATCCAAAATTCATTCGAAATTCTTCAGACCCCGTTGGATAAGGTAGTTTGGTGTAGGAAAAACATAGAAACAATGGAAATTTGTTAAAAGTCTGAGGTCAGACCAACAGTTACGAAAATGACCAATTAATAATCTTGGGATCTGTGACTACATTTCTTCATCAAATAGTTGAGTTGAAGAAATCTTTGCACTCGCAACTAGGAAGTTTACGAAATTAAAGGTTTTGCTGCTCACAATTACGTACGAAAGATTCCCCTTCGTAATCAAGTAATTGCACTGCCGCGAGATCATTATGCTGGAACCGTTTTGTCAGCGCGGGTCGTTAGGGATCGTTAGGCACGCATCGATTTCTCCTTCTTGCAAAGGTTGATAGTGGAATTCAAAGATCTGGGTTTGGTAAACTTACTGCGTCATAGCATTCCCCGCTGTTTATCAAGAAAGTGTAAATCTGCGAAACGCATTTTGAAAAAGCAACCGAATAAGAATAATTATTCGTGTTATGTTATCAAGCAAAAAATGTCCTTCGTCAAATAAAAAAACAGATTCCCAGTTAGGTTCCACTCACAGAGCCCCAATAAATGAGTTCTGAATCTTGGCGAGTCATAGCTCGTGCCACCGTTTTTTAGGTATTTTAAGTCTGTGAATCGCAATCTCATAGAGCATAAAGGTTCTTAGTTGTCTGAGAAACAGACTGGAAGCGCATCTAGAAAAGTTCAGACTTTTAATATATTTGGAATCTTCGTTGTCGTCATCATTGTCATCGTCGTCATCATAATCATCATCATCAATCATCATCATTAAATCATAATCATCAATCATCATCATAATCATAATCATCATCAATCATCATCAATCATCATCAATCATCATCATCATCAGTTTTGTCCACATCGCCAATTCATAATATCGAAGTACCATTCCTCTACATTCTTCGTACATTGCAAAAGCCGTGCTATTTTAAATTTATTGTGCTATCTCAACACATGCACTGCCATACTGTGCCAAAAGGGAGGGGTATATAAAGGGTGTTTATGAGTTTGAGAAGCCCCCTGAAAGATACCAGTATGTTAAAACAGATATTTATGGCATGGACCAGCAATTTTTGTTGTTTATTTGCTTGATATATATTGTGTAAGAGTTACATAGATCCTAAAATGGGAAAGATAGAAGATAAAGAACAGTACACAAGAGTTATTAATTCTCTTTAAAGTTCATTTGTTGTGACTGTATTATTTCTTTGACACACTGAACAGGAGATATCTAACAATGGCTACTGGAATTGTATTTTTCCACAGATTCTATATGAATCAGTCTTTTAAGAATTTCTCAAGATGGGTAAGATTCTTTTTGATTCAACTAGATGGTCAAAAATCAAGACAATTTTTAATGAAAATATTTAATATCATATCAATTCTAGGCTTCAATATCTGAAAAGGTACATTTCACTTCCTTTCTGTTGTTAAATTCCTAAGTTCTGAAAGTTGTTTGAACACTTACTGGTTCTCTTCTGTACTTTTACTCCTTTTACTTGGATACTGTCACTTCTGCCCTCTTCTCTGAAGCAATATTGATGTAGTTCTTATACTATGCTAGCTACTTTTTTAAGATACTTAATATTTGAAATGAGAAAATTTGATATTTCTGTAGTATTTTAGGACTTTTTGCAGTTCTGTTGTCTTGAAGGTCTTTTAAAGTGCTCTTGCCTCTTCAAGGAAAAGAAAAAAATTTTTATAACTTTTCAACTTTTGCTTGGAAACAATTTTGCTAGGCGCACTAGAAATGTTACATAGCAGATTAACACTTATTGTTAGAAGACAACAGGGATAACATTTTTCATGCTTTTGTCATGTTTAAAGTGCTAGTGCACCCAAGCCCTATACCTCTTAACAACCCTTGACAAAGGTATGACAATGGGATCTATGGCTGATAGAAAGATATTTACGAAATCCTCAAATTTTCTCTTTTGAAACCTATTTGAGAACTCTGCACCAAAAAGCATTCTCAATTGAAGGAGTTGAGCAATTTCAGTTCAATCAGAAAAACGACTTTATTCAAATTTTTCTCAAAAACTTTAACCTGTTTTTTTAAATTCTTTTAAATTGCAAGTCAAAATTTTTAAGGTCACTGGCACTGCTTGCTTGTTTTTGGCGGGAAAAGTTGAAGAAACCCCTAAAAAGTGTAAAGATGTACTGAAGATGTGCAGAGCTATGCTGGCAGACCAACAATGGGAAGCTTTCGGGGAGAACCCCAGGGTATGTATCAAGCCAAAAATATTTAGATTAGAATTATTATGAAGTAATTATTCATGTTTGGCAATTTGATTTAAACCAATTTTTCATATTTTGTACATTTTTTTCACATTTAAATATTATTTCATCAGCACATAAAAGATGAAAGTTAAACTCCTGCCTTGATTTGATAGCATTTATTTTCATTCTTAATAAGCCTAATTTATACTTCTAGGATTTTTTATGATCTAGGAACTTTAAATGAAAATTAAATGATGCATGAATTAGGTGCATCCACATATATTCAGCCATTTTTAGAGAATTTTGTTAATTTAAGCAAATTATTGCATGAGTTTTTTGTTTTGCTCTATTTCCACCTTAAAAGTTTATGTACTACCATCTATTTTGTGTTTATACTTACACAAGTAGAAATGGGAAGGTTGTAAACAAATGATGGAATGCAGGTTTTGGTAAAAGTTTAGCAACATGAGTGTATTCTTTTTCCAGGAAGAGGTGATGATGTTAGAGAGAATATTATTGCAAACGATCAAATTTGATTTGCAAGTGGATCATCCTTATCAATATCTGATTAAATATGGCAAGGACTTAAAAGGTACTGTATTGTATTGAATCTTGTTATTAATCTAAGTACTTTTTAGAAAATATATCAAGTATCAAAGAGTTTCATTTTTGCATCATATGAATTTAAAAATATTCCCCATTTGTTCCATTTTGGTGTCATTAGTATTTTAATATTTATTTATTGAAAAAGTATTCACTATTCTTACTCTAGGTGACAAAGAAAGGATAAATGAACTTGTTCAAAAGGCGTGGATATTCATCAATGACAGGTTGATCCATTTGCTATTTTCTATTGGCTGGTTATAGTTTGTTTAGATTCTTATATGAAGTGGTCTTAACCAGTGAATCTAATGAAACAAGAGGCTACAGTCTTGATAAGTCGCTCTCTATTTTCTTATACTACATGAAATTAGTGTTTTGAATATTTAATATTTTCAAATATTTCAAGTCTTTGTTTATTTTGAATTTTTTTAGCAAGTATAAGTTAAGTCAGATTTAAACAAGGATGCTAATTGAAACTTCTTGTGACTTTTATTTATGTGTTATAAGCAAGCTAGTGTTATAATTTTTAACAAAAATCATACAAATATGTGTTCTAGGGACCAATTTTTGCCTTTTGAAAGATTGCATTTGAGCTCTGTAAAAGGTGAAATCCTGTGTGATTAGAATCACTGCACCTGAGGTTGGAAGGGTAAAATTGAGACCTGGTTTAATTACAGGACCCTCTTGTACTTAGGTATTGTTTTCTTTATTTTAGCCTGTCAACTTGCATCTGCTTGCATTACAAACCATCAGTAGTAGCATTAGCAATGTTTCATTTAGCTGCAAAACTCTCAAAACAAAATATGCAGAATTTCACTCCTGTCCCAAGACAAGATTGGTGGAGACTTTTTTTACCAGATGTTGAACAGTCAGTGCTAGATGGTAATAGTTCCATAATTGTAAATTCAGATAAGCTTAGCACCATATTAGACTACTTTAATTTTATCATGCATTTTGAACAAAACAGTTTTCTACGGAGCTAATCAAAATCTGCCATGCTATCATGCACAGAAACTACTTCAAAATGAAGCAGAACATATCTTCCAGACCTACAAAGTTTCTCATGATTTGCACATTTGTGAAAGAAGGAACAACAGAAAGTACAATAAAACTAATTTCAGTTAAACAAGAGATCTCATATTTAGAAAAAATAATCTTGACAGGGATGTAAATGTGGCTTAAATTTGACATTCTTTGAGGAAACTTGCCAAAGACTGAAATTTGATGATAAAAACTACATTGAAAATTTATTCTTTATCTTAATCATTGCTTTGTGGTTATACATATTGTTATTACTACGATTTTCTTCAGTTTTAGTGAGAGGATATATGATGCAATAACATTCCTTCATGTGTGAAAAATATTTTTATCTATATTCTGAATACATTTTAGATATTTGCAATGAAATGATGGACTTATATGATTCAAGTCGGCAAAAGTCAAAATCAAGGGAAGGTAGTGTTGCTAGATCAAAAGATGGCAGTGTTACAGAAAGCCCAGGTTATACCCCAAGTGGAAGTCCCCAAGTTACTGGCAGCCCACCATCAAAAAAGAAAGTATGGTTCATATTTATGCTTATTTCTAACATAAATCTGATCCTTAGAGTTTAACATGATAAATCTTGAAAGTGTGCTTTGTAGATACTTCTTCTATTCAAAAATTATATTTGATTTTTTTAAGCTTCTTTTCACTGTATGAATTTTGTGAAATTTTAAAACATAACCTATCTAGTAAAAATCAAAATACAAATGAAAGGAAATTTTGGTAACTTCTGCTGCTTCCAACGCAACAGCCTTTTGATAAAACGTATTTCTGTCATGTCTTTCTGTTTATTTTCATGATATCTTTATTTCCCCTATTCAGAGAAGCCAGTCTTCTTCACTGGGTGATGGACAAAAAGCTAAAGGTAAATCTGATAAATCTTATGACATTGCATGATATCTGTATTTTGTATTTTGTCCATATTTCATGAACCTTCTTTGGAACTGCTGATGATTTCCTTATTTTGCCTAGACTCCCCAATGATGAAGCCATTGCAAGTGGAAAATGTAAGCCCACCTATGGTTGTCAAAGCTCTATCAAATCCTCCTCAGCCTCCACAATCAACTCCAAAGCCAATTGTGCCAACTGTAAATAGTGTTCAAAGTCATGGACATTTTTTTCAACAAGGATATGAAACTGTTGCACCCCAGGTGAAAGATGGTGTTCCAATGGTACCAGACATCACTCCAAAACAGCCAAATACCAGTCAACAAATTTTAAATCCTGTCCCTATGATACAAAATCCACAGACATTGAGTAGCCTGTATCCTCATGGTATGCCAGTACATAACCATGGTATGCCATCAGCACAGGGAGTACCCCCTTCACAGCCTCATCCACATGGGACACCTGGTCAGGCATTACCCCCACATGGGCAAGTAATGCCCCCTAGAGATCAGATTCCCATGGGAATTGATCAAGGACATTATGCGTACAACATGGCACAGCCCCAACAGCCACCTCAACAACAGCAATTCCACTCATATATGACCACACAGTTACCAACAGCAAACCAATGGCAGACACAGCAGCCAGGAATAGGCCCTGGCTGGATGAAGTGAGCCAAGCATTTTCTGTGTCTTATAAAGCTCGCTCTTATTTGACATTAAAATTGAGTTCAAAATGATTCCGCTTTCAAAAAGCTATACACATGACAACAAGTATCATTCTGCTGTTTGGAGTCATTAACAAATAGAGCTTAAGAGTAGCTTATTTTTAAGAGCTTTCTTTCCTATTCCAATGGCCACTCTTTCACAGAACTTTCCCATATGTTATTATGTTATGTATTATAAGAAATGCTATGATTTTTAAGGAATTCTTTCAAGGTGGATGATTAACATTAAGTTAAATTCTGTAATTTTTTTAATAAGTGAATTTTTGTTTCGTAATTAAAACTGAGAACCAATGTCAATAAATATGATATTTATATGCGAAGGTTTATTTTGAGGTACTGAGACAAAACTTGCTAGAAAAGTCTACAACACATTCCGAATTGAACAAAATTTAGATTGAACTATTAATCATGCAATTTATATAAGTTAGATATAAATTATGTCCCTCCAAAAGTATACCATTGAGAGATAAAAATTGAATAAAATGATTTTTTAAATCAAAAGCTTCTTGAATCTTTTAAAATGATTAAAAACAAAAATGTTAATCATATGAAACCTGGGAAACTATCTAAAAGTTATATTGTGGTATAGATATCTCAAATACAAACGGAAAATACAAATCTAATCAACATCTTAAGCAAAAAACAGATATTTGTAAATCAAAGGATATTGATGCTACATGTTCTTAGATGCCATGTTAGTATTACTTAAAAAAAGCTTGGACATGATGCAAGCTTATAGTCTTTTGTTTTGTTGCTAGAGTAAATTTTAAAGAAAGTCAGTAGACAATTTGATGTTATCAATGACTTGCTGCTTTAGAAAAAAGGTTGTCTATTTGCCTTGTCTATCTTGTCTTTTTGATAACATTTGATTTTAGAGATCTAGACCGGTTGCACAGGTTCCAAAAAGCGGTCAAGTTTTAAGAGCTATGTTTTTCTGTAAATCTTGAATTTTTTATCTAAATTTTCAATTGCAACAATTGCTGCATTTCTCCCTGACTGACTACAGTTCTTCTGTTTACATACTGAATTGAACCCCCACAAGATTCCAACAGAATTCCCAACTTCCTAATTCATCTTTTATCCCAAAGTATCCAAGGAATTCAAAATTGGGGAAATTAGTGGCCACTCGAAGTGACAGTCTGGAGTATGCTATCTATGCGCCAATATTGAAACCTGTGGCTATTGTTTTCTGAAAACCTGTGAAAACCAGTGCCCATAAGTTTCCCTTATGCAAAAAAACCGGTGGCTAAAAATCATATTCGTATCAATATCCATAGCTCGAAAGTCCACACACAAAATTTGACCGCTTTGAAACAAAATGATACAAAATGAAATACAGATGCAAATCAGAATCTGAGGTTTTGTATTGAAGGACTAGACTTTCTTTCTCGGAAAAAGTCATGAAAATTAGAATCTAAGTTGCAAGAAGAGGATCAAAGGCCATGCTGAACGGAGTAAAATTGTGACATTTTAGATAAAGTGTGGGCAAAATAATCACTTCTAAAAGTTGCTAACCTTATTAGCGACTTGTAGCAATATTTATGTACCAATAACAGACAGAGTTGTAATGGGGTAAAGCACCACAAAACCGGTCAAAATTTTGGCTATATCCCACCTGGGGATGCAGTTATAATTCAAATATTTTGAAAAACCTAAATTCATTCCCAGCATTTGAATTCTTTTTCAAACTGGGTTAAAACTTCTGAAGACCTTGTTATCACAACATTCAATTTTAAAGACATGTGTCTTCGCAGTTTTTCATTTCTCTTCAGTTGAATAGTCCCAGATATCACATCACCATTAACAACATTAGTTGTTTCATCAAGAAGAAGTAAAGGGTGTTTCCAATGTGTGATCTCAGCATCTGGACTAGTGTCTAGAACAATATTCTTTTCACCAGGTTTTGAAAAGTTTTCAAATTCAACACAAAACCAGGTGCAAAAGCTGTCAAATAAACCTGGACTTTCCACTTTAAAAGTGAAGTGGGACACAATATTCTCTATATCTTCCACTGCCACAGTGTACATGTTCAATTCAGCAATTTTTTCAGGATTTGCTAACAAATTTTGTTTATTTGTGATGTTGTTATGAAGAGGTTTTTTTGTAAGTTGCTCTAATGCTATTTGTTTTACTTCTGAAAAGTCAAACCCATAGACATCATTCCAAAAGGTAACTTTTGATTGGAATTCTTCATTTGAAGAGCATGGGGCAAAATATAATGAAGCTGTTGATGGCCAAATCTTTCCTTCAGGTTTCAGAAACTTATCTCTGGCATTGATTACGGAATCTATCATAAACTCTGACAACAACAGAGTTCCCATCCATTCTGAAATTATCAAATCCATTTTTTCAGAAGTTTCAATATCCTCTACTCTTTTCCCTAGTACTTGTATTTTATTATGATACCCATTAAATTCAACAACGCTCTCTGCAATTCTACTTGCACCACTTGCCTCCACTGCAAAAACCTTGGCAGCATTACCATGTTTTGCAAGAAATAGACTCAGAATGCCTGTTCCACACCCAACATCCATCACTGATTTTCCATTTATAAAGTTTTTGTTTTCCTCTATAGCCTTCAAATAAGATAATGTTCTTGGTTTATCAGAAAGCATTTCAAGTTGAAGTGGAATATTGCTATAAATTTCATAATAATGTTCATCTTGCCAATCTTCGGTACCACTTTTGCAAAAATTTGTCGATATATGGTTAACGGGTATGTAACCAAAGGCACCATCTTTTTCACCCCACCACCAGTCTTCGGACGTCTTCTCGTGGATCTTTAGAACATCTCCACGAATCAAGTCCAATTCTACATCAGATTTTGGACTGTAATCATACACTGCACAAGCCTGGAAACAGTCATTCAATGCTTCTACTTTCTGTCCATTAAGAATGACTTTTTTTGGATGGAGAATTTGCTCAATTTCTTTATTCGTTTCACCGGCCTCCATTATTCATGCCAAGTGTGTCATCGAAAATAATTCGCACATAGCATAATTTTACAAAGTTCTAAAGCCATGCTTTTTATTGCGAATTATCGAGCAATGAAAAATAAACGTTTGAGGTTACCTGAACTTGAAGGCCCATTTTACTTCCTCTTCTAATTAAAAGCAGGTAATTGCTCTTTTCCTTGAACTGAAACTGGCAGGACCTAACGACTTTGTGATCGTTCGCTCCCTTGCTCCTTCGCAGCACTTTTACTTCCATTTTAGGGGGAAACATCTTATGAAAAATAATTTAAGGGGAACGAAAATTGTGAACAACTACTAATCATTGCGTTTCATCTTAAAACCAAGATCTGACCACTTGTTAAGACTTTTTTGAAGATATAGAGGCACATGATATGCAAAATTAGCGGTCTCTTCAACAACTTTGCCTCTACTATCTGAAATTAAATGGCTAACCTAATCAAGTAAATCTAAAATTTTGGAACAAAAGTATGAACAAAAACAACCAATCAATTAATGACCTATAATTTTGACAAATTGAGTGCCCCTTTGCAGAAGAAGTAGCTAGGCTGCAGATATTGATTTTGATTTTCAACTTCTGTTACCCTACCTAGTCAAATCCTACCCCTTTTGAAGCCTAGATTAAAAATCTTTGTTTTATTTAGATTTTCTCTCAGAGTTAACTATTTTTCAGGCTTCCCGAACTATTGATTGTGTAACAGTATTGAAGCTAGTTACACAATAAGCCATTTGCAATTATGATATTTAGGAGGACACATGTTTGGACAAAAACTCAAAATCAAAACAAGGCAGAACCAATAACATGTACTAACAAACGAATTCCATGCATTCACATATGATTTATCTACAAGTCATTAAGCAATGGGTTTTCCAGTCATTTTCAAACATTCTCTTGAAGGGAAGACATTTTATCCAATATAAATAGACTTAATTGGGTTTTGAAGGCATCGCCATTTTGTAGAATCCAAAAGATGCAATGACTAATCCAACCAATGATGATGTCATGAGACCTTTGTAAATGAGCTCATCACTTCTGCCTTTTTTTAGAAACACGGGCAATGAATTTGGCACCTACAAAAAGACAAATAGCACTGACTATTTCATGTTTTAATCATTTGATGGATTGCTCAAAATTATAGAATTATGAAGAGCAATATTATAGAAACATATTTACATGAAATGCTAAATCAAATGAGGCTTTTAGGAGCTGCAAGGGTGCTGAGATGAAGGAAGAACATCATTCAAGTGAATCTGATGGACCCTTATTGAAAGATTGAAGGGCCCTAAAATTCAAGTGTTTGTAGAAGTTAGAAGGCATTTTAGTAAAGGCACTCAAAATTATTTCTTCGATCAGTATGCAAAGATGGGAAAGCATTTACCAGATATAAGAATCAGATCAGTGACAGACCTTTCCAATTTTAGCCTTAACCTTAATAAGGAGGTAAATTGTCTAACTTTAGGCTCTACATACCTGAAAGATTTTTTGAAATCGTCTAACTTCATTTGGCCTATCAAATATAAGTCCACCTCTTTCACCACTAGCTGATGTTACTCCACCTGTATATTTGATTATTTTTGGCTCCTTAACAGTAGTTGTAGACTTCTATAAAAAAATCCAAAATGTTGCATTAGAATAAACTATTTTATGAAAAAGATTCTGCAGAAGAAACAACATAATTGACTTATATAAAAAATTGATCCAATTTTTAATTCTCTTCTTCAATGAAAAACATCTTCAATCCTCAGAATTAAACAAAACATTAACTTGCATCATTGATTATTCAGTATGCAAAACTGTACAAATAAAATTCATGGAAAAAATTACATGGAAAACTAAAAATTACATGTGGGTGTGTAATCTGGGCTGCTTCTGTTGTCTGAATTCTTTGAGAAACTTCACTGTATTTGTGAGACATTGTGCCCTGACATAAATAAAAAAGAGATTAAATTTCCATGCATGAACACTCTAAATAATTAAACGTAAGCTGTTAATATTCCCAAGCATCACAAAAGACCTTAAATCCCAAAAAATATAAGACTATAAACTATGCACATAACATGGGTCTTTAAAATGCAGACTTTAAATTCATGTGAGAAAAGCAAGAAAACAACACTTGCAAATTATGCATTAATTTTGAGGAGCATTAGACAATTGAAGCCTTATCCAAAGCTTTCTTGCAAAGGCACAAGCAGGCCTGGAATAAGTTGAAAGCTCTGGTACCCAAGAAATGTTTTTTAGATCTTTACAGAGTCTTAATGTCAACAGTTTTGCTAAAAGATTTATTGTCTCTAAGGCATTGCTCTTGCCCATTTTAGGAACTAATTGAGGTGACTGTTAACTGTGCGTTTTTCTGCCACAAGGCTGCAGTCACCAGGAGGCTGCCACAATGAGGCTGCCACCATGTGCTCCTCCTAAATAAATACCTCTGCCTACAAATTTTCTTATTTTTATCCAATTAACAAGCATTGATGCTGCATTCTACTTAGGTCAGGTTCTGCTACTGACCTTTTTATTGGCTTCCATCTATTAGTTCATCATATTGAATATCATATGGTGTATAATTTTATGTTTACTTTAAATCTGAAGTGGGAGCGAAGAAAACAAGACACCATATAATGAAAGCAAAAATTTTCTATTCATAGAGCCAGAGGCGTGGCCAGCAGGGGGTGTGAGGGTGTGACACCCCCAATTCTTTAATCTATGCTGCATTCCATACCTATGAAAACTAATAACACATCATCCATTCTTTTGTCTGAGGTGGCCCACTTGACATGAATTTCCTTTATGGTGCATAGAAGAGTGAGACACCACCTGGAAGATAACAACTTTTTCCCTTCTAATACCTAAAGGGCCCCTAACATCTTCCAACACTCTTGGATTTGCTATATTAAACTCACTGCCTGCCTCTAAAATCAAAACATACAAAACATGCCACACCCTTGTTTAATTACTCTTTGGCCTTGACTGAAGGATCTTTTTGCTATAACTTCGACAGACTAACCGCTCTGGATTTCACGAAGGTTTTTGATAAGATCTAGAGAGTGCATAAGCTATTATCCTGGAAAGCAATGATCCACTTGTGATAAGTGTGCACATTTGAGTGTGCACCTAACTTCCCAGTGATAATCAAGTCTGCCCATGTTTCTTTTGGCATTTGCCCAGTTTATATCAATTTTCCTACACAAGGAAAATCTATGATTGAAAGTTGAAATTAAGTTTTCTTACAACTACCATTAGTTGCTGTTAAGTTTATTTTAGCATTAGTTTTTTTTCAAAATAATTTGTAAAAAGGCAAAAACTCGATAAGTCAAAAACCTTGATAATCTCAACCTGGGTCACCAAGAGGAGGACAGGGGGGCCAAAAGGGCCTAAAAATGGTAAATTGTTATAAAGGGTTACAAGAAATGACTGCAAGAATTATTCTGAAGTGTATTTTAAGCTAAATTTGAGGCAATAGACACAAAAATTGTCTGCTTTCTTTCGCTCTCAGGGCCACATCTTTCAGTTTTGCCTTAGGGCTGAAAAACTTCTAAGCAGCCCTTATCTTAAGAGGATCACTCAATTTAGAATGACATACTTGTTTCAGTCTCTTTTGTGAACAAATTTAGAAAACCATTTCAAGGTCTTTTAAAAACCTAAAAATCTGAGCCAAACCCAGAAACAAGCCACACCCAAACCATGCTCATCACTCAAGTATGAAAGAGTGCTTTCATAATTCTATAAAATTTCTCAGAGCGCTTTGGTCTATGGATCAAAACATCTGTTGCAATTTATTATGTGGTAAATATATCTGTGGTAAATAACTATGGTAATTCAGTGTATACTGCATCAGTCTTAAGGGTTGATTGGCATAGTTTGTAATAGCCACAAAAGCTATGTGGCAGAAGTTTTTTCAGTTCTTTGGTGCAAAACAAAAGAACTTGATAATGTTTAAATGGAAAAAATTATCCCTCTTTTACAACACAATAACAGCCCTTGTACCTCTGAACAGTACTGTATGGGTCATTCCATATCAAAGGAGGACAGGCATGCAACCCAAAGTCTCAGAATTGATTTCATTTTACAGTCACATTTTCATGAAGACAAATATAACCCTGCTGTTTTTTGTAAAGAGTTCCTTATAGCTAAAACTCAATGCATAGAAAATTTGAAATTTATCACAGATGTGCAACAGGACACAAATTTGCTTCTACAGATTTTTTTTAAAATGGACTTCAGAATTGAAATCTTCATCTTTAAATTAGTTTATACTGAAAAATTCATGTTGTTTGGACCGCTTGATACTTTGTTTCGAATATTTAGATATTTCTTTAGAGTTGACCAGAACTTGCTGCTGCAGTGAAAAAATTTCACACAGCAACAAATTCCATTGAAACCAATTTGAAATTTTTGGCACAGACTAATTTCAACATGAAGGTTCCAATTCTGTTATCCATTTTTGCCAAATGTGAAGGTACAAATTGCTCGAGTCCGAGAATATTTAGCATCAGGCTTAAATTCAAGATGGCAAACATTGTGAAAAATGCTTAGAATCAGCAAAAAATTTAAAGTGCTCTATTTTTATAATGACAAAATATTTTGAACTAAAATTTTGTATGTGTGTTTAACACATGATTTTCCACTTCTTCACCAAAAATAACAAATTCTGAGATTTTGGGTTACAAAATGAGGAATTGCCCACTTTGAAATGGAATGACCCTTGGAACAATACCACTTCACTGTTCATATGTGTCGCTAGTTCTACTATGGATTTTCATTCAAAGCTGCAATGGTACTTTCTTAAAATTTACATTCATTGAGCTAGGCTTTAGCAAAACTTTGAAATAATTCTTCCCTGAACACGGAGACCGTCCTCTTCAATAGTTTGTAGTGCCACATATATGGTATTCTAATGTACGGAAACCCCCAACGGGTGAACAAACTGGTGTTTTATTTTATTTTGTGTACAATTTTCGATTTAGGCCTGAAAAAAGTGATAATCAACCAAATGTTGTTAGTCCGTAGTGCAGATTTTCGCATTTTCTGCATGCTGCTGGCTGGTCTGTCTTCCGCACTTGATTCGCAGAAGTGAATATTTATGATATGGTTTGAGAATTTTGGCGTAGTTTGTTGTTTTATTTTACCATACTTTTTTAAGTTTCGCAGTATTTCGCTGTAATTCGCAGTATTTCGTTTTGTTTCGTTTCGCTGATAACAATACGCTGTTTATGTCTGTCTTTTAAATTGTCTACTGCATTTAGGGCTGATTGATGATAAAATGAAATGAAATCAACACTGAGAAAAAAAGTAGGCTACTAGGCCTTATCATATTATTTGGTGTTACATGCATGCCATGGTCGTGGAAACTCGACAACAAATTTCAGAACTTCTGATAGAATATTGCATATGAAAAATCTCATTGATTTTTAATACAAACCTCTGATTTGAATTAGATACTTTAGAAGGAAGACAGCCAACTTGTTTGACGAAGTTTTATCAGCTAGTCCTCTAACATGGAGGTTGGACTTGGACGCGAACGAGAGTTTCCCAAAGGAGGCCATTCTAAAATGACGATCACTACATAGCTTTTTTTTGTTAAAAACGATAATGAGAGATATCTCTTATTTCGAGAGGTTATTGTAAAGAAGAAGAAAATGGGAAGGAGGTATTTCTGTGAATATTGCAATCGCGCATTTGCAGACACCTTACCAACAAGAAAGAGGCATCTCAAGTCAATACAACACCAACGGCTTAGAAAATTACATTATGATTCTTTCAAAGGTGGGCAGAACTAATTTGAAAATCTTCTCGGCAATTTTTTATGTCTCTGCACGAAAGGTATCAATTCAGTTCAATCTTTACTGCATACAGAGTGCAAACTTTTTCTTTTGCACATTTAAAAGAGTGGAAGGAAGCAAACCATTTACGTTGTTGACAGTTGTTAATAAAGATGGCAAAAATTCACCGCAAACCTTAGCAAACTGGTGTGCCAAAAATTGACAAATGATCCTAATCTCACAGTCAGGGAAAGGAAAAATATGGTTTTTTTGAGAAAATTGAGACTTTGAGATAAATGATCAAAAGTATCTTCAATTTCTTACAAAAAGAGAAATTTAGCAGACTTTATGCAATATTGATTACAATTTCAGTAATATTTTCGTCAATTTTTGAAAATGTTTTTAATAGAAAACCCAAGTGTTTTTTTCAGAATTTATATATTTTTTATTGAGTCTAGGAATTTTAAATATGGCTTGTAATTTTTAGTTTTCTATGAAAATATATAAAGCTAGCAGGAAGACTGTATGTGTATGTTTGAAGTAAGTTCTCTGATAAATTTAATTAAATGTTATTGAAAACTGGATAGAGATTTGTGTGCAGATTGTCAGAATGGAAGGTCTGAATTGTCTTTTTTAGTGTATCTAACCTATATCACTAAATTCAGAGTGTACATAGCAAAAAATTCTTTAACAACCCCACAAGGAACATATTCAGAAACATTCAACAGAGTATAGACTTAAGGCTGGCTTAGCATGGCGTTGCAAAAGCTTTGAAAAATGTTTGATCTAGAGTTGACATGGAATGCACAATGGGCTTGTTGTTCAGATTGACAAACTGACATTAATTAGTCAATTTAAATCTATGAGTGTTAAACCATTTAGATTTATTGGATTCTTATCAGTTATGAAATGCCACTAAAAGCTGTCCATTTACTCATCTTTATGAAAGTTTTTTATGTCATCTTTATGTAAATAATGTCTATAGTCATCTGTTTTGCTTTTAACATGTTTATTTTTCTATTTTAGATGCAGCAACTCTTTTAGCTGAAGAAGCTCTGAAAAAGCCATGCAAAAATTTTTTTCAATATGGTAGGTAATTATTTATTGTGTGTCTCTCTAAGACACAGGTGGAACCCATGCATATGCAAAGCCCTTGCAAAAGTATTTTAAAGTGAATTTTTTTCTACCGAGGCAGCTTTTGTTGTCTTATAATATTTGCTTTGCTATGAATATTTGATTTTTTATATCAAAAAATTGGCTATTTTTTTACATAATTATCAATTAAATCGTTTTTCCTCATGTCATCTGCTTCCACTATCTGTTTCCTCTCCAATGCACTAAATTCACACCATTCTAAAATCTACAAGTTTGACACAATCATCACTCACTTAAAATGCTTTTGCCAATCTGTTGTTTTTCTCAATAAATATTTAACTTTATTTTTAAATTTTTAGGTTAATATTCTTTTGATAGCTGTGTGTTCCACTTAACTGACAGGTTGTTTTTTCAGGAAATTGCAAATTTGGTGATGGTTGCCAGTTTTCACATGTAAATCCAGAGTTCTTGAAAGCACATACACCAAGTCAAAACCAAAGAGGTGAGTACTAATCTTAAAGGCATTATGTCATCATTTGTCCTTCTCTATAGGGGTCATTTGCTTTTGGCATGGTCACTGTAGTTTCTTGTGATGTTAGCATCCATGTTGATAACTTACTTTTAACTGAAACTCTTTTTAGATCAGTACAAGGCAACTCCATGTGATCAGTGACAGGGCCACCAATAGCATTACAGCACAAAAATCATGACTCAGTGTATCTGGGTATACAATTTCCTTTATAATGCCTCAATGCCTTTAAGTTTGACTTTTTAGCAATAAAGAGCTCATAATTGTATTGTTTGCAACCTAGCTTCTAAAGGTAGTTTTAGAACACAGTGAAAAGCTATGCTTATCAAGCAATGTCATGGTCCTTTCTCTTGATGTGACCTTGCCTACCTCTAGATGTGGCTTTAGAGAGCTGGCAACTCCCTTCTTCTGAGAGAAAGTTTGGTCATCTCAGGAACTTGAACTACAGACCCTTGTTTTCAGCGACCCTTACCACTGAGCTCATACATCTATAAACAGAAACATACAAAATTTGCCTATAATTGCATTTAGCGAAGGTTGAAGGCCTTTCACAGAATGTACTCCATAAACAAAGAAGGGAGATATTTGAGGGTGGGTTAACCATCATGTTTACTGTGATAAAACATTAATACCAGTTGCCAACTTGTCCTGTTTAGGTACCTAATTGAATATTAAGATTTTTAAATTAATCCTGGATATTAAGCTTGTGCTAAAGAATCTGGAACAGGTGTGATTATAATTTTAAAACAAACTTGAATTTGAATGAACATTTTATTTTCTTGATAAGCTCATTTCTTGATGAAATGATACCAATACTGTATCAAGTAGTAATAAAATATTGGATTTTACAATCTGTCTTATAGCTTGGACAACAGATTAGAAGAGATAAAGATATCCCCGTCTTGTCTCATCAGGATTGCAATTCATCATTTTTCAGCTAAATGATTGAATGAAGTCCATTTTCATGTTTTCAAATTTGAATGACATTTTAAAGAATAATGGTAACCTTTTTTCTGACAGGAATATTCTTTACAACCTGCCTTTCCTTTTAGAAGTAAGAAACTTTGATGTTGAGATATGGCTTTCTGAATGGCGAAAAAAGCACCCGGAAAGAGAAACAAAGGCCTCAAATACGTTTGTCAAGTACTGGCTTCCACGGGGATTCCCGCCACAGAGTCAGTTGCCACCCTCACTTTGCCCACCTCCACCTGGAGCAAATGAAAGAAGGAGGGCTGCTGAATGGGGTGTCTAACTGTCATTACTGTCCTTGAGATACCAGGTTGTGTTACTGGCTATTTAGAGGACATCTTGTGTCAAATACCTCTTGGTGTTTTTGAAGAGGGCAATACTTGAGACGAATAATTGCCCAGATTCATTACGTCCAGAGACTTACTGAGACTTCATCAAAGCTATGGTAGAGCATCAATTTGTGCAGACATTCGACTTTGCAGCTTTTACTTTCAAGAAATTCGAGTATTTCTCCAGTTGGCCGTGCTCCTTATTTGATCAAAACATTGTAAAAAGCAGAACACGTCTGGTATATCCGCTTTGTTGATAAAGTCAGCTTTTAACAATAATCAAGCTATTTTTTGTCTATGTATTTGTCTATGAGTTTACAAGATCCTGGGTTTCTGCTGTTCTGCTTTCAAATGACAATTAGGAAATGTGACAATCAGAAGGCAGTATGTAAAGCGAATGAAGACACCAGGACTGAAATGAATAATGATTGTAAGAGGCTAAATCATGCTTAAAATGAAAAATTTTATTCCATGTAAAACGTGAAAATAAAACTTAATGTCTTAATTGTACAGTTGGTTACTTACTGTTGATCAATCGAATGGCAACATCACTGCATCGGCAGTGATGATTAAGGACGGCTGGACCCGTCTATATATAACACAATCAAACTACGTGACAGCGATAGATTAAGTGTCTATAATTGCAGCTATATTGAGCAGAAAAAAGGAACTTACAACCAGTTAGTTCGACAAAGGTTTACTCGTACTGGTTCAAGGGCATATGGATTAAGACATAAGAATTATAAGAAGTTAACGTAGAACAATTATGAAAAGTTAACGTTGATCAACTAGAAAGGTTAGGGTTAAGAAGAAGATTGCAATGCCGTGAGATCAAGAAGGAGAGTGATAGACAATCTTGCCCTATGCCAAAGCAAGACTGTTTTCTCCAGCCTTCTTCTATTATTCAAAGCTGACATGCTAAAATGATGCTTATCATAAGATATTTTTAGTGTCATTTGAATGGTTAAGATTGCAACGTTTCTTTTTTAATGCAAGTACCTAACCAACTACTTCAGTTGTAACGTTGTTGTTCAATAGGTAAGAAGTGGTCCCCTTGCACTAAGCCGTGAGGCAGGCAAGCTGTCAATGGAAAGCTTTTTTGGTGAATACCTGACTGGGGATGACAATGGTCTATCCTGTATGCTCATCAAAGTTCCTGTCTGCCGCTGCATAAAAGGGCGCCAATCCATCTGCTTTCGAAGCTTACCACATTGATCTTTATCAATGAACAAGGTGAACGTTTTCACGTTTATTTCCTGCTCCAACTCCCATTTGCGGTTGTTTAAGCGCTCAAGGGCCATACGTGTATCACTCAACCTCCTTCTTACTGCTGAGATGTCACCAGCAATGTAATGATATTCAGAAACGAGGGTGTGTTTAGGGTTATCCCTGCATAGCTCGATGTTCGGACGCCATGTTCGGTGCTCAAGCCTTGTATTGTTGACCTTCATGTGTGTCTGGAGATCGGCCATCTGTTTCTCCAACATTTCCAAGCTATCATGCATATTCTCAATTTCTCCAAGTATCTACAAAAGTGCAATTGTATCCTTAGAATACAATACATATCAACAGCATTCAGCAACGTTAAAACTTATTCATACACAATACTTGAAAGAAGAACTTTTGCAAAGGGCCAATTTTGTGGTACTGTAAACTGGATTAGCACTTTGCAGCTCGACTTTGGTCTCTAGCTCGCTTAATTAAAAATCAGAGTTTCTTTGAATATCTGAAGGAGCGCCTTCAGTACAACCTATAAATTTCAATTCAGTAATAGATTAACGAAATTATTGCTCAAATATGAAAAGCATGCCTTCCTGTGCTGCATCTCAAGCTGCCTCTTAGCATTTGTAGTCTCAGTTATCCTCTTTCCAAATGCAAGCTGAACTTTGGCATTCTGGTCATTCAATTGCTGAAACGCTTTTCCAAGCAAATCTTGTATCTTCTTACGCAAATTCTCTGATAATGATCTTGAACTGCGGGCCTTTGCAATGTTGTTCTCCGAATATGCTTCCCATTCAGTTGGACTTACAGCACTTGTTTCAACAAAATGAACGTTTATATATTTCAGAAACAAAAGCATGTTAAATTAACAGTTACTGTTAACAATCAGATAAAGTTACAACTGCTTATTTTCCATAAGATTATTAAGCCAGAATTTAATTGATGATGTCAACATGAAATTATGACGTGAGCAACCGAGTTTTACCAATGTTGTCAACCAGCATACAGGCAAAAACTATGCACTGGCAATAGCTCTAAAATTGTTCTGATATCAAAAACTAACATGAAATTGTTTTGAATTCGCCCATAGGCTTTTAATTCATTAAATGCATCCCAACAATCAAAATTTGTAACTTCTTGTCTTGATCTTCGTCTTGTACACATTTTGTTGGGTAGAACATCAAATGTGGGTGCTATCATCATATGAAGAATAAGTTAAGCAAATTGAAGTAAATAGAATATGAAATATCAAACGCACTTGGGGTCATACTCTACTGCGTGTTTATGGTATCCCAAGAACTCAGACATGTTGGTCAAGTTGTAAGCGGTATTATCTTTGTACATAGCAGATCTCTTGTCAGTACTGTCCTTGTGGAGGCGCTTCAGGCAAGATTCAAGGTCCCTGAAACAACAGAATATAGTGAATGCGTGGTAAAGGATGAACACGGTTGACAAGGCTTGACCTTATCAGAATTCTTAAAAGATTATCATTAATTTCAGAGTACGATGTTATCAAGCCCGTGGGAACGAATATACTATTTTTTCATATCTCTTACTGTAATTGTAAGTAATTGTAAATTTATCATTTAGTTTAATTGTTTTTCAACCGCGCTATCGGATCACTTCTGACTGACGTCACAAATATTTTCGGCCCTGTTATTTCCATCGACTGTCCAAAGCGTCAGCGAAAACAGCATAATGGCAACTCAGCAATTGAGCTTTTCGGTACATTACCAAGAGTATGAACAGAGCATGGACTAAGATAATGATCAGAATTTGGCTCTCTCATTTTAAAAGTGGGACATTTGGGCTTCTTAAACAGCCGGAGCTTTGGAGTTAGCAATAGACATTGTAGTTTGAATAAGTAGCCCTACATGGCCTGATCTTTAGCTGTACTGCCATTGTAACGAGTATTAATAAACCAAATCAATTTTTGAACTAATAATGACTGAATAAAGAGACTGTTTTATTGTTTCTCTATTTCTTTCAAACAGTGAGAACCGAAAATTAAAACAATCTCCAGAAGATTATTAGATGCAAAGAAAATCGGGTTCTTGTCATCAAACTGCAATATTACGATAAAAGCTCTATTAAGCCCCCAGGGGGGCTTATTTATTTTTTCAGTCCTAGAGGGGGCTTAAGGAGAGGAGGACCTTTTAGAGAGGGAGAGCTTATTAATAATTCATTGCAAAAATGTTATAAATGCCCTTATGTTCTTGTTATGATAATGTCATACAAATGTTCACAAAAACTTTGCTATCAGCTTCGAAATTTTTTATAAAATCAATCAATTATAATTTCCTTATTATCCTCGGAGTCACCAGGATCAATTCATCGTCATCACACCCGTCAACAGATCCAATCAATGCAAATGTTGTCTTTCTTTGTTCGGGGGCTTAAGAGGAGGGCTTACTGGAGAGGGGAGCTTATTGTAAGTTTTTGTTATATAAGGGGGCTTAACAAGGAGGGTGCTTAAATAAGAGGGGGGGCTTAATAGAGCTTTCACGGTATGTGCTTTCGTTAAGAGTATTCTTGGATGTCAAACCTTCCAGTAAGCTATGTAAATCTTAGCTACTAGAAATGTCGGATTCAGGCCACAACAAATCTTCTTTTTCAAACGCTGTCAACCAATAAAATGGCGTCATTAGCCAAACATCGATTACCGATAAAGCTACCTGCTAATTGAGATTTTGAATACTATTTGCCTTTTAGCTTTCTTGCTACCATAGTGTTTGCATGAAAGTCAAATAATCGATATAACCGTGCAAAGATATTAATGCACATTGCAAGAACGCTAATGACTGTTTTACTCTCATTGCATTCATTCATTTAAGGTTCACTGCAAAATTCGGTTAACAATCTCTTACCCAGGGACCGCGGAAGCGGGGAGGCTACGGGGGCTTTAACCCCCACAAATAATCTCAAAAATGTACTTAAAATCATACCAAAAATCGCCCTGCTCTTGGTTTTTAGCATGTTTAGCCCCCCCAAAACGTTTTAGCCCCTCTCGATCTGCAATATGCTCTGCAATCCTTGCTTTTACCCCATTTCAAAAACTAAATAAGTCCTCATGTTTAGGGGCGTGCTGAAGTAGGGGCAGTCCCTCTTTGCAACCTGCAATTTGTTGCTTCCCAGTAAAAGTTAAAATCAGGATCTTGACATGTGGAAAATAGGGAACCTATCGTTTGCAACGCCCTGCCCGAAGGATGGCACTCAAATGGACATTTCATCCCACTATTTTCAGCCAGATTTTTAAATTCGTTCATAATCGATGAAAAAATGGCTAGGAATAGGATGTGTTGCTGAGTCATGAAACCTATCGCTTATCTTATTCATAGTTTCACGCAAAAGGCATTAAATCATGCTTTAATTAGATTTTCGATAGACGATGTGTTGGTTTTAAAGCCTAGGACGAAATAACTGTTTCATTGCTATCTTCATAGCGATTTCTTTACAGAAAGGCATTTCCAGCAATTAATAAGGGCGTTGCCACTAAAAAATTATTTTCAAGCCTCCTGATCCCCCATTGTCCACCCCGCAAATTTTTGATTGGTACAACCCCTTACCTTTACTCCCCATTTAAAAGCAAATAAAGTCCTTTAGAAACCACTGCAAAGACATTTTGAAGCATAAACATACTAAAATGCGTGCGGTACAATATGATGAATTTAAATAACGATAAATGTAGGTAAATTGTACCAGGAAAAATTTTTTTTTTAAATAATTATTTACGACGTTTCGAGCATAGCCCGTTATCAAGCACAGCGAAAACATCTTGAAGCACAGCGAAAACATTTCGCCGCACCACCATCGAAAAAAGCTTGAGAGAGGAAAAAGGGACATTTGACTGCCTGCCTGTTGTATGGAGCTACTTCATAAAATGATATGAAATATTATTTAAGAATTTTATGTGCAAGATTCTGAACTTTCAAGCAGGAGGGCCTGAGATAAAGCCCAATTTATTTTTGTAAAGAGAAAAGGCATCAGAACCATTTCTATCATTGAGGGGGCTGATGTCCTTCCAGCAATGTCAAACTTCTACGGTATTGATGTAATAAACATGCTTTTATATCAATTTGGGAGAGTGAGAACACGATGTTAAATCGTCATTCAAAGGGGGATTGCAAAAAGAAACAGAAGCCGTTGTGTTGCTATTGATGGATGGGAAGAAACAGTAGCCTCTTTTATCCATTTAAAAACCAACTTGAATTGTGATTTCATGCAACGAGTTATCTGATTTAAACAAATTATTAGATAAAGGAAATCCTACCTGAATTGATTCATTGCTTGCTCTATTGTGCGTCTTAATGACTCTTGAACACTGCTTATCAACTCGATCTCCTAAAGAAGTAAACACGCACTTATCAATGAATACTGTTTATCAGGGGCGGATCCAGAGCAATTTCGAAGGAGGGGTAGTTGGTAGTGGGGGCGTTGAAAATTTTCCGAGATTGGTGACGAGTGTAAACCGTATAAAACAATTTCAGACCCCAACTACTGACAGAAGGCTCTCTATTCACTATGTAAAGAAATTTTCAAAATAATTGTTGCATACTCATGAGATAATCCTTGAAGTAAATTAATCTAAGTCTCAGAAACTTTTGCACCTGATTCTCATTCTTCAAAAGGGGCACAAAATTTCCTTAAAAGGGGCGCCAGACTTCAACTCGGCGAGGGAGGGGCAACTGCCCCTAGCTGCCCCCTTAAATCCGCCACTGCTGTTTATAAAGAATATGTTAGAGGAAAAGTTCAACGAGGAGAGAGATAGTGACATACATTAAGTTCTAAAAATTTCGTTGGGATTTATTTTCAGTGAAGCAGGGCAACCAAAAATTAATCGAAGGCGAAATTTTTCCTTACCGAAATTTCAAACGCTAGGAAAATCACGTTTTAAACCAATGGACTTTCAAAATAACAATGAAAATTCATTGATACTGTTTGAGTATTACTATACATCCAATACAAAACCATTTTTAACTTCTCGGTCTCCTTTGTCATCAACAAATAAGACATCCAGCTCATCTTCGTACAAAGATTTACTTGCTAACTCAAAAGAAACTACCATACATGTCCAATCAGTTGGAATTTTAGCGCTCGAAGTTTATAAAAAAATAACAACCTCAATCCTGTTTTCATGAAAGACTATTTTGTACCCAAAACAACAGGTCATAACCTTCGACTGGAAAACCCCCTTGACATTCAAAAAGCTAGAACTACCAATAATGGTATCAGATCATTAAGTTTTCAAGGGCCTAAAATCTGGAATTCACTCCCGGAATCAATAGAGACAGCACAACATACTAGACAATTGAAGAATTTGACTAAAACTTGGTTCCTTGAAAACAAGTGCGCATGCTCGTATTGCAGTAAATAATCTGTCTTATGCAGTCCTTGAAATTGCTTGATGTTAGTCTTGATTAGTGTATTTTCACTATTGTAAAAACTAATATTAAATAATATACAATACAGTACAACGCAGTACAATACAATACGATACAATACGATACAATACAACACTATAAAATCTTCAGTTTCCTCTCTTTAGCCCTCTAAATACAAAAAAATCTCTACCGAACACGAACATCCAACGAACAAACCAACGTCAACGAAATACGACTAAAAAATGTTAAAAAAATATGCAACTTATAACAGAAATTATTTTCATTTATTGGGCTGACACAAAAACATCCCTTTTTTGTAATTTTTATGATTGCGCTCCAGAACATTTTTTCTCTACTCACCGAAATTTCTTCCTTTCCACCGAAATATTTCAAGTTTTCGCCAAAATTTTAAAGTATGACCGAAATTTTTTTCCACCGAAAATTAATTCACCAAAATATTTTGGTAGCAATTGATACATGTATATGTAGTGAATCTTGTAGGTCTGGAGCACAGGGTACTTTTAACAAGAACCAGTGAACTGACGATCAGGCTGGGGGTTCTTAATTGTTCATCAATTGTCCAATAGTTCTCTACAGAAAAAAATGTACTGGGCAAAAAGTTGGTATTGGCTTTTCAAAGAAAGGTTGCTGCAGTGTCCTTTCATTCTTATATTTCACAGTACCTCCGCCTTAGCTGGCTCTTAATATGCTTAGGCAATTTCTAGGCTGATGACCCTCTAAGATTGTTTTTGTAAAAGAAAAATAGTATGAAAGCACAGTCAGGAAGAACAAATGCAAAGTTTCAGAGATTTTAGTGCAGAATTATGCAACGGTTTTGAGAAATTCAGCTATTGATGATCTCATAACGGGAATTTTCTTGGAATATCCTGACGCAAAATTCAATAATGTCCCAGGAATTAAAAAATTATTCAGACTTTTTTTTGGAGTATAACTTTGCTTTATATTAAAAGAATTAATTCTGCTCTATTTTATATTAATCGATTCTTATGTCTTTACTGAAAATATAAGATTAATAGCTGCTAAAATTGACATTGTCCGGTCCGAGACTTTTCGACAAAAAGACCGATTCAACAGGTTATCAAGACTTGAAAAATCCAAACTTTTGACATTTTTGTAGTAACAATATGATGGGATGATGGCCCATGAATGTTTAATGAAAGTCGCTGTATCTATCTGATCGTATACACGAGTGGTGCTTGCAAGTCGAGGTTTTTTCTTGATCTTGCTTTTAGCATAAAGCTGATTATACGAAACTATCACCACGAAAATCATGATTAAAGTAAAATTGACCACCACAAAAAGATGAATTGCCACTAGAAACACCCGTTTCCTTTGAGAAACAGGAATTTACGTGATTATGTAGCCACAGTGGGCGCGATAAACACTCGCTTTTGGTAAAGGTCAACTTTGCGGGGGCGAAATCAGAATGACTTGGGCTTTGATTCAACATCTGACTCATGTGTCAACATAAGGCTTTCTTCAATTTTTTTCATAAGGGGGCAAAAGCTGCAATTCATTCCTTGGTAATTAAACCACTCCAAGCTTAAATATTTAATGTTTCTTAAATTCGAAGGCTTAAACCGAGCCCTTTCAACTCTACTGATTTTGCTTTTGCCCAGTATTTCTTTAAGCACATTCCTTTTTAGAGCAAACGGGAAACAACTTTTATACTTGAGAGACCACAAGGACATTGCTTGCATCTTCCCCTTTGATACAGTTCTATAACTGAAGCATAGACAGTAACCTTATAGCTAGCAAAAAAATTAAATTGTTAAATCCCCGTCTCGAACAGCATTGTTAGCTCACTGGAACGACAAAAGGATTTTAAGAAATGAATTTTTCTAAGATAGTCGCAGATCAGCAATGTTTTGACAACAATTGCAACATTAGATGAAAAAAAATAACCGATTTCAAAACGTTCACGAAAAAACAGCTTTTTGATACTAATTTGTAAAGAAATTTTCACAAAGTTTGGAAAGGCAATAAACATTCTCGATTGTCATCTAAGTTTCGCTTGTCAAATTTTGTAAATAGGCCCAAGCATTGAGGCTAGAGAAAGCAATCATCGCGACGAAATTCTGCCCTTGTATTTTTGTAAACAGGAACCTTACGAAAATATTAATAATGCCACAAATTGCGGGAAATGGCTAAGCATTACTTTGTTTGTTTTTCCGGTTACGGCTGATTGTCTCGATGAATACAACTGCCCGGCCATATTGAACGCTCCTAGTTACCGCGTCATTGACAACGACCTCTTTATTGTCTGTTAACAACAGGCCATCTCTAATCAAAAATGGCTCACAGTTGGAAGGAAGTTGTGTGTTCAGTGATCAAATCATTATAAAATTTGTGTTAAATGTATTCTACTCTTCACTTCGACAAAGTACTGATAATTTTAGCGTTAGTAAACTCTAAACTCAAAAATAAAGCCAAAATAACCAGTAGCCAAAATAAAGCAAAGTAGTAGGAAAACCTATGATAGTAAGGGCTCTGGTGACCCGATGAAGTAAGGTCTAACACGGAGTCTAGAAAAAACAACACCTCATTGAGAAAAAATCAGTTCCAACAACATAGAAATAATCTATTAATACCAAGCAATGGAGTTAGAAAACTGGCCAGCAACTGAAACTATCAGGGTGAATAGAAAACACAAGCTAAAATAACAAGCAAATAATATTGTTATCTGACCTTATAAAGTTCGATTTCCACTTGATCCCTGACCAGATCGCTACCTGTTCTTTTTCTCCTGACAGCCAGCGCCTTCTTCGGAATTTCCAGGGGTATTTCTGTGGCATTCAGTGCATTTTTCAAAAGGCTGATGTGATACCGAAGCGCTTGCATCTCGTTAGCAACTGCAAGCTTCTCTTTGTCAACATTACTCTTCCATGATGAAACATTTTGAAGCCTTGAATCGAGTTTCCTTGTGACATTCAGTTGATTACTTCGGGATCTTTCTGCTGCCTTCCCGCACAGATGAAGGGTCGCATCCCTAAGAAGCTTCGACTGCTCGAGCTCCTTTTTAGAATTGAAATAGTGCGCGTAGTTTGAGGCCTTCCATTCCTGTGGGTTTAATTTCGTCCCAATTTGGACAATTTCTGTCTGCATTATCGCGAGTAACACATTAACTTTGTCAACATTTATCACCTCTCGCAAGAGATATTCTACCCAAACACCTTACATGTGATTGTGTTTCGGCTCATGATTTTGTGGCACTTGTATGCGTGTTCTTTTGTAGTGAGTAACCTAGCAACTAGTAAGACAATCGACTAAACGTCATCGCGCCGCTGTACTGTTTTTGGTGGAGCAAAAAGTTTCGGCTTTCTGGTGAAACTGTTGTGAGTTATGAAATATTCATGCTTAATATCCCGCGTAGCTTATTAATTTTTCATGTTTTAGAAACGGAGAAGAAATGTCGAGACTATTTGAAAAGCTGACAACTTGTAATAGAATCCCTTATGAACACCCACAGGATTAGTGATGTAATGAAAGTTTCACAAAGTATCAACATGGGTATGGGAACTTTATTGAACCTAAGAAAAAGCAGCAAAAGCAAAGGAAGACCGCCAAATGGAATGCCAAACGACATGGACGGCAATATTGATTCAGGCATGCACAATGCTATCTTTTCGGTATCATATACATAAGCTGCTATACTGAAGTAAGTGACTTTTCAAAAAGAAAAAGCGTATATCTCATAAACGGACATTGCTAAGAATAAGAAAAAGTTTCAAATCATTGAACACGAATAAAATAAAGTATTTTTAAGAAGAAATCGTGTAACTGTTGTTTGTTCTCGCGATGTTATATGTTCCCATGGGCTCCGACAAAGGTTGAAAAGTGGGGGGGGGGCCAAGGGAAAATTTAAAACCCATAACAAAAGATTTTGAAAAAAACTCTATTGTTTTGCAAAAAAGTAGGGGGGGGGCCAAGGCTGCGCTCCCCTTCGTCGGAGGCCCTGGCTCCGATATATTAATGCTCAAAATGTTCTAATTTATTGTCAGGGATTCGTTGGGAGGGCTATCAAAACTTTCTTCAATCATAGTCAACCAGTGGCAAAAATTATGGGGGTTTGGGGGGCTCGAGTCCCTCCCCCCCCCCCCAATCAGCGATGTCGTCGGAAAATTCGGGCTTTCGTCGGATAACTAACAACCGTTTAACGTGTCGAAAATACTCCAAGAAATCGCTCTGAAAAGGAATTTTAAGCTAACGTAAGGGGCGTTATTGCAAATTTTTCTGATCTGCATTTGATCAGAATGCAGGTGATCTGCATTTTCCCTTTTTCACCCCAGGGGCCTCTGATAGTATAAACTCATCAATCAAATAACATATGCTCAAAATCAAATCTGCTTGTAAATTGTATATTTGATTTCAATTCCGTAAAGATTAGCCGAAATTTTCATCGGATTCTTCCGAATAAAAGTCATTTTCAAACGCATTTCCCACTGACGAAGACAAGATAAAATGCATAAAATGAACGTACGACTTGTCAAAAGTGCAATCGGTCGATCTCTTGTAACATCAACTGTCTTAGATGAGGGGAGGGGGGGCTTTAGCTGTTCTATGATATTCAGGTAGTGGCAACAAAGATAATGGGGAGAAAAATTAACATAAAAGTTTGCCAATTTGTCTAGAGGCATCCCACTTCAAAAAGTGTCCGGCGCCCCTGTTAGACTTCTTGATTTCAAGGATTGCGGATCATATTAAAGATTGGAAGGGGAGGGGGGGTTGAAAAAGTTGTAGTTTACAAATTTAAATTTCAGTTTGATTGGTTCCAGGATAGTTAATGTGGCACTCAATTCTATGTGTAGCCACTTTTGCTTCTTGCTGTCTGACATGCCTTTATTACTGGCATGATTACAGTTGCCTGTACTAAAATTTTACAATAGCGGCATTTACGAAGCACGAAGTGATATTTTAGCACTCCTTGCTGGCATAAAATGGCTTTGTGGTTATTTTTCAAAGTCAGCACTAAACGAATAAATAGACAGAATAAAAGTAAGTAAATAAAAGATTAATAATTAAAAAACAAAGCAAAACTTTTTGTTAAATGTCATTACTATCATTTTGTAGACTTTATCAATGTACTATAACACTATTAATCAGGGACGTATTTAATAGGTAGGGATTGCGAGAGGGTGTTAATAAATGATTGGGATTTTGTGTCACACCCTTCAAGTGGCTGGAGAATTCTGGAAACGCCCATTTCAAAAGTTAAGCGTTCAACTTTAAGATAAAGAAGATACGAAGACAAATCAAGCAACGTTTTGCTTTATTCTGTTACTTCTGGTCACCAAGAAATGCATTTCACCGAATGAAAGCAAATTTGACCCAAAGACTCAAAACTATTAGGGGAGGGGTGAAGCATCCCCCTCACCCGCCAGTAAATCTGTCCCTGCCATTAACAGTCAACAGAACAGTGTAACACTGATAACGTGGGTAGATGCACTTTTTCGCGAGATCTTGTTTTTCATTGTTAATACATTATTAGGTTATTTGTTATGTACTGTTGGTAAATGTCTGACAGTTGGCATTACGGTAACGAAATAATTGAATTACAAGTGTGATGCTTTAACGGTTTAGAAACTTGACAGAAATTTGTTTAAGATTTCGATTCTCTGTTTGACGTAGAGTGATAAAAATTGTGCTTGGATTATCTGATAAAAATAGCAAGAAAAATGATTATGTCTTGCAATGTGTTTATTGGATTAGCTTAGAAGTGCCAGAATTACTGTTAAAATAATTTAAGAATAATTTTTCCAAACAATACTTATTGTCACAAGTGTCTACAAAAATAACGTTTTGTAGGCTCGGTAAATATAAATAATTTTATCGTCCAACATAAGCATAGTTAATAGAAAAAGCACAATGTTTGCTTACACGTCGATAAGATAATTTTTTCAACGAGTAAATAGATTAACGGCCAAAAAAGTTCCAAGAAAAATTTTGCGGAAATTGATAAAAACGTTTTAATGAAAACTGCCTTTGTATTTACAAACAAATTTCTTTAACAACAGATTCGCAACTAACTTAGAAATTGTGCAGATACTCTCGCGAGGGGAGTGTAGCAGCTGTTGTATTTCATAACTTGTTGTTCTTTCTACATATACATCTTGCTATCAAGCGTTCTTTTTTGCTACTTAAAAATCGAAATGTCAGTGACTTTGTATTTAAACTAGAGCACCGTTTTTGATGCTAGCACATTTTCATGTACAGTACATTCAGATTTTTTGATATGGAATAGAAAAACTATTGCTTGATCTTATTCTTGATTGTCACATAATTTACATTAGCTTTATATTTTCAAGATAAAAAAATTAATAGCTTTCACATTTCCTTCGTTTAGGTATTTGGCATTATTGAGTTGAGTTGAATTGCCAACTGTCAACAAAGCAACACAGGGGTACAATAGTTTTGATCATTTGATCACTTTGGTCTCGTCAAAAGTTGTAAATTGAAATACCCAAAGTGATGTTCTAACATTTATGCAACATAGCCTACTCACAACAAACGTTAGAAAAATATATATAGAACTGAAGCAATTGTTCTTTCATTGCCTGCATTGCTGCGATAATTGCAAGATCCAGTCACCAAGAATGGCGCCAAAATCATGGCAATGGTACGTAGAGGTACATAGATCTATTGTATATTTTGATCAAATCAAATCATGGAACGGAAAGTATGAAACATGGCCAAGTTTTCAGTTGCTGTTTTCATGCAAAGGCTTTTCTTATTATGATTGAATCGTGCTTTTTATGGTACTACTATCGAATTTATGTTATACTATATCATATAACAACGATATAAGGTTTCCCTTTTACTGCCTTTTGCATCAAGATTGTTATTTGACCTGCATTTCTATTTATAGTGCACAGAAAAAAACCACCAATTTTGACATCTCCTGTAAATTCATTGCTGGATTTGTTTCAAGTTAAAGTTGCAATGAGGCATTCAACTTGTGTGTCATAATGTAGCAAGCAGAATGGATGTTCAAATAAACAAAGCAGCATCATTCACAATAATTATTTTCCTATGTCTGGTGTCCTACTGGAACAGTCTTAGCTGTGACCTTGTTCATGATGATGTTTATGCAATCAAAGAAAATGCAGATTTGCGCCCAGAAACATCATGGAAGAACCTGCTCACAAATGACTTCTGGGGAAAATCTATGACTGACAACACAAGTCATAAATCTTACAGGCCAATCACTGTGTTGACATTCAGAGTGAATTATTTTCTTCATGGTTTAGACCCATTTGGCTATCATTTTGTAAATGTTGTTTTGCACACCTTTGTGTCAACACTTTTCTACACCTTTTGTAACAACAACATTTTTCTGGACCAAAACATGTCACTGGCAACAGCTGCAGTTTTTGCTTGTCATCCTGTACACACAGAGGCTGTAAGTTTGTATTCACACATTTATATTTACTGAAAAATTGACGTACATAAAGACATACAGAAATGCCTTAAAAAGGGGGAGTTAATAACAAGTATATAATAATGTTTCAATAATTATGACAGTGGTGGATGCCTGAAGGGGGTGAGAGTAGACGATCACCCCTCAATATTTTGGAGGACAATGGTCTTTTATTCTAAAACAATGGGAACATGTGACATCATCTTATCAAAACAATAGGCTTGTCCCCCATATTTTACCAAGTGTCCACCTCTGAATTGTAAGTGTTAGTTTAGACTCTTTGATGATTAATCATTCAATTTTTTCTTGGCACAAGTTTGTGGATGTAATTAGTCTGTTTCATTCAAGTACTAACCATATCCAATGATTTCTCAGGTAACTGGTGTTGTTGGAAGAGCTGATCTATTGTCATGTTTACTGTTTCTTTCTTCCCTCTTTTACTATTTGAGGTTAGTGTAATGTGGCCTTTTAGCATCTTTCATTTTTGTAATCTATAAGTATGTGGTCAGACATTGAGATGTGACCAGTAATAGGAATGTTATGACATAACAGTGTATGCTAAGACTTCAGTACAAGAGACATGATGGTGTATGTTAAGTCTTTAGATATTGAGTCTTTTTATGACACCTTAGACTTAAGTGAATGGTTTATCTACCTAATGAAAGTTTTGTGGATAATACACAGGAATTTTTCTTTTGTTCCATTTGGTAAAGCCCCCACTTTGAAACATTTTGCCCCTCTATTGCTTATCCAAGATTTATGCAACTAATACTTAATTTCAATATATTGATTAGAAGTGTAATGGCTTCAGTGCTCATGTTTTGAAAATCAGAGAAATGCTGAAGTAGGGGAAGTATCACAACAGGCATTCACTTTTTTACAAAGTTGTTGCTAACTTTTTGGCTTTTCGTTAGTTTTATGTTTAAATTTTTAACATCATGGCTTATCAGTAGTTGTCAGCTTCACCACTCCATAATAGTTTTAAAGCATACCTGTTTAAAAAGAAATTATTAGGAAAGTATCAATTCATAAATAAACATAGAATATTCTGATTGATAATTTTTGTTTTGTTGTTTCTTGCTGCTCTTTGCTTTACCTTTAATAAATTAAAACAATTTTGTGGATTTTTAGTTGAAAATTTATTTTAGGGTCATGAAATCTTCCATTCGCGCTATATCTTATCAGGTCAACAATAATAACAAGCAGCTGTATGAAAAGGTAAGAAATAAAAGACATCAAATAGGCCTTATCACACTGAGATTTCTTAGAAAATTTTACTGTACCTTCTGGTGACTTTTCTAATGTCGTCAAGAGAGGCTGCTATAATGTAAGCTGTTTTAAAAGACGGCAGACAATTTCCATTTGAGCCGTTTTTGTTAGCTCTTAGTATATTAATAAGTGTCTGTTCTAAACCTCTTCAATTGTAAAAATGCAAAGCATAAATTTTTAGATGATTTTCCTGTCAATCCTTGCCAAAACAACTGTAACTTTACAACATTCAAGTTAACAAACGGTTTGTGATAAGTTATTAGCACCGCATGTATCCTAAATTCTACCCCCTTTTCTCCCGTAAATTTGATTACTGAAATAAAAACGTTTTTTCAAGCTTTATTTTAGCAACATTGTAATGAAGGGAGGATAAAATGCACGAAGATTTTTGTGAATGAATGTATCTTTATGCAGCATTCTGTTTTCATTTATTGGGTGTGTTGCCGTCATTTACTATTTTTTTCTACCGCTAGGATCAGAGCTGGTCGCATTTCCTTGTAAGCATTATCCTTGCAAGTTTGGCAATGCTTTGCAAAGAAAACGGTATAACAGCAATAGGTGTTTTTATTGTACTAGACATTTCTTTTCATTTGGATGTGATACAGAGGTAAATTTTACGATTTATCCAATATGTCTATTTACGCATTCTGTCAGCAACACTTACTTCTTTGCAAATACAGCCTAGTTTTTCGTCTTTTTATTTCTTCTCGACGATCAAAAAGCGGAGATATACAATATTTATAGAAGCTGGCGTGTAATCTCATTATACATTTTCTATTGTCATGTATAAGGAATCGCAATTTCAAATTCTGTTTATGCCTGTCGACTCCTTCGTAAGTGGATATCCACAATTCGTAAGATTCATCGTGCTTTTCAACATTTGCAATTAAAATTTGAACACAGCTTTTTGTTACGAAACCTCGTATATGAAGCACAATTTCGGTTTTGGTTTGCAAAATCTAGCCTTCGAGCTTACTTCCAGCTTGATCCAAGATCTTTTTTCAGATATTGAAATATTTATATTTCAATATGTCGATCGTTCTCTCTTCCTTCAATAATCGATGTAGTAGCTAAGAAAAAGACTATAGGTAGATTAAGTTTTGAACCTGGTTTGACTCCAGCATTAACTTTATTGTGATTTTTCATCTCTTAAGCTCTTCTCTTCTTTGCCATTTATGCCTTCTTTGTGCCTAAAATTTTTATATTTTTCTTCTAGATTTATATTCAATAGCCTTTCAGGCGAAAAATTAGAAAGCCTGAAACGATTATTTGTAAGGATAGTTCTTCTAGCGTTAACGGTAAGATTCTATTTTCATTATGGTCACACTATCTGATATTTAGCCAAAGGTCATTGATTTTTCACCGCTTCAGTAATTTACTTTTCGGTATTTTACTACGTGATTCAAGTTAAATGCAGACTTCAGCAAATTAATTACCTGTGCATATCTTTTGAATTTTAATTCTTAATACCTACTCGCTTGTTAGTGGCAGCGATCTTCAAAATGAAGAAAAACTGAAAGCAGACATATTTTTACTGTTCAGGATACCCACCAAAACATGTTATAAAAGTTATATGAAATTTCGATCAACAGTTCCATTGCTCTATCTTATTCTCTACAATCTTTCACGGCAATGCAAACATGAAATCTTATGCAAATCTGGCACAATGTTTTGGTCCTACAATCAGTTATTTCTATATTTACTGCCAAGTTGTATTCCTATTGTATCTGCAGTCACAAATATTCTACAATCCTGCGACTTAAAAAGAATAACCTGATCATTCAAGAAATTGATGTTCCCCGCTCTTGTTTGTATAATGTTTTTAATGAAATTTATTTGGAGAATTTATGCTAATTGCAACTTATTGTTGTTAATTTTTAGGCCCTTTCTCTGTTAGCATTCAGATTACGCATAATGAATGCGCAACTTCCCGCTTTCAACGAAGAAGATAACCCAGCGTCGTTTGCCCCAAGACTGGGAACGAGGTTTATGACCTATTGCTATCTGTGTGTCTTTAACATATGGTTGTTGCTGTGTCCCCATCGATTATCATATGATTGGCAGATTGGAAGTATTCCATTGGTTGAATCTGTTGGTGACATCAGAAACATCTATTCTGTTCTGTTGTTTTTTGGCCTTGCTGCTCTGGTGTTGGTCGCACTTTGCTCCAACTACGATGTATGTTCTATGATTCATTAATCCTATTAGAAATCTACTTTAAATGGATTACTAGATGTTTAATATTATTACTCATGTATGACATTGCAGTGAATAAGCAATGTCCCCAACTCCTGCCTGAAACACAGTTATTTTATACAGTTTTGGTTGTGAGTGCTTCACAATGCTATGTTGAATTTTTAAGGATTATGACGTAACCGTTTACAATTAGACATCCAATGAATGCTGAACCTAAATAGTTAAGACGGCACACACAAAACTACTATTGGGCACGAAGAATGCATTGCTGATGATGGAATGCTGACATGCATTCTTCCTATCCTTGAACGCATCGCCTTTTTTCCTTTCGATTACTTAAAGGCAGCGTATCCATATTGAAAGTAAATGCATACACAATTGTTACAACTGCTGACGAAATGCTGACATGAATCCAGCTGTACTGTCATTTTATTGGTTTAGAAGACCAACATTATAGAGTTCTTAAGTGTGACGTCACCAAAACCTATTTTTAGAATTTTTGAATTTTTGCCACATGACATAAAAAATCACCATGAAATACTTCCAATTATGCAAAATTAGTCAAATATGTGTAGAATCAGTTGAGATATTGCCAATAAAAGATTTGAAGTTTGCTAAGGAATCACTGTTATTTTCGCTCTGTTCATAAAGTTATGAACAGGGACCAAATTACAGAGGTTTGATGGGGAAAGAGCCAGTGCACATGTGGCCATATCTCAGCCAATTCGTAACACACTTGCGTGATTTTGCATATTTAGAGGTATTTCATGATGCTTTTTCAGGCTATGGAATCCAAATACACAAATTTTAAAAATAGATTTTTGTGACGTCGTCACTTTAGAACTCTATTGTACGTTGTTTTGTTTAGAAAGAGCTACCAACCCTTTCGCACTCTGCCACTTGTATTGACACAATTATTTTAACTTACACCATTGCAAAAACACCTATAGATGCAACTGGTCTTATTTCAAATATTTTTTTCTGTCTTTACCAACTCCTTTGGTCTTCTTACGAGCTTCTTACTATTTAAAGATATAAATTTCAATTGAAAGCTGGTCAGCTTTCAAATATACTTAGTCGATAAGTCAGTTCAAATGGGTTAGCATAAATCCTCGAATTGGCCCCTCGTCGAAAAGCCCCCCCCCCCCCTCGAATAAGCCCCCACCCTAGAACTGCAAATTGTCAATAAGCGCCCCTCTCTCGAATAAGCCCCCACTGCTACCGTAAATTCTCAAAGTGGACCCCTCAATTTGGTGGTTTTTTGCCATCTGAGGTTGCCTGTGGCGTATTATTGAATTACCACAACAAATTCATACTTTTGGTAGTAATTAATTAAATGCTCATAAAGAAATTTATACTAAAATAAACGAGGTCTCTTAATAATGTCATGTCTTCTTAATGTCTACAATAATTTTATAAGCCCCCCCTCGTATAAGCCCCCCCCCCTCGAATAAGCCTCCATTCAAAAATATAAATAAAAAAATAAGCCGCCAGGGGGCTAATTTGAGGATTTACGGTATTACTGTCGAGCTTAGGTTTGATTCTTAATTTCAGACACCAAGGAAGTGTTACTACTAATTCCTGGCAATGTCTTGGGACCATTTTCATATTTTAAAATTGAAGACTTCGTTTGATGTTTGTTATTTACGTCTTCTTGGCGTCTTTTCTGGCTCTATGTCGCTTCACCGAATTCTTAGAAATCTTTTAATTATAATAGAAATCTTCCTTAAAATCAAAATATTCATTTTCTGGCAGTTCTCCGGCTGCTAGGTCCTGATCCCTACAAATTCTTTAATTTCACAAGCTTAGGCCGCATCTGATTGATCTCCGATAAAGATTCAAATCTGAAATCAGGAGCAATACCTTAGATAATATTTCTTATCATTCCGATTACGTAAGAAAAGCCAGTAAACGCTTCGCAACTTTACAACATTTAATACGATTATTCAGTACAGAGCGATGTCGAGGCAGATAATTCGCAGTCAAATAAATTCTTAGCTTTTTAATCAACTTTACCCGAATGAATCAATGCTAAGCTGCACTGGTAATGGTAATAAAGTCAGACAACGTATTGTTTGTGACTGTATAATTTTATTTAATAATATCTCCTATGAGTATACTACCTTTAAGCAAAGAGTATCAGCTGTTTCAAAATGCTTCATACTCGTATATTTATTTTTACATTTGCGCTCTGGTGCTCTGAATTTCAAGCTGCGTGTGATCATCAGGCAATCATCAGGCAAAAATCGTCAAACTTTAAGTAGTAACTTTGAACTTTTATGTTCTACACGTATGTACATTTCTTGGCTTTACGGTAGCGTGTAATCAACAAAGACCAATCAGCAGTTGTTATTTTTGCGTGCATTTACTCATCCAAATACGCTTTGAGTACCGCGTTATTGAAAGATACACAGAAAAGCAGAAACATAGCATAAAGTACTTTTCCTCCGACACTCGCCAGAGTTTTAACATAAAATAATGACTGAAGCTAAGCAGTAATTCATACCCAGATGCGGTTTGAATGAAATTTGAGAGAAATATTGACGCTTTTGATTTGTTATATTTGGCCAATCAGTGGTCACTAAACTCCCAGCTTGTTTAAGACTCCAAGAGAGAAGAAGAACTTTTTTCACATTACTTTTTCTGTTTTTAGTCAATTCTAGGTAATTTACCAACCAGAAGTGATAATTGCGATACAAACTAAAAACTTTGAACAGATTTGAACTTATAAAATGTTTTTCCATAGTTTATATTAACAATTCTTTTTCTTTAGGCCGCCAGCAGAAGAACTACACTTATTGGTGTCGCTCTGTTAGTTATTCCGTTTCTTCCTGCATCGAACTTATTTATCAGAGTTGGGTTCGTCGTCGCAGAGAGAATTCTTTATATTCCAAGGTAAGCCAAATTTCCATTTTGATATACTTTGCAAGATAGAATGAAAACGATGAAATTTGTATGGATAAACTAATATAGCTCCCGCTTCGACACATTTAGCCCCTCTATTGCTTATCCAAACTGGCTTTAAGCAACAGGAATTAACTTTTCTAAATGTTTATTAATGAAGTGAAAATTGTAAAGAAACCCTCCAGTTCCATTATATTGACCTTACTGCGAAAAACTAAACTCACAAATTTTAGATTCACTAAATGCTCTGAATCTTAAATAGGACACTTCCAATATACGAAAGAATTTTCTCGAGAAAAATTGTTTTCGTTGTGTAACTGCATTTTTGCTTTGCGGCATGAGGGATGTCTATGTTTTTTGGTACTGACAAACGACAGAAAATATAAATGTAATGCAGGAAATCTTTTAGTATATTGGAGATTATGTCTGCATTAGCTTGCGCTTTTTCACTGAATGTAATTTTCTACAAGAATGATATTCTACGTGTTGCGTAGGCTTTATTGTTATATATTTGAATGTATCTATGCCAACATGGCATGAATCTAATTGCAACAATAACATAACATGGTTGATACGGGTAAATATCAACAAAATTTAATATGGCACAATTTTCAATACACAGCATAAGGTAAATATCATACATATTCTATTTACGGCAGAAAACATAAATATTCAAATTAACATAATAATTAACATATTAGGATGAATCATGTGGGCGTTGGATTATTTTAATCTCGTCTCAAAGCTCTTCGATACAAATGTGCCAACCACGATAAGTCATCTTGAATCCTTTTGATTCAAACAAATTGATCCCGAATTGTTAACTTTTTAAGTTAGTTGCTATTAATTTGGGTTTATTTAAGATATAGCATCTCTTGTCTGAAATCTCTGGAGAAACTGTGAGCCTGTCGATAAGCAGAAACTGCAATATCTTTGTCATCTCAGGGTAGCATTTTAACGTATGAAGTAAAGAAATCTACTGACACTTTAAACAGTCGGCCGTAGACCGGTTTCGCCTCACATCAGGGCTCATCAGTACAGCTGCTAGACTGAATGAGGACCTAAAGCCTACCTAGAGCGAGCAATTAGGCTGTCAGTGGCTTGTGGAAGGTAGTAAAATGTGAAAAGAAGTAAGCATGAGTGGTTCTTGGTGATATTGCTTAAAGAGACTGTCGAGTCTCTAAGACTCATGCGTACCTCGTTTAAAATTTTAACCACCTTTACAGAATTAGCTTTGGATAATGAACAATGGATAATTTTAGTCCAAAACGTGTTGCCTGCTCATTAAAATCTTATGTTCTCGACTACTACCTTTTTCTGATTCAGGCCCGGGTTTCGGAACGGTTTCAAGTCAATCGTTCTTTCACCATGTAGCACTTGTATATGAAATAAATGTTATGCTGGACGTCACTTGGAAAAGGACCATTTTGAATGCTACATGGTTGTCGATGCAAACGAAACTAAAGTTAACATTGGCTGTTGCTAAAGCTTTCTTTAGTACCGCACCAATTAACAGATTCCCAGTGAAAAAGCCCTATACCAATTCAAAATGCTCCATGCTTTAATTTTCGGGACTGCTGTGGCTCATAGTATAACTAACATTAGAATCCATGGAAAAAGTCTCAGCCTTTATTATTTAGTAAAAGAATGATGTTGGTTTCAGAAATTTTCATTTAACTATTTAAGATTAAAGTATGAAGATATTGTCACCAAATTTAAAAGCAATCACAGAACTTATTTTAACTTCCTTTGTGAACAGTCTTGGCTACTGTGTCTTGGTTGGCCATGGTTTGAGCATTTTATTAAATTGGAAAGCAGCATCAGGTGATGGAAATCAGAGAGGTTTGAACGCAAGTGCGGAACACCATAACGATGAAAAATCTCACTCGATATACAAAAGACTTTTAGCTGCAGCTCTCGTCTCTTTGATTGTTTTGTTCATGTTAAGAACAATTAATAGAAACAAAGTCTGGAAAAACAGGGAAACATTGTTTAGGTTTGTTGGTGTCAACTTTTTTCAATAGTTCCTAACTTTCGAGTATAATTGCTAGTAGTTGTGCAGAAAGTTGTTTTCTTTTATCCTTCTGGCATCATTTGGTACGCGCATGTGTTAACCGTTTTTATAAATACCTTCTGTCTCTTCGTTACAAATGCGCTGTTGCAGAAACGACTTCTCCACGAAGAGTATAATTTTCCACGCCTTTTTTCCGCGTAAAGGTCTTCAATAATTTCTATTTAGACGTATTGAAAATGTAACTACACTACATAGTTGTGTGGTTAAAATCGCGTGCTTATATTTTTGTCAAACGCTTTAAATCGCCTTATTTTCTCTTGCATATGTTAATGACGTGTAGCATTCTGTATTGAATTTTCGCCCAAACTTACTTGAAAGCTTTACAATTTGCCAAAACGTTAATCAAATTAATGCTTACTTTGCATTTATAATGGAAAATGTTTCAATTTTTATGTTACGATGACCAAACTTTTTCAATTTCCAGGTCAGGCGTGGCAGTCATCCCACACAACGCCAAGGTTCATTACAACTATGCAAATTTCCTTAAAGACAGCAATCGAACAGATGAAGCTATTTATCATTACAGAGTGGCAGTGAGGTCTTTGCTTTAGCAATTATTTGAACCATGGCTTACTTAACGTTTGAGAAGCCAAGAATTTCTCGATTTCAGTTAATCGAAGCTTCTTTGCTTTGGGGTCGAAGACTTCTGTGACTTGAAACATTAAGATTTCGTAAGATGCGATTCTACAAAAACTGTTTTGATAATGGGGAAATCGCGAAAAACGGGAATAAAACAATCTTTTTTCACAGTGCTCATTACTCAGGGCTAACGATGCTCTTTTTAAAAATCAGCGTCAAATTAAAGACGGGAGCCACAGTAATAGTTTGAAGATGAGATGTAAACATCATTTTGGTATTCTTCATTTAGCGCACAATCCTCGTTTTCTTCAACCCTAATTTAGGCCGTGCTAAACCCATGTAATCAAAAAGTATGAGACAGTGCGTGGAGCGGTTTCCTTTCGGTTTTTCCGGATGAAATAGAAAACGTTTATTTTCTTGAATCTGTTGCCCGACTTTTCTTAAATACATTTTTTTACAATGAAGATATACCCGCCAGGCTGAAGTGGCCCTTAATGTAAAGAACATAATTTCTACGTACATATTAATAATAGAATAAAACAAAACATATATAATGTATTCATTGAAAATGCAGCCGACAGTATTCTAATTAATTACAAATGTTATTCAAATAGCTGATGCCTACTATATTTCTGATACGATAGACGCTTTTTACTATTATACAAGTTACATCATATATACACCACTAGATTAAGCCAAACTCGGGCTTTAGCAAACACCCAAAATGTTTCTGTTATTCGTTTATGACGTCACAGCCTTTATCAAAGCTGCGCTGCGAATATTTTGCTTAATGTAGTTCTACCCGTTACAACCCTTCTGGTAAATGCCCCTGTGTTTTCTTGGGGCTACCTGTCGTGTAACCCCGTGTCGTTTTACCCCGTGTCATGTAACCTCGGTCAAACAGGCAAAATTGAACATAATAGTTCTTGAAAATGGCTTTGAAAAAAGCAAGTTCTGTACCGTCAAATAAATTGTTCACATAATAGTTCAGAAACCTGCCATAAATGCTTGATGGAATGCTTGACCTGCTCGACAACCTTTTTTGGTTACCAAACATTTTTTCGATGATACTGAGTAAAGTTTCAAAAAGATCAAAAGCAAATTTTGTTGATCATTATAAAGTTTTGTTGTTTGATCAGTTTGATCTCTACAACTACTTTTCGCCAGATATTTGACCTCTTTCCGATCATGTACACTCTCGCAAGTCGTTTTTTCCCGCCGCTATTCATCATAGACCATTTAAGTGGGTAGCAATGGAAATTCGAACTGCAGTTGGTTAAGTTCCAAATATTGCTTTAAGGTTGAGGATCGATGACCTGTTTCTGCTTCTTCATATAAACTTCAAAATCAGATACATAAAGAAGTTAGCTACATATTTATATTTTTCAGTCATGAAACCTTTAATCTGATCTTTTTGGTGTCTACGACGACCATAGTTGGATATCAAGTAGCGGCGTGCTCTGAATGTCGCTCAGAACTATTAAGATAAATCCTGTTTTATAGCGTCATTTCATCAACTGTGATTTGCAGCTGTATCCCTTTTTCTAGCTAACCTAGTAAGTTTTATTTTCAAGGTTGTACCCAAAGCATGCAAGCTCCCACAATAACTTGGCAACTTTGCTGGGAAATTCAAAAGTAGGTATTGCAAATAATTACCAAGGTTGTTTTATTTGATGCCTTATTTTACATATATTGAATGATAGAGAGTTTAAAGCATCTTGAAGGTGAAATATACGTTAATAACTGATTTCAGAAAATAATTTGTCTTTGTGGGTTGTTTACATTGAGCCTGAGCGACTCATTGACTGTGCCCCTTTGGTGTTTGTTGCTTAGACAGCTTTTACGCGTAGCCTATAATTTCCTTGTCCTTTTTAGGAAGCTGAGTACCACTTCAAACAGACTCTGCTCCACAACCCTTATCATTACAAGGCTATGTATAACCTGGCTTGTCTTTTCAGGTAATTCTTTCGTCTTTCCATCTTCCTATCAATTTCTGATTTTTTCAAGTCAATTCTGTTAATCACAGTGAATATTTATAAAAACAGTTTATGATAAAGGTCCAAGTAAGCCAACTCACAGTTGGAAACATTAAAGTGGTAGCTTATTTGGTCTTGTATAGAAATTTTCTGTCAGTCTGAGTGATTGTGGTGTCTATAAACCAAGTAGACTAAGATAATTACAAGTTGGGTCATTTCTGCTTCTCTTTTATTATATATATGAGTATTTTTAAGGTTATGCCTGACTACCATGAAGTTTGATACATTGAAGATTTGCCGAAGTACCTCAAAAATCTATATACAATATAGGTCTTTAGCTAAGTGTTCATGATACTAGCGTGTTCCTGCTTTATATTGTCCTTCAACAAGCATTCGGTATCGTTCATCATTATACAGTAACTGGAATCCTAGCATTGTTGTTCCCAAACACATAAGCTTGCCTTTCGAATTCGTTACTTGAATCGCTGACTTTTCGTCTACAGCACTTCGGTACCCCCATCAATAAGACGCTTTTAAAGCCTCTACGGAATTCTTGATGTCGATAAGCATATATTATCGGGTTGAGAGTCGAGTTCCCGTATGCAAGTGCGAGTGCAAATAACTCATACTCAAGCGGTTCTTCGACTTGTGCAAATTCTAAGATAACAAGTACTCCTGACGGCAACCAGCAACACAAAAACACAATGCCAATGACCATAAACGTATAAATCATGCGAATCTCCAGTCGGTTTGCTCTCCTGTTGTCTTGATTTTGCACTGACGGTAGTGATGGAGAAATGACTGCATTTGCCCTCATTCTTTCATTATGCTCTCTCATCTTCCTATAAAGGCTTTTGTAACAATAACTCATGACTGTAATAGGAATGATGAAGCCTATTACCAGAATACAAGCGCTGTAGATTCTCCCGGGAATGTCCCATGCAAAGGGACCGCACTGATGACCGTCTTTGCTTGTCCCATATTTGCTCCAGCCTAAGACTGGCGCCAAACTTAGACCAGCGGACACCACCCATATTGCAGCTATGCAACGCTTGGCAGTTTTTTTATTGAAACTCGTTCGCTTGTTAAAACCAACGCATATATATTTCTGAAGACTGATACTGCCTAGGGTCAGCAACGAAGAGAGCAGAAAAAGCATCATACTAGTCCCGTTAAGATCGCAAAACCACTTATTGGACAGAAGAATAGGGTTGTATGCAGATACAAGCGATACTGGTAGACTTATCAAGCCAACGCCAAGATCGGTGACTGCAAGGCTCACGAGAAACATCCCCGTGACAGTTTGCATTCTTGTGTTTTGCGAAATGCAATATAGCACCAAAGCATTTCCACAAACAGCCAAGGTCGAAAGGAAAACAAAAACAATCGTCTGTAGAATGGTTATCCGTCCGATTTTCATCTTTTCGGCTTCCAACTCGTTCTTTAATGTCTGCAGTTTGATCTTCTGTTGCAGTGCTTTATATAGGGATGTAACATCGAAGAAATTACAAATTGTATAAATTAGCAAATTGCAAGTAAAGAATGAATGCCTTATTTTGGCTGTAAAAAATTATTCAAGGTGCTAGCCGTTAAGTTTATTAAATAAAATGGATTCGAATTTTTTCTTCGTTGCCAAAGAAACCAAGAAGGTGTAACCTGTGTTCTACATTTTAAAATATTGCTGGAGAATTAAACACAATTATGAAAGCCCTCATTTGTTGACAGTTAATGGTGACAATGAGTTTCTCAGATACTGTACGTGTTTTTTATAACAGATAATGTGAACAACTATTTCGTAACATTCGTAAATAGATTTGACACGTTTGATGAAACACAACGTTGCCTTGAAACGTCAATAAAATGAAATCGCGATTTTCTCTTAACGAAACTGCCTAATTCGATGATGAAGCTGAGAATGCAATTGTGTTGAAACGATGTATTTTTCATCCCATACCCTTTCGGCAAAAGTAGTAAGAATCTTATCTGTTTTGTCCTTCATTACTCAAGAACTATGGCGTATTTTGAATAAGGGTCATTGGGGTTTTGATTGCCTACCCTTGAAAGGTACGATTTTAGAAGCACGTAAGTTTTGTATGATAAGTCAACTTAAAATATTATTTGCATTGTTCTTCTGCTGTGATGACGACGGCGTTTCATTCATTTTAAGGATATAATTTCGTTGATTGGATAAAAGATTCTAGTATCCTTGGTTTGCCAAAGAATAGAAATTCGTCACTTTGTGGCAAAGGTTTTTTTATTAACCTCTAAAAACTCTGTATTAAAAGCAAATGATATGCGAAAGAGGCTTTAGCCATCTGTCAATCAACGATTGGCCAATCATTAAACGTGTGAGTGGTATTACGTTTGTTGATTGGTCAATTTTGATTGACTGATGGTTGACACTTAAGTACCTGTCGATTATGGATCAGAAAGCAAATTGTTATGATAGATTCTTTATGTCAAAAGAATCCGCGCAGCCTGATCCATACATTTAGCCGTAGCTAACATTGCCTCCAATCCAAATGTCTGATATCCAACTACAATTGTATTTCATATAAGTAAAACAATATGATATTTGATTTGTAATTTATGCTGAGAAGCTTACGCAGTATAATTATGTTCGCATTTTCTATATTTTCACAGGAGCAAAAAGCAATACTTAGAAGCAAAGGATTTGCTAGAAAATTCAGTAAGGTAAATTCATAATTTATTCAATTTGTTGGCAGGATTTAGATGTAGGATTTTTAGGGGGAATGTTTGCTTGCATATCGTAAGTTGGTTTTAATCAAAATATTTCAAAATATGCAAACCAGCTATACAGCTTGTTCAATCTTAAAAGTTAAAGCTGTACTATCTCATCATTAGGTTCTGCATTGTTAATCTTATTATGAAGTAACCTATGAATAAAGGAAATTTTAGCATTCAGAATTACCAGTGGTTTACCTCAAATCAAGATCTAACCATCTTGTTAAAGGCAAATGAATAATCTTCAATTGCAGTTTTCTTGCTAGAAGGTAGCAAAGCTAGCTTGAGTTTATTCAGTTGGTGCTTCTTTCCTTGAGCATTGTTACAACTAACATACACCTCAAATCACGCCGTTATCTCTTACCGAATTCCATAAATATATTAGTTCACCGGAAAATTTTCTGTATTCATAGGAAAAGTTTTTGCAAACTAGATCGTTTCAGTGCTGTATAAGTTATTGCGCAGTTTGTCAAAAATAAGAAGCGGGCAAAAGACTTTGATCCGTAATAAATGTTGACTGATGATTGCATTAAGCGTGAAACTCGGAGTTGCGACTCAGAACCGTCCTGTTCTATACACCAAAATACGTTTACACCAGAAATGTATTATGATTATGTATAAATATATCTATTTGTTCCCGAGGCCTTCAGAGTGTCTATGGAGCCTATGTCTATGCTTTCTATCTACAGTGCGAATTGATCTAAAAACTAATTGATAGGGAGACAATGAGCTCAAATAGCCACGGAACTATACATAGAAATAGAAAGAGCTTTTGCTTTGCTGTTTCAGGGTCAATCCAGATTATCTCGATGCCATCCAAGTCCTTGCTGAAACTTGCCATGATCTTGGTGAAACTAAGAAAGGCCTTCAAATATTTCATAAAGCATCTCTCACAACTGCTGATCCCAACTTCTTCAATAACTACGGTGTATTTCTTGCTAATACCGGTATGTCTTTTTGATTAATTGTTTGGAACTATTCTATGTCTACCGGTACAACTTTTCTGTGTCTAAACTTTGTCTTATTAGATCGAAAACGATGTTAAATAAGAATTTTTTAGAAATGATTGTTGCAATTAGATTGTGGAGTCCTGGTTCAAAAAGTAGATTCCCATCATTATTATCAACATCGAAATTATCGGCATAATAATCATTTCCCATGATCATCCATAATCATCAGTCATCATTTATCAACAATGCCATCACCATTAACCAATATATAATCAAACGTCAATCATCATGATCATTATGAGGATCCACCATCAATCACCAATCATCACTGTTACTGTCAATGATCATCATAATCATCAACGTCACCATCCTACAACTGTATCAGTATCATCGGTTATCAGTATTATAGAGTCCTCTAGGCCGTAATAGGATAGAAATAAAAATCAAACTAATTTTGATATGTTGTATATGATAATTATCCAATGATAATTATGTAATTATCTCAACGAATGGCGGTCGTTGACAATCACCTTTCCTTTGCTTTGTTGTATATACCATATACCTTTCTTTTCTTTTGTTGTATATACGATATACCATCAAGCACTGTAGTTTACATTTCAATGTTGCTTTAGGTGATGTCGAAGGGTCGTTGCATGCGTACGAAAAAGCAATCGAACTCCAACCGTTGCAAAAATTGTTTCTCGTCAATTATGGTCGACAGTTGAAAGCAGTGAATAGATACGAAGATGCAGAAAATGTTTACAGAAGGTATGTATTTCCTTTCTGATACAATATTGATATGACAAAAATGACAAAACGATGCGCATCTTTTGTCTGACTTATCGCCAATGCTATCATCAACAGAACTGTCATCAGTATCTTGCTGAAAAAAACATTTGTCATTGACGATACTTCTAACATAATCCATTGACATAGCCCGTTATCAAGTAACGGGCTATGCTCGAAACGTCGTTATAGAATTATATTGTACCGCACGCAATCTAGTATATTTATCTTGAAAATATCCTTATAAACAAGTCCCCAAAACAACGATAGCGTTAGACCATGTTTGAAGAACGATCTATTTCGTTTTGGGTAATTTTTGACATGTTTCTTCTTGGTTAATTTCTGAAGAGTTCTTTTCTGGGTAATTTTCACATGTTTCTTCTTAGTTACTTTTTGACATGTTTCTTCTTGGGTAATTTCTGAAGTGTTTCTTCTTAGTTAATTTTTACATGCTACTTTTTGGCTATTTTTGACATGTTTCTTCTTGGGTATTTTTTGACATGTTTCTTCTTGGGTAATTTCTGACATGTTATTGACATACTTCTTCTTGAGTGATTTTAGACATGTTTCTTCGAGACTGTACTATTGCGTAATAAATCTTGATAAAGGAGTGTAAAATAAAAACGCTACGAGAAATATTCCATTCATATTTATTGGCTTGTGTTTTTGTAATAGTTCTTCTTCAATTATGATACTGATAATCGTCATAATATTTTATTGGTCAAAGCAAGAAGAGATCTAAATTTTGTTTATTTTCAAGGGCTTTGAGACTTGGCAGAGATGCAAATACCTTACATTTGCTTGGCATTTTGTTATATCAAATGAGACGGTTGAAAGAAAGTGAGCTGGCTTTTTTCGAGGCACTCAAGTATGAGCCACGCAATGAAGATTATATCAAGAATCATGTATGTGTGAATAATTAACTAATTAATTCTTCATTTTATAACTGCTTCTTTAATTTTTACCTGCATTTTGTACATTGCTGAAAATAAAGAAAATCATTATGTTTCTATGAAGTCGGTAGGATAACATCCAAGTCAGGGAGCAACTCCACAAAAATGAGATTTTTAATCTGGTTTGAAAAACCTTATTTTTCCTCTCGTGAATTTCCAGGGTCTCATTTCCTTATAAAGTCTGTAACAATCGCGAGAATTCTTGTTGATTAAAAATACTTTTCCTCGTCATCTATGTTGCAAATAAAAAGCACATTAAACACCGGCGTATAAGATCCTATCATCTGCCATGTTCAGTTTTGCTAGGTTCTTCTATAATGGCTATCGAACGGAAAAATTTGGCTCTTAAGGCCCCCTTTAGTGACTCTTATATGATCGAAAGGTTGACACCATTGTGTTCATTCAAAATTTGCTGACGTAATAAGTGCATATACATGAATTGCTCGTTATTAAATAGTATTTGGTGATTGGCGGTGAAATGGTTTGAGAAAGACAGCAGTTCAACCCTTCATTCATCTGCTAATAGAAACCCATTCCAATTTTCAGGTTGACTGTATTCTTATAAAGTTGAAAAATTTTAGTTTCCAGAAATAAAAATCTGGATGCTTTTATGCTTATGTCGACACTTAATGCGAGGTGCGAGGATGGCTCAGTTGTTAGAGGCGCTGACTACAGACCCAAGGGTCCGTGGTTCGAGTCTCTGGCGTGACCAAACTTTCACCCTTAGTGGGGAGAGTCGCCAGCTCTCTGTAATTCCAGGCGTACGAATCACGAGGTGTGGTCACATCGAGAGGAAGGACCAGGACACTGCTCGATAAGCATAGCTTCTCAGTGTCCTAAAAACTACCTTCGGATGCTAGGTAGCAACAAATACAAATACTCAATGCTGTCTCTACTTTGAGCATATGACATATGGCCATTTACCATTCCGTTCTTCTAAGAATGTTTCTAAAGACTATTTTCGTTGTTTAGTCCGTTTTAATAAAACATTTTTCGAATTTTCGAGACCTGGAAACCTTTTTCTTGGTAGTGTAGCATAAGAGAACAAATATTTCTTTCTGAATCATGTAAACGATTTATTTAATGTTTTTTGTAAAGAAAGTTTCTTCGAATAGGCGACAGCTGTTTTTGAACAGGGTCAGCAGGACGAGGCAATAACATTATTGAGAGACTCTTTAAAACTCTTACCCAACTCCTCAGCTATTGTCAAAGTTCTGGCAAGCTTTCTCATGAGTCGTAAGCGACCAAAAGAGGTTGGTACTTTTGACAGTTGTTTGATGAAATCTTCTTTTGAGCATATCAATGGCGAGGTCAATCTTTAAATACCATCTGCAGCCAATGTGGTCTGCTTAAATTATGCATATAGATTCTTACCCCCAACACCTTGACACATTGTTTTGAACCTGTCGGTTAGATAAAAGGTTTTTACATGATCCTGTAATCACATTGATACTATACGATACGTACCCAAGGAAAGCCATTTTGTCTGCCAGTGATATGAAAAAATTGCGCATATTCTATCCTCCTCGATAGTTTCCACGGAGAAGCTGATGACTTTGGTGTCAAATATAAGCCCTGCCCAGCGTGGAGCAAGATGAAACCTTGATCAAAAAAACAGATTAATATTTGCTAATTACATAAATGCCAACTTCTCAATCTGTGTCCAAGATATGTTGGAGAAATCTTTTTCCTTGATCTTGGTCTAAATTTCGACATGTGTTAGTTATTAGGAGCATAACAATTAATGGTGGGTTTAGCTTGGGTGTAGGGGGGGGGGGGTAGACGGCAAGTGCGAAAGTGGTGCGACAATACTTTCGTTTCATTCGGTATACCATGCTTTGTTTAGCTCAGAAGATTTTTTATTGATTAGTTGTAGTTAATGGCACCAAGTTTGGAATGCAATGAATTGCATTAATTAAAGTAGCTTGTAGATGTTGTTTGATTAAACTGTCTGTACATTTTTTAACTCCTTCTGCATTTTAGCATCCAACCATATGGTTTTAGGTGGAGCACTGGGTATAAAAGACTAGTTTCTCACCTGTCCGAGATCGTCTGGAATTAGATGAGAAAGCATCTAACTTGAAAATTAATATAGATGGCTTTTGATGTGTTTAGTGAAAAAAATCTCTATGTTTTCGACTGATTTACGCATAGGTGGACATCTAAAAATGATCAAGCAAAAAGATAGGATCCAGTCAGGGATTTATTAGGATCATGGGTGGCCTTCGACACTCTCTTTTATCGCCAACTTCATTTGTGGTATCACCGATAGAGTTGAACTCTTATTCTTTATCTAACTTTGAGCTTTAATTTCAACTGACGCACAAGCGTCGTATGCAGACACCTCATAAGCTTCTTAGATAGCGTGCTTGCAGGTGAAAACACTCTTGTTTGTCTGCTTGGAGACCCTTTCAGAAAAAGATAACATCCGATGATATCAGAAAATGGATTTGGTCATCCTTTAGAAATAAAAGGCTTAGATGTTAGATGTATATTTAGGTAATTGTGCTGTGAATATCGAAGCGGGCGTTTCCCGCCTTCATGGAGTGGCAGGCAAACATCGTCATTTCGCACATCTGTTCTTGATACTAATACCATTAAACAGACAAACGGAAGGTTTCCCGCCGATGGATGCATTGGCTGACCAACCATTACGTACAATTTACTCTTCAGAATACCCTTTACATTTACAGGTATTGACGCTTCTGGTGTATAGAACAGGACGGTCCTAAACACCGATTAAGCAAGATGCTTGGAGTAGCAACTTAGAACTGTCCTGTTCTTCACACTGAAAGTGGATACAGCTCTGCCACCTCTGCTAATGAAAACAGTAATTTTCCTTAATATATATTTAGAAATCTATGTTTTATAACAAGAGATCCTCTTTGCTACTTAGGCTTTAGAAGCAGTTACACACAGCTTGGCATATAATATGAATGACCCTGAGCTCCATTACATGAGGGCCAATGCATTTCGTGAGCTGAATAGTTTCAATCTGGCTTTAGAGGTACGTGTGATCAAATATTCTTCTTTTCAATATTCTTGTTATTTCCTTGACTAGATTGACTTTTATTAGGATCATTACCATGATTCTTAATTGCATTTTAATTTTAACAGCGCTTTTGTTGATAACAGCACGTCTACGTACTGATAGAGTATTACCCTGTATAAACATGTATATTATTATTGTGCATATATAAATGTCGTTTATGTTATCAAAAATCGACATATATCAACGTTTGGTATACATTTTTCAGAGTTTCAAAGATGTTTTGAAGTTGGATCCCAATAATTTCAGTGCGCTTCAAAATGTTGGAGTCATCTATCATCTACAGGTACGATTTGGATATGCTTTGGTTGATTCCACAAACCACATTAGATTCTGGCAATGTTTGTTTATTATATAAGAAAAGAAATCCAAAAAATTTTCTGCACAGATGAAAACCTACCATTTTTAATGTTTTTTTCTCGAATGATTCAAAATATTCGTACACTATATAATTTTCGGTATTTGTCCTAATTATATTTATTCGGCTACATTTGTCCGAAATCGCAATCGTCCGGAACTGTTCGAGCTGTACCTAAAGGTAGCATTTACGCAGAATGACAAAGGATTAGTCAATTTGTTTGTTTGTTTGAAACAGACGTATTATATACATTGTAAGCCATACAAATGCAGCTCCCTGCTTTTCATCTTAGGGTTTGAAGGTAGAAGCACGACATTACTACAGTAAGGCGTTAGCCCTTGATCCTGACAATAAAGTTCTCCGAGATAATATGAAAAAGCTGCTGAGGACAATGTAGTATTCCAAAAATAGCTGTATTTGATGCACTGATTGGGCATCCAGGGGCTGATTTTCTTGAAATGGTGAGGGATTACACCAGAAATAGCTTATTCAAGATTTTTGGGGGACGTTGTTCAGACAGACGGTAACTGCCGTTAGTGTACAGTAAACACCCGCCTATAAGAACCTGGTGTGGAACAAAGCCCTCGTGTATTAGAACCAATTCAGCCTATAGTTTGGAATAGGTTCTCACTTGCAAACTTTATAAATTTCAGGCTATTTATTTAAAAAATAAGCAAGTTTGAGAATGTAAGCTTTTTGCAGTGTATAGTAGAGATTTTTATATTTAGTATTGTTTATTCATACTAAAAATATTTTAAGCTGTTGACCCAAGAGTCTAAAACATGTCGATAATTTACAATGAAACTCTGAATGAAAACCTTGGAATAAAAAAGCCATTTTATGAAGCTAGAACCTGGGTTTCTGTTCAGCCTTCATCATAAAAACCTATTCAGATTTGGTAGGCTCTTGTCTGTGAGTGTTTACTGTATTTTATTATTGGTGTTGACAAGTTGTACATAATTCCTTTAATACTCGTACTTCTTCAGTGATTAAAAGAGGGCTTTTAGTTGACAGCATTAGCGTCATAAACATTTCTACGGAGCTAATACTTAACTATATTTATTACATTGATCCATTATCATGTTCAAATGATATTTCGGGTTGCTGAGCCTTAAGGACTACCAAAGCCAGTTTTTAGTGTAACAATTTGCAGGATTTTTCAAAAACTTCTGAAATATGGTTTCATTCATAAATTATCATTGCTAGTTTTCATCATAAAACAAAAAATCACAATACAACTGAATTGTAGCATCTCAAGTTGGTTTCATCTTCAATTATGCTTTTAATTATACACCATACTGAATGTTTTGAAGAATGAGATTAAAGATCTCTTTTTGTTTCATTCAAGAATTCTGTAAAAATTTCGAAGATGATTGATAAACTTGCAACTGTATGTGATAAATTTCTTATACCACAACAAAATATTCTCAATCACATATTCCTCACTTTAACTGGTCATATTTTTTGTATTTATGTAAATTAAAAACTTTCTAATATGCTAGATTTTTACAAAGATGCTATTGATGGGTTTTGATGAATGCACACTTTTGATGAAATTAGAGCATAGATTAAAAATTTGTTTTATTGACTGAGATCCAGTTAAAAACTGCTTGAAATTTTCATCACATTAAAATATTTTAATGTATGATACTTGTATTTTGAAAATATGATTTTATAGCTGGAAATATTACATTTTTATCAATGATTTGTTTTAATTGCCTTTTTTGACTTATACAGTAGTTTCTTTAATATTCTAAGCTGTAAATCACTCTTCCTTTTGTTACACCTTCCTGTTGCAATGCTCAATTCTTTGTTACATTTCCATCACATTTTCCTCATTTCCCCTTCTTCTGCCCTACATTATCTTTTCATTTTTATATATATCATTCATTCTCTTTCTTTCCCTACATTCTTTTTTCAAAAATTTTCATACCCATGCATTCCAGCGACTTTATTTGAAGAATATAAGAAAATACAACACATTTGGTTCCAGTTTCTTAAGAAACATATAAATGATACAATAAAATATAATGGCAGTTGTGACATTAACATCATACCAAAACCTTGACATTCACTCAGCTGACTTATGAAGGACAAGGTACCAACAAATTGTACATTATTATTACATTTATAACAATCAAAGTAAAAGAAAACTAAGGTAGTGAAGATCTAATTAAGACCCAGTCTTTGTCGTTTAATGCGTGCGATCGCACGCGCACGCATCAGCACAAGCATGGCACCAATAATGCGAGCGATTGATCGCACGCATGAATTGTATATTTGACCGTCGTTTTTGACTTGAATAAAATTGTTTTCATCAACGAAACATTGGAAGTTTTGTTTTTCATAAGCTGAGCAACATCGGCTTATTCTTTAAATGAAGCCTATTTTTGCTCTCTATCGTGGCTTATCGCTTTGCTTTGTTCTAATTCTCCCGGAAACATGGCGGTCGTCAGGTAGTGTCCAAAACTTTTACCTTCCTGTTTTCGCCATTATCGGAGTAAATATCGATGAAATTGCTCAAAAGAAAATTGGCTTTTTTATCATAGATGCGAGAGGCAGGCGACGAATAGACCCGCAAAAAGAAGATCTTCCGGCAATCATGTTAATACCAATCTAGTGATGTAGATAGGAGAATTCATAAAAGGGGCGAGAAATTTAGAATTTTCCGACAAAAATGTTATAAGAGCTTTTATTTTTTCAAATTTTTTACATAACTTCACGTAAGTCGCCCTGCCCCTTGACCTCTGCAAATTGCCCCAGGGCCTCGAGGTGAATGGGGCCTTACAAAGTAATGAATTCTGTTTTGAAATAAAATTGATTAAAAATAACAAAATTATGCCCATAAACAGTAAAACATTTGAAGCGAATAAACGATTTTAAGCTAGCTTAAAGGGCGTGGTCGCAAAAAATTTCTGCTCGCTTCGATCGCAGGGCCCTAATTCTCCGCTTTAGCCCCAAGACCTCCAATTCTTTAGGCGGCCCTGCGTGCAAGTTTGGCACCGTGACAAAACGGTCGCGGCTCGCCCGTTCGTTTAATCTAGCACTCTGGAACCGAGCTAATTATGCTCTGCCATCCGGAATGGTTTTGACCCTTTTACGAAAGAAAACGAATTTTGTACCGTCTCGGTTCCGTTTTTGAACAGGACTGTGTAAACTGGGACCGAAATAGCCTGATTTTTAAGAGTGTGAATCGCACGCATGAAAGAGATAATGCGTGTGGTTTGCCACACGCATGATTATTTCCTTATGACGAAGACTGAAGACCCATTTCTAAATATAAAACCGGCAGCAATTTTTGGGCATGATATGAATTTCAATGCATTTTATTGATGTTCTTTGTAATAGTTTGGTTTTGCTAGACATTGGTGAAGAAAATTCCTATTAGTGACTAAAGACCAGTTCTAAAAAGTCTTCTTGTGTTAAAATTTGTTTATTTTCAGTTAATCTAGAGTTATTCTGAAATATGTAAGACACTACAAATTCATTACACAAATATGCAGTAATGAAGACATACATTTAGTCTAATGCACCAAGAAATTAAACTGTCAAGTAAGAACACCAATCCAGTCCACCTGAAGGAAATCATCTTTTCTGTCTCATGCACAATGTCTTTTTGCTGTCTTTTTGAACAATTTGGTACTTAGAGCCAGATACTTTTTCAGGTTTACACTGAACCATGGAGTTGCTCCAGTAAAACAACATTAATAACATTAACTTGTGTCAGCTTATGAGCCCTACATAAAAATAATTAAATGTGATTAATACCGATACTTGAAATGAAAAATAATCAAAGACAGTAAATATGCATGATAAGATATTGCTGAATATTAAAGAAAAACATATCACAATAGATCTACACTCCCCTCACGAAAGTATCCGTACAGTTTCGAATTTGGTTGCAAATTTCAAAGGCAGTTTTTTTGGCCTTGTATCTATTAATTCATCAGAAAAAACAGTCTTAACGGTATGTAAGCAAACTCAGTGAGGGTTTTCCGCAAGATGATAGCAACCAAAACAAAGAATTGACTTCTGAGCAGTGTCTAGAAATAATGTTTTATCAAAATAATAGGAAAAAGCTATGCCGCTTTTGATTTGCAAAAAATTTGGAAAAAAAGAAGCATAAAAATTGTCACGAGCAAGAGCTCTCGCCACATCAACGTTCTGCCCTCACTAAATTTGCATCAAAACAGGTTTTTTCACAAACAATTAAACTTTCAAAAGCTGTCGGTAAATATTGCAAGGAAAATGATAAAGAATTGTGAATGTACCCTTGTACCGACCGATTTCAGCATAACTTGCAGCAGTAAAGAAATAATATGGTTTATGGCCCTGCACTGAATGATATGTCTGCTTTGCATGAATGTTTATGATCTGGTTAAAATATTACAATATATGTCATGCTTGTTTATGATCAATTGGTGGCATCTCCAGGCAAATATTTTTCCCACCTGAGAGTTAACAAGTTTTATTTCTCTTTATTCGAAAATATTTGCATCTCAAGAACCAGTTTGTAAAAAGTTACCATGTTTTATTGGCCCATTTAACTGAGTTCAAGTCACCTGACTTTGCTGTTCTCTGCTTATTTGACATAAGTTGGTTTGTGTAAGGCTTGTAGCACAAAAAGGTTTCTTATTTTAACAAAAAAATGATAACAGATAAAAAGTGCAGCAATTTTGCAGCATTTCAATGTCTTGGTTTATTTTGGAAGGGTTTCTCAAAAAATCATTATCACTAAGTTAAAAGTCATTATTGCCAGCTCAAATTGTTTTCGTATGAAAGCGCAATCAAGTTTTTCAAATGTCCGGGTATCAATTTGACCAACAAGCATCCACAAATTTAGAAATAAAAATACTCCCAAACTTGAAAATTTAGCTATTAGCAGTGTAACCAAAACAAAACATAGAAACACACCTAAATAGTCATCCATCAATGTCCCAATTGCAAACTAAAAAACAATAAAACATTTCTTAAGGTTGCTGTGGAAAAGAGAACCATTTGAAATCATGTTGTAGCAGTGCACATGAAGTGGTAATGTACAGTGAATTCTGCTTTGAATTTGTTTAGGATACCACTAAAAAGGTCTAGCTGGCATCCACACTGAAAAGTGTTAATATTTTGAGTGGAAATGAAGATTTAAAAAACTCACAATGTCAATTGCATCAACTCTTGTGCCAATGATTCGCAATCTAATCTCATCATCTTTTTGAATAACTAAATCCTGAAAGAATTCAGATAGAATTCAGATGTGAAATGAAAAATTGACACACTATCCTCTGACTCTAAAATCACAGCTACAAGGTGTGGAAACAAGTTATTCATTAAGCCTTATATCTAGAAAGGAATTTCTTTAAGATGTGTGTTTTTACAGTAAATCCCATTTGAAGAAAATTTTCTAACCAGCAACATAAAATTACCACCCAATAATTTAGCAACCAACTAAAAGTATGATTGTAGTTGCAAATTACACAGCTTTGACTTGTTATCAGGAGTTGAGCACAAAAATAACCCTTTTGTGCACAAACTCAATAGAACAAGAATATAAATACAGGTTGTACAAAAAATTAATATGATTTCTTTGCCAATGTAATTTGACAGTGTACTGAAAGGCCATGGAACCATGACTTCTTAAGAAAATTATCTTTCTGAACAGATAATGTCAAAAAAAAGGAAAAGAGTTCTTACTTCTTTCTCTGTTTTATAACATGGTGGGTTTGAATTTGGATCAAATTCCATATCTGATGGTATTGACTGAAAAGACAAAAGATAATTAGTTCAACAATCTAATACATTTAAATACAGTCAATTTTCAAACTGCTAGGAGCTGAAACAAAATAAAATATGCTTCTTAAAAACATGCTTGAAATAACAACCTCATAAAATTCATTGTAGTGTTAGGAATAGAGTGGTACAGAAATATGAAAAAATTAATAACATAAACAGTATATAATTAAAAAATATGGAAATCTATGAAATGTTATATAATATATAAAATAATAATAATACTTACATGTCTTGAGATAAAACATGATAGTGGTCCTATTTCAGTAAAAAGCCCAACCTGAAAAAATTGATTCTATTTCAGTCCAAAACAAATGAACCTTGAGGTATACCTCTTCAGAATAATTCAGGTTACCTTGAAATATATTAACTACAAATGATTACTTTGTTATAAAAAGGATTATAAATAAAAGACATGTGTTTTATCTTATTGAAATTGCAAACATGAACTACATACTTTATTGACTTGGGTGACAACTGCTTCTAACACTTCCCCTTTAAATGGTCTGAAGACAATAGCCTTTAAAAGGAATGACAATAATGTCATTAATAATTTGTAATTTCAAAACTGTGACAGTAAACGAATTTAACATGTAGTTGACATTGCAGACATTTGTATCAACCTAAAAGGGTTGTTAAATGTATGTTTTGGTGATGATGATGATGCAGGTTGACAGCTATAGAGCATATCAATCTGAATTATATATTAATAAGAACATCAGTGAACTATGATCATGTGAATATCACAACATACAGCTTTATATTTTACGGAATCAAGCACCAAACAGCAGCAATGTTAACAGTAATCTTCACTTAATAATTATATACCGATTGAAATAAAAACAAACATTCTTTTCAGCTCATGTCCATTTTAATTTTAATTTTAATTTTATGCAATGCTTTTAAAATAAATTTGAAATTTCATTGTTAGGTAATACCTTGTATTTGACAGGGTAAACTACAAAACCTCTCCCAGGCAAGATCTCACCAACACCTATATTATCAATAGTTGTAACTGCTATAACAAATCCATACCTACAATAAAAAACAAATTTACTCTATCAATACAGTAGAACAAAGTATACAAACATCAAAATAAAACATTATTGTTCCACAAATGATTGTTTGAAATACTTTCTATTTCAAGAGGAATGCTATTCGTAAATTAATCTCATTGCAAGAAAATGTTAGTTTCATTTCAATTCATTAAAGAAAATCGTTCATCATCTCTCCAAATTGCAAAATAAGTTATTCACACAAAAAACAAGTGGAATTTTTTTCTAATATCAAGGTTCTCAAAATTATAAAAATACTTATTCTACCAGTATTGATTATTTAATTTTTTGTAGTAGAAAAATCATCAAATGGTTTAATGCTGTCCTTGAATCTTTTATTCTGGGTGTTATTCTTCTATTCTGGGTGGGTGTTATTGTGCAGACAGGGTGTTATTCTTTTTATATAACTTAAAATATCAATGAATGTCTTATTGTCACTATGAAAACAAACTGTGATATTTTGAAAGGCATATAAACCATTTAAATTAAAACCATTAGAGTGCAAAACTGATGTTTCAAGGGCCTGGTCAACTTGTGTGTGTGAGCAATTATGCCTACTGTGTAGTAACTGCCTAAAGTAACTGCCACCATTTGAAATGCAGGCAATTTGCTTACTGCAGATCACAAAGCCATAAGAGGTATGAGCCTTAACAGCTACGTGAATCGTGGGCAAAGCATGCATCATTTTTCGCTAAATTTTAGAAATCTTATTTGTGAATATTTTGCCAACTTTTTAAAAATCACAATTTAGCTTACTTTCCAGTACAGGTGCCCTCGACTTCAGTGAAAAGCTTCTGTTTCACAGTTTGTAGTAGATTAGGCCCAAAGTAGCGAGGATGTAGAAGAATATCATGTTCCAAAGATATCTGGAAAAAAGAATGGATTTGGATTTATGAAAGTTTTACCTTACTACCCTCTTCATAGAATGGATTATGAGTTCTACTTTCTGTTCACAGTCAGTGGCATTTTCTGACTTTCCTTTACATCCCTCATTGAAAATGGATTTCTACTAAGTGATTTGTGCAACTCAATTTCTTGTCCATCTGAGTTTTGGTGGTATGATTCAATTTGAATAACTTCCCAGCAAGAAAATCAATTTTCAGAAAGTATCAAAGTCCTACTCTGGCATACATATTGGTTAGTCAAGTATCAATTTCCAAAATAAAGTAAATAAAAATGTATTTTGATTCCAAAAAATATTATTGTAGTTGCTTAATTTGCCAATGATGGTCCACCTGGTTTTCAATGTGTTCAAATTAGGTGCATGAACTACAGTTTTTGGTAGTCAACACCATATTCATGCATCTTTCTGTAAAAAAACATTTGCAAACGTTAAATCTTGGGCGAGATTTCTTGATTTTGAGATGATGTCCATGTTTTACATACAAATCTTTTTTATCTATACTGAACAATTTTGTTGTATCAACATAATACAGCCCAGTAGGGTACTGTATCATGTCACCTCAAAAGCAATGAAAGCAAGTGTTAGTAACTTGACAGCCTGCAGACGATTCAATCTTTTAATTCATGGATCATATAAATTGCTTGTATTTGCACTGATATAATTTTTGTTTTGATGACATTAGAGCATGGACCTCAAACTGTGTTTCATACTTTCAAGTCAAGATCAGTCTTACTAGTGACCTAAATAGCAAAGAGATGGGTCCTTATATTAATGTAACTGCAAAAGATTGTCTTATGAGACCCATAATTTGGTTTGTTTTTGAGACAATCCAGTCAATATACTGTCTAAAATATAAGCTCATTGTCTATGGTCACACCAAGGCCAATTTCTGGATGCCTCAACATATAAACAGACACCCCAGTTTTTGCTTATGGAAATTGACCTATCAGCGTTTAATTACTGATGAGAACAAAGCATTTAGACCAAATCTGATTTTTGCAACATCAGGATTAGGATCAAGAGTGCTTGATGTAACTAAAAAAAGGTTGTTGAGCAATTTGTAAATTCGTGCTTAATATTCAATGCTATGGTATATTTCAGCTATTCATCCGGCATACATGCGCATGAAAACACTTGATGCCTGCACACATCCAATAGTTCTGTTTTAAATTTCATAAGAGAATCGATTACGATTTATTGTTACTAACAAGTTCACTTGAAACTAGAAATATTGTCTGGTTGGTTACTTGAACCACAGGGCCATCACTAGGGGAGGGGAAGGGGTGCTCTGATCCAATTTGCCAACAAAGTTGGTGAACCATCCTTTATTTGCTGATGAATCTGAAAATTTGCCGAAGAAGCACCCCTACATGATTAAAAACCCCAATAAAAAACGATGAACATTTTTACCAAAAAGAGGGGGGTCACGACAATCGTGTCAGGTTGCTAATTAAGTTTATGGCGGAGCTTGCTCCGTGTACACTTCTTGGAAGTCTAGAAAATTATCGCAAACAAGCTACATTAAAAACATTCCGAACAACATAAATGTTAGATCACAGTTTACAGTTAGATTGTTTTGTTGAAAGGAGTTTCGTTGAGTATTCAAATAAAACAGTTAATGTTTTGCTCTTGCCTGCCGGATGAATAGCCAAAATGTAAAAAGATCCGGTGCCGGAACAATAACCACGGCAAATATTCAATGGAAACTTGAGCTCACAATAACAAAATTCCAACATTGGCATCTCATGCAGCACTGAAATTAAACTCCTAACGCTACAATCATCATACAAAGCATTTTGATGCAAATTTTAAATAAGCAAAGACGTCTTGCATGTATCTAATGAACGTGAAAAGTAGCACTGCATTTGTTGAATTTTTCCATACCGAGAAAACACTTTTGTCAGTAGTATGTAAATAACACTACTTTACTTCCATCAAATCAATAAATAGAATCAAACCTCTACAGAGACTCAATCCCAAAACTATGATCGACCTAACCTCTAACCACTGAAATGAGTGGCTACTCACTAGCATACTATGTACTTAGCAGACCAGCAGACCAGGCACTCTAGTATCTAACCATACGGGGAAGTTCACTAGCCTAGGCCTTTAGAAGTTGTGTTGGATTAAGGCATATTTACTTACGTGGTAGAACATTTTTCACAAATAAACTGGGCATTAAATCCAGTTGGTTTATGAAACCTTCATGAGCCTACAGAAACAGAAGATTATCTTTATATTATGAATTCTATCTGAGGATCGTTTCTCTTTAGTTTCACTCCTGTTCCTCCATGCTTTCACAAGTCCTCGCGCCTTGTCTCCAGTCTTCTTTTAAAAGCAGGAAGATATTAATTTATCACCCCCGTCATGTGAATGCTCCTCCGGAAATAGATTAAGGATTGATAAAGAAGCAGGGGGTAAATTATGCAACAATTGTACAGTACAGGGTAACATTATTCCAAAATGGCGATCTGGTTAACGAAGTTTGAAACGGAAAACAGGATTATATAGCTTTGTATTTGAAATAACAGCGATGAGCTTTTCGTCATCAGATAGGCACTCTAACAGGCGAAAGGACATTAAACAGGGTAGAGGACGGGAACAAAGGCAAAAATATGACGTGAACTCATCTATCCTCCTCCAAAATTTTTCAAGCTTTCAAAAAGAACTTGATTGTAGGTACGACAAACGAGAGCGCATTGTTAAGCTGAATCGAGATACCACAATTGCAAGCAAAAGGCTCATTTTTCAACTGCATCGTTCTTCAGATGATGAAGAAAACTTACCAAAGCTACTACAAGATGCACATTCAAAAGTAATTGAAATCAAAGGCTTTCTGGAAAAGATTGCAATGGAACTTGTTGATGATGACCCTTGTAAGTTTGCAGCTGCTTATTCTGGAGGTATCCAGGAATATGTTGAAGCAGTTACATTTTACAATTTTATTAGAGACAACACATTGTTATCATATGAAGACTTTTGCAAAATGTATCTGTCAGATGAAAAGGAGGAGGGACCTAAAGCAAACATTCTGTTAACCCATCTAGATTATATATTAGGGGTAGCAGATTTAACTGGGGAGTTAATGAGATTGTGTGTAAATTGCATTGGAGTTGGGAATCACGAAAAATGTAAAGAAATCTGTAACTTCCTGAGAGAAGTGCATAGTCAGTTTCTTTTTATTTCTGGAAGAGGACTCAAAGATTTGAAGGACAAAGCAAAAGTATTGAAACAGAGTCTTGAAAAAGTTGAAGCAGCTTGTTATGCAGTTCATGTTAGAGGATCAGAAGTCCCAACTCACCTTCTAGTTGACCTTATAAATCAAAGGGATGCAAGCCACGATGTTGATGAACCAGCAAATGAACAGTCATAGCCAAGACATATTCCATAGGTGCTCAATAAAGCTGGTGGATTTATGTTGTTGCAAAAACCACTAGACATTATAGTATAATATTTAGAAATTCACTGAAATTTATCACATTGAAGGAAAGGTTAAAAAAGCTGAGGAATAAATGGTAATTGAAAGTATTTTTTACTATTGCTGAGCATGTTGACTTAGGCAAAAGATGGGGTAAGACTGTGAAAGTTATCTTTTGTAAACCAGATACTTCAAAATCGTTTTAAACCTGTTTGTAAAGCAAACAATGCAAGGTGAAGTCCAGCAGTTGCCAAGAATGAGGGTCTTAGAAAGTTTCTTTGGTTTGGTGACTGGCCTTTATAGACCTTGTTTAGCCTCTGCCATGAAGCTACACATACTCCTCACTTTATTTTTTACTTGTTTCTGTGAATAAACACTCAGTGGTCTACACTTTGTAACAACACTCTTACTTCCTGCCAGTAAATTTGTTGGAGCAAAGAAAATTTCAAAAGCAAACTATGATGCACCACCCATCCTGGTAAAGTGGAATTTTTTGGTGTGCTGGTAATCACAAGCCTTGAAAAGTTATGGCATGTGATGCGTAAAACAGAGATCATGCAATTTTTTTGAAGCTCTAATAGCATTTGTGCATAGACAATAATTTCAGAAGAAGTTTCTTAAAAGCAAAATAATTAAACAAAAATAATACAAGTGCACTCCCTTATTGTATGAGAGCTGACTCCCTCTTCTCCCTTTTCGAAACCAGAGTCATTTGAAAACACTGTTCGAAGTGGAGTCATTCCAAAATGGAGTCATTTGAAAATGTGTTGTTTTATTGCAAACAGCAAAAATCTCTGAAGAATTAATTTTCAGTTTCACAAAGACCTTGAACAATAGATATGAGAACTGATAAAAACGGGGTTGTTTTGACCAAAAGGGAGTGGCCTGAAGTAATGGGAATGGTCCAAGAAAATATTAAAATGGGAAGATCTGAAAACAGAGACATACGAAAATGGAGTAATGAAAACAGGGTCTCAAATAATGATTATCCCTCCCCCCAGAAATGCTATGAAGATAATTCACACAAAAGAAATTTCCCTAATGTCCACTAAAAAGCAAATTTAATTTCATGGAAGAAATCACATGACCCTAATGCATTTGAATTAACATGCTGGAAATTTACTATCAAAACATAGAAATGTGGCCAAATATCACAAATTGTAGTCTTGCCTAGAAAGACAAAATACTACTGATATTTCAATTGAATAACAACTATTTGAACCACCGAATGAGACCCTTCTTGATTAATGATTGTTTGCTATTAATACAGCCCTGTGGGGGTTTGCAGTAGGGTTTCTAAGGTACTTGCATAACAAACATTCAAACTCATCAGACAATACAAACTATTTTACTGAAAGTGTTATTAGCCTTTGAAATTTCTCCCCCATTGTTTGAGGAATATCTCTTGAACAAAATATTTTTTCCATATTACTTTGCTGGTAAGTGATCTTGCCCTAGTTTTCAATTGTTCTAAATTTGGTTCTGGTATTTAGTATCTTATTGGATGCATTTTTTATCTTATTGTAGACAATATTTTATCAACTAAGCAAAGGTTTAGTGAAATTTAGTGAATAAGAGGTTTAAAAAAACTTTATTATCCCCTGTATAAGTATAGGGTACTTCTGCTTTATCACCAAAATTTGGAAGGATGAATTGAAAGTGTTATAGCAGGGTTCACAACTCTTCCATTTCTGTCATTCAGCCTTTTGTTGTCATTTTATTTTCCATTTCTAATGTTGATTATTAGTGCTGTTTTTATAAATCGCTTTGGTACAGAGAAATTACTATGTTAATTTCATATTTATCTGCAAATCCTTTTAAATAATCTTAAATTTCAATACTGCAGCAAAATTAATTTTACAGTGAGAATTTTAGTGTAGATAAGACACATTAAGTTTATGAGGTCACTATCTCAGTATTTCATGAAAACGATAAAATTTAATAAAAAACATTGCACTTAACAAGTTAACATAATGTCTTGCTAGTTAATCAGCTGCCTCACTTAAAATGGACCTAAATCCAACTTTTTCTAATTCTGTTATCAGCTCTCCATTTTGATGTAACTGGATCATTATATCACAACCTCCAACAAATTCTCCATTAATATAAACTTGTGGAATAGTTGGCCAATTTGAAAAGTCTTTAACTTTTTGTCTAAGTTCATCATCTTCCAGGACATTGAAGGCAGTGATATCAACAATACCGTGCATTTGGAAAATCGTTACTACAGCTTTGCTAAACCCGCACATGGGAGCTTCTGGTGTACCCTTCATGAAAACAACTATTTTATCCTTTTTAATGATGTTATCAAAAGCTTCGTTGGTCCATTTTGCGTCAGAGCTATATAATCTAAACGCTACTGGTTGCAAATTGGAACTTGGCCTGGTGTATATCTTCGGCCTAGCTGCCGTCACAAATGCGGGCATAGATGCATTTCTTGCTGCACGAAAAAGTGTCACCAGTCTTCTGGTACAAAATGGGCGCAGCATAATTCTTTATTATTTTAGCACAACAGTTATCACAGTATCAATTTTCCTTGATTTTTCGTAGCCGACATCCAAGCTAGTGAAGCAGATTTTATCAGCTTGTAGTAGTATTGCATAAGAATGGATAGGTTGCCTCCATGCAGGAGCAATGTGCCTCGTTCGAACTTATCCTCCTCACATGGATGTAACAACATTTTATGTTCACAATGATGGTATTCTGTCTTAGTTTTCCTCTTCGAAATCAAAGCTCGTAGTGCGTTTTTGAGCAATTTTGTGCAAAGCAAAAATGGCATTTCAAAGTGCACTTAATGTTCCAAAGACATGTGCTAGTTTTGCAGCGAAACAGTTTAGATTTGGACGAGCAACCAAGGTAAGGCTGTAGAAAGGTTGAACCAAAAAGCACAGATCTATGTTTTGTTATTCAGAAGCTTAAATCATCCAAAATGTTCGAGAATAACTTTAAGCATTTCCAACTTTCGGCGGTTCAAAATTTAGGAATTGCTTTGAAAAGGGAAACTTTTACATTTGCCTAGCCAGACTGGAATGTGTGGCACTTTTTGATGAAATCCCAGGTGGGCCAGGGAAGCACTTTAATGAAAGTGTAGTGCAGAAAATTGGTTGGAAATTCTTCAGGTACAAGCAGAAAGTGTGCGACACACTTTGTCCAAGTATAGCTGAAATGGAATGGGGATCAAATAGCTGAACTGGATCATGGATTTGTCTTCCACTAAGAAGTATGGACAAAGTAAACCAAAGTGATTATAGGAAATGGACAAAGTAAATCACATTGTGTCAATGCAGAATGATTTACCTGATTACTATGGGCAAATGCAGTAAATTATTTTGAAAAGCAACTTGACTTGTTTTGGAAGGACCAACCGTTAAAAATTGAATATTATGTAGTACATTAATGTCTGTTTTAAATAAGACTAGCAGGGGCATCCAATTGTTCTTTAAAAGAATCTTGTTAGAGTTATGTATTAGTTATATTGTACAAGCTATACTCTAATGTTTTTATTTACTCCACAGCTTATTCAGCGTAATTTTAAGACAAGACCAGTGCCACTGGTAAATCATAATATAGAAAAGCCACATTTCAACACTGAAAAGTATAATCCAGAAGGTGAGTACCTTCAAATATTTTGCCTTTACAAAACCAATAGCTTCATGTCATCTCCTTGGTCTCTCTTTAAGTTAGCCCTCCTAACTCATAACAGCACTAAATATACACTTTCCCCAGGAGGGCCTTTTTGTTCTGTGCTGCTAAAGTACTGATCACTCCATTATTATAATTGTTCTGTGTATAATAAATGTTAGGCCTGTCCCATCTTCTCTTTACAAGATAAGTTTTCAGCATGGTGTCACCAACTAGTTAGCAATCACTATGATTACATATAGGGATGAAATGTCAGCTTTCATGTTTCCAAGATGGCTCCAACACACTTCCAATTATTTTAAAAAACTATTGAAACACTCTTCTCCAGCAAATATCCTTATTCGGCATGTATCCAAAGCTCTACCTAGTAATCTCATTTTTACTTTTTCCTAACAATTTAGTCCAACTGTTTGCTCCATTCCATAATACCAACCAAATCAAGGCATTATAGTAGGTCTGGCTTGACTTCCTTTGTTACTGCTGGTAGGGTTTCAGCATTTGAAATTTGTCACCAGTTAAAAATCTTAATCATTAACTAGGATAGTGAACTAGGATGGTTATTAAACATGCATGAACCTTGTTCTATTCAGTGGCAACAGTCTACCCCTAAGGTAAGGGACATTACATTATGGTTTTCATCAGGGGCGAATACAGAATAAAAGTTGACGGTCGCACATTGTAAGCGTCAACTTTCTAACTGCGATTTGTCCTGCTAAGCAAGACTGATACACTTTGATTGATGAAATGCCTTAATGGATGCCCTTATCTTTAGGAGTTGCCTCACCAACAAGGTTTGCAGGCCTTGTGGTAGTTTTGAGGGTGGCGACGGGACTGGGGCACTGAAACGTTCAAATTGTTCAGTCAAAAATTTTTCCCTTTTACAAGGTTTTCCAAATTTTCCAGCAAATCCAAACACGCAGTTGAAACAAAATATCTTGAGATTCAGAAGTGTACACTTCCTGTGCACCTCTTCCGCATGAATAAAGAAAATTGGGATTCTTCTCCTTCACAACTTTCAACCTCATCCACTTTCTTCCCTTGCCAGCAGTTGTGCAGCACAGTAATCTAACAATAGTGTTTATAGACTTTTCGTGCCGCACAAATATGTGAAAACTTGAATTTTGATTGGTGAGATTTGGTAAAATATTTGCATAACAAAGAGCCCTGCATATTTGTGCGGCACAGGCGACATGCCTAGAAATCATACTGTTTATGGTCTAGGATGGTCTTTGAATTAAATTGTGGCATTGCGTGTGAGATCGACCAAGGTTCGGTCCTGTGTTTATTGTGTAAAGAGAGGTAAATGTATTATCTGTAAGGAGGGAAATAAAAGATTATGGTAAACATGATTGCCTTATTTTAATGACTGAAGACTAAAAATAAATTCTGAAAATCTGACAATCTTCTGTGCGACCTGTGCCACACCCTGAACCTGCCCCTGGTTTTCATCATTCAAGCACATGATGCTAAGGTACCTGTTTAGTTAATCAGGTTTAACTTCTTTTTTAGGAATGTTTAGTCCATCTGTAGTGAAGTTCATGGAAAACAGATATTTGGAGAATGACAAAGGAAAAAATGCCATTGTCACAAATTTCAAAGATGCTACCCCTGTTGGCATGGTACTTTTGAATGATTTTGTATTTGCAACAAATCCAAGGTATGTTCCTTGTTGAATGCTGCATTCTTTGGTGGTTGTTTTTGAAGAAATATCTTCTGCTTTTCTGAAGTATAAACAAAGGTCTCCCCTGCTTATTAATTCTTTGCACAAATCCATCCGTGATGTCATTTTTATGCCAGTCTCCATGTTTATTATTGTGAGCCTTGTGTATTAAGAAACTGCAAGGTGTATACATTGAATTTACATTCACCAAGATGAAAGGAAAGCATTTAAACACTATTAAGATTGTATATCTTTATTAAACTTTTGTTATATGGCAGTGTCTGTTTCTAGGAATGTGGTGTCCATGAACAAAAACATCTGCGGCTTCTTATTTTATATAATTTTCTTCTTCTTCGTAGATGCAGGCCCCTTTTGGCTTCTATAAGTGCAGGGCTGTGCCCCCCCCCCCGCTTGACCCACCTAAAACTGCCACTTTTATATATATATAAAAGACAAATTTCTTATCCAATATATATATATATATATATATATTTTCTATTTAAAGGCCAGTATCTTGTTTACAATCCTTCTCCAATTAAATCTCCAATTAAATGGGTCTAATAGCCATTTGACCTGTTTATGATTATTTGAAAAATTTTCCACCAACTCTGTTTATTCCAGACCCTTTAATTATTGGGATTTGGGACATTTTCCACCCACTCTTTTTTATTCCAGATCCAATGTCTTTACTGGGTTCAATGGTATGTTTTACATTTACATTATATTTCTTTTAGGTATGTCATATCTGTGGTAGTTTCATTCTTTCTTGCCAAGTTACATTCGCAGTCACTGCTAGATTAAAAACATAATTAAATAAAAGATGCACCATTGTCACTTTAGGGTGGTGAATTCAACTTTGCTTATTGTTTCTTTATAGGATAGACATCATTCACAGAGTAATGGTTTGGCAGAGAGCATGTATGCGAAAGGTAAGAATTTTATATTAAGAAGCCAAGTGACAATTGGGGGTATGAACAGAAATTAAGCTAAGAACAGACAATGAATGTTCTGAGTTTCTTTGTAGAGGGGCCCTTTCTTTTACATTTTCTTTAACAAATTATCTGATTTTTTAAGTAAATGTTTATTTCTAAAATGTATCCTCACAGACAGCCCTACCTAGATGTGATGATAGTGAAAAAAAGCAGAGTGACTTTAGTTGTCGTCTTTTGATTTTTAGGATACAATATATATTGTTTATATAAACTTTCACTTGATACCAATAGTGAACATCAATGTTCCAATAACTGACTGTTTGGAAACCTAAATCATTTCTTTTTTTGCCTATTTGAATTGATATAATTTTGCTTAATCATCGCATTTCAAAATTCTGCAGCACCCTTATACTTAACTTATTTTTGAAAAGTTACTTGATCTTGATAATATTTTATTTAAGGGTAGTGCTTGTGTAAAAAACAGATCTCAAGTAAGTGGTGGTGGAAGGAAGCCTTGGCCACAAAAAGGTACTGGAAGAGCAAGGCAAGGAAGTATTCGTGCTCCTCATTGGAGAAAAGGTATGAAGCATTTTCTAGAGAGATTCAAAAATTAGAATTTTCACTTGTTTATTGGAAGTTTAGATCTGTGTGTTATAATACTAGCCATAACTGTTTGCTAATGAACAAAGGTTTGAAAGCACTTTCTCAAAATTTTATCAATTCATTTATATAAAGTTTTTGTTATCTAAAACTAAAATTTAAAGTTAAAAATGCCAACAGCATTCTAAAACCGAAGTTACTTTATAAGAAATGCATGAACTACCTAAAACAACAGATTGTTCGTTTGACTAACCACAATGAAAATAAAACTTGGTTACTTTCAAGTTTGGATGAAGTAAATTTTTTCCTTTTTTGGCCCGTATTCATTTGGAAAAAAATTTCAAAGCTTGGCAGTTAAGATGAAAAGGCTTGCTTTTGCCTGGTCATCTTCACTCATGGGAGTTTGAAATTGTACAAAAAAGGAAACTCATGAATATATGTATGATTTGCAAGAAATAACTTTCTGATGGGGCCTGTTACAACGTGATTTGAAAGTGTTAATGTCAGTATATTTCTCAGCAAACGTTTGTTTGGAGAAGAAGAAGTTTTTAAAGTTCAAGAAGGGGAATATTTAGAGTTTCGTATAAAAGTAGTGGATAAGCATAAAAAGAAAATGAATGCGAAAAAATGATGGCCGCAATGATAAAGGACAGCGATATGTGAATTTATTTTATCTTTTATTGTCAGCTAAAACTAAAACTAACTTGTCTGAGATTTAAGCAAATTCCTCTTGGATCTCCTGCGTCAACTAATTCCCGTATTTTGTTTTTATATGTTTCTGTAGCAAAATTTGCTTAATACTTTTCTCTTATTTACCTCCGAATTGTAGAGAAACTCAGAAAACTTGCTTGATCCTCTCATTAACCATAAAACTTGGGGTTGCAACCCAGTTCTATTCACCACTTCAGCAAGATCCAATTTTTATTTATTTGAGACAGTTGCATGAAAAATAATACTGAGATAAACACAACCCAAGAAAAGTCTGAACTTATCTAGCTTGAGCCGTTAACAAAAAGGCATTATTAAAATGTAAAACCAAAGTGGGAAAATTATCTTGAAATAAATGTTGTGCAGACATAAAAGCAACTAAGCTCAATTCAGTGTCTTTACCCAAAGGCTGTTGAAACATGGTTACTTTGAATTTGAATTCGATTTTAGGTGGTGTGGCACTGGGACCAGTTCCTAAAAGTTTCAAATATAACCTCCCCGTGAAGGTGCAAAGAATGGGCCTCAGAGCTATCTTGTCTTGCAGATATGCTCAGGTATTTCGCACTGGCTAATCATTTTCTCTGCTAAATACTTAATTCTTGTATTGATTTCGTAGATATAAAACAAAGAGTTTTGAAATGGCTTACCAGCTTGCCTTAGTATTTAGGCCTAATTGCTAAAAGACTTAAGCTGAGGTGCTGGCATTGATTTTGAATTTCAACTAACCCTCTTACCAAGCTACAATGCCTGCCAAAAGTACTTGGAACACCCACCAATTTACGCTGCATTTGATATCTTTCATTCCTTTCATGAAAAAAATTTGCTACTTCCGCCCCCTTCCCCCTCAAACAATGTTGATGATTTAGAGAAATATCATAAAAGAAGCGCAAAAGAAAGTGCTTCCTAAAATCCTAACCGTTTGATAGTAAACCAACATTGTTCCGTGGGGGAGAGGGGGATGATTGGTTTTGACCTTGGAAATTGATGTCAGTGTTCCAAGACTTTTGGCAGGCATTGTCTGAAAATTTTCTCGAAAACAGCAATCTGCGATATCAAAACATTGTGCTACCCTAGGGTTTTCGATGGTGCTGATCTCAATGCTACTAATGAAAATTCGAAATTTTCACTCTTTACCCAGTTAAAAGGGGGGGAGGGGGTTTGGACTCTGAACGATTGATATAGTAGATATCCGAGTATTGTTATTTGTTACAAAAAACATTCTACTGATTTTTTCCGTCAATATCATTTAAATCATTATTGAATACAAGTATTTTGTGCAGAATTCGATCATCGGTTTAAGAAAACTATCAATTTTCAAAGGAAAAACAGTATAGTTTAGTGCTTTTGAAAAAGTGTTTTTTTGCTTAAAAGTCCCCTTATTTATGGTTTAATTGTTGATGAAAAAACAAAAAAATTCATGAGAATGTCTACAAACTATGCATGATATAAATAATTGCGAACAACATGCTGGTGAGAAACTGTTCAAATGGCTCAATTTTATCCACCATAACCCTCCCAAAACCATCTACGAATTTAATAAATTTGCTTAGGCTATGCTCCTTCGCATTCACATGTGGCAACATGGTAGCGCTCATAGACACCCCATTCCCTATTATTTTCTATCTTCCCTTGTCCCAGTAATTGGAAAATGGTTTGTGCCAATTATAATTGTTCGTTTTCCATTGTTAAAGTATGCTAGGAATTGAAAGAACGCTCCTTTCCTAATGGGCACGTGATGTAGTATGAAAATGCCTATTGCCAATGGTTACCAACGGTCTACAGCCACGGTCTACACATTTAAAATGTTCATAAAAATCGTATTTTTCAAAGAAAGTAGACGAAACCTCGTCAGTAGGTGTGCATGGCTGGTATAAAAAATATTGTAGGTTTTCAGATCGATACAAGTTGTAAAACTGAAGAAATTCAGGAAAGTGTCAACGGTCTTCACTTTCTGAGAATTGAATTTGAAGTACTCTAGATCTTATTCTCCTTTTGAGTGTAGACCGTGGGATTCTCGTCATATTTTGCCGTTTTCTTCATGGAATTCATACAAAGGTTAATTTTATCTTTGAGGGGTATCATTATACACCTTTTGGGTGAATTTGGGGGCAAACATCCCCCTGACAAGTCAGAAAATTGCGAAGAAACAGCCACGGTCTACACAACGGTCTACAAGCGTTCATTTCCGAGGGTGAGAGTTGCCTTGCGGGGCCTTGTCCTTCACATCGACGCGCGCTACATTCGATGAAATAATATATTTTGTTGTGGCAAATGTCACGCAAACAAATACAGCAATCAATTAACGATGAAATAATCTGCCTTGCGCTTTATGAAGACAAAAGTAGCAGGTAGAGTCTAACTTAAAGGCCATTTTGGCAATGCAGTAACAGTAGGGAAGAGGGCTTTCTTTGTAGTGCTTCTGGACCAAGCATTTAGGAGCGCAGGAAGGCGAGTGGATGTCAGTTTTATTTCAGTTCCCTTACCAACCAACATGGAATAGTAGATCAATCAGTTGGGAACTCTGATGTGGGAAACACGGGGTTCCTTTCTACAATTTAGGTAAACACTCTGAAATTTGTCATTTGGGCACTGAATTGCACAACAAGGGCCTATATGAATGACAACTTGTAAATCCGTGATAAAAGGAGAGCAACTACCCGACATAATTCTCAAATACGACCTTATCTATAATTAGAAACATGAAACAGAGGAATCGATGTCACTTTTATAAAATTGCATCCTTTCCATTTTTAGATTATTTTCTAGCTGCCACTCATATTTGTCTCCTTCATCTATCCCATTATTTCTTAGACAGCCATCTGGCTACGAGCCTTTGAAAAGATTCAAAATACAATCTTGATCTTATTTATTGGAAATCGATTTTGATTTTAGCAATTTTCACCTTAATTGAAATATGGCATTTAGTTTTATGGGGGTAGCTTACTCCCACCCCCGAAAAGAGACAATACCCCCATATCTCCTTTTCGGTAACACGTACGATGTTGAAAATGGCAGAAATGGAATCAGCACCATCAAAAACCTATAGGAGGATATTGGTTTTGGTGGAATATCTAACAAGCTTCAAAATGAAATTCAGACAATGCCTGCCAAAAGTACTTGGAACACCCACCAATTTACGCTGCATTTGATATCTTTCATTCCTTTCATGAAAAAAATTTGCTACTTCCGCCCCCTTCCCCCTCAAACAATGTTGATGATTTAGAGAAATATCATAAAAGAAGCGCAAAAGAAAGTGCTTCCTAAAATCCTAGTCCGTTTGATAGTAAACCAACATTGTTCCGTGGGGGAGAGGGGGATGATTGGTTTTGACCTTGGAAATTGATGTCGGTGTTCCAAGACTTTTGGCAGGCCTTGTACCTTTGTTAATACTGCAGCAAAAATGCTTGATAAGTACGAATCCCGATTGGATGTTAAATGCTCTAAAGGCTTTGTGAAGCTGGATTTGTAAGCAGAACATATCATTAATTTTTAATAATGTTTATTGTATTTTATATCAATTTGAAAGCTTGGTAAATAATAAGGTATTTGCCCTTCCATCATTCTCTTTATAATTTATCATCAGCACCACTTAATAACATAATAAATATATAAATACTGGCAATGGTGATACTGCAAGCTTAGCAATCTTAACCCTTTCTCATAACCTTCCTTAATTGTTTGCATTGCTCTAGATCTTGATGTCATCCATCAGTCATACTGTTTTCTGTCGTGTCTTGCACTAGTTTCGCAAATTTCCTAAAGACCTGAATTTTTGTTCATTTCTTATTCCATGGAGTTCAAATCTGCTGATTATCGTATTTACTGCTTGAGTCTCGTGATAGCCTCGTATGCAGATTTGTGTTATGATTCTTTTATTTCAGGGTGATCTTCACATTGTTGAAAACTTTGATGATCTAAGCCCATATGAAGAGGTACCGAAATCACTTCTGACATTTTTCATTCTGCAATTTTCGGCTTATTTCTATAACCTATTTAACATAAAAGTTGTAAGATTGCAAACACATTTGTTACTTCGAAAAGAGTCTTTGAATTTTCTGATGTAGCCTAAGCATTCCATGCTCCCAGTGATGAATTTTATACCATCATATCATTATGTTGATGATTATTAATGTCATTGCTATGGTTATTTTAAATCATAAAGATTTCATTTGAACTATCTCTTAAAAATGTTAGGTTCTTGTTTCAATAATTCTTCGCAACAATATTTTTTAAGGTGTAATCCTTTAGTAATGGAAGTAAATATCTCAAAGATTTGTGGCTGTATCAGCTCTCTAGTTACATTTTATCTGCAAACGCCAAAAAGCTGTCTTTAAACTTTCCCTGCATTTCATCATTGATTTTTGTTGAATTTTGTCTAGGATTTAATCCCGATTCTTGAGAGAAGAGGATGGATGCGTGCCACACTTGTTGATGGGTACGTTTTTTCATGTATTGATAAAGTGCTACAGATTTTGAGCATACATTTAAGATTGTTACAATATCATCGTTAATTACTCTTTTTATATTCTTCATAAATGACTTATATCTGTTGATATTCCAATGATATATAATAATGTTTGATACCAGTCTGTAACCTGCCCTACAAGCATTGCAATGTCTTTCTTTTGAAGATATCTTTATTTCAGTTGTAAAACGTTTGAATGATTTGTATTATTTGGAATGATTGAATGAATGAAGTTGTTGAATTATGAAAATATGTAGATAGACTTAATAAAAACATCATTAATGTTTCTATGATGTAACTGCATCAATCACTATATATTTTTCAATAGATCTTAAAGGATATTTGCTAGTCTTAGCAAACGGAGCTATCCTTAACAGAAATTTCCCCATATGACGTTTACCTCAATTTTTTTAAGGACTGCTAGCTTGAACCGTTTTTCTTCTATATATATTTGCTGCGTGGGTTACCTGAATTTCAAATCCATTCCTCACGTTGGCAATTAACACTGTTGTTTATTTTGCATCGTCTCGCCAACAATTGACATGGTCTTTGAACCTTTCCTTGTTCTTTTGATATCTTAGGAAAAACATTTGCAATTTTCTCCTCAACCTTCCTTTTCTTACATTTGAAAACTTTGTCACTTTTCAGTTTTGAAAATGAATCACTTCGAAACGCCACTGCATCAATGAGAACGGTGATCACCAACAACTGCTTGGGTGGGTACATATAGAAAGTATTTGATCTGGAAGATTTACGAATCTTTCGTTATCTCAGAGCGGTAAATTTATGCCTGACAATGTCTTAATTCTGAAAAGCTTGAAAACAGTTGTCAATGCTATTGAAAAATAACCCGTATTTTGTTACTCAGAATTTCTTTAATTTCACAATATTTCCTTCAATTTTGTGTATACACGTTTTAGCAATGAGTGCCGCTGCTTGTCTCGGATTGAAAAAGTGAGTTAAACTTGCTCTGGGTTGAGATTATGCGATCAATCGCATCAAAACAAAGGACTTTCCTAGAAACCGAGTTTAAGTTCGACCAGGTTGACTTTTCTCGGGTAAAGGTGCCTCTTAGCTGAACGTATATTCTATAGCAATTGGGTTGGTTTTATGCAATCGTTTATTTGTGCTGTCGCTGGCGTAAATGTTTGAGAGACAAGATCGCTCACCTGTGTGTTAAATAATGCTGTTTGGCTTGTAAACTCGTTTTGTTTCAGGCATGCTTTACCGTCTTAGCCAATCCACTTTGCTTGCTTGTCGAGCGAAACTTTTACTTCGTACCCAGTCCACCTTACGGAGGTTATTTGCCTCTGTTCAAAGTCCCTGAAACATCTCCATGAAACGCATCCCTTAATCAATTCTTGCATTTTGTCTTGTTTTACACAGGATTTTCTCTTCTTTTAGACGTCAACGTTCTGGAGATTCTCAATACCGACAAACTAGTCTTGTCACTAGAAGCAGTCGAATTTATAGAGAACCGGCTTTGTGAGGACAATAGAATAATAACTGATCCCCTTTATCGATTTTTGACATGCAAGCCGTATGAAAAATCTCACCTCAATGAATTGCTGGCTGAACGAAGACCCCTGAAAGAAAACGACGAAGAATTGAACACACTGACGGCGTGAACCGCGAGCTGACTTTTTCATTTGTACTACTATCGTTTGGATACAAAGTATTTCATACTTGTCCTTGTTTCTCATTTCCATGCATTTTCTTTACATAACGTTCTTCTTCTTTTAATTATAAACCAACCTTTGTGTTTTTTCCTCTCCAAAGGTATATGAATTTTCGAAAATTTTTCACAGAAATAGGTTAAGACCGTGAAGAAATTAAAAACAGTGCACCATCGATTTTTGCCATGCTCTTTTGTCGCACTATAGATTAATGAACTGAAGCTGGCTGGTAAATGGTATTTGTGGCATCAAAACATTGCGAAACTTTTCGACCGTATAAACCAAGCTTTCAGCTTCACGTTCTTGTCGATGTCGTGTGTCCAATTTAATGTTTTTGTCAGGCAAGCGCCTCAATAAAAGTACTCAAATGCATAACTTTTTGAACTGGCACTAATATTAATGGTTTTAATGTTTTGAGACGGCTTAAAAGACGATAAGAAATCGGCATGAAAGTGTTCTTCAAAGACTCTTGTTCTCAAACTTTATACGGTTAGAAACCGAGAAGAGAATAAGAATAGGGAGCGCTTTTGTAGTGATTTTAATATTGTAAATTAGGCCATATTCCTACTTCATGCCATCACCATGACATCCAACTACGTCATTCACAGCATCACCTAGCACAGGACATTCCCTTCACCATTGTACACACGTTCACACATCTGTCATGCTGATTTCTTCCCAAGTCTAGATCTTTCCTTCTCCATTGCATCATCATTACATCATCACAACACATCATTACTCAGCACATTTATTTTGTATATAAGTATGTTAATTTGTATTTAAGTCAGTCAGTCAAGTTCAGTTCACATCAGAGTTACACAGGCAACACACTGTCTCTCTCACTGGCTCCGTGTTCTCTGCACGTTAAATAAGATTCGTCGAAGCGAACACCAACGATGGAAAGTCACAGGATATGATAGGAACCATTGCAATTCTTGCTAAATAATAGCGTTCCTATACTTTCGTCTATTGAGCCAAAACAAACCCTTTAGCCTGTTTATGTGTCTTGCTAGTGCAACGAGAATAACAACACTATTGCCAATCAAAATTGATTTTCGTATTTCGTATTATGCCAATAGGAAATACTGTAGTTATATATGAAGTCTAGATATCGTTTCTTAATTCAGTGTGACACAATAATGACTAAAAGTTGCTATCCACTAAATGCTCTTCCTTTTCAAGCAAATTTATTCATCAAGGACAGACTTCGAGGAACCAAAGTTAAACTCCTCAAAACTAGGCTCGCCGGCTGGAAATGCTTATGACCTAGCACTATGTTTCATCTCTTCCTTATTTTACATAATTATGTGATAATATGTAAACATTTATTATGAGATAATCAGATAGTTCTGTTGGTTGTATACTCCTCGATAATCTGTAGGTTTGGCTTGTTTTCTCAAGATGTGCTTCTTTCACTCATTTGCATCAATGGTCTAAAAATAATCACTTTTTTGATGCCATATTTAATGACGTATCGTGGTTTAAGCGCCAAACAGTGTTTCCCAAGACAAAATTTGAATTTAATTATCATTCCTCCCTTATAGCTGTCTAGAACATCATTTGACTAGTGAATCATATGAAAAAGCATTCGTTTCACACTAGTGTGTTGTTTAGCAGTACAAATAGTACCAATGACTTTTTCCATGCAATCTTTAGTATGCTTTCTATACTTTCATCCATTTTTGTGTGTGGACTAACCATTTGCAAAGACGCCATTGTAAAGACAGCTTTGTATCATCTTCGATCTGTTTATGATATTCCTACTCGGTGAAAAATTACCTTTGCAGATAGAATTAAAAAGCCATTTGCGATATCATGATTTTTATTCCTGAAACACATTGCTGATAGAATTGCAACAAAGCTCGTGCAAGTTAAAACCTTTTTTGCGTGCCAAAAGATTACTTCGATACTCACAGACGACAGTAGGTTTGGTTTTGTATAGATTCAACTTCTGTTTAAAACTTCTGTTTAGAAAAAAGAAATGAGAGGAAAATACGAAAAACGACAACGATTTGAAGTTTTTCACACTTTTTATTCACATCAACCTTAATGTACATCGCAGATAAATATTCTATAACCAAGTAAACATTATGTTGTTTTGTATCACAGTGACAGATGTCCTGTAATGATAGAAGGTTGGAAGACGTAGCCAACCAAACCTGTAGTTAACTTGGATGCTAAAATCTAACTTAGTTAAGCAGTTTTGAAGCATTTAAATGCCGATATTTCCTTATATGCACTCACACTGTCATCCTTCTCATTCAAAGGAATATTGACAACACTTCCATGCACAAAAACAGGAAACAGAAACTTGGCACCCAACCTAGCTCTTATAGTACAAATTCTTTTAGCAATGTGTGCCTTCTTGTCTGCATAATACTCAATTAAGTGGTATGCCACTGCCAATTCAGAGTTGCGTTCAACTTCAAGAGGGAAGATCTGCCCGTTAACGACCATTGGAATTTTGACAGTAGGATTGGGATCAAGTGGCCCAACGTCTACTGGTGTAAGATCTCCGTCATCAAATAAGCTAGATTTTGCATAGTCTGGGCCGTTGTTTTGTGGAAATCTAGGAAATTCCATTGACACTTTGAGATGTAATGGAAGATCATTTAATGTGTTCTTAGCATAACTGTCCATGCTTGGCAATTGTTGCTCATCTTCTTCGTCTTCGTACATGCTTGTGCCTTCCTCTTCTTCGCAACTCGTTGATACCTCTTCGTCACAAGTATCGTCTTGAGCTAAACATGACGACTCTGCGCTATACACTGAATCTTCATATCCTGAATCTTGCTGGTAGTAGGAGTCGAGCGGATCGTCATCCATGGCTGCAAATTTCTCAATCTTCTGGCGAAAATGTTCGATGACATTGAGCACGCTGTCAGGTGTGCACTTTAGATACGACTGTGGATCTACGACGTTGCCACTGCAAGGGACAAGATAGGGTAAAGGGTGCCTCTTTGCACCATATGCATGACTAGTTTGATCTCTTGCTGCCAATGAATTGATTCGGCTATGTGCATGATTCATTTGCTGATTGGATTTGAAATGGAAATTTTCACTTGAGTTTGTGGATTGTGGCAATTTTTCTCCTTTATTGTTGTCTTTAGCTCTGAAAATGACCTGCAGAAACAAGATATATCTTTCATAATTCGATATTTATTTTAGATGCACGATAAATGTGTGAATGGAAATTCTGACACTATTTCATCTTTACTTTTAAGCAAGTAACCAATTTATTGTTACCACGGAACCAATGAGAAATACAGGAAACATAACTTCCCGGTTCTTACATCAGCAATTAAATTCTACGGTTTTGTGATAAATTATTTACCAAAGTTCATAAAAGTCTAGTTTTCTGAGTAATAGGGAAACTAACTTAAATTCTTTTAGCCACTTTACAACAATGTCTCATGTTCAATCAAGATGGTCGGAATTGTAAAATTTTGTTTGGAATCGCGTTGAGACCAGCAAGCAAACGCAGCTCACTTTATGCAGAACAGAATGACTCACCCTAGATGTGTTTCCTTTTGGACGAGTTATCTGCTCGTGGGTCGATGGAGACCGTTCTAAAATGCAAAGGGTAAATTTATCAGTGCTCAATTTGTCTATCGAACAACTAACAATGTACATTAATAAACGATAATTCTATCAAAGTCATCTTCATGCAATTAGAATTGAACTGTGATAACGTAAAACAGTTAATCGAGAAGAAACAAAAAAATGATGTTTGAGATACTCATCAATCTCACCTTTTCGAATGCTTTTGCTTCTTCGAAATATTTTTGTCAATCTGTTAAGTGTCAACGACATTCGGTTGGTTTGTGTGGCTAAAAATGAGGAGATAGTTCTACTAACACCGACAGAAAACGTAAATTTTTAGATCAATTATGTTTGAGAATTTTTAACTTTAATCTTCAATTAAAATTGCTTGCAATACGAAAATAATTTTATAAATGAGATAAATATGTTAATTAGCTGCTCTTTCCTCAGGTTTGTGTAATATAAAACAGGAACCACTTGATGTTGCACGCTTGTAAATTAGTTTATGTTTGTCTTAGACAAGAATCATTCATCAAAGATATCCTACTTTGAGCTAATGTAAGCTTAAGTCGCAATTAACGATACAAACCTTCATTAGGCCTCTGGAACTTTGAAAGACAGCAACCCATGCTGTGTTTGTTTCTTCTCTCGGAGAATATATCTCACTCTGAACGACGACTAAAAGTTTGAGATTTTCAACTCAGCTTTAAAAAGAGTCAATGCAGTTACCGTAGCCACTGAATTGACGAATGCTCAGTTGATTGTTGCTCCTTTTATAGACGTTAATCAATGTGACGTCACAATGAATTTTCTGTTCAATGGTGAGATGAAACTGAGGCTCTTCATAACAATTAATTGACGTCATAAACAAAAAGATGATAGTCTGGATATAAAGCCTCAAAACGAGGCACGACGAGTTGAAGTGCTTATGATCCAGCACTATGTTTCATCTCTTTCTTGTAATGACTTAATCAGATAGTTCTGTTGGTTGTATTCTCCTCGATACCGTGTGGCACTGGCTAGCCTTTTCAAGCAATGCTCCTTAGCATTTTTTGTAACAATGGTCTAGTTTTTTATAATGGTAGACAATGGTCCTTCCAGATGTGTTATAAAAAAGAAATGTGTTCATTAAAAACGGATTTTTTATCGGAAACTTGGAAAAAAGTGATTCTGGAAAACTTGGAACTAGAACCTTTTCGTTGGCTGAATTCGGGTTTTCATTAAAATATGTAGGGGCTATTCTCATGACTTTGAAGATCATCAAAAAAATTATCTTCGATCTTACGTTTGAAAATATTGACGTTCTTTGCAGGTTTTAGTTTTGATGGTAGATTGTTCCAAATTTTGGGACCAAGATATGAGAGGCAATTTTGCCCTATGTTTTCTTTTCGGAAAGGTTGATTCATTTTTTTTCTAGATCTTCTAGTGATTCTGCTCTGGCCTACTGGTAAGAACATCCTCGACATGGAAACCAAGCACAGCTTGCATAGTGAAAATGGGGCTGAGTTAGTGGGTTTGCTAGCAATCTACGAAGGGAGAAGTCAATAAAATGTTGCTTTCTGTAAAGAATACAGAGCCTGTCATTGATTTTGCCTAGGATTCTCACTTCTTCTGCTGTTTTGTGTCTTTTGTTTTTGCTTTCTAAACCCAGGGTAGCCAATTGCAAATTACCTTTGTAATAGTTAAATTCGTAATTGTAGTTTTAATTGAATTGAAAATTCCCATCAATATTATACGCCCATCATCCTTCAGCGACGACAAATTCCACCTATAAAAAATCACCTCGTTTCCAGATTTTGATAACGAGGTTTGATCTCGTAGTTTCATGTGAAGGGAAATTTATATTTACAGAATTTGTAGCTGAGAGAAAATTCCGTTATGAAGTCAAGATTTACCACATTAGACCTTCAAGCTGTTCTTGCAGAGCTTGCAAAATGGTAGGTTGTTAGGTTCTAAATTTATTTTTGTGATCGACTTATGATCTCTATCAGTCCTAAATCTTTATTTTATGCACCTCTCCTCGAAAAGAAATGGCCAAAATTTAGGTGTTTTTCTTCTAATTAAGTTTGTCTGATAAACAGTAGCATTTTTACTTATTATCAAATGATGCTACCAATTTTCTTAGTGTCAGTTGTAAAAGTCCTTGGGGGGTCTGGGGACAATTTCTGTGATGATACTTTCCGTTATCATGTTATTGGCTTATGCCATTAGTAATTTGTAGATTGATTGGCACTTTTCTTTGTCATTGTTTTTTTATCATACAGGGGTACACGTGGGCTCCGACACAGGTTGAAAAGTGGAGGGGCCAAGATAAAATATAATAATCATAACAAAAGATTTTAAAAAGCTCTATTGTTTTGCAAAAAAGTAAGGGGGCAATGACCCCCCTGGCCCCCCTTTGTCGGAGGTCCTGGTACAGCTGCCACAATGCCCACTTGTATGTTTGTGCTGCCCAATTTCTAAGTATGATTAGTGCAGTTGTGTGAATGCATATTTCATGTAAATTTTGACTTGACACTGATTTTCTGTTTCCAGTGATGCATATGGTTTAAGGGTTGTTAATGTGTATGACATTGACAATAAGACCTACCTCATTAAATTATCAAGGTAAGAAACCTATTATGCAGAATTTGTCAAATGCAAGTTTGGGGCTGCGTAGATACATTTGTTTATTGTGGATAAACTTTGTTTGGCTGATATAAAGGAGGTGTAACAAAAAACATTAATCCTTAGTGTAACCCTGGAGGCTTATTAATTTAGTACGGTTTTAGATTGAGACATTACAACTAGCTTTTAGCTTTTAAAAAAATTTCAAGTTCATCTTATTTTCCAGTTTTATTCATAAATCTTAAAATATCAAACCCAAATTATAATCCAAGGCCAACAAGATATTTTAGTGCAAATTATTGGTATGTTCAATTATCAGCAGTCTCTTCATCAATTATTTTAGTTTTTTATCTGATGCTGAAGGTGTTATACCAAAGTTTGTGATTAACGGTAGCTGAGATGTTGGTGCAACTAAGAACTGCCAGAAATTGAAGACAATTACTTAATATTTTTATTTACCAACCACCTTGTTTTTAGTTTTGAATTGAATCATTGTTGATTTAGTTGAATCTTTCAATGTGTCAAATTTTGAACTATCAAAGCCTGAACTGTTTCTTTCTATGTTTTAGTAGTGACAAAAAACTTATGTTACTAATTGAATCAGGAAACAGAATTCACACAACTGAATTTGACTGGCCAAAAAATATGATGCCCTCTGGATTCTCAATGAAGGTGTGCTTTAAAATATGTTGTATTCTGAAGTCACATCTTACTTTATTTCTAGAGAGCTTTAATTAATTCTGCAGTGCTTTAATTTCCTTTCAGAATACATTTAAACTTTTTTTGGTATTTTAAGCCTTTAGAGTATGTGTCTGTAAGAATATAGCTTAACTTTGCTCCTGTAGGCCATAATATTTATTTAAGACAATATGTACCAGAGGCTGAAAAAAAACACCCTTGATCCATAATTGTATTATTATGCTTAATACAAGCTTTTAGATACCTATGTACTAAGCATCATGCTTAAAACTGTTGCCTCATAGTTAACCAGACACCAAAAATGAGTTTTTAGCAAGATTTTACATAATGCCAATAACACTTGTTATGAAATTTGAATTTAAATTGGTTTTGTTAATAAACTTTGGTTAATGACAGTGTACTTGAAGCTCATGACAAAAATATCCTTTCAGTGCAGAAAACATTTGAAAAACAAGAGACTTGTCTATGCAAAACAACTTGGTGTGGACAGAATTGTTGATTTCTGCTTTGGTTATAATGAAGCTTCATGTCATTTAATTGTGGAATTATATGACAGGGTAAGATTCTTTTGGTCGAGTTTTCTAGATTATCCAAGTTAGCAGAAATTAGATCTTTTTTGCATGCAACATTTTAAACTAAGCAAAGCTAAGGGAAAGTTTATAATAATATTTCTTGTAATCTGTATAAAGAAAATGAAGGGGCTATTTCCTAGAAAGAAAGATGACCAGAACTTGAAATAAAAAGTGATAAATGATCAGGAAGAAGTTTATAACTTAGAGTAAGCCTTATCAGAATTAATTGGATTTTTCTACAATATTTTATGTATCCTATTTGCTTGTTAGCCTTGGAGTGCCTTGGTTATATTTGTTTAAACATTAAGATCTGGTTGTGGTTGTTCACTAAAGTATAATTCACATTTTCTCTACAGGGGAACATAGTTTTGACTGATCATCAATATACAATATTGCAACTACTGCGGGTTAGAAAGGACAATGAAGATGTCAGGTTTGCAGTTAGGGAAAGATATCCAATCGAGAAAGCACGAGAAGCTGAACCATTGATTACAATTGAAAGGTAATATTACCAGGGAGAGAGCTTAAAAACATTTTGTTTTTTAAGGCTCTGATGTCCTTTTCAGATCACTCAATTAGAAAGAAAAGTTATGTTTTGCAATTAAATTAATCTATTGTCAACTTTCAGACTTAAAAACGTTGAAAACATTCATTTAAGCTTCAAGTTCTTTCAAATGAGCTGAGAAAAGTGGACTCATAGCATGCTTAAATATTTGTATATTAAAGTTACTGTTCATGGGTCTGTCATAAAATGCTCCATGCTGCATGGATCGAGCTGTCCACACATTTGATGTACAGAACAGAATGGCTCTAAGTTGCTACTCTGAGTTTCATCGTCAAGAAACCTATTCTTTTGACATATCTGTAATTATTTGTTCAGGTAGATATTTGTATAAATGTCTTATAATGGTGAATAAGTAGGCAGAAATCTAAATTCAGGTATAGATCAATAGTGCAATGACACTATTGATTGATTCCCTGTAATATAGAAAATTAATATAGTATATAATATAGAAAATTTGAGCAGCATGATGTTTAGTTCAATTTCTTAGTTTTTTAGGAAGACAAAAGTATATAAGCATGCTATTTATGCACTATTCTATGCTATTTTGATTGTTAGAATTTATTTGCTTTCAGATTTTGTGAAACACCTTACGTGTGAAAATCAGAAGTTAGATACTGAAGTCTAGAAATGTAGAGGTGGAATGATAGATTTAAATAAGTTTTCACCTCACATTACTTTTTATTGCACCAGTAATTTCGAAAGATCTTAAAAATACTTTTTTATATTCTTTTTCTTGTTTCAATCCCATTATTCCTTTTTTTATTTATTTAGATCTTAAAAATCCCCATTCATGTTTAGTGAAATGAAGTCTCGTTTTACTGCCAATGCTAGATTTTAGTAGCTTTGTTTGTTGCTTATTGTTTCAAATTCTTCACATAAAGTTACGTTATGATGTTATGTAATTTTCTAAACAAACTTTTAGGCAAGAAACAGATAACTTTTATGATATGCTCTTATTATAACCAAATGAAATATTGTTTTATTTCTAGATTAAAAGAAATTTTGCAAAATGTGAAGCCTGGAGAGCAACTTAAAAGAATCTTGAACCCATTATTTAGTGAGTGATTCCTTTATAATCTCTTCAAGCCTTCCTCACTTTTTGTAACTTTCAAATGCTGAATTAAGGTTACTGCCATAAGATCTTATATTTTGCTAATTATTTAATATAGCTAATTATTTAAAGACCTGTGATTGTTACTCAACAAATTTTTTTTAAATTCAGTTTGAAATTTTTTTTTGAATGCTTTTAGTTTCTATAAAGTAGGTATTTTTATATCAAGTATGCATTCATGATTTTCTTTCGTTTTTGCTTCAGTATTTGGCCCAGCTCTGCTTGAACACTGCTTGCTAGAGGCAGGATTTCCACCAAATTGTAAAGTAGGAGATGACTTTGCTATGGATAAAGGTGATTTCTTTCTTACTTGATTCAAAAGCCTTTTGGTAATCATAGGCTGGAAATTGTTCTCCTTTTCCAGGACTACTGTATTGATAATATTATCACATCAATATGATACTTCCAGAGTAAAATGTGAATTTTTTTCTTGTACACGATTTACTTAGCCCTCAGAACTAATAGAGCTAAGGCATTTTGTGTCGGACCTTATTTCCCATCTCTAAATGATTTGCTGAAAAGTAAGATACTACATAGAATGTATCATTCTACCTCAAATCCATACCTTGATATAAATTTTTTTTTGCCATTGGTTTTAATCCCTTATGTTTTATTCAGAAGTATATGTAATTTTTTCTGCTTTTTTATCATAATTTTTTCTAATTCAGACAGGATCTTAATTTGTTGAAGTAAATAACTATTCAACTATCATGATAAGAAATATTAAGAATTTTCTATAAATAGATAAACCATTTTCGAAGAGATTTCCTCAATAAATCAACCATTTTAGTGTCACTTGTATCCTCTTTCTGTTCCCTTACTCCCATTTGTTCGGCAAAGTAGTAACATAGGATCTTATGGTAGTTCCTTTTTAATAGACATCGTTAGACTTCATGATGCTATTAAGATGGCCGAGACAGTTATGACTGATGTTTCAAATGGCTTAGAGAAGGTACGAAGCCATAACGTGTTGTATTTAAAACCATTGCATCACTTTAATTATGTGTCGGATAAAATGTGTTCTTTCTACTTAGAGCGTCCATTTTTAGTGTTAACAAATAGACAAATGGTAATACCACCTTCCGGGCAGAGAAACTAAACCTAAAGTTTTTTTGCGTTTGAAAGCATAAAATGTCTTAGGGTGCTTTATTTGGAATTGGCCTTTGTCGCCCTTCTTCCCAGCTTCCTTCCCCGTAATTCTACGTATGCAATACCCGCGGAACGATAAAGCTCTACTATGTACGAATATAATGCTCTCACATAAGCTTCCGTATTAAGCTTCATTGCAATCACTGATATTAAGAATTGAGATACAGGAATTGTAATGTGTCATGCAGATGAAGCTATGTTTTGAACTAGTTTTGCTTATTGCCATGTCTTCTGCTTATTGACATATCTGTCTATTTAATGTGTCTACTATTTTGTGTCTTTTTCATTCAAGGGATATATCGTACAAAAGAAAGAAAAGTCAACAGCTGGAAATGAACTTTTAACGTAAGTTTGCTAGTGGAAAAAGTACAAAAATGAAGTAAATTATTGTATTAAAACAGATAAGTTTCCTCGAATGCTAGGTAGTTTTCCCATACTCTAATTCTTGTATCAGATACTGGATAACAAGGCATAGTATTGCGGGTCGTTAAATAGGACTTGGAAGCAATTTCCAATAACAGCGTTTTAGTCGATGAAGAGATATAACTGAAACGTCGTCCTGTTTTATTGCTCCATGTACTAAGTCGCTTTTCATGCCGACTATTTTATATTAGTGCTGACCATATCATTAAAGAACGTTTCTTCATAACTAAAGCAAATTTTACTTGAGAAAAATTCCAACCTACGTGTGACTTTTGCTATTGTTTACTTTAGTGGGTTTGATAAAAAGATATCTTACAATAAATTTCAGTGATTGAAACTACTTCAGTCAAGGTTCTAAGAAATGTTCGTTGAAAAATATGGCGGGCAATTTCTGGCAAAGACAATCCCTCAAGTGGTTAATGAATTCTTTATCCATGCCTCATTTCCGGTGGAAATATGTGACAGACTTACGTACACCTTTGACGGGCTTCAGGCAATGAAGATTTTGAAAGGCGCTGAAAATGTTTATGATAAAGAAACTATTAAGGATAATAATCATGATATGTTTCACTTTAGGTTTTTATCTGTCAAGTTAGTAGTTTACACATTTCATGCTAGGTCGCCCTGTTAGGGTTAAAACAGAAGGAGGATTTTAGTAGCCTTACCTTCATGCGTACAGATACATCTTTGACTATATTATAGAACGTGAAATAATGTTCTCTATTAGAATATCAATGGATTAACTTGTAGTCGTTTTCCAGGTATACCGAGTTTCATCCATATTTGTTCAAACAACATCAAGATAGTCCATTCATCGAATTTGTGTCATTCCAAAAGGTATGTTTGGTATCTATTTTCTTGTTATAAATTCGTTGCTTGACACACAAACAAATACTTCACTTCTCTTCTTTTTTTTGTTATCTAGTCCATGGCTCTTCATTTGATTTATTTTGTAAAATAAATACTGTTAGTCGTTACACTGCAAAGAATATTTTCAAACATCCCAGAGATGAAGTCCAAAAAAGTCACCAACATATAATTCCAAATGAAGTGTGTTAAACTGATGCACATTCAATTTTAAAAGAAACGTTATATGATTCATTGCAGGCAGTGGATGAATTTTTCTCGAAATTAGAGAGTCAAAAATTAGATCTTAGAACATTACAACTGGAGAAGAATGCTCTTAAAAAATTGGAGAACGTGCGACTGGATCACCATAAAAGATTGGATGCTTTGCAGAAATCACAGGTATTTTATCAACTTTTCATTGAGCTAAACAATTAAACTTTTTAAAGGGCCATGACCTGCTTAATAATTTTAAAGTGCTACTGAGGTTTTTTATGATATTTAGGGCTTATATCTTTCTCGATTAGAATTTTTTAAGACATGTTTAAGCTTTTTAGCCGCTGAGCTGTCTGTTAATTATTCAGTTATAAATCTAACCGTTACTTTAATCTTGGTAATCCATTGATACTATGTCGTCTTTACTTTTTTCTGGAGTTAAAATTTTTTTTTTCAAATATTATAGAATGTTCAGATGACTCACTTGGATGGGTTGCGTTATTTTCATCTTTCATAAGTATTCTTGTGTTAAAACTCGTACCAGAACGGTATTTGATTCAGCACTGTATAGCTTGCCAATTAAGATATTGGTTTGTTTATATAGGAAATATTATAGATCAGTCTTCACTTTTTTAAGTTTTGACATTTTACCCTTATTATCCTTGAAAGAAATAACAATGGTCTTTTAGGATACGGGACTGAATAAAGCAGCACTGATCGAGCTAAATTTGCCTCTGGTAAGTATTTCTTACGCAATTCTGTTTAAATTCTGCATGCAACATTGATGCTGGGTATTGCAAAATAGAAAGTACAAAAGGCTTTAAATTGGTTTCTAGCTTCTCATGTCATTGTAAATGATACTCTTTATCAATTGTTCTGTGTCTTCTAATAATGCCACACTTGCAAATTGCTACCACAGGTTGACCAAGCAATAAAAGTTGTCAACAGTGCAATAGCCAATCAAATTGATTGGGAAGAAATTAGCAATATTGTAAAAGAGGCTCAGGAGCAAGGTGACCCTGTGGCATGTTCTATAAAAGAATTAAAGCTGGAAACAAATCAAATTACGATGAAGCTAAAGTGAGTTTAAACTCAGAATTTCGCAGTTTTTCCTTGATTTGTTGGCTTTATTTACTAATCATTTGCATGTGTAAAGTATTGTTTGCTCAGCTTAAGAGGAAGATGTTTTTAATTTTTGTTCGTTGCTAAAATTTTCCTGCCTTGATCTGAAAGGTATTCCTCATTCTTCTTGTTTTTTAAAGGAATCCGTACGATAATGAAAGTCAAGAAAGCTCCTCGGATGAAGAAGCAGATTCAAGTAGAAGCAAGAAAAAGGTTTGTTTATATCTAGAGTTCATTCGATTCAAGTAGAAGCAAGAAAAAGGTTTGTTTATATCTAGAGTCCATTCGAGTCTCTTTTTGAAATTGATTGATAACAAGGATATATCACTGGCGAGCATCAATTAGTGAGCGTTTATATACTTTTCTTCACTTTCATGAGCAAAATTTCTTTATTTTTTATTCTCGTACAACAGATTTTTACCATTTTTGATAACTGCAGCTATTAGTTTTTATTGTTACATTTTACCCCCATAAAGTCGATAAAAATGCCTTTTCAGTCGAACCGATATTTATTAGTGTGATAAGTAAGTGAGAAATTTGTCCGTTATGTTCAAAGTATTACTGATAGTACTGAAACTATTTCCTAGTACTTGATACGATACGATAATACTTGTAACTAAATTTTAATGATAAATTGTCGCTGCCGATGAGTATACTCAACACTCCATTTTTATTGCTATAAATTCTACAGCATTTTCAGTTTATTTCTTAATTTCATAAAATCAGAAGAAGCAAGATTTCATCCTTGTGGATATCAGTCTTGGCTGTACGGCATTTTCCAATGCAAGGCAGTAAGTTTTTTTGAATACCTTCGAGGCTACCTTAATATCTCTGAATTCCTTAAATGCAGGGAATAGTGAATCATTTAACATATCCTCATGCATTTTGTCCATTCTATTTGTGGCAGTGACTTCACTAACTTGTTTTTGACTTATTCTCGACAGAATGAAGCAATAACACACTTATAAATCTTAGGTTTGTTGACATGCAATAGGAGCTCTTTCAGATACCGATCATTTACCCAGATTCTCTGACATTTTCTGATAATTCTATGAATATTGGGTTTTTGAATATTTGGGATATCCGCTTTTACCTATGCATTTAGCCCTTTGACTGAAATTTTAGAGATCTTCACTCTTCGAGGATTCTATGGGTTTTAGTTTCCATGCTAGAGAAGTAACTAGTGTTGTAATAAAGGTATATAGGATGGATAAACAACTTTAAAAAGGGTAATTTAAGACTGGAGTATTGCTTTTAATAGAGAAACTTGAATTATGAATTGAATGTAATTTATATGATTTTAGATATCATGACAAAAGAAGGCATGCTGCAGGTAAAGAGCAAAAAACGATTGATGCATCAAAAAAGGTAATATTTTAGAAAATTTTGTGTTTGAAGCTTTTTGATTTGTTATTTTAAAAAAGGAAAGAGTTTTTATTTTTTTGGACGTGAAATTTTCTTAAACCTGGCCATCAGGTTTGTTATTATCTAAGAATTTGGACCACAAGTGTTCTTTTCACACGTTCTAAAGTCGTTTTATTGTATCAAATCTTGTTCTAAATTAAATCTTTTTTATTATGGACCTCTTTTTATGATATGGTTTGATGTAATTCAGATTTTCTTAAAACTTTGAGTTTGTGATCTCTAAGTACATTCCTTCTGATCTAATTATATTTTCGTTAACTGTTGGCGACATTTGCAAAAGAATCTAGTCATATTATTTGAGAGTAAAAATAGGCTACTTTTCATCTTTTGGTTGTCATTTAAAACAGCTATAATATGTCAGTGGATCAAACAGTTTTTCATAAATTTTTTTCATTTTCTTCACATCGACGAAGGCGTTAAAATCAGCTGAGAAGAAGACAAAGCAAACACTAAAGGAAGTTGCAACTTCTGCTGTCATCAACAAAGCCAGAAAACAATATTGGTGAGGCAAAGTCTTATTGTCTTATCCTTGATATTTAAAAGCCTACTTGATCTTGGAGTTTATGACATTATGTAATCTTGGAAAAGAGCTTGTGGTTTTACTGACCAATTACAAAGTTCTGAGATTCAATGCCCAGTATTGAATTAGCTGTGTTAGAGAACACTCTATATCTAACTTCTGGATTTGAAGACATGTGGCATTATCTTTTGTATTCTTTCTGTATAATCTTTTATAATTCTTCTCTCGATTTTAACAGGTTTGAGAAATTTCTTTGGTTCGTAAGCTCAGACAATTACCTTCTAATCGCTGGAAGGGATCAGCAACAAAATGAACTGTTAGTCAAGCGATACCTCAAGCCAGGTATTACACCTATCTTTGAGATCAATTATCAAGAAAGATTATGAAGAATTATCTAGGTTCTTCTGTTAAGATTCTGATTGTACCAACAGCTATTTGGACACGAACGTTCTGATTATACTTGCTATGCTGCGTTAGGACTGTTCAACAAGAAGTAATGTGTAATTTTGATTGGAGGTTTTACTAAGACAGTTTTTTAACAATTTTGCTGTACAATTCTTGTTCAAGATGTTCCTTGATTCAAGAACTCTGCAGCGTGACCCAAACGTTTCAAATGATCTTCTATCAAGCTGTCTTTTAAAATATTTTTTCTTAGTTCATCTGTAGCGAGTCCTTTCCTAGGTGCAAATACCCTTTGCAGAGAAATGTATATGTTCTAGATATTATCTATATAGAGGGTCGATTTAGACAGTAGTATTATCACTGTTTTTTGCAAAGCAAACAGACTGTACCATTTTTATTACTGCACGACACATATTTACAGGCGATTTGTATGTCCACGCTGATCTACATGGTGCAAGCAGTGTTATCTTGAAGAATCCTACGGGACAGCCTGTTCCGCCTCGAACTCTTAACGAAGCCGGGACTATGGCTATCTGTTACAGTGCTGCATGGCAGGCGAGAGTGGTCACCAGTGCATGGTGGGTTTTTCACCATCAGGTAAGGTTCCATTCTGTTAGCTTTAAATTGGTTAATGATTAAAGGTTTATATATTGCTAATTTTGTACACAAAACTTTTATCATATCATTTTTAGACACCGAGAAACGAAACTCCTGTAAGCCAAACTTGTTTGAGGCATCGGTTAATGTAGGACATGGTGAATGCCACGATGTTGAAGGTTTCTGTAGTAGCGCTCTAGGTATCATCTGTAGATCTAGAAGAAGTTCTTGAAGGGGTTCTCCAGTCTTGAGAATGTATTGCAGTATTCACAAATAGAAATATTAATACTTGGAAATTGTAAAGTATGTTGGCTCTGAAATCTGGTTGCTAGGGAGGGTTCTGAAGGGGTAACGAACAGTTAATTAACTGTTTATAAAGTTTCTAAAAACCATACGAAACCCTTTCTTTCAGGTGTCCAAGACTGCGCCCTCAGGAGAGTATCTAACAACCGGAAGTTTCATGATTCGTGGAAAAAAGAATTACTTACCCCCGTCGTACTTGATGATGGGCTTTGGAATCATGTTTAAACTGGATGAGACGAGTGTTGGGAACCACTTAAACGAACGGATGCCAAAACATATCGAAGATGAATCTGAAACTTTTAAGGTTTAACTTTTCATTCAATCTACCTTTTACGTTGGCCTGTTGCTTTTTTATGATTCTTATCTCTTGTTGGCTTTGTATGTCTAAGATTGGCCAAAGGTAATAATGATTAAATTACAGTTTTCTAGTTTTAAGCTTTAGCCAATTTAATCAGTAAGTATAAAGTTTATTTGTCCTGATGCTCGTTTTATCTAATTTCCAATCCAATGTGACAGGTGTGGATCGTGTGCAAAAAAGTTTGTTTATTTTGTATTGAATTAAGTTCAAAAGATAATGGCTCTGTTGATAGTAGTTCCAAAGATAATGTTTTTTTTTGATGTTCTTGTATTCAAAATGCACTTTTTATTACAGGAAGACAGTTCTGCGAACCCTGACGAACAGGAAGATGAAATTGACCTTTTGGAAGAAATCGATGAAGCAGATGAAATGTCACGCGATTCACCAACTATTCCAGACATTGTTGAAAATCTGACTGACGAAGACGACGAAGAGGATTCTTCCCAATACCCCGATACATCACTTCAGCTGAAATTTGTTTCCGGAGGAAAGTATGTTTTAGATTGCAAGACTCTTTTCCCACTCTTTAGCAAACTATCCCTTAGCTTGATACTGAAGATATAAATATGAAGCGTTTCTGGGAAGCAAATGAGTGAGGATGAAAAATTAGAAATTTAAAGTCTGCTAATGTTTGAATGGAAATTAAATGATATAACTTATGAATCAATGTGACTCATCAAATACTTGAGTAACTGCTCGTTTAACATGCTGCGCGTTTTAGTGGCAGCAGCTGATCTCATCTTTAATGGTTTTTGTCACTTAGTTTCGAGCTGAAAGTTGATTCGAGAGCTGCAAAATCGACAGATAATAGTGATGGCATGATTGACTTTGGAGATGGAGAAAAGGTTTTTATTGGCGAAAAGCAAGAAACGGTAATATTATAGATTTAAATTGAATATAGATCACAGTGTTTTCTACTTACTCCACTTATCGTTGATCCAAGAGCGGGAACACTTCTGAAAAATCCTGAATTCAGAAAGTTTGATACAAATGCAGTCTGGACTTCAGAACATAAATAACGTTTGCATTGAAAAGCCCTTGAGGTTTAAGGGTTGTGCTAAAGAGTTCTAGTTGCTAGTTAGCCCGTTTGATATAGTTTCTAGTTAATCCTTTTTATACATTTGCTAGTTAACCCTTTTATATAATTTCTAATTAACTTATTTTTATTTTAGTGTCTTTAGATATGATTTAAAAATCTGGTTTGCATTGTCACATATCATCTTATAATTCTTTGTGTCTCTGTTTCTTTCTGTCTAAGATCTTAAGAATACCATGTGATTTTCTTTACAGCAAGGAAAACCAAGACTTTCAGCAAAACAAAGAAGGTTGGTCAATTTTTTATAGTTGATTTTCTCACTCCTAATAAATGGTGTGTTTGAAATGTGGTTTACTTTTTTCAATAGTGGCAGCTTCCCTTTAGGCTAAAAAACCGAACTGTTTTACCGCATACTAAAGGCTCTACTTACCCCTCAACACATTTGCTAGTGTAAACATTAGAAGACGTATAAAATGAACGAACATTTATACCCAGTTGTCCGTTGAAGATGATAAGAGAACAACCTTTATCCTATCTGAGTCAACCTTTTCATTGGCATCTTGTTTAGACTAACGTCCGTTCCACTAACGCTTCATATAGCCAAAGAACCCAAAATGGCTTTCGATATAAGGAAATATTCCTATGCTTTAAAGCTGCAGATGATATATTTTTGTATAAATGGCTGTATTATCTTTAACACAACTTTTGACTGCACCCAACTCTATTAAACAAATTCCATGTGCTCATATTTTTCTCCAATCAACTTACATCTGAAATGGATGCAAAATATTGATACACGCCGTTTATATTCTTGTAATCAATCTAGTTTTAGAGTCAGTCATTACACTGAATAAATCCATCTTTTAGAGATCTTAAGAAAAAATCGAAAGGAGCAAATGAGATATCAGTGACAGAGGAAAACAACAGAGCAGATTCTGTTGCCTCAACCGGAAAGAAACAAAAACAAAATCTACAAGAGTGTACGCAAAGTGAACAGCCTTCATCTCAAAAAGTTTCAAAACGAGGACAAAAGGTGATGGTATTCCAATGTTTCATTATATTTTTGAGTACATCAGGGGATATGAAAAAGTCGTTAATAAAGAGATGTGATCAAGGAAATTAAGAAAACAAGCAATGAAATGAGAAAGATAGGCCATCTTTAACCTAGCCTTTATTGAATTCCGATTGCTTCCTTAGTTTCTTTGTTATAGCAACTACCAGCTACGAAATATCTTGAGCTAATGTGAAATGTTGCAAGAAATAGAGCTTTGCATTAAGACATATGACTTAGCATTTACATTGACTTTGCTGAGGCGGACTTGGACAACTGAAACTATAAACTGAAATATTCAAAATCAATGCTTATTAATTTTCAGTTTCTCATTTGAAACACAGTTTGTAACACAGTTGTTCCAAGTACTATCAAGGATTCTTTTGCAAAATTTCATTTCTTTCAGGGTAAATTGAAGAAAATGAAGGAAAAGTACAAAGACCAAGATGAAGAGGACAAAGAAATGATAATGCAGCTGCTTGGCGTAAATATCAATTCAATATTACCCTTATAGATATTCGTAGATATCGAATCATTATTACACTTAAAGAGAAAGCGAGTAACGCTCTTTGGTTATTATCAAATGGCTATTCAACATAATCTATAATAACTCAAGACTTCAAAAGCTCAACACACAACATACTTCCTTGTCAACTTATCATTTACTGAATAATTGTTGAAGCTGCATTCAAAATTCCTCTTCTTGGATATTTTCAGAATATTTCTTACCCAACTGCCCTTTTCAGGGTTTCAACGAAGAACCAGATGCCGTTGTATTGTTGTATATATTCTATTTCCTGCTGGGAACTCTAAATCAGATTGCTGTGTCAATCTAGGTGTCTTTTAACGCGTTTCTTTCAAATGAACCTATTAGGTTTTCTTGTGTAACAATTGAATGTTGATTGCCTTAAATACCTTGTGATATTTCATTCTAGTCCGCTGGAGATGCAAAAGAAGCGAAGAGCAAAAAGAAGGGCAAGAAGGGATCGAAGCAGGTGCAACAACAAAGGCCACAGTCTGGGAAGGGTGCGAAGAAAGTGCAGGAACAACCGTTGATTCTTACCTCAGAAATAACCGAAAGTGATGGTAAAAACAGCAAATCGAGTCTTTGTCAGTTTGAGTTGATTATAGTGCTAATTTCTAAGTATACGTGATTTTTGCTTTTATCTATAACACAGCAACAAGAGACCATGATACTGTTTGTTTTTATGTAGCTTTAATACTTTTCGATACCGTTTATATTGAAAAGATCATGATTCCATTTGTTTTGATGTAACGGCTTAAAATGTGTTCTGTTCCTTCAGAAATCACAATCCCTACAGAATCTTCAACTAGTACGGTAAGTAAAAAAGTAAACCTTTTGATACAAGAGAAAACATATCTAAAACTGTTAAATGTCTATATGAAAAGCGTATAATTTTTATTTCTTACCGTGCATTGAAAGTAGAAGCATTTTTATTTGAAATTTGTGTTAAATATAGAGGGAAACTAGTTTTGCTTTGCACTGTATATTGGTTTTGAACAATTTTTGTATCGTTGAAAAAACAACTTTCTTTTAATTGTGCAAGTTATCAAAAGAAATCTTTTATTATTTTTTTGACATTTTTTCTGTCAAACACTGAAAGGAAACTTTATATGCATAAAATGAAGAAGCCCACGAATTCAAGCTACAGATTATTTATGAATGAAACCATAAATCTCCTAAGCATTTAAAGTAAATGTTTTTTGGCCAGATTATTTATTTACAATTCGGTGCTGTAGTTTTGTTTTATCATATGTTAAAATCTCTAGTTTATATTGTTAAATTCTCTAGTTTATATTCTTGGTAATATTTTCAGATGAGTGCACTTACCGACGAAACTGTTGAAGATGAAGAAGATGGGGCTGCTAATGAGGAATTGGATAAGGTTTTTTCACACAATCTTTTCAGTTTAACTTTTCGTAATCGACTTAAATATTAGTTTTATGTATGGCAACAGTAAATGACACGTTACCGCTTTTCCTTGTAAAATTTGTTAGTAAGCGTTCTACGTGACCGCCTATTTTGAATCTTGCTTATTGGCTCCATTTCAGCCTATTTTTCATAAAATTTTCTTCGCAAAACAATGAGACCTTTTGGGCGCGGTACTCAAACCTTTCCCCGAAAACGTTTTGAAGAGAGCCACAATATTTTTCTGGACAGTGTATGATAATTTTCTGTGTTTTTGAAAATTATGGTTTCTTTACACCAGTGTCAAATACATTTTTTCCGTTTTAGGAAAATGTTTCGGTTTTAGATACGCTGACAGCTTGTCCGATTCCTGAAGATTTGTTGCTTTTCGCCATTCCAGTTTGTGCACCGTACAGCACCATGCAGAACTACAAGTAAGATATTTTATGGTAGAAGCTCCTCCTCATTAGCTCTGCTTCTTTTTGATACAGCTATCCATCACTGTGAACAGAATGTCAGTAGCAATGATAATGAGGGTAAAGGAGGCTTTGGAGAAGATATAGAAATCCAGGCTCAATCCTTTCTGGCGATGTTTTTTGCCTGCACGCTGATATCTTGTTATCTTTAATTTCAACCACATTATTTTGACAAGCAATCGACTGTTATCAATAAAGAATAAATGTCGCATGGCTCGGTGATTCGAGTATAGGTTGGTTGAAGTAGCCATATTTTCATTTAATTTATTGCCTGTTTTTAAGGTATAAAGTCAAAGTAACTCCAGGAACTGGAAGAAAAGGAAAAGGTTTGGTCCTAACTATTGAAGTATAATAAGTACTATTTTAACATCTTTTTAGACTTAACTTGGTTAGTTTCTGTGATTATTGGAGCATCCTGCAATGCTTTGATTTTCAATTTTTTTCCTGCATGCTTTCATTTCCAATAATATTGTGGATCGAGGATAGAAGACAAAACTTAATTGAAAGTGATAACTTGTCTCTGTTTCTTCTAGCTGCAAAGACTGCCTTGCATTTATTTTCTACCTCCAAAGAAGCCACTCAGCGAGAAAAAGATCTATTTAGGAGCTTAAAAGTACGTTTTATATATATTTATGTTGTGTCTTATTTCTACTGGCTAATCAGATTCAAACAGACAATTCTGCCAAGGATGTATTTTAGGTGTCTAATTGCCTGAAAGTTAGATCCCAGTTTGGGAGAAGATGATAAATTGCAGGGCTGCATGAAAGAAGATGATGCGGACATTGCAATAAAAATAATCAGTTAGCTCGAAATTTCGTGAAGATCGATAATTTTTTTCTTCGCATAACCCCACTGAGCCATATTCTCGTGGTCCTTTGCTCGTTCTCATGGCCCTTTTATAGATAATTATTTTGACATTGCTCATTCAATAGATGATAGTTTATCTGTGGGAAAGCATTCTATGAATCAAGAGCTTTTGCTTTGTGCTGTTTCTCTAAAATATTGGATTTCTTGAGACCAGTTCTGAGGATTTTTGATTCTCTGAAGATCAAACTTTTAATTATACCTTTGAGTGTCCTGGATGAGTTTATCTCTGTTTTGATTCTTTAAATTTTTTAGGATGTCGATGTAAGCAGAAATATTCCTGGCAAAGTGAAGATATCTGCGCCAAATTTACAGAAGTCGAAAAAGTGAGAATCAAGATGAAATTTGGAACTTTCCCAACAAATGCACATATGCTGAGCAAAAATACTTGCTTCCATAGATCAGGAATCTTTTTGAAGAAAATTCCGCATGAAAACGGTCATCATTGATGAGCTTGATCCAGGACCTTCTAGAGTATCGATTTGGTTCCAGCATCCCCTTAAGCTCCAGAATTTTTTCTTGTTGTGTCTTTTTATAAGAAGAATACGAACTAGAAGAATATAAATTTCCAAAAATTGTATAATTACAGTATGTGATATTATTGTTACGATTGTTTGCTGAATTGGAGAGTGAATTTTTTTATTCTTAATCTGTTAATATGAACGCTATTTTGTATATTTTAGTATCTCTGTGAAAAAATAACACTACAAAATTAAAGGCAAAAAAGCTCCTTCAGGAAAATATGCTATTGACATCAGTAAGTCAGTGATGAGGCTACGTTCCCACATTCCGGAATAAAAAGCTCAAAATGCAGGGCTGTAACGAAAATGCAATTTTCATATTAAGAAACAAAACGAAGGTGGAAGGGCTGGTAAAAATGAACAGCACACTTGTATTAAGGCCTTGCCAAGCAAAGTTAGGCGCAAGCTTTGCCAAATTCTTCAATATCCTTAGAGCAATGAAGGGGATGTAAATGCTATGAACCATACACCTTACCCTAGTATTTCGAGTTCGGTCCTAAGAAGGCCAAAACATTCCCCATCCATTGCACAAAAACAGTAAAAAGGGTACAAGAAAATCACAAGGAATTACGTCACAAGAGACCATCACAGATAGCAAACAATAACAAATAAGGCCGACTGTTAGAAGGTAGATGTCCGTCAGGAAATTAACTCTGATTAAATTTCATTCAATGATCCTAAGAGTTTGTGTAAGGTTCTGATTTGATTTCATTTGAAATTGAACTTTTTCGGCATAGTTGTGACCCAGAAAGTTGTATTTCTTTATCATCTCAACGATTGGTTATTACTTAATACTTCAATTTTATCAAATTTCTTGCAACCTCAAAACTTTTGTCAGTTCTTTTGTCATTGTTTTGTCATTTTATGATTCTTTTGTCATCTATACAATGGATGCTTGGAGGTAAGAATAATGTATGAGCATTCGCCATGCCTTCAGTTGTATTGTGTAAGTACACCAAAATGCAATTTCCTTGTCTCTTTGGAATAAAAAAATTATTTCGTTTTGAGATGCGCCTCCTGCAAACAGGAAACCGAACATTTTTGCGACCACGCCCTCCAGATTCGCTTAATGCACTTCAAAGTATTTCTTGCAGTCGTTTCCTGTAATCGTTTAGAATTTTTTGCAATTTTCAGGCATGCTTTTGCTACGTTTGATCGATTCCAATCTTAAATTGGAATTCATTACTTTAAGAGGCCACCTAGAGCTCGAGGCCCTGGGGCAACTTGTCCTCCTTGCCCCCTCTCCCCTCGGCAGCACTGCCTGGATTCTAGTGGCATTTCGCGCCAGCCTCGTAACAGAGTTACGAAAAACAACGATGGAAGACCAAGGATCAAGTTGACAAGCGGCAAGTCCGGCAAATGAAGGTCACTTGATTGTTCAGGAATGCACTTCAAAATAAAGCAACTTACAAAGAGTTCATATTTAGCTAGCTTCCTCCTGAACCATGGAGAGTATTGACAAGGAAATAAGAGGCGAGAAATTGATTTCTTTTGATGATGGGGATCCAGGCAGCCCTGAAAATTTTGTGATTGCAAACCATGACACCACTCCAGAACCACAAGACACCCGGTCGATGTCACTGCGACAGCAAGCAACGAGAGACAGCATTGCAGACGAGCTTTGTATTCCTGTCAATTCAGAAGTTGCACTACAAGCTGTCGCTGAGTTTGAACTCTCTGTCGATTATGATTGTCCGGAGACCAACGATGGCGAGAATGTCACCAATGAAACGAATGTTCCACGTAGCTCTTCTGGTCAGCCCAGAAAAGGCAGCGTTCCAGACGAATTCGTAAGCATGCCCAAACAAATTTTCAATGGAAAAAACTTGAAAAATAATTATTTGCTTTGTATCGTTTGGTTCTAAATTGGTAATTTCAGGTCAGAAGATAACAAGGGTGGGATCTTGATCGAAAACCATACAACTCTAAGCACTCTGAAATGGTTTTCACATCCACAGTCTACTTAGCCAAAAAGTCATATTGTTTAGTGATTATGACAGGAAAACCCCTCAATCTTATCAAATGAATGCATTTTAAAGGGTGTGGGGGTGAAATATTGCAAAAGGGTTTGTTTTGTGATTTTCATGGGGGTTGCCTGTGTGGACCACTTTGCTGTGATTAATGTTGCTAGAAAAAGCAAAACCTGGTTAATCACTCATTACAAAAAGATTTTAGCTAACAAAAGGAAGTAATCAGGTAGTAGGGTCATTCCATGTCAAATCATCCAGAATTTCTGGAAACTGTAACTTAGAATGTAATATACACTACCAGGACAAAAGTATTGCAACACCCAAATGAAAATGGAATCCAAAAAAATTGAAGTTCTGCAAACTTATATTTTTACGCTGAAATATTCCCCTTACAAGAGAAAATAATCATGCTAAACCTGTAGTCAAATTCTTTGAAATTTATTGAGGACTTCAAAATATTTAGAATTACAATATAAGCATAAGAAATTTTGCAGTTTTAAAAAAATATCTGCAATAGTAAAATCAAAATGTTGACAGGTTAAGGAGCTAGAAGTTGTGAAACAACATCAGATAACTTGTCTTTTAATTCTAAAGATTTGAAACTTTTTATAGAAAATGATAGCAAAATAGTTAGAGATTAGGAAACAACAAATGAAGTCATTATGCTCAACTTCTTAGCCGGGAAATTTTCCAACTCAACTTGGGTAATTTTTGGGATACAGTTAGGCCCATATAAATTGGTAAATTGTCAACTAGCACTGTGGGAGTTAATGCAGTGAAATATGTAAAAATAATGCACAACAGTCTCTTTGGAGAAATCAAATCAATGCTAAGGAAACAAGGAAGGCAGTTTTCCATAAAAAAGCAAAACATCCCCCTTACAAGGCAGTTTTTACTCAAATTTACCTGAAAATCTGCAAACTCTATGTCCTTCCTTGGCCATCATAAAGACCTTACCTTAAAATAAGTAAAAATTTCTTGTTACCAATGAAAATGATCTGATTTGAAATCCTTGAGGTTCTTTGAGGTCCAAACAAGTACTGACTTAGAAAGTTTTTAGAGAATGAAGGAGAATCCCAGTGCATTTCATCAACAAATTTTGTGCATCAATTCCAAAGCAATTTTCCATGCTTATCAGAGCAAGAAGCACCTCTACAAAATGTTTGTTTAATTTAAAGTTACTCGAATTGATGATTTAAAATTTTGAAAGATAAAAATGGAATAACCGAATTGACGCTTCATTGAATTTGCAGTTTTATTTGTGCGCCATTGGCTGATAATACAATAACTTAATCAGACAACAACAAAAGTTATTGCATGATACAAATTCTTTTTTCCTGTTAGTTTTTATACATTTCCAAAATTTCAGCTTAATATCTTTTGTAAGTCAAAAGTTATAGCACTTTCTATTTTTGGGCATTTCTGTAAAATTTTAATTAAAAGGGTGTGACTGAAATGTTTGTATGCATTTAGTCTTCTTTATTTTCTCCTCTAATCAAGAGAATTTGATCAAGATTGGTAACTAGACCAAATAAAAGATGCTGAAATCAGTTATGACCTCAAATGAAAGATATTGTGAAAATTAATTGCAGTATTCAGTGTAAATCTTGTACATCAAAACTCAGAAGCTATTATTTGGGCAGAGATTTTAAGGGTGTGGCCAAAATATTTACTGAATTTCAGTTTGAATTTTGAAATGTGCAATATTTGTTCTACTAATGTGGAGAGAATTGTCTCTTGGTATTGTATGTTGCAGTTTTTGTAGGCATGTTAAGTTATGATATATAATGGGTTACATGATTCGCAGAAATGCTATTTGTGTACCATAAGCGATTTGTTGTTACCATATAATGTATATAAATTATGTACTGCTGCTAGACATTGGAGTTTGTTCTTTAAGTGTATTGAATAAACTTTGGGCCTACTTTGGTAATGTCAAGTGTGGACAAGCAATTTAGAATATACCAGATTGATATACTAATTTAGATCACTATCAACTATAGCTATAAAGAGCAGGGGTCATTTATCCCTTCATTTTCAGAAAAAGAGGTAAAAATAGCTATTTGTATCTTACAGAGGTGTTCTTTTTATGATGTTATGCTCCCACTTGTTTAATATGACGTTCTATTTTTCTGATAGTGCTGCTTGATTTCAAATAGTGATGCTTCATCTCCATAGTGTTTAAAAATCAAAATGAATTTTTGTAAATTTTCAGTTGATCTCTAATCATGCAAAGGGAATGACAACTATTTCTATAATAGTTAATCCTTTATGAATAAAAATTTCCTACTTTGTTTTCATGTATTTGAAAAATTTGTTGATAGGAAATGTTACTTGCAAGCACATATGTGGAGGAAGCTTTCTATGGCAGGAATGGATTCTTCATACCAGAAAAAAAGCAGTTAAGGTTAACATGTATTTTGTTATATGTTTGTACAAAGCTGTTCTGTGTTTTTTTCAGAATGTTTCCTTCTGCATTTTTTGCAAAGAAACACCTGATAGTTACCATGAATTTTTTTAGGAAGCCAAAACATATCTCATAAGGGCCATGTTTGTCATGGAGACTTGAAATATTTTTGTTAATATAACTTGAAAATGAGGTAAAACTGTATGAGGAAAACATAAGCAAATTCTAAAAAATGAAATTTAAAGCATAGCTCATCTTGATAACATGCTATGCTTGTAATATAATTTTTTTAAATTCACTTTTATTTTCCTTATACAATTTTACCTTAATTATGAATTATCACATATTATCACATTATCTTGTGCAACAGATTAGCTAGTATATTTATGGAATTGGCAGACACTTTGCCAATTTTTGGGGGGGGGGCAAGCCTATTGTTTTGATAAGATAATGTTACATTTTCCCTTTGCTTAAGAACAAAAGACCATCTCTCAAAATATTTGGGGAAGGGCTACTGTCCCTCTTGCCCCCCAGGTGTCTGCCCCTGATTTATGACATTTTTGTCCTTGAAAATCTCTATGCTGTGTACATCTGAAAATTGTCTCTGTCAATCTTGTTCTTACATGGCTCAAAAGTTGAGCTTAACAATGTCAACAGAGGTTATTAAGCTATGACAAGCAGTCAAGTAGTTGACTGCCCCTTGTTGCTTATTTCATCATCAAAGATAAAAATCTCCAATGTTGTTAAAAAAGCTGTCTGGATTCACTCTCTACTTGATCCTGTTTCTTTGTTCTTCTTTTTATACAAGTTATTAATTTTATATTTTATATTTTAAAATGCCTCTACATATAAAACACTCTTGTGTTTTTAAAAGAAAATTTTTATTAAAACATGAGCCTCAAAATTTGTCAGAAGTTGAGAACAAATTAAGAACCAGCTGAAGCTGAGCTACTGTAAAATGCAATTTTGAAAAACGTTTCGTCTAAAAAAAACGAGAATGTTTAGCCATTTTTCGGCGAATATTTAAACTTGTCTACTAATGAGGCCTGAACACCTCCCTAAAACGCAAAAGCTAGCAATTGCACTGCTTGTACCCCATTAATTGAAGAACAAATTAAGAACAATCCAGCCTCAAATTTTTTAGAAAATTAAGAACAGTCAGCCTGATCTTAAATTTACTGGTTCTTATAAAGATAAGAGAAAATAACTAATTACAACTAATTACATGCAATGTTTGCACATTACATAAAATACTTATAACAACAGGCAATAAAAGACAATTAAGTAAGATGTTGTTTGCAGGGGAGTTTTTTAGGAGGAGCTCTCCGAGCTTTCTCAGTAGATGAACTAATCGAGGAGAGAGCACCCCATTTTCTAAGGTGGTTTTAAATGAAATTGATCATTTACATGAATGACAGAACAATAAATTTCGCTCCAGAATCAAATTTAAAAGTTCTTGTAGAATAAAAAGGTTTTAAGCTTTTGACAAAAACTGACAACAGGCAATGATCTTTTTATATCTACTGGAATATTTTACCAAAAATTTAGCACCAAAGAAACGCACAGATCTGATACCAGATTGCAAAGTATTTTTTCGTATTAAAAAATGCAATTTTTGTGGCTTGCCGTGTACCATATTTGTGAGCATTTGACACAGATTCAAAAAAGTTGTGACACAGATTCAAAACATAACATAACAACATTAGAACTGAAAGAAACATCAGATAAAGTCTAATTATTTACTCAAAGTCATGTGTCATAAATCATACTAATTGAAGATTCTATGGTCTTCTCTTCGATGCAGAACAATTGAAGGATCATTATAATAACCTTTAAAAAATCCTCTTTAATATCAAATCAAATTTGAATTTTACATATACTTTTTACTTGTGCGGATGCTAAGTCGATTGTTACTTCAATAGCTATTTTTGCTTCATGGCTAGACACTTAGTCAGTTCATGGGTTGCTTGTTTGAAATTGGCTTAATCATGAATATAGGGTAACCATCTTGCTGATCTTTACTGCTTTTATAACCTTAAGTTTATCTCAAATTTGTAATAGTTTGTACTGTGAATTTCCTTATTTCATTTTTTTTAAATTTGCTCTTTCTTTCAACCAGGCTTTACTATTGGTATAACCAGTCGGTTGTCCGCTTTGGTTTGTTTATTCTGATTTGGACAAACATGGCTTTGGTATTGTTTGAGGATCCCGCTGTCGATGGATGGGGTCTTCCCCACTGGGTAAGTTTGCTCGTTGTTGTTCCTAAATTTATTGTTAAAACACTAGAAAGGATATAGGAGGGAAAATGAAGGAGTTTATTTGACACGACAGTACAATGATAAAATGCTAAATTGATCTATAACTAGCTACAGCATTAGGCACATATATATTTTGTTTTGGATCAAATGTCTTATAATTTTACTGCTAAAGCGCCCTGACCTTGGACGTTGCTGTTGTCAGAAATATTAATAAAATCGTGGTTCATCATAATCATCATAATCAGTTCTCTGTCAGAAATATTGATAAATCATGGTTCATCATAATCATCATAATCGGTTCTCTGTCAGAAATATTGATAAATCATGGTTAATCATAATTGCTTGTCATGATCATCATAAGAATCTCTGACACCATTGCATCACTGAAGTCAGGGGTTCTTACAATGATTATTCATTATTGATATAAGCATCGCTGCCCTGTGGCGATCAAATTTCTAAAAGAGTGAGAATCACGGACGAATTTGGCTAAGGATTCTCGTGTTGAATGCTATAGGACTTTTCGAAAAATTTATTATACATTTATATTATAGGTATGGGGGCTCATTTACATTTCAATTAATACAGCATAGTTACCTTCCTTTTTTCGGCGTTACACGACGAATATTTTAAATGGCGGCTTGGCGTTGCAAGAACAAATTTCTTGGAAACATGCCTTCGACAACTTCTTTAGGGGTTAGGGCCTACTATATACAAAACTATTCCCTTTTTCCACCGTATGGATATACCAGACCCACCCCCTTTTATCCTAATCTGGGCCCAGGTCTCTATTGTGCACTGTGGTTTCGTGTTCTTTGTTGGAGCCCTGAACTTTTCACAGAAGTGATCAGCAATTGTACTTATATTTGTAATTCTAATTTGTGTTAGGCAACAATGTCCTTGGAAATGATTTGCCTGATTGGATACTTCGGCAGACTGTATCATGCCTGGGCCTTCATGCCTAAGTGGAGGCATTGGCAAGATAGAAAAGTCATCATTGTGCTAGGTTGCCTGTTGGTATGTTTCTTTTTAGTCAATATCAGATAGTTTATTACCACCAGTTATGATCTGCATATTTAGAGGTAGGTCTTTGATGATATTGTTGCTATATTGTTCATAAATTATATTGTTACATTATGGAAAACTTCCACTTTGCTTAGAAGCATTGATAGCTAAGATATTTTTGTTGCTGCTAATGCTTCGTTAAATGCTATCTTGTTAAGAAGTTAAAATGCTAATTTTATATAGATCAGGGTTGAGAAATGCCACCACTTTTCAGATACAATTTCAAAAGGATCGCACACATTGAAATAGTTTCCAATCACTTTGTTTACAACTGTATTACATTGTTGCGACAAGCAGCTGACAAAACAGTGACTAACTATGCCCTAATTGAACACAGGGCTTTTTGAAATGCCGAAACTGTGCCGCTTCCTCCTCTCTCTCTTCCCCCCACCTCAACAAATCGAGAACAAATCGTCGAAGATTTACAGATTATAGTGAGCTTCGTTGGGATGTATCTTTGAAACTTCTAGCACTTTCATTAAACGCTTCCAACGTTTTTCTACTTTTCATTTGTGGAATCGTTGCAGTTTCCCCCTCCCATCCGAAAAAATCTTTCATTTCATGTCATTTTAAAATACATATTTTCAGGCTACTTTGATCGACATGGGCTTGTACATCATATTAAAAAACACAGGACATGACAAGTATGCGATCAGATGGTCCAGAGTCTTGCGACCAGCCTTCATGATCAATTTCAGTGAAAGTCGTCAGGTAGGCAACGATCTCATATTTATTAATGACTTTTACTATTGCTTTAACTTGCTATAACGTTTACTTGGATTTCCGTCTTCAAACCTATCCCTTTCTGTAGAGGCGGGGAAGTGGGTGGGGCTGCAAAGCAGCAAGGCGGTAAAGTAAATTTTCTAGAAAACTATGAAAGGAAGAATGGGTCAGATTAGTTGGAGAAAGAAGAAAGAGGTGTAGATTAGAATAACAGTGCTGTGTACTTGTGTCCCTCGGCCTGACAGAAAAAAATTCCTCTTGAAGCTGCTTTGCTGGAAAGTTGACTTTTATTCACCGTTGTAATGCTGTCTAAAGAAATATTTAAAAACTTATCATAGCCTCCCTAAAAATGCTCACATGAAGTTTTCATTTGTGCTCTTAACCTAAACTTACTTTCACTATCGGCCTTGTTGCTTGGACAGGACCTTACTTAGTCAATCTGTGTTGAGAAACGAAAGGGGCACGGTTAAAACGGTCCATGCCATCATCAGACAAACCTTGTTAGAATTTCATTAGAATGGCAGTTTTCAATGGTTATATGAAAAATTGAATGTTGAATGTACCTTTATAGATACCACATCCTCATAAGAAATTGCCGTTTCGTTTACGATACCGAGCTTTGTTCAGTCGTTATAGTTTATCTGCCTTTTTGCGAAAATAAACGTTAACACAGGAATGCCGTATTAGCAATCTGCAGTATTGTGCTAGAATATTTTGGGTCCTTGAGTGAAGAGTGAGGGAAAGGACAGCAAGAGGAGCTGTATGACTAAAACTTGTATTGTGTGGCTATTTGGCTTTAGAATATCAATTGTTTTTTAATATCAACTGTGACGGCTTTTCCGTGGCCTTTCTAAGAGCACATGTAAATCGCCAAATATCCCCTTATCTGCCTCATTTTTTATTTAAAAATTCCCTCTTTGTCTTCAAATTGAGTCCCTTGACCCCTTTAGCTGAGTTGGTACTGTGACTTGGCCATTAGATAGCCTAGAGTGCTAGTGACATTGTATAATCAAATGATGCTATACGTAATGGAATGAAATCAGAGTACTAGTCTGCTTGGTACACATCATGGCAAGATGAATTAAACCAGTAATTGTTTTTGTAGATACGAAGAGCAATCAGAAACATTCGAAGGACCTTACCTGAGATTTCCAATGTTTTGTTTCTTTTGCTGCTCATAATATCACTGTATGCGCTGCTCGGTTTGAAGCTGTTTGGCAGGAAGTAAGTATTCTGACTTATCGTTTATCTATACAAATATGTGTGACTTAGTGGAGAAATCTATATTGGTGCCATAAATTTTGAATCGAACTGCACTCTGCCTCTCTTAATGTATAATGCAGAACACGGACCTCAAAATTAGCCAGGGATAAAAAAAAATTGAAAACAAGCTGAGACTAAAGTGCTATGAAATGTAAAAAGGGTATTATTATTTAGGATATAACTTTCATGATAGGTTAACCTTTGGCTAATGATATAATAAAAACCAACACCTGCATTCAACACATCGGGTCGTGTTCTGTAGTAAAATGTTGACTCTTATCTAGATTTATTTAAATCGGACCATATTATAATGATTTGAGAGAAACGATTCAAGTTTTTGAAATATCAAGAAAGAAAGTAAAGCCTGAAGCCCTATTTACTGGCTCTTAGAGAAAATAGTTTGTAATAGAAAACTGTAAGTTCAACATTTTTGAAGTTGAAGAATAAAATTTCGGAGGTCTCAATACCAGTTTTAAGTATTAGTGTAATGCACTCTAGCTGTGTCATTCCGGGGGTAGGTAGAGTATTTCCCATGATACTAGACATGACTAATTAACAAAACCTTCTGATTTATCATACCAAAAAACAGGTAGTTGGCACTTGCCTTATGCGAGATAGCATATTATGCATTAAAGCGCCACTGCGCACTGAAGTTGACTACACTTTTTTCTCTTTGTAAAAACACACCGGAATACCGAGGCTCGATTTGCCACAAAAATAAGAACAGCGTACCAATAAAACAAAGTGTTTTGAATATGTTCCCTCGTGTTTTTAAACCGTGGTCCTAAAATTTGTTACGTAAATTTGCTATTTCGTCGTCCAAGGGGCAATTCACAGTACACAGTGGTATCAAAACTAATGTTGGAATAACAACAACACTAAAAGCACCCGAACCTCAAATGTTCCAAAAAAAAGGAGCATCGAGCCTCGGCAAAAATTATCTGGTTCTTAAAGAAAATAAAAAGTGCATACGCATTTTTATCTCGGATCGCCAATAGACCATCTATAGTCAAGAGTTTTTTCGCAAGGTTTCACTGTCTGAAGGCGAATGGACATGTTATTAGCTGGCGTTATCCATTGCAAAATTCTTATGTTACGTTGTCTTTAAAATATATCAGATTTTTTACAAGGAGACGTCATAACTAAAGCGTCGTTCTCGGGTGAATTTTCATAAACTCTATGTTTTGGAATGATTTTGCACGCACAGTATAATATTGGAAGCGCCGATGGTTGATGTTTTCTTACTTGGGAGTTGCCTAAGTTACTTTTTGGATATGCATTCTTGTCCTGAAGACGTCTTGTTAGGGTTATGAACTTGCAAAATGCTTTCCTCCAAACAAATTTTGTGAAAGCGAGGCAAAATTTTGGGATATTACTCATGCACACCAAGCTAGTTCATGTCGCGAAACCGAGGCTCAAAACGAAATGCTTTCTGTACATGGTCCTGTCTCTGTTTGAAGACTTTCCTCATTTGGTTGATATATTGAACAATGTCGGGTATTTGCACTTGCGGTTGTCTCACAGCTCTAAACGAATATGCCTAGCACAACCTAGCAGGTTTAGCAGATAATTTGTCAGGTTTTTTATTTATGAGCAAGGCCACATTCTGATGTAAACCGGCTAAGTCTACATTGTGCTAGATGCGCCGTCTAACTCTGTTGCTATGGTGGCTGGTAAACCAATATCACTGCATATAGGCCAATTCATATGTCCTTTCGTAAAAGTCATTTCTTGTCACGCAAACCAAGATCATACGATTTAGCTCTGTTAACTTTGGGTAACAACGACTCTTAAATTGGCCTTAACCTACGCTGAAGGTTTTGATTTCCAAATAACTTGATCCCTTGTCTAAGTTTAACCTTTCAATCTTGTGCAAATGTGCCCATGAAATCTATCTCTGATGTTTTTTAAGCTTGACCCAGCTATATTTCTATTATTTTGCTGACCTGGCGTGGTTTTTGCTGTCTCGTTCTGCTCTTGGTCTCTAGAACTGCCTTAAAGCATCTTCAGACTCTACTATCCTGTTAAAAAGGTCCGCTATGATATGCGCCAGGTCCTGTTATAAATCTGCGCCCTGTATCCTGTTAAAAAGGTCCGCTATGATGGGCGCCAAGTCCTCCTTATAAATTTGATTTAGGAAAGTAAAATTTCTCAAATGGGAAGCTGAAGATGGTTTCCTTTAAATATTATAAACCTAGAAAGCGCCTCCCCCCCCCTCCATTGCTAGGGCTTCCAGAAGACTGTCGATAACTCCTGCAAGTCGCACATAAAACAAGCCTGAGTCCCGACCCTACGTCCTTCTGTAGTAAACCAATGTGTAGCAGACCAAGGGGGAGGGGCTACCCATACAATTCCAAGACCTTAAGCAGGTATCATAGTTTTTGCCCGATTACAAATTCCTGATGACCTGTTGGCAGTTCTATGATGGTATGCAAGTCAATTTTCTATTTCACTGTTCAAAAAACCGTTGTATTGTGACGGTTTTGTTGCGTTGTTCTTTTGAAACCCTTTTCATCTTTTCGCCTCTCCAAAAAAAACACTGCCGGCTCGACTGCAAGTAACCACGGCTTGCATAACCAAGGATGCCGAAAAGGCATTTTGATCCTTTTTGCTAAGAAATGCTTGAAACCTCATCCTTTCTTCAAACCCCTATTATTGTTTTTTAAAGCATGATGATCTATAAAGAAATAGTTTTATTAATTTTGATATTAAGATCCTAGAATTTTCAAAGTCACAGTAATGTTAACCAACTCTGATTGATCACAGTTAAGCTGGAGAACCTCAAGTGCAATATTGTGGTTGAATGTTGATGGTTTTTCACCTCGGCTTCGCTGGTTTCTCGAGCCCCAAGCAAGAAAAATATTAGGCGTATCCAGTCCTAGCTGCTAAAGAGAACTTTTGTCTCTTTATCCTAATCCCCCATTGTCTGATACCTCGTCGCATGAGCAGCTCCAAACTAGCGTATGGTTGACCAATAATCGTGGTTACTGTTCTTAACATCATAATGGCAAGAAATTTTCTGTTTTTTTAGTTTTTCTTAAAGTTTGCAGCACAATCATGTTATTAATGCAAAAATTAATCCCCCCTGTTAGGCCGCTATGGTGGCTCTTGGTCCTAAACCTTGTAACTTCGACTGAAGTGAGCTTTAGCAGTTTTCTTTGGCTTCGGGTAACGGAGAAGTTGATTATAACGGAAAAAGTTATTATAAGACTTTGTGGTACTGATTATTCCGTTCTTTGTTGTTCATTTTTAGGCGTTTACAAGTTTATTTTCTTCAGTTTTCAGTACAACTCATAATAAAATAACCGAAGAAAAATCCTCTATGGCAAACACATGATTTCGGATGTACTGTAGCAGATTATCTTGTTAGGGGTGGCGAAACACAAAATATATCATTTTAAAACGGCTGGAACATATCTTTGCGGTTGTTTTAAGCGAAAGCACAGGGACTGACGTCAGCTTTGCTCGACATTGTTTACAAAATTTTGCGAAATGAAATGATGAAGTTGTTCTTAAACCTTCTTAAGCCAAAATGAACGAGAAACTGAAAAATGTTTGATAGCAAATGTGAAACGAGTCACCTATGTACTTCTGTAGTTATACTGTCTTTACAACCGAGTCTTGGATGATGAAAACCCCTCCATTGCTCTTCTCTTAGCGTCTTCTACCAATATAGATTTCGTTTCAACAGCCCTGATTATGAAATTTTTTTCTAATTGTAAGTAATTTACTCCTATGGATATTAACCACAATCATCATCAAAATAATAGGGAGTTACCCCGACTTTCCTCTGTTTCCTCCTTTAAACATCATGTCCAAACTCGTAAAATGAGGTTTTATGTACCATCCTTTTTAAAATGGTATATTTCTACGAAAAAGAGGCTTCATTAGCTAACTACGGTGGGTGCACTTTGCTTTGATAAGTTTTCGGTTTTTAATTTGATTGGTTACGTAAATGGAACTGCGACCCATCTTCACCCTCTGCAGCGGCTTCAATATATCTTTAGACACATCTTCAAATCTTTGCTTTTTCGTGATGGGCTCAAGTGTTTCTACATATTGAATCAGTTCATCCTTTTCATACCGGTTTGTTAATTAAGTGGTTTTTAAAGAAAGAAGGCTATATTAGTCGAAAACGGATGCTGCAAAACGCACGAGGTTTCACGAATAAATATTGCTTGTTGTGGTCGAGCAAAGAAAATTGTTGAATTAAACAACCGATGAGGGCATTTGCTAAAACGGATGTCTTTTTTCAATTTAGGAGAATTGCAGCAGGGGCGGCCAACGGGTATTTTTTTCACACAGGGACACTTTTCTCACAAAGGGGCTCAAAAAGTAGCCCCTTTGTAATTTTTGGGGACAGTGGGCAGGGCGGGGCGGGGCGGGGCTTCCTCTGGCGTCCTGCCTTTTATGTAGTGGCCAGTATAAATCAGAGGAGAGAAAATATGGGATGGTTAATTTGATGGCGAATTACTTTGTTTTTTGATTCTATGACTTAAAAACGCAACTACGAAACTGAAATTTGTTCTTGTTTGTTTTCTTCCATATGGATAACATGGGCTTTACTGTTTGCAAAGTAACGTTTTAATAAAAAAATGAATTTTTATTACATGAAAATAAAGTATTCAATTTTCTATTGTACTGTGAATGCTCTGCCCCTGGTCTTGGACCCCAGAAGCAAGGAGCATGAGGGGGAGGGGCGCTATACCACCCGAAAATTCTTAAAAACTTTGTAAAACCATGCACTGGCTCCGGATCTCTGTCTACTAAGAAACGTGATAAATGAAATTAACCAATTTGGTTATGCAGATGAAGAGTTGAAACATTATTTCAAGCCTTCCTGATTTGTTTTGCTGATGGTAAAATGGCAAGGACATTCTGTAGACCCAAGGCTTTTATCAACTCCTGTCGATCCATAATAACAAACATCTTAGAAGAGGATGAATTGCTTTAACAGGAGGCGGAATTAACACATAAGTTTATGCATCGATTAGATGTTATTTTGCTTCTCTTGACTACAGTAATTAATTAAAGACATGCAGTGTTAAAATGCAAAATGTAAGCTAAATCTTTGTTTATTGAATTCAAAGCGATTTGTTTTGATGAAGAGGGATCTGTTGAGGCGCTTTTTATTAAAACTGTAGTCTATTTATATTTTTGTTTTGGAGTAGTTGTTTCATTTCAATGCTGTTCATAATACGATAATTAAATGCGAGGGCCCTTAGTTTATTGCGGTTTTGCTGAAGCATTTTCGATATGTCAACAGTTTTCAAACTATCATAATTGACAAAAATTAGCTAGCAACGTGGAAAGAAGTCGTAAATAGTAATCTGCATACTTAGGTTCATCAATCTCTGAAAGGCAACACACGAATTTTGTCATATGAAACCGCTAACAAATTGCCCTTTGGAAAACCGAGAAGTCATTGTGTAAATCGGATTTCGCTCCTGTTGCTCAGAATTAAGGCTAAAAGATCAAATCGATCTCAAACACTTCTCAAATTTTATTTCCTGCGATTCTGTGAAATATTATGGGTTTTTGCTGGAAGTCATTTTGGCTAGAACTTTCGCTACTTAAAAGAGCATATGCCTTGATATTTCTATGGTGAATCGTAATGTGCAACAAACTCGTGTGAAAATTGCAGATGACTAGTTGAATTTCTAACTATATATACGTCATAATTGTCAAGAAGAAATTAATCAACGTTACTTTGTACAGAATCACCTTTAGCTTGTCAACGAAACTTCTGCTGTTTTGTTGGTTTTCTTTCAAGTCCAAGTTAAACAGCATTATTATCTCCTTGCTCTAATGTTAATATTAATTCACAGTTGCATTTGTCGCCATTGTGCTTTTTGTTCCTTGATTTGAACAGCATATGTTAAAACAGTTTGTAGAAAACTTTGCCATCGATGAAAAGTCTCCGCAAACATGGACCGTTGAACTTGAAACCAGAAAACACATCTACCTCTGCTGCTAACGTGACAGATTCTTTCTCGTCCAATTTCTCTTTCACTGCACTTGCAACCAGTTCTGCGAAGAAATCAATTCCTCGTTCACAATCTCTGACAATTGGGGGCGAAATGCTCCGTAACCACTCTTGAATATCCCCGTTACTTGTTGTCGTGTAGTATATTTCCATGTCGTTTCTTTGTGTTTTCCTTCTCTGAGTTGTAGATATTAGTTAATGACCTGCTGGTTTGTAGCAAGTGTCTCGGCTTCTGCAGCACAAAGTGCAAAAAATTTACTAGCAAAGTAGCAGGAACCAACTGTTAAGATAAAGCCAAGGCAACCCCCGTTTTTGGGTGAAATCGATACCTGCCATTGTTTTTTGTCAACAAGAGGCTAGATAAACGAGGCAGTGTAATTAGAACTCGCGATAGCGGTGTGCAAAGGCCACATATGTGATAAGTCTTCCTTTTCAATCTTACCGTTTTTTATTTGTATATTAATTCCATTGTCTGGACTGCCGTTGAAAGGTAATGTGCAGTGTGAAGGAGTCTTCTGAGTCCAATTCTAATAAGAACACCATCCAATACAGCTTATAGAAATGTGTAATAGACTCAAGAGAAAACCCATTTAACAACAGATCAATAATGCACAGTAACTTTAATTGCACATATAATTTCTACACGGGTGGCTTGAATTCTTGAAAAATATACAGTTACATGCGGTTGTTCTCCATAATTAGGTGTAGTCACATTGAGAGAAAGGACCAGGACACTGCTCGATAAGCATAGCTTTAAAGGATTTTTCGAAATAAACTGACCTTTTCCTAGTGTAAAGAGTGCACCCTGCTATACTGAGCACTCTCTATATGCTGGGTTACCCCCCTTTTGAAGCCACGGTTTGTTAATTTTTTTAATATAGCTTCGATGTCAAGTGCTATTCTACATTAAGGATTATTTTTCTTTTCAAAAGGAATTTTTCAATACGTTGTTCGTATTTCCTAACTTCAACAAATTATTTTATTCGTATTTCCTAACTTTTATTCATTCTGCGGTATACAGAATGAGAAGTCATAATAATATGGTGACTTATTGTCGTAAGTTGAATCTGATCTCTCGAAACTTTTAAAACACGTCCCTGAATTCCGAGTCGTTTAACGATTTCACTGAACAAGGCCTAACACGTTGTTTTATTATCTAGTCTATTGGTAAAGGCGATATACCGGAATGAAATGCCTTTCAAAGAAATAAACCATTTTTCGTAATTCGGCTTTAGAAGCTTCATGTAGCTTAGCAACTTATAAATATTTACTGAGGCAAAATTGTCGAGGATCTCTTGATCTTTTTGTGTTTAGCTTGCAGGCCTAGTCAACTCTATGTTGGTGACTCTTGTTCATTAGTTCAGGCTTGGGCAATAATCCAAATGTGTGATTTTGGCTTTTTGTAGACAAGGAGGTCACTCTTACTTCGTAGCTTAGACAACTGGCCAGGGAACGGCCACTGCTAGCCTATTTCTCGGCAAAGTTAATCGCCATCTTGTTCTCTATTTTGTTTTGCTACCGAAACGGTTGTTGACAGTGCCCAGTCTTCTGCTGTAAATATTGAAAGAATTTTCAATGTTTTAGCGTCGATGTTTATACAACAAGACTCGTTGGTTTTAGAATAATCTATTCTGATCCTAGTTTAAGACTGATCTATTTTAGCTGCGCCCCGTTGAAAGTTTTAAATTCCATATTCTGTTACTTTGAAACTGGAACAATTCTGTCGGTATCCTTAAGGACTTTGTACAGTCTATAATCGAACAGATTTAGGAGGGTCACGGATCAACTTAACCAGACAGGTCCTAGGTTGAAGATGTCATTTTATACGCTCTCGCTTGAAAACAGTTGTTATGACGTTTCGAGATTTATCTAAAGAAGGCAGCGAGCTTAAGTTTCCAAAGGTTTCTAAAAGCTGAAAGGAGGCAAATGTAATATGGATTGTTTTGCTTAAGCTATTTCTCTAAGTAATGCTGTAATTTGGATTAACTCGTATCATTTATGAAAACAGGTCTCTTTTTTACGTAGTGACGCAGTTGATAAGAAAGTCGTGTTCAATATGAAAAGAATATTATTACAACACTTTTTTCTACTATTATTATCTGAAAAAGAAGCTAGAGACAGACGTGGGTAACTTTCATGGTACACAGAAAGGAATCCCTTTCGCTGGACATGCTGTCCTATTTTCCTGCCCTATTTATTTTCTTCGCATGGTGAAAGAGTGGCTGGGTTACTCTATGAAAGCCTTTGTGATGGTACTGATTATTTTCCTCGGGCTTGGAGAAAAGCTTTGGATGAACTCACGATTTGATAGATCTATTTTTACAAGCTGTATAATTTCAAATCGAATCATTTCATAGCATTTTGTTTTACTTGATGCATTTTCTTACAGGAATCTTCAAACATTAGATGGGCGAAAATACTTTGGCGATTATTTTGACATTTTCTTTTCGCTCTATATTCTCACTACGACAGCAAACAATCCAGATATCACGTAAGCTGATTTTATATTTCTTTGATCATAAGGTTAAGGTTTAGGTTTTCTCTTCATTATATTTTCTATTTCAATTATCAATTATCACACTTCTTTTAATGTCAAGCTGCAAGGACTGTCATAGCAAGGGCTCTCTTTGCAGGGGTTGCCTCATTCATTTGGTAAGTCAAATTCTGACACTGTAATCAAACGAAATGTCTGACACCCTCACCTCCCCCTTATCATGATATCCAAACAGCTACTATAGTAAATATTTTGCTCTCCCCTTCATTCGCTCCCTGATTGATCGTCATACATTGATTGCAGCGCGCCGATTAAATGATTGTTCTGACTACCAAAATAACTCATTTGTAAGCATTACATACATGCTCTTCTCGTCCATTGTAAACGATATATTGTAAATGATTTTTTTCTTTTTACCAGTTCGGAGTTTTTAATGTAGTTTGGCACGAGAAATATTCAACAGGTTGGATCTCTCTTGAACAATTTAGTCACATTTTCAGAGAGAGAAAATTAAATAATCCAAAAAATATTTGGAATCCAGCTTATGTCATCTTTTTTTTAAATAACCCAAACATACTTTTTTGCGATTAAATGTTTACAGTTTTGTTGTCTGTTGTGCGTCGAAGGTCACAAGGGCCTGGCACTGCCCCCTCCTTGCATCTTGAGAAAATTTTTCTTTTTCTAACACGTCCTTCATTAATAGTGGATATTTTCGAAACAATTTGAAGCTGATGAATTTGCCCTGAGAAGCAAAATGTTTTTGTCATATAATTTTTTATCATCAAGCCACAAAAATCTGGTAACTTACGTCCTTTTTGTTGTTGTAAAATACTCACTATACCCAAATTCAGGAAAACTGATACAGCTATTGGTAATAACACCTTAACCAGCTAGTACAGTTTCTAGCTGATAGCAACCAGATTTAGTAATGGTAACTGCTATTGCCTGCTAGCTATATGCTTTGACTGCTTCTCTAGCAATATGACTTCTTTTGTAGAATGCCAGCGTACAACCACAACAATTGGTACTGCATCTTCTTCATTATTTACGTCATCATCTGCATGTACATATTCGTCAGCATCTTCCTTGCTGTCGTTTACAAAAATTACAGAAAGCATCTTAAGGTAAAGGAATGTTTTTTTTAGATTTTTTGCTTTCCCTTCAAAATCATGTTGGTTTTCAATTATTGCCGTTAGTAAAAAGTAAGATTAATTTATATCTACTGTCTGATATTTGATAGCCCTTAAGGAAAGGTAAATAGACCAAAAGAGCATACAATTGAATTTTAAAAGACTATCAGTATGTTGATTTCTTCGTTGTTTTTCTCTCATGGTTATCCCTGCTTTCAGTGGTTGGAAGCTGTTGTGTTTTTCACCTCAACAGACATATAAGAATAAAAATAAAACTGTTTACTACAAATTTTCTATCTCAAACTTTCAACATCCGAGTTAAAAAAACAACTAAAGAACAATGCTATTGAAATTGTACCTTCAGTAATAGAAATGGTGTTCAATCAAGCATTGTGATTAACACCTTTAAATAAAAGCGTGTTTTCTAACAGAAGCAAATTTGCATTTCATCAGTACAGGCTATATATATATAAAAACTATAGTGAAAGCCCGCATATAAGAAACTCACTAATAAGAATCTGCAGGCACAATCAGTTTCTTTGTGGGCTTATTTTATAAAAAAGCTCGTGGAAACGAAACATGTGCGAGAGGCAGAAAATTCCTTACTTTCTGTCAAAGTGTATTAATGTCATATATTTTCAGGGTAGTCCTGCTTTTTTATTCATCTTTTTAGAAACTTTTTTTATGATAAACTCAGAAGCCTTATTTTAAAATCTATTCCTTCTATTAGAAACTGTGCATCCTCATCCGAAAAAAATTAGTTTGTTATGTGTTGGTTTTGATATAGTGTTTGACCAGTAAGTAGGCCAGAGGGCAACCAAGGTGGTATTCTGGTTGATTTAGGAGCCTTTCTTAGTATACTATTGAACGTTGGCAGAAAATGCAAAATTGCATTTAGTCAATAGATAGTATAAGTGTAATTATTTGAAATTCAGCTTATAGTTTTTTTCTTGGAAACTTTGCCCTATCTGCGTTGATCCCACTATCGTTTTTCAACTAATAATTACTATTTGCCTCTTTAAGAATGAAGTGAAGGCGGTAGTGTACCGAAAACGACGTAATCTGCGTAGTGCATTTGAATGTCTGAAGACCAAAAGAGACGGAAAATTCGTGATAACCTTTCACCGTTGGAGGGCTTTAATGCATTATATGGCACCAAAGACCAGTCCGGTGCAGGTGATGCTCATGTGGCATGTTTTGGATGAGCATTCTAGAGGTTATATTTGTAAGTAAATACCGTTTATTCAGAAGCTTTCTTCTGTCGTTCAGGACGTTTTACAAGTTGAATACCAACTGTATCAATTGAATTGCAACGAGACCTCTATTTTACAGACAGCTGTTGGATTTGCAGTCCGTTTTAATGGGTGTCCGTTGTTTTCAGGCTTCTTCCACATGCCATAGACAGAAGAATAGAATTTTTAAGGACAAGAGAATCTGTTCTTTTGAGGTGTCCGTTATTGAGAGATGTCCGCTATTAGGTGGTGTCCGTTATCGAGAATTGTCCGTTATTGAAAAATTATTGTCATTGCAAGTTGCCCGTGAATGGAGGTTATGATGTATGAACCCTTTGTTTTGTCCTCTTGATCTCTGCAATGTTAAGTCCCAGAGGTTGAGTGGTTAATAATCAGTTTGATAAACTTCGCGACTGTGAAAACGTTTTCTGTAATCGTAGCAAGATTTCTTGATGGATAAAAAACAGCATGAAGCAGGAAGAGAGTACTTTTCAAATATTAAAAAGGGAAGTCGTATGGTAATGGTGCTTTGAGGAGATTAATATAAACTCGGATATTGGAAATAAATTTCAGTCCAGTGATAAAGCAGTTTCATAAATCACAGGAAGATCCGACAAGTATGAAACTGAGATTTGAAACACAGCAACGAGATTAGCTGTTCCATTGAATTTCTGTGGTATTATTATGCATTGATAAAGAATTGAGTGCCAGAAATAGACGCACCAGTTGCCGTAAAAGCTACTCGAAATAGCCCAAACAGGATAACTTTAATTTTATATGTTTTAGTTGTAACGGGAAATCTCCGACTTTAGGTCTTACAACACACAGGGTTCGAAATGGAGTTTAGTTTTCGTTCTAATATCAAACGCGATCTCCTGCTGTCTAGTTTCAGTACAGACACGTCAATTGCTTAAGCCTCGCTTGCTTAATGGAAGAAGTCCGCTATTTCAAAATGACTGGGTTTGAAAGCCAAGGTTCTACTTGACTTTTTGTGACAACCCTTTTCTATATTAGCAGGCATTTGGGCGCCATTTAAAATCCTTACACATCAGAGGGCTTGTTTAGTGAAGGAATAATAGACGAGAAATAGCTTTTGTGTCAAGGGATATTATTTTCCTAGATAATAATTTTTTGATTTTCAGACTAAAATGGTATCTGCTCGTATGTTTACATCCGTATATCACTTTATGTCCATGGTTATAAATTTGTAAATATATAAACTATTTCCTTTTTTACTTTCCATTTTATTTTCATAAGATTTCATTTCTTTGTCACAAGATAAATAATTTTTCAATCCAATGGTACTCAGTTTTATATTCTGTATCTCCATTTTTATGGACACCTTTACGCCCTTTTAGTTATTAAATTGGCTGTTATCAATCTTACAGATTTCAGAGAGTTTATGTTCTTGGCTGACCTGTTATCTGTGAAAATGAAGGAAATGACAAAACAGCCGCAGTTTTTTGCCCGCGTTTGGCCCACGTGTTTCAACAGTGGAGCGGTAACGTTTTTAAGAAAATGTGTTGAGCACAGGTAAGAGTTGGATAAAGAATTTGATTGCAGCAACAAATGAAAAGGATGCTTCACTAATCATAAGCCCAACCTCACTTTTATCGTGTTTTGACATTTTGAGATTTAGTTAAAATACTTTGAATTTATATGCGTACGATTCTTAATGGTTTGAGCGAAGAAAGCTTAGGTTTTATGCGCGAAGAAGACTTGATTATTTCGTTTTTAGAAGTTCTCGGAAATAGGCCACCATTTTATCATCCAAAATCACAGGGTTAGGCCTCTTTATGTCTCTATATTGTTGTTGCAACGCAAATTTTCTGTGCAGATTAAGATTTGTATGAATTAGGGTTAGCAGTTAATGTTGTAAACTTTAGGCCAGTGACAGAACGGAAACATCAATTTGTGAGATCTATTTTAATTCGTTTTCAATTACATGTATTCTAATACTCGACTAAGCAACTAACTCTAGAGGACATGTGCCAAAACGATTCATCAAAAACATTTCAACATATTGGTTGATAGAAAAAGGACTGGGCACCACTCTTTTCACAGGGCTCAATGGTTTCAAAATTCTCTCTTTTGGTCTGGAAGCCATCAGTCTGATTAGAGCAGTCACCTGTTTAACAAATAAACATCCATTTTGTGTTTACGTGAAATCATGATATCCTTTAGAATATCCACTGTAGATAACTTTGAAAATACGTGGGTGATTTGGTGCTAATGTGTTGATGTTTCGTCCAGGTGTTAATTACGCTTGTCAGCTGTCTTATAACCATCTTCGTGACTTCTTTCTAAGCACATATCAATACTTCAAATCGTATTGAAGGAAATTTTGTGACGGGCAAATGATTTCTCCCGTTTATATTTATTATGTCCACGTGCAGCTTTTTTTGAGAATAAGTTAAGGGTCCTGCCCGACACAACATCAAGCGTCGGGTCGTTGAATTTCCATATATTCTGTTAGCAGTTACAGTAACATTCTATTAGCAAGATGTGAGTTCAAAGACTCTTGTATATGGTCTCACCAAAAATTTGAGAGTTTTTTATAGTATTGTGTTCGACCAATATGGCGGTTGCATACAGTATTTGACTTCTTTGTATGATTCAAGTATTGTGCAATAGTTTGATCCAAGCACTGATGTTTATGATGATTATAATATTATCGAAATTAATTTGATAAGCTTATGATCATTATGATTACTAAAATAGGAAACGCCTCATTGCGCCATTTGAATAACAAAAAACTGCAGAATAAAAGCCACCGTTTGATACAGGCCCTCTACAGTAGTTTCTTATCCTCAATTTTAAGAGCAATTTTGTTACAGTTACATTTGTCGCATCTTTATGTTGACCTCGGAACAAAATTGAAATTGACAATATGATAATCACTATGAAAATCTTGAGGCTGCTTTGCTTGTCGTTTTAACGATCTTGTCGCAAGGAAAACGTCACCAGAAACTACCTACCCCCTGTACCTAATGTTTTCAAATACCTCAGTGCAGCTGTTGATACGAATGGCCTTCTTTATGTGTTATTTATTTTTAATTGGGAATAGAAAGTTTTCGAGTTACTTTTCCAATTAACGTAACCAGTAATTTTATTTGACCAAAGGCGTGAATGCGGTTTGCATAAATTACTGTTTACCTCGCCGTATTTTCAATGGCTATTAAGAAAGACTAGACTTTGTTCAAGTTTAAATAACATCGCATATTTTGATGAAGTAAACAACTGGTACTGGCGCTCAAACAAAATGCATTTCGCCCGGATCTTTTTGACTTGATACGTCTTCACAAATATTTGCCCATTCGTTTAGCCAAACACCGTTATGGTCTTTATCTTTAAATTCACGACCCAATTCATGGCTTAATTGGTAATGAGGACCTTTTTGCAATAAGGTTTTTTGCTACCCACTCTCGCTAGACTTTATATTGTCACTGAACACCCTGGAATGGCCTAAACCCGCATTCAAACCTGTAGGTTATCACAACACGTTTAGTTTTCAGGTATACCATATCGAATCGAATACAGTATACATACTATCAAATTAGGTCATCTCTTTCCGGCCTGTTTTAAATCGATCGGCATATGAAAAGCACCGTAGATATGTTTTATATAACGGGCACCACCGTATATATGTTTGAAGTGCTTGCAAATTCCTTTCGTCCTTAACCAGATATCCATATAAAATAACCTTATGGTATCCTCCATGTATTTGAACAGCCCTGCTATTTCGTTTTCAGATTCTTTGGGTATGTGTTCTATTTAATCATTGTGGCCAATGCATTTTGCATCGCCTTCGAGTACGATGGAGCTGAGATTGCATTTCTTGTTGTATTCAATCTGGAAATGTTCCTCAAGTTGTTTACGTTTGGAACTGGAAAGTTTTTCTCCAGGTTTTGGAACATGTAAGTTGGCAATAACGCCTTTATTGAACCTTTAGCAAAAACATTCCTTTAACAACTACTATCAGTTACATCAGTTATACAGATGTAATTATTTAAGTGCGCTGCAAAAATTGTTCGTATCTTTGTTGGCTGCAGGATGTGATGTGCTTGATCACAATAAGTTTGATATTGTCCTGTCAGTTGCCTCTTGAAACGTCTACAATCCCTGCAAAAAGTCCTGATACACTATGCCCAATGTTCTAATATTTATACTGCATCTCCCCCCCCCTTCCCCCCCTCCTCAGAACAATGTTTTTATGCATGCTAACAGTTTTTCCTGCCGATAGCTATGGTATTCAGCTCTATAACCATTCTTTTTTTTGGGAGAAAGGGTGCGGTATGCGCCTTTTTACGGGAAAAGTTAGTTTTTATAAACACTGTTTTGGTAAATCGCCAAAAACTTCTGGATGGGAGTGTTGTACCATGTTGCTGTCGTATTGCAATTTGTGTTTCAGTAAAGGTTTTATTCAAATTTTTGAATTGTTTGTGTTGTTTTTAGTTTTGTGATCATTCTTTGATAGAAAGCCATGTAAGCTATATTTTTGTGTTATTTAGTTCAATCAATTTGACTGTATCGTTGAAGTGATCTTCTGAAATGTTAATTGGTCAAGTGAAATTCTTTGAGATAATCCAATGTTGTTATCGACTGTAGAGTGATCATATTTCAATATTTCTTGACGAGCATTCGAAACTGGTTACATTTTTTATAATTTGCTCCGTTTTTCATTTTCTTCTTTGTTCGTTTTCTCACGTGGGAAAATGATCGCTTAAACGACGATGAATGAATTTATAATTCTTGAGAAATAACCTGTGCAAGCGGATTTTCTCGACATTCTACTTAATGTGCTTGACATTCTACTTAATTTGCTTAACAATCATAGAATAAGAGAGAATTCGCCCTAACAAATGTATTTCAGCTCGTCCTTACCCAACTTATAATGCCGTGGTTCACTGTTGTGATTATTACAAACTACAAGTTTTGGCAAATATCAACCAGTTCACTTGTTTATTTTTTTGCAGCTTTGACGTTCTTGTTATTGGTGGAGCCACCATCGTGGCAGTTATCGAGGGGATATTAGATAAAAGTATGTTCACGCATTAACCATATCTTCTCTATGAACATGCTGCTAATGTTCGTAGCGTTTCTTGTTACTTTTTACTTATAGGTAATAGTCTTGTCTCTCTAATACTTATGGATGCCGTGTTAGCAAAGTTGTATAACCTCCTTTCTTCCAAGCGGGTGTTTGGCCAGTAATTTGATTCTATTTTGTGAAATTAGTTTTGACATATGTTGAAAAACGTTTCTCGTTTCACAATGAAAGCTTTAAAAGTTTCATGTAAACTAATGCTATTGATTATTTTTTAACCAAATATTTTGATCTGGGTTGGTATGTCCTGGGTTGGTATGAGCAATACTTGCACGAATTAATAAAGTTTTAACTTGACATCGGGTAATGGATCACCTTTTAAACTATGCATAGTGTCTGCGCTTACGGTATCAAGACTCAGAAGGCTTTTTATAAGTCCTAAGCTACTGGTTGTTTATGTAGACACAAAGAGTACCACTTCGTCGTCTTATTATACGTGCTTGTGTTAACTTTAGGTTTTCGATAGCCAAAATTTATACGTAATGCAAGTTAAACTATGTTACTTGCGTTTAAAATCTGTTGCTTTAAAGCCACGAGACTGCATGTCTGATTTGTTCAGCAACCTTTAAAGTTTGATTGACATTCCTTAATTCCCCATGATTTGTTATGTTTCAGCATTAGCTGGTTTGGATGTTTTAATGGTTCTTCGAGTATTACGACTGTGTAAGATTGTGCAAAAGTACGACAGGTATGCTACTATTGAGTTCCATATTCGTCATATTTTGTGATTCTAAATGACATTGCTGATGCCCTATTACGATTTTCGGCCGTGAAACAATCGGAAAACCTTGATGGTTCTCCCTTAAATACATTTCCAGCCTCTCAATCTTGAATTCTCCTTTTTTCCATACACATTTTCCGCTTTCCAAACTTCATTAACTTGAACATTTTATCATCCCCATACAGCCTGCCGTCTTTACCGATGAGCAGGAAACTCTCAGTATAAACCAAGAACCAAATGAATTTTATATGCAAAGTTTCTTCTCGTGTCTTCAGAGGATATTTTTAACACAGTGTACCCTTTTCTTTAATCTTTGTAGAGAGTTTGTTAAATATAAGATCTTATGCTATTGTTTTTGAAGTATTGATTTATGCCAATGTCGCTTTTTTACAGGTTCAAAGTAATTGTCAACACCATTATGCAAATTGGCCCTGCCATGCTTACTTATGGTGGAATAATTTTTGTAAGTTTGCGAAATTCAAGGCACTCAGCTTCAACAATTTCAAAGCTTTTTACTTTTTTAATTCACATTGAACTCAAGAGCTTTTACTATAAAAAAGCCAACATTTTTTGGGGCTTTACAGACACAATATGTTCCGATAAGGGATATATTGTAAATATTTGAAGAAATATTTTTTAGCACTAAAGTGTGGAGCTTTTTATGGCAAGGCTTCTTCGAGTTTTTAATTTTTTAATCATTTTTCCTTTTAAAGAAGCTCTAGATGAAGAAGAAGTTTCGGATTTTTTTAAAATTCTGATAAAAGCGAGAAGGGATTCAAAATAGGTAGCTCAGAGTTTACACCCCTTTTTAAGTTTTTTTGCAAAACATGATGGTAGAAACATAGTAACAACGCGTAGATTCCAAAGCTAAGACTTTATTTTATTACCTCTTGTATCTCTAGAACAAGCTTTGAGAGTGCTTTTCAGTTTTCTTACCTTTTAAATGTTTTTACAGCTAATGATTTCTCATAGAAATCGCACGCTTAGATTCATAATTCAATCTTGTACTTTTGTAATGTTTTAGATATTATACTATGTTTACTCCATAATTGGCATGGAGGCTTTCGCTGGGTACATGCATGAACTGCCAGTTCCCAACAGCACGAACCGCTTGGAGATCTTTCCGCCAAATTGCGGAGACCAGCGTTTAAAGGGATCTGAGTATGTGCGACTAAACTACTGCGGGAAAAACTTCAACGATGTTTTGAAATCATTCAATTTGCTGTTTGATTTGACTGTTGTCAACCAGTGGCATGGTATCCTTTCTTAATGTTTTGGTCGTAGAATACTTTCCTCAAGATTTCCTGCAAACGCCAATAAGTTTACTACACCCTTGATATTCTTTGAAATTTTATAAGGTTTTTATCGTTTTTTATTGTTCGACTTCCTTTTAACCAAACTTCTTTTTTACAGCAAACCGTATTGTTTGTTTTTCACCATGTCTCCTAGTCTCTTCTGTCCATTATTACAGTAGTTCGCATCATTTATTCATAGTAATCCAACTCTTGTTATCTTGTTCTCTCGTGGCATTTCGTGTTGGTTTTGTTATAAAACAGATTTAAATAAACTCTTTCTTTCAAAGTTTTGTTTTATTTCAAAGTAAAGTTTTGAAAATTCTCTCAAAAAGCAGAGAACCTCTATCTAAACATGATGGGACTTTTTCATCAACATCTTTTTTGTATGTCGATTGTATGGTATTCCACAAGAATCTCAATAATCTTTTATAAGCAATGATTTTGATAGTAGTCAATCATCACTTAAAAAGATCAGCTTCAATGTTTGTCCGGCCGATAAATCAAACTTAGCGATGTTCTTTCTAGGATATGATGGCATGAAATTAAGATAACTTATCTCTGTTATCAAATAATTTGAAAAACTTATGCCTACTCTTCCTTAACGAGAGTTCAGTACTAACTGATGGCTTTGTGCGCGTCACTAATAGAGGCGCAAGACTTTATTTTTTCTCATTCCATTTCCTTTGTGTAATTGTGTTATTGAAGTAAGTATTCGCGTAGTATATCATTTCTTTATTATCATATTTTTTAAGCAGACGTTTTAAGATGCTATCTTCACCTGTCGGAAACCTAGCCGAATTCAGGTTGTCATTGCTAGAATTTTATCTTTTACCTTGTGTGTGTTTTATCCGTTATTTTAATGTTCTTTTAGGTCTATAGACAAATCCTAAACGTTAAAGGAGAAACTGAGAGGGTATGCCATCATGCATTGAGTGGTGGTTTTCTTGCCACAAGAGTGACGCTGGAGCACGGGGGCGCCGACCACCCCTTACCTCCCCGCCCTACAGCCCTACGGCTTCTCTGTCCTCCAATACTTTTAGAATATTGCCTCCTTAACTTAATTGGTTGAAACTAAACTCTTCGCGTCATGTCATGCCGTATAGTTTTTGTGCTTGAACATAAATTAAATTGTCATAGGCAACAGAATTTCAATGAAATCCCAAATAAATTAAATCCCATTTACCTACTTCTTACCACCTTGTAACAAGTTTCAAAGTCATTGCTTCACATAATTATATTTTTAGAATTTTTCGGTTTTGATCACACAACCTGAAAGAGCATTATTAAATACCTCCAAATGTGAAAACCAGTTAAAAATTTTATCAAATGAGCATGAATTCTTTCCCATTAAGTATCACTGTAATTAAATCTCCGTAACAAAGCCAAAATAACAGTAATCCGTTGACAACAAGAAATATTTCATTAGCCAAGTTTCAACCAATTTTTAACATATTTAACGAATATGGCTCATCTAGTGGTACTTCATTACGCTCTTTCAGGCTACATCCTCAACACTGAAAAATTGTTTTGATGACGTCACACTTTGATACTCTCTTACTGAGATTTTGATATGTTTTTGTTGCAAATCGGTCTAACTTCAGTTCAACTTTCTTTTCAGCATTTTTGTAGCATTTGTTTTGGAAGCTTTCATGCTCCAGTATACTTTTTCTAAGACTAAATACGAAGCTGCTTTGGAGAAGAAAATTCAAGAAACAGGAGCCGGTTCGGAAGAGTGAGTTTCTTATTGCGTCATAGTGTTCTCTCTTTTGTAGACATGTGGTATTGGTAGATGGCTTAAGCCACTTCAGTGTCTGTCCGTTGCCTTTCATGCATAATTTTATAATTTTATTCGTTATCCACAACGAAGGTATTTTTATTGCTACATTGTAGGTATTTTCTATAGTGAGAAATATGCCTAATGTTGAAAAAAATTACGTTTATTTATATTATAGAATGCAATCATTCTCAAAATTATTTTTAAAAAAATAAGTTGTATTGGCTTTTTGATAAGCATTTAATTGGCCTTATATTCACCGGTGTCATATTAGGGAAGAATAAAAAATTTGAACTTGATAAAAAGTGCAATGATATAGCATGCAAAGCAACTTTTGTAAATTGTTGAGCTTTATAAAGAGAATGCTGTATTGTATTTTTTTATGCTTCACCTAATATGTTCCTGATCGAAAATCGACGTATTTTTATCTGGATATGATGGGTTTTTAGATAATTTCAAGTTTTAAAATTTGTGGGTATAATGAATCCTGCGAGGCCTCGTTTACACGTTAACTGATATTTTTGAATCTCCAAATGTTTCGTCAATTATACCACCGAATCAGAAATTTTGTATACGTCACGATTTGGACCAGGCATCGTATTTTCGCTTTTTCCTGGCCTTTTTTTAATCTGATGACGTATATCTGGCTCGCGTGCTCGATGGCCCATGCTCAGAAAAGTTGTGAAAAGTGGACGGCCAAATCCGACCTGGATACTCTACTTGTGATAGGCAAATTTCTGAATCTGCAAACTTTTTTTGTTGATTCCAACTGTCCACATACGTGTGAACAGGACCATAGTGTTTGTTTTTTATTCTCTTTCCAGTGATCTTAGCAGAACACGACCCCAGGAGAATCGACTGGATGAAAACTTCTCGATTGTAGATTACGTTCAGAAAGCAAGGGTCAGTTACAAATTGAAGAAACGAAAAACGAAAAATGCTGAAGAGATTCTCCAACAGATGTTTGAAGATGAGCTGAATGCAGACGATCTTGGGCCAGACTTACAAGACTTTGATGAGCTGAACGATGCCATTGAACATGAAAGTGATGCTAAGTCAAGGGCACTCACGTTGAATACTGTTGATGCTGACCTGTAGGCACCAACGGTGCGCTACCAGAATGAGGTGTGTGCTAATTAATGGATGCATACAATTCTTTATCTTTCCATGTTAATCTATATTTTCTTCTTCATAAAGATTTTTAACAACTGCCTTTGAATCAGTATGTGAAAAATCGAAGTTTGAATGCCTGCCATCTTATTTCCCCACGAGTGTTGCTCTAGCCATGGCATATGAGAACAGAGGAAAGATATTTGAGTCGATTATCTCATATGCGATCTACTGCCTTCAGTTTGCTATCGTTAGTGCTTTAAAGGATTGCCAGGTTTGTTTCTCTTACCACCGGCTTACCAGTGTTTTGCATCGAGCTCCTATAAACCCAGTTATGTTTCTTATGTTAAGATTAAGGTTGAAAATATCTAGCTGATTTGTTGCGGTCGAGCCTTCTGCGTTAATCATTTTGACGGCTTGTTTTTATATAAATTGTCATTTTTTGCTTTTTTGCTATTACCAACACAGATTCGTAAAAGATTTTTGTATTGCTAGGATTCAAAATCGAAAATAAATTCCTATAGATTAATTTGCGAAATTATGTTGTAATGTATTTCTTCAAATATGTGAAAGATATGAATTGTAGTGACTTATTTGTTAGATTAAAATGATTAATTGTAGAATATTATTGATTTGTGAAGAAATTTATTTGATGTTATCTATCTTAATGTTTGAGATTCAAGATTTTGAAAAAACCTCTGTTTAAATTTGCATTTATGCCAAATAGTTTCTTTGTGTACCATCTTTTCTCTTTTCCTTGCGGGAATGCCATGCCAAGGATAAACATTAGTAGATGAACCGATCAGCATTTACTCAATTCTAGTATGGTTTCCAATGAAAATCGCCAGCCCTCGAATAGAAACAACGCTTTTTGAAAAGGCACTTTTCTCCCAGTCCCAATATAGGTTATCTTGTTTGGTGAAAAGGACATAACAGATCCCAAAAGACAAAAAAGCAAGGAAGGAGAGGATTAATGCCGAATTTCTATTAAATATGAATCTTTTATATGTTAAGACCATTTATAGAAGATATCGCCACTGATTTACAAGAATTGTTTGAAGCTAGTCTTTTCAAGTGTTTGTTATGACATTGAGAATGCAATTAGAAGTCTGTTTTGATAGCACGGGTTTCTAACTTGGCACTCTCCTTCTTAGAATTCTTCTCAATAGAACTGGTTTTATATGCGTCAATTTTACTGTGTAGAATCTCATCGAATCGTTTCAATTCATCTGCAGTTGCCCTTCTCCATTTCGTCTTCGATTTTCTTCGTTCTTCATCAGCATAACTTTTCTTTGAATTTTTTCCTGAAACTTCGAACTTTCCTTGAATCAGCTTTATTAAAGGTAAAATGTTCAATTTGCTACTTTTTGATCCCGTATGCAGATGTATTTCCTCTTCTTCATCTTCCTTTCCATCTCCATACTCTTCAGTTTTTTCTGGTGCTCCAGAAGCCAATTTTCTCTGTTCATTTTCCGGTTTATTGTCTTTCAGGCGGGCAAACCACAGCTTTTTTGATTGATCTCTATCATATCGGCTACCCAACAAAGGTGGATCCCTTGAATCTACTTTCTCCCTGTGAATAATCGATATTATGGTTTTATCTTTCGCCTTTTGTTTATGTCTTGGTTGCTTATTGAAGTCATGTTCCTCTCTTCCATACCTTGAACTCCACGAGGGCTGGCCGCTTTCTTTTCCTTCCTCTCTTCCTGGCCTCAATTGTTCATTAACGGCATTTGCCTCTCTTCCAAACCTTGAACTCCATAATGGCTGGCTGTTCGTTTCTTCAGCTTCTCTTCCTGGCCTCAATTGTTCATTAACGACATTTGCCTCTCTTCCAAACCTTGAACTCCATAATGGCTGGCTGTTTGCTTCTTCAGCTTCTCTTCCTGGCCTCAATTGCTCGATAACGGCATTTGCCTCTCTTCCAAACCTTGAACTCCATAATGGCTGGCTGTTTGCTTCTTCAGCTTCTCTTCCTGGCCTCAATTGTTCATTAACGACATTTGCCTCTCTTCCAAACCTTGAACTCCATAATGGCTGGCTGTTTGCTTCTTCAGCTTCTCTTCCTGGCCTCAATTGCTCGATAACGGCATTTGCCTCTCTTCTGGCGAACCTTGAACTCCATAATGGCTGGCTGCTTACTTCTCCGGTCTCTCTTCTTTGTCTCAGTTGCCCATTAACGACATTTGCCTCTCTTCCAAACCTTGAACTCCATAATGGCTGGCTGTTTGCTTCTCCAGCTTCTCTTCCTGGCCTCAAGTGTTCATTAACGGCATTTGCCTCTCTTCCAAACCTTGAACTCCATAATGGCTGGCTGTTTGCTTCTTCAGCTTCTCTTCCTGGCCTCAATTGTTCATTAACGGCATTTGCCTCTCTTCCGGCGAACCTTGAACTCCATAATGGCTGGCTGTTTGCTTCTTCTGCTTCTCTTCCT